TATAACTAACTATCCTAATATACTAGACTCCCTATAGGTTTTAATATATAAGAACTTTTATAGGCTTTAAAATATAATAACTATAATATACTTAGTAATAAATATAAAGTAACTATTAGTCTCTTTTAGGAGGATAGTAATAATAATAAAGAAGATAAGAAAGATAAAGAGACTATTCTATTTATAATCTATATTACTAATCTAAAGTTATACTACCTTAATAAGGACCCCTCTAAGCTAATATAGTACTAGCCTAATAGAGAGCTTTAATTATTAAAGTTTAAGCTTACTCTTAACTTCTTTATATACTCCTCTAGTCTAAAGTAAATTAAATATATAGCATTATAAGAGATTATAAGCCTTATTTAGTACTAAGATTATAATAGATATATTAAGATAAAAAATAAGCTATTAATACTAATAGCTAACGTTATTAAACTACTAAACTAACTTAGAGTCTTAAAGAAGAGGATTACTAAATATATACTACTTATTATAATATAATAGGTTAAAATTACTCTCTAACTAGAGAAGCTACCTATTATACCTACTAGAGAAAAGGAGAAGGTAAATAAAGATAAAGTAGAAGAAGAAGATAATAAGTTTAATAACCTAGTTTACTTAAATCCTAAGGTATTTTTATACTATATTAACTTAGTTAGCCTCTTTAAGAGGTTTATAATATTAATAATAGTAGAGGAGAAATTATTCTAAAACCTAAGCTACTTTATTAACTACCTAACTAAACTTTACTATAGAATCTTATAGCTATTATTTATATAAACTACTAATAGCTATTATATTTATATTTAATTAACTAGTAATAATAGCAATTTAGTTCTAAGTAACTTAATCTTCCCTTCTAATATTATTATATACTACTATATAGACTATACTTATATATACTAAATAGCTAACTTTAATAATTATAACGCTATTTATATTAGTTAAGTAGTTATAATAGGCCTAAACTATTATTAGTAATATTATATAAAGTAGAAGAGTAGTATTATACTTATAATATATAAAGCTTTTAGTCTATTAGCTAAATAATATTTAGGACTAAAACTAGCTTATCTAGTAGAGAATATATATATCTACTTAATAATAAATAATAATAAGTATATCCTCTTTAGTATTAATACTTTTATATATAAAGAATATATTATTAATATAGAGTACTCTATCTTATATAATTATACCTAGAGAGAGGTTTATAATAACTTAGCACTCTAAATAGAGATTATTAAATACCTATAAGGGTAATTAATTAGTAAGACTAATTAGAGACTAAAGATCTTTTATAAGTATAACTATATTATTAAGCTAGAGTAATAGTTTTATACTATTTAATATACTATAACCTTAAGGCCTAATAGTATCTTAATAATAGTACCTCTATACTATACTTATCTAATTTATACTAAACTTAAGATCTAAGCTTTTAGTAGAGATTATTTTAATTAGGAGTAAAATATACTAATTACTAAATATCCTATTATTACCTACCCTATAGAGGTATATATAGATAGATTTAGCTTATATTAAAATATAAGATAAAGTCTTATTAAATAGTATATAATTCTAGCTAAACTTATACTAAATAAGTATAAGAGTTATAGTAATATCTTTCTAATTACTCTTACTCTATATAGCTTAAATTTTAATAAGGTAATTAAGGCTATATTTATACTAAGAGATCTAAATAAGAGTATTATTATAGAGATAGATCTAGATATATAGGTTTAACTCTATATACCTATTTTAGCCTTCTTAAGTAATATACTATAGTAAATAGAAAACTCTAAGTTAAAGGGTTTAAGGGGTAATAAGTTTTATTAGTTCTATTTTATTAATAAGTAAGCTATAAAGGCTAAAAGTAATAAGATAATAATACTTAACTTTAACTTTATTACTTATAGTTATTATTATTACTAGTTAATATTAATATAAGACTTTATTAATATTAATCTCCTATAATTAAATTAAGTACTATATAGTATATAGTAGAGTATTAAAGGCTTTAAGGTAAAGCCTACTCTCTTAAGCTTAACTCTAGCCCTTAATATAATCCTCTCTTACCCTATTAATATAGTATACTCTAAATTTAATAGCTTAACTAACTTAATATATAGCCTTTTAATTAATATTATCTTAAATAGAGTTAATATAAAAAAGGAGTATATTATTACTCTAAAATATTAGGAATTCCCACTTAGTTAGGGTTAGTTACCTTTATTAGTATTCTATCTTAATAGCTATACCCTTACTAAGTATATAAGATAGTTTATTATTATATTAAGGCTTTTTAAATACTAGCTTATAGTTAAATATATTTATTTAGCCTTCTTTAATAAAGTAAATTAATACTTAAGCCTTAAGATAGCTAAAACTTAACTAGTTTTTAACTTTATTATATTATTATATATAAAGTTAGCTAAGAGTAATAATATATTAATAGGTCTCTAGATTTCTAATTATAACTAAGCCTACTTTAATAATATTATACTTAATATATAAAAGAGGTTTTATACTTTATACCGCCTTACTACTAATATATTTAGAGTAAGTACTATATATTTCTACTATAGTTCCTACTATAGTTCTCCTATATAATTAGTATAATCCTTATTAATATAAACTTTATATATATTAGTCAACTCTAATAGTAAAGATAATAATAAATTAAATAAATATATAAAGTAATACCTAAATAATATAATATAGCTAAATATTTATATTATAGTTTACTATCCTATTATAATAAGGGAGTATATATTACCTATTAATATAAACACTCTAATAGGAGAGTCTATATATAAGTAAGTTATTTATTCCCTTTATTATGATAATAATAAGTAATTTATTTATATATATTATAAATTAAGCTATAAGGTAAGTAGAGAGGGAAAAGCTACCCTTTAAGTACTTTTTCTTAGCTATATAGGCTATAGTTTATTAGAGATAGACTTTTTATTAGTACTACCTTTCTATTAATATACTAAGTAGCTTAATCCTCTACTAATTATAGACCTACTACTATCTAGTTAAAATACTATAGAATAACTACCTAGAATTACTATACTATTTATTAAAGAGGTACTTCTACTTATAGCTAAGAATAATTAAATAGGATAGCTTAAACCTAACTAATTAGTATTTATTAGACTTTTTAAGACTTATATATATAAGATAAACTATTTAGCTAAAGTTAAGAAGTTACTACTTTAGAAGGTTATTATCTAGATATTATCTATATTACTCTTTAAGAATACTTTCTTCTTTAATAACCTTAATCTAATAGCTATAATAAAAGCACTATATAAGTAGTATCTAACTATCTTTAACTTATTTTTAGCCTTATAAGATTATCTCTACCCTATAGAGGATATTAATAACTATAAACTTAATATTATAAGACTATACTACTAAGATAAAGAAATAGCTAGAGCTTATTACTTTATTAATATTATTAGTTATATCCTACTAGCTATAATTAGGTCTACTACCTATAAGATTAATAGTAATAACTATTTACCTATATAGTAAAAGGATATATTATAGTATTTTTAGTAGTTCCTATTATAGGTATATATATAAGAACATAATAAGCTAGTTATCTTAAACTTTAGTAAGATTCCTATTTAATAATATATAAAGACTACCTTTATAGATAGATATATTTATATATATATAACTTTAATATTAATACTATAGTATATAGACCTCTTTATAGATATCTTACCGCTTTTATAAGCTTCTCTAAGTATTAAGTTTATATATAGGGCTATAATATATTATATTCTCTAATTTTAAAGTAGATATATAATAAACTTAAATATTAATATATCTATTTAGAATAGTTTTAGTATTAATAATAATAGTAATAGCACTAATAACTATAGTACTAGCCTACTATCTAAAGGATATATAATAGTATAGCTAATTTAATAAATATTATAGATTTATTATATAATTACTAACTATATCTAATTATAGAGAAAACTAACGCTATATCTTTAAGATTAATTAGTATATCTACTTTAATAATACTTAAAGTAGATAGTAAATAGGTTATATAGATTAGATCTTCCTTTATAGCCTTAATAGTAGAGAGAAGTTTATCTTTTTAGTAATAGAAAAGCTATAATATTAAGATTATTATAATAAGGTGCTAGGCTTTAAATAGGTATATTACTATAGTAACTATATAATTATTAGCCTTAGCTTAGTTTAACTTAAAAAGCTCTATATAGTACTAGTTAGTAATAATAGCCTAATATATATAGATTAGGAGATTAAGTAGCTATAGGAATATATATATTATATAGTTATACTTTATTAATATTAATCTAATATATATAATAATAGCTAAGGTAGGGTAGCTACCTATAGTTAGCGCTATATATTAGCGCCCTAGAAGGGGGCCTAGAAGGGGGCCTAGAAGGGGGCCTGGAAGGGGGCCTAGAGGAGGGCCTAGGCCTAGAGGGGGCCCTAAGAGTAACGCCTATATTAGTACCTAAATCCCTAGCCTCTTATTAGCTAATTAATTTCATTATAATATCTATATATAATATAGTATTTATATATTATATAGTATTTAATTAGTTTATTATTTCTTCCTATAGAGTTATGTTATATATAATATAGTAACCCTACCCTAATAAGGTATAGTAATGCACGTCTTATTGACTTTTATTATATCCACTTAAGCGGTTTCATTCTATACACACATGCAGCTCATGCGTTTGATAACTTAATTTAATCTTAATTTCAACGAAGAAGGCCGTAATCTCTTGGGCAACGTCCTTTTGGACACACAGAACGGTAACTCATTACATAAATATGATTTTGGCTGAATATCTGGCAGTCCTGCTGTCTATGGAATCGACTTGGCTCGAAAGGGAAAAGAAAACAATTCATTAGCGCCCTGTTGGACTCAAAGTTCCATCATCTTGATGACTTCTGAAAAGAAAGCCTGTAGACTTGGCTGTTCCATTCTAACTCCGCGCTGCAGCTCCGCCACCACCTGCTTGTGGGAGGAAGACAGCGAACTCCCCATTCATGTTTGCGACTTTGAGAGTGAGCTCGTTCTCCTCGGCTTCAAACTCGAGTTCGCCCAGGGCAGGGTCGATGATGAAAGCATTGGCTTCGGGGAAGAGTCGACCGATTTGTCCTTTGCTGATGTCTAGGGTGTCTAGGGTTGGATTAGCAGTCCGTTCAGTTACAACATCCATCTATCTGCATGAGAACTCACTGCCAGTGTTCAAGATGTAGTCGATCTTGGACAATGCCATTCCCTGAGCTCCCTCTGCTAGGTTGACTTTGTAAGACACCGCTTCAACTGCTGTGAAGCCTGGTGGAGGGGGCGCCGGCGCTCTGTTCTCAGTCACTGTGAGAGTTCGGCCGATGGGGTTCTGGAACTCGACTTCGAAACGACCGTTTTTCTACCAAGCACGTCAGCTATGCATCTTATGATCATCAGAATCGTTGACTTACCCCTGGAGGGAAAAGCACATCCTGTTTGAGACTTGCGCCTCCAAGACGAACCGGTACATTGAACTGGCCCTCGATTTCCTTCTCGTTCTTTTTTTTCTCACCCTCGCCTCCAGCACCAGCTTCTCCCCCTGCTGCGGCTTCCTTTCCAGGCGTCTCTTTCGGTGTTGCAGCCGGATTTTCAGCAGGCATGCGCTTCGAAATGTCCTCCTCACCAATCACCGCCTTTTTGCTCAGGGCAACGTTGACATTTTTCGACGAAGTTGAAATGGGCAGTGAGGCTGCGACAAGAAGTTGGGCTGAGATGCAGAGTACTCGTGATAGCTTCATTTTGTCAAGTGGTATGAAAAAAGGTAGAGATGAAAGAGACCAACACAGTTGGCTCAGTAACAAGATGCGTACTAGCCGCAAAACAACTTGTCGAAGCGCCCAGATAACTAAGAAATAGCCAAGAAAAATGGGAAAGGTTCAGCGGAAGGATGTGCGGAACGGGCACAAGATATGTTTTCTGGCTGCGAAATCTTATTTACCAGCCAAATATGTAAGTTATCTAGGACGCTGAGTGCCGTCCCGAGAGAGCTGCCTGCCAAGAGCAACGGCTTCATGAAACCCACATAAGACCACAAGGATGAGGGCTTTTCGCTCAACACCCGAGCCGCCAAGCGCGCCAAGGGCCATCGCAAGGGGTGGAAGCGCCTCAAGAGCCTCAAAAAGGGCCTAATCTGGTAACTGGAATGTGGGAGAGACTGCAGGAGGCGCCTGGTCAGGTCAGGTTTACACGAGATGCGGCATTGGCACAGCTTGGCGGCCTGGCAACTCGTCTCCAGTTGACAATTGCGAATGCGGCTCATCATGCGAAGGGACCAAATAACCGCACGGTGTTAAACAGAGTTATCGATCTTATCGAATCAGAAGGGCTCAGAGAAACTTGCCTGTGCTCCTCATTTTACTCCATTGTTGACGTTGCAACGGCATTCATTAACCCTGGCAGACAATTAAGCTTGTTGCAATTCACGATGTTAATCTCAGTAGTGCTAGCTGGTTCGTCTCAGGAGGCTCCCCCGCAACCGCCTCCTTAACGACATGAGTTCAAGCAGTCAGCAAAGCTCCAGCCCGAAAATTTGCTCCTCGTTCGTCCGGTAGCCCTCAGTTCCGGATGATTGCAGGAGAGGCATCCGACCCCTTATGCAAGTCTCAGATGACAGGTGTCGAGGGCTAAAGTTAGATTCTAAAACGTGGTTCTTCGGACAGTCAAGTCAGAAGAAGGCCGATCCCCGCACTCCGGACCCCAATCACCACCTCCACGAGCCTATCCAGGCGGGTGGTAGCGATCATACGACCAATTGCCCCGTCCATCGTAGCGCTGTAGACATACCCATCGGTTCGACCTGCTGTCAACTGAAACGCAAGCGCCAACACCAGGTGCAGTCTGTGAAGCCCCGTATTTGATCAACCCAGGGGATTCATTACGGCTAATGTCAGCTTGACGAGAACCTCATTGCATTCGGCGTAATGACGGGGTTCAAAGCAGTAGAAATGAGGCTTCTGTACTTCCCACCCAAGTGAGCTCTTAATCGAGAAGTGGGAGGGTTTCGCGGCACATGACGTGACCTTAAGTTGGGCGGCGGCATTTCGTTCGCCTTGGCAATCAGCCCAGTTTGACTCGTTCGGCGACATCCCCAATTTTGAAGCTCCGGTCACTTTGACAAGCTTCTACCTTGTCTCGCCGACTTTTCAGAACGATTTGTTGGCGCCGGATGCGCGTTTGTGCTTGCGCTTAACCTCATGCAGCGATGTTCCTGGCGCCCAACTTGAGGCTGTAAATTTAGCAGGCGACGGCAACTTTAACGCAAGAAAATAATCGAAAATAGACGAAACTAAGATAAGAGTTGATTTGAATGACAATTGCGAGCGTTGAAATCATCTTGGACTGTGTGTAATACTGCCGTAAATCAACGAGATGTCGCACTCTTGCCCCCGAAGCCGCACTGCTTCGCGAGTAATCTCAATAAAAGGATTTTTATTGATGATTGTCTTAGAAGAAGGCAACCGCTCTTACAGTTCAATTCGCCGCTCTGCCAGACAGACTACCGTTGTGAGTTCCTTTTGCCAGCTGGAAGGCCAGGATGAATTCAACAGAGGGCATCCGGGGATCACACCTCCGAGAGGATACCGGTCCGGTCGCGAACCCCGCTCGGGACAGCGGAAGCCAAAAGCGGGCCTCGGCCCCGCTTAGTCCGATGCCGACTGGCCCGAAAGTTACGCGCCTTCCTCATCTGAATCAGCGTCATCGCAACCCCTCAATTGACCGTTGACTCATACACACTCCGGATGACCACAAAACACACCCTGCATCTTGGCTCTGGTTCCTGGCAGCTTGGCGTCAAGCATCAGCATCAAAGATGGTGACCAAAAGAGTGGCGCGATATGGCGACTGGGATAGCCCGATTACGGCGGACACGGTAACCTCAAAGAGCCGATCCGTCACCTCGCCGCGGGTACATGTGAGTGCTCCAAATGATATTCGTACACATCTTCTGATGGTATTCGCAGCGAGCCTCTGGTCGCGCTTTCTTCAATGAGTCGAAAGGAGATGGGCGTAATGGGATTGTTGGGATCACCAATGAAGGGGCCAAGGATGTTCTCCCAGCACCTTGGAGCGCACACAACACAGTCTACGAATATGGAGGCTCTCCGTATGATGTCACCGCGGACGGCCGCATCATCTTTTCCGACGCTGAGAGGGGTGTTGGCATCCTTGACCCAGACTCCGGGAAGGTGACGATTGTCACAGCTCCTGAGAAAAAGCGGTACTCCAACTTCAGCGCCAGCCCGCAAAGCCCTTGGGTCTTAGCCATCGAGGAAGATCATGCCATCAACACGCCTGAAGGGGTCAAGAACTACATCGTGGCCATCAATGCAGACACTGGCGAGACGAAACGCGTTGTTCAGGGGGCCGACTTCTACTACACGCCGCGGTTTAGTGAGGACGGGAAAAGATTGGCTTGGACTGAGTGGGATCAGCCCAATCTTCCGTTTTCCGCGAGCAAGATATTTGTAGCTGACTGGACCTCGTCTGCTTCTGTTGAGAACAAGGTTCAGATCGCTGGCCAGAACCTCGAGGGCGCCGCTGAGCCTCGATGGGGGTTGGACGGGAGCTTATTCGTGTGCATCGAGGTCGACGGGTTCCGACAGCTTCACCGTCTTGGGCCTGGCGACTCGAATCCCACCCATATCAAGCTCAAGGGTCTGGAAAATGCCGAGTTCGGTGAGATTCGATGGTTCCAGGGAAGGTATGTCCAGTTCACCTTGACCTCATCTGCATGCGATTCTGACGGCTGCATAGCCAAACCTACGCGCCCATATCTGCGCGACACGTTGTAGCAGCTGGCATTATTTTTGGGCAGGCGAAGCTGATCGTCGTAGACCTCGAGACCAGCGACTGGAAGCCTATAGGCCCTTCGAATCTCAATGCTCTGGCGAATGATTCCGTGGCCAGGCTTAACGACACCTCAGTGCTTGTCATTGCCGAGGAAACGGCTTCGCCGTCAGCCTTGTACATCATCAATGCTCTTAGTGGCGAGTCCAAGATCGTCAGGAAGACTACAGACGTTGACTTGGACCAAAAGCTGTTCTCCAAGCCAGAGCTTGTTCAACTTCGTTCAACAGGCGCCCCCTTCCGAACCATCTACAGCACCCTCTGGATGCCGCACAACCCGAAGTTCATCGCCCCAGAAGGCACTTTGCCTCCACTAGTCATATCGTCTCATGGTGGGCCAACAGGATATACGAGCTCCGGACTCAAGCTTCGAACGCAGTACTTCACCTCTCGAGGGTATGCCTACCTGGCGCTTAACTACACGGGATCAACTGGACACGGCAGAGAGTATCGCGAAGCGTTATTCAGTAATTGGGGAATTGTTGATGCAGACGACGCTGCCGAAGTCGCCGAGCATCTAGTGAATGCTGGTCGAGTGCGAAAAGTCGGCATCGTCGGTGCCAGCGCCGGAGGATACAACGTATTGCAAGCCCTTGTCCGCCGCCCAAAGACGTTTGATGCAGGGTTCTGCGTCTGTGGCGTCAGTGATGTCAAGAAGCTGGATGAGTCTACTCACAAGCTCGAGTCTGAGTACATGGGCGCTTTAGTACTCGACCCTGGTATGGATGAGGAGCAAAAGGAGGAGAGATACAAAGAGCGAAGTCCACTGTTTCATGCGGATAAGATCCAGTCGCCCCTGTTCCTGCTGCACGGCATTGCGGACACGGTAGTTCCCATTGAGCAGGCTCGGCTGATATATGCAGCCGTGAAGAACAAGGGCGGAGATGTTCAGATGAGAGAGGTCCCAGGAGAGGGCCACATGTTTGGGAAACCTGGAAGCCCTAGGCTTTGGCTAGATGAGGAGGAGGCTTGGTGGAGAAGGAATCTGTTGTGATATGACTTAAGTCTACATACAATCTTGATGACTATCAACAAGCTTGTGTACTTCTTCTTATTCAGTTACCAATTTTCTATTTCCCCTTTTACTTCGCGGCGAATGTCAGTGAACCTGAAGCTCCCGATGTCTAGCGGTGCAGAAGAGGCCCTGAATATCTTGATGCGTTAAATCAGCGTAGAAGACAACGGCGCGTACTTTCTACTATTAGAAGTTCCACTGGCTTCCCATCGCTAGTCGATAGTTCCGGCAGGCAATATCGCCACATTGATATGTTTTAGGGGTATACTTGTTCCCCTGATAGGTTTCGGGATCCAAAGAAGATATGTATTTCTCCAAACCACGAGGCTTCAACTTGGCCGCATACTTGTCCTGTGCTATCCGCACGAGCTCAGTAGATGTGCATACTCGCCTCATCTGAAGCATAATCCGGTTGCCTTGGAGTGACCAACGGTAAGTCGCTGAGCATGTTGAACAACGCACTTTGTGCTCGCAGTAACCAGACAATTTTCTCGGTGCCATGAACTTCCCGACACTCTCATGTGAAATGGTATGACACGCGCAGCACGTATCTGGCCCAACATACGCATGATTGGCGTGACACAGCGGTCGCCCCTCTGACATTGGTCCTCTGAAACAAACGCATTGGTATCTTTGAAAAGGGTCCAACAAAATCCTCGGGCTGGCTCCCGATCGCGTATGGGGGCAAAGTATGTCGTCGAGCCTCTCGAGATCCTGAAGAAGCAACTCCTTCGTCACCACCTCATCTTTTGAAAGAGTAGCAACCGTGGCTTTCCAGCTATGCTCCAGGGTTCTGAATGAATCTTCTCCGTCGGCCATGAAGATTACGCACTTCAGTGCGGGTGGCTGTTCATGCTTCTTCATCCCGAGAGTTGTCTTGCACTCGGCGCATTCGAAGACGTTGAATGTGGGGTTGTTTTCCATGTCCATTTTGAAGTGAAATGGTTCAAACATTGAGATGTGACGATGGGGGCAGATCTTTTGTTTACCCTCCCAGGCAAGGCAAACAGGATTTTCCTTCTTGGTTTCCCGGTCTGAGAAGCAGGAGATTTTGTGTTCACGGCCGCAATGCACACAGAATAGGCACTCGGAAGGGGCCGGATGCCGAAGCTTGACGCTTTCAGCACACTGTCGACACACACGGTCTCTGAGGAGGCGTTGAGCGATGTATTTCCTCTTCTCCAGGCCACTGGACCAGGCTTTCTCGGTCAGGAAGATATGAGTTTTGAAGATCAAGCTGCGGCCTTCATCCTCAGGTGGCTTCCCCCACACATAGAGGGGATTCCATCTTCGAGCTGAAGGTATCTCGTGGAATTGTTTGAAAGCGGCCTTCTTGAATAGGGAGAAGAAGATACCCGAGGCTTGTCGTGCGAGATAGAGATCCTCGGGACTGAGGTGCTCCATCACCTGAATGACGAGTTCTCGAGGAAGCTGATATATCCGGCTTTTTCTGTCGTTCTCGTCTCTATTGACTCTGAATGATGTCGTGTATCCCGTAAAGTAGTATTGAGAGGCGAGGAAGAAGCCGCGTTTGTCATTCCTGTACTTGACAGCATCTTGTTTGGTCGACTTCGACCGGCTGGTCCATGCACAATAAACCAAAGCCGTGAGCCAGAACACAAGAATCGCGATCGCGATTGTGACTTTCAGCGACATGGCAAACACATATGTACTTCAATGATGTAAAATTTTCATTGAAGGTCTTGGGTTTAAAGATAACAATGCAAGACGGAGTTATCCAACTTTAATAGATTTTGTAAAGATGGCCGATATCAAGGTTCCAGTCTTCTCCATCACCTGGAGAGGCTCTCAACACCTCTTTAACTCCCGTAAGTTTTCACCGGTTGTCCCGTTTTGAATCCGAGTTTAAAAATAGAGGTTTTGAATCGCATTCAAAGTTTATTCAGAGAGTGTTCTCGTTTCCGAACGTCCGATTCTAGCACCTATTTGACTTGTAACCTGGCTGTCAATACCATAATACATTGAACTTCTCACTTCAAAACCGGTATATGAAGATGAATTAAAGCTTTGAGAATAACACTATTGAATGTTTTGAATTAATAACAACCGTAGCATTCGACACGTATGAGATACCTGACTCCAACACCTTTGTGTGCTTGCAACCAATATGACGTTGTCCTCAGCGTCGTCCTCTAGTTATGTTTGCGTGGTGTTCTAGTAATTCTGAGGCATAGCTTTGAAACCAGCGGCTAGCATCGGCGCCAGGTTTGATTAGGAATTTAATACAGAACGAATCGCTGTGTAGTGTAGCAGCCATCTGCTGTCTTCCGGTCGACGCCTGTCGCAAGGGGCTCATCGATCGGAAATCTCTCCTCTTCTCGGTCTACTGCCGTTGCAGCGAAGTCTTGACCCAGCCCTATCTGTTTGCCTTTGTGTTTTGCTAGAACCGCATCTAAGTCTAGATTCTGCGCGAAAACCTTCGCCATCTAAAACACTGGCTGCTTGATTTGTACATATTTTCGCCGTAGAATCATACGGCGGGGTCAATGCATGTGGTTTGACCTGGACCGCTGATCGCATATTGTTCAGTCCGGCAATACAGTCAGAGTCCCGGAAAACATGAATGGCAGTCTGTATTCAATTTCCCACGTCAGTTCTTTGCAGTTGAGGAAGACTGGTCGTTTTTAATCCAGTTTTTCGTTATAATTGTGACGGTTATACCTCCAGCATGGCGGAGTTGCGCTCAGCCACCCGTCGCATTGCCGTCCTAAGTTTTCGGTGTGACTCAGTAATTCAGGACAGCTCCGGCTGGGTCTGCGATTGAAACGTTCAGAAGTATTATATCATCGCGTGCCCATTTTGACATTGATTGAGAAATCAATCATAAGGTCTTTTTTTTCCTTTCACAATTATCTCCGTAGATCCTTCGGGCGATTCCCAGCATCATGGCGCACCTCAATCCACGCCTCCTCACCAATTCTGAGCTCCGACGCCACGAAGACTGCGCGGCGGAAAATGCCAAGCTCGCAGACTGTTGGAGCAGCGACCAAGTCGTCATTCTCACTATCGATTGTTCGTACGGATATAAGTACTCTGGTTACACAGTTATGCCGTCGATGAGCGTCGACATCATGACGCCCGCCGAGAAGCCACTGTGGAGTTCCCCGACAAGTAGCCAACGACTGACCCGACAACACTGCAAGCGAACAATTCGGCTGCTTGAGCAGACGAAAGTCAACAAGCGACTACGCCCAAGGCCCTTCTACATGAAAGTCGACGCTCACGAGATATTTGAGACATACAACAACGACGCCGCGAAGGAGATATTTGACGTTCTGGCCACGGAGTATGCGACAATGTGTATTTTGACTCACGACGTCCGGGACTCGATGAAGGCGCTGGAACTGTTTGATGTGAAGCTGCCATCTAAGGCTGTCTTCGTGGATCTTATCAAAGTACTGGAACACCAAACCAGAGATGAAGGGATTCCAGAAGAACTCAGCAACTACACGGATGAGAACATTGCAGTGAGGTATGGGCGGTATGATCGCAAAACCGGGCCTTCGGGCGGGCACCTGGGATTGCCCTACATTCGGTTACTGGAATTGGTTGGTCCTGCCGCCGAGAGTCATCGGAAAGATTTTAAGAAGGCCGCAAGAGAAGATGTTGCATTGAAGAGGATTGTAGGTAGGATGAGAAAAGGGTAAGCAGTGAGAAGAAGGGACGTAGAGTTAGTGAAGTCAAAATGCACCTCGGTCTCACTTTAACGCAGCTCATGACGTTGCATGACAACCAAAATGCTAGTGATGGTAGTATTTGACGCATTTTAGTTCCAAAAACACGTTTGGTATAGCGGCTAAACGAGTTGTGAGTGAGTTCAGGAGCTTGAATGCTGAGTGAGTGAGTGAGTTTTATGAGTAATGAGATGAGAGACGGGTGAGATGAACAAACAGTGCGACACTGTCTGCAGAAGCAACGCGTGGGGGTCCACTCTCCGTGTGGGGAAGGGGGGCATTTTTTGGGGGAGCCTGCCCATTCCCCGCGTTGAACCGGGCGCCTGAGGCGCAACAGTTTCCATTGCTAATTATTCCCCATTGCCATCTCATCTCATTCCATCTCAACCCCCGAGTATTCTCGTCAATTTCATCTCGACATCTCCAGCTCGGCGCATCTCACCTTGCCTTCACCGATGAAGGCTCCACCGTATCCAAGACCGCTTGCGCATTGATACGACACGACGATCAGCTCACTCAGCCACGATCTACGCCCCCTGGATTGAGATACGATGTCCCCATAGCCGGCATTAATGGCGAGCCACTCCTCACCGAGCCAGCACAGCGTTGCTGGGAACTACAAGCGCGCCAGTCGAAAGGGCGCGCCTCGTCGCTTTGTATGCGATCATCCGGGCTGCGACAAGCTCTACTCCAGAGCCGAGCATCTTCAGAGACACCAATTGAACCGTGAGATCATCCCCTTGGACGTACCTAATGCTGTCTTACTTCGCGTTGCACTGTCCGGCTTACTTTGCCAAGACTGGGGAACTGACGCGACTCGCCAGACAACCCCAAGGAAATATTCCAATGCGATACCCCAGGATGTGATCAAAAGTTCGTGCGCGCCGACTTGTTGAGTCGGCATAAGAAGCGCCATTCATCATCTTATATCCCTCGCAACCGCGCGCCGAGCTTCAGCACGTCTGCTGCGTCTACCGCTGTCGCCGGCGTCGCGGTATCGTCGCCGACAGCCGGTGTCCGATCGGCATTTCCCCAACCAGGCCAACCCTCAGCGAGCGGTCCTCACGACGCCGCCATATTACTGACGCCTGATTCCAATGTCACACCAACGCCCACAACAGGCGCCTCTAATCCATCACTGACGGCCAGAATCGGTCAGCCGTCGACATGGCCATCAATAGACGACATCTCCGTCAACATGATGCGCCCAAAACCGGATCTTTTCGGCCGGGAAGAGCCCTCGATTCCCGAGCCAACATCGATGATGCCATCGTTCACCACATTAGGTTTCCAGCCCGACGAAGCCTTGTCGAGGGAAAACTTTGCCGTCTGGCTGTTCGATCCTCAGGCTACTCTCAGCGAGTTCAACGGCGTCGCGAATCTCCCGTTTCTGGAAGGCGGTCTCGAATCAACGTTCAACAACAACATCCACTACGACTATGAGTCCCTCACGAGCCGGTCTCAGCTGGACCCTACACCACCGCGGCAAGTGGAAGTCAGCGACGAGCTCATCAGCGAACATCGGCGTCAGGAAGTTCTCCAATGGCTGCAAATGTTTCGCCAGAAGCAACCAAAATACGAGCATCGTATTGTGAATCTAGTGCAAGAGAGCGGTGGAGACTTGCCTGCGCTGAACGTCGACATGATGCGCGACTGCTTGAAGGAATACTGGAAGAGTGTGTCTCCAAGGCTACCCATCGTTCACCAGCCGACATTTGCACCTAATCGCTGCTCCATCTTCCTCCTGATGGTCATGATAGCCCTTGGAGCCGCATCTTTGAGCAGCAGGGACTCGACTGGAAACCTCGAGCAATACGGAGGCTTCGCTGATGTCATAATCTCCAGTGTTCGCTGGGAGATCCTCACGGCCGACGAAGCATCACCGCCAGTAGGGTTGTCAATCGCACAGGCGCTGCTCTTGCTCGAATTCTACGAGAAGATGTTCTCGTCAAGACGCTTCCACGAACGAGCGCATATCTATCACTCGGCTACACTCACTCTCCTTCGGCGAGGCAGCCCCCTCATCGGGAGGGCAGGAAGCGAGTCGCCGCCAGAGGAACAGGACCCAACATGCAATGATGGATCGTCGCTAGACTCCAGGGTCTGGTGGGTTAGATGGGCCGAGTCAGAGGCCATGCATCGTGTCGTCTTCGCCGCCTTTATGATGGACGTCATTCATGCCGCGATGTTCGGCCACTCAGCAGATATGGCGCCGCATGAGATTCGGCTACCACTACCGTGCGACGACGCCCTGTGGACAGCTTCTACTCCTGACGTTTTCCGTCAGCTTGACAGCAATTATAGGATGTATGGCATCAAGCAGGTCTCTTTCCTTGATGGACTGAAGAGTGCGTTGCATGGTCAGGAAGTTAAGACTCATACCTTCGGGCGGATGATTATCATGTCAGGCTTGCTTAGCGTTGGATGGCATTTGTCTCACCGAGAATCACACCTCAAATGGCTCGACCTACGCACGCCTAGTACCGAGACACACGATGGCTGGAGGAAGATCCTGCTGAGGGCATTTGACGAGTGGAAGGAAAGTTTTGACAAAGCCGTCGGGGCGAACGACACGTCAGAAACTCCTGGACAACCCTCAACCTCCAATGGACCTATACATTCCGCTGCAGTGCTATACCACCTAGCACACATCAGTCTTCACGTCGATATCGTCGATTGCCAGGTATACGCCGGCGCAAAACGACTTGTGGGACGTAAGGTCTCAACACGGGATCACGCCAACGCCGTCTCTCGGATGAGGTCGTGGTCCAACGCTGCTTCGACGCGGCATGCCGTTCTCCACGCCTTCAAGCTTCTCTACCGGGTATTAGTGGACCAAAAAGGACCCAAACGGCGGACGAGCAGCTTCGGATCACTGCCCGAGCCGGTGTCCGTTTTCTACTCTGTCCGAACCGAGCCAGATCCGCATCGACCATGGATCATGTACTACGCAGCCCTGACGATCTGGTCTTTCGTTCAGGCTTTGGGCATTCCGGCTAAGAACGTGCCGCCGGGGAGGTATAGCGAGGTTGCCCGGTATCTTTCGCTTTTCGCGAGTTTGGATGAACTCAAGGATGAGTGGGCGATGGATCTTAATGAGAGGTTGCCCGAATTATTGGATTTGTTGAGGACAAGTCTGGAACAGTCCCATTCGGAGCTGTTGCGGGAGGCTAGTGACCGGCTCAAGCTTTGCCGGGAGATGTTACGATAGGTTCACGAATCTCCTTCAGCAGCAAAACGCCTGTCTGGGAGCAATGAAATCAATGACCAAGAACGAATTCGGCAACTATTCCTAACGCAATTAACTTCGACTCAATCTTGGACGTCGAGCAGTCCACATGAGAGCACCTTTGAGCTGACCAGGCAGGAAAGCGTCAGCCATGGAACCAAGATAGGATTGCTGACCGCATGATTCTACAATGCCACCTTCTAGAAAGAGTCCTGGATCATCGAACTGCGCCCGGGAAAGCCGAAGCAATTGTACGATAAGCAAATGCGGTATTTATACCTCAACCGTTCCACTCCTAGTGGTTTGAAGCCAGCGAACTGCCCGGCATCAACATGAAGCTCGCCATCTTGTCGCTCCTCACATCGCTAGCTAGCGTTCACTCAATAGCCAGCAATGCCTCGCACTCCGACAGCCTCACCGTGAAAACGTCGAATGGTGTTTTTACAGGACTGGTCGATCCAGAATACCCAAACACTCGACAATGGCTTTCCATTCCCTTTGCAGAGCCTCCTGTTGGGGAGCGTCGCTGGCTACCGCCCAAGAAACTTCCGCCCTCGAAAAAGCATCAATACGCGACGAAGCTCCCGCCCTCGTGCCCCCAGTTTGTGACGGCCATTGAATCTATGTGGAACATCCCTCTGACCAAGGGTAATCTGATTTACAATGGCGCCCAGAACGACACCTCGGGTCTAGTAGGCGAAGCCACGTCCGAAGACTGCCTCTACCTGGCCATCTGGACACCTACGACCCCGCCGTCTAAAGACGGTTTCCCGGTCCTGTTTTTCATGACAGGAGGTGGTTTCGTGATGGGCGGCATCGATCTCCCCTGGCAAATCCCAACGTCATGGGTCGAGCGGTCACAGTCTGCAATCATCGTCACCATCAACTACCGCGTCAACATCTTCGGCTTTCCCAATGCGCGCGGACTAGCCGACGGAGAACAGAACCTCGGCATCCTCGACCAAAGAGCCGCTCTCGAGTGGACTCGTGACAACATCGCAGCATTCGGCGGCGACCCATCCCGCATCATGCACTGGGGCCGGTCCGCGGGCTCCATCAGCGCGGACATCCACGCATATGCGTACTACGACGATCCGATTGCTCAATCTTACTACATGGAGTCGGGAAACGTCATCTCCGGTCGTGCGGAAGATCCAACACACTCCAACTTCAGCTTCGTTGCGCAGCACGTAGGCTGCGAGTCCCCCTGCGGCGCGGACTGCGAGGACGAGGACGGCGCGGCGGAGCTGGACTGTATGCGCCGGGTGTCTTCTGCACAGATCTCGAATTTCATCGGCCAATACGGCGACCGGGGCGAGACACCCCTCCTATCCTTCAACCTGGTCCCCGATGACAAGATTGTCTTCCGTGACTTCGAGGCGCGCGCCGCTGCCGGCAAACTCGCGGCCCGCCCGTCCCTTATCTCCTTGACAGCCAACGAGTTCTCCTCGCTCGTCCCATGGCCAAAGGAGAACCTGACCGAAGGTCCGTGGCAGCCGCTGGTCACGGAGCTGGATATCGCATGGGTGTGCGCGAGCTTCAACGCCACTGCCGCCCGTAACCAGCTGAGCACGTCCGAAGCACCCGTTTTTCGGTTCCAATACGCGGCCGAGTTTCCCAACTTGAATGTGTACAGTTGGCTGGGCGCGTACCATAACAGCGAGACGCCGTTGGTGTTTGGGACGTACGGGCTGTTGGATCATATTGCGCCGATGACGGAATTCCAGGTCGAGCTTAGCAGGTTGATACAGGATCACATCATGGCGTTTGCGGAGGATCCGTATCAGGGGCCGCAGAAGAGATATGGATGGGAGCCACAGGTTGTTAGTAAGGCAAATGGAGGGGATGTACTTCGCTTCGGGGCAGGCGGGAACGCGGTGCAGCGGATCGATGGGGTCGAGATCGACGGGGTGTGTACGGGACTCGGGGAATATGATCCATTTCCTTAGACTTTGATGTTGGATGATGGGTAAATTGGTTGAGCTAGCCCCTTCCTGCTGATGATCTCAAAACAGCACGCTTCAAAAGCACAACAAAGGCAGCAAGAAAGCCATTCCAAGAGGCAGTCTCTTCAATCCGTTGCCAGGCATCCGATCCTCAACTCTTGTTTACCTACAGAGCCTTCCCACCTTCTCTTGTTCTACATTTCTTGCGGCATATGGGAACAAGGATCTTAGATGATTAGCATCAGTCATCATTTCTAATCTTCCGTCAGTCATCATCAGAGTGCAGTCGCAAAACTTCTCTTCGCAGCCGCTTGTTTCCTTAACACCAAAGCAGCCACACTGGCTGAATGTCAGACAGCGTGCAAAAGTGGCACCCGAGCGGTTGAGAATTATTGTCGCAGAGCTACATTGCCCTCGCCAGCTGAATCGTGGCTCTGGTCCGTGACACTGCTGGTCAAGACATCTGGAGGGCAGGCGGCTTGCATAAGGGAGGCGCTTGCCGTTATATATTTCCATGATCTACCTACCTAGTAACAGAGCCCAACACTTGGTGACAGCCGCTATCCCCTAGTATGGGCAGAATTATACATGACAGGTTCGAGACCCGCGAGGAAACAGTTCCCAAAGTCAGAGCCCTGCCCTAAAAGGACGGACGATAAGCGAAGCTAGAGCTGGAGCTTCAGGAGATATTCCCAATGAGAGAGAACCTGGACGTGACAGAGGGTTTGGCAAACTGCAAGATTATACACCGTACAGGGTAGAGCCTCTTCATTAACGGCATTAGATGATTCCCTTCAGGATTACGTCATAACCTATAGAACATAAAAGCCTCCTTTATCCTGTCACTCTAGGTTTCAAACATCATGATAGAAAATGTGGAACTCCCAATTTGCAGTGTGATTTTGCGCGCCATCTATTGAAATTATCTTCTAAGAGTTTTCAAAATCAAAATAGGCGCCGTGATCCAATAACGAGCGGAGAATGGTTTGGCGACCGCGTGTTTCGGCGGCTGCTACTGCGAAGAAACCCAGCATCTGTGGGTGTACAGCCGCCCCGCATTCGAGCAGCATCCGTACAATTTCTGAGTACCCGTGATGAGTGGCGTTATGTAATGGCATTCCTAAACCATCCGGGGCTGAGTGATCGGCTCCTTTTCCCAGCAACATTCTGACAATGGTCTGATGCCCCTGTTGACAAGCAAGCGTGAGTGCTGTATGACCCGAGGAGCTCTGACTGTTTACGTCAGCACCTCTATCCAACAGCAGTTCAACCGTGGTGTCATGACCCCTATCAGACGCAATCATCAATGGGGTGACCCTCAGCCTTTGGGTATCTTCGTTGACGTTGTGCCCATGGAGAAGTAGGAATTCCGCAAGCATCGGCAAATCAAAGTATGATGCGACATGAAGACTTGTGAAAGTGTTGCCTGCTTCTTCGTAGAGACCTCCTCGTAACTCCAAATGACGGTACAAAAGCCTAACGGCTGATTCCCTCTCCAGAAATTTAAGGATAGCTGGTGGTAGACACAAAGATTTGCGCGTATGGTGGCCCCAATTGTTGGCGGCGTAATTGTTCAGGGCCAGCGATGTTGAACCGGTATTGTGATATTTCATGCCTCTGTATCGCTCTACGCAGCCTTTGAAAGAGAGGTACGTGATACAGCATGTTGATATCTCTGCGTGCGCACTCGGAAAGTAGTGTGTGCTTTTTGACTTAAAGTATTCTTGTGTCGTGAAGTGGGCTAGCCGAACGATATCGCTCTGTTCGTCTCTGGTAACCAAGCCTCCGCAAACGGACAAAATGACATTGATTGTCCGTATGTTTTCAATGTTTAGCTTCTTATCAATGTCACGGATGGCTAGGGCGTGCCGAAGCTCCGTGGTGCTGAGGGGCCGCTCTGCATGTACAACCCAAGCTAGAGTCTTCAAACCCAGATCTCGGAAGCCCGGGCGCTGTTGTTGAATTCGGTCCATGGCTTGATCGTATGCTTGGAACAGCACCCTTCCTTGATCTCCCTCTCTATCATGACCGGCGCTCTGATTCTCCATATCAACCAAAGCCTCGCGTACTTCGGTTACAGAGGTTTTGTCTGTGAGGGAATCCAGATACAGATATGCCAGGAGAAACCTAGCACAAATATGTATAAGCCGAACTTTCAAAAGAACGTACAGTTTCAGGAAATGACTCACATCCCATCCACCAGTTTCATTACCTTCGACCTGATAGCTGAATGCAAATCCGGGTCATCGGGTATTGATCGAAGAGCTTGTGGTAATCGGCTGTCTATGAAGCAGCCCACGTCGTCGTTCATGGCTTTGATTTCCTGTCGTAGGCAAACTCCCAGACTTGTCTCGATCTCGGGAATATGTCGTGATGTGTAGAATAGATTCATATACGTCTTCTCCATTGTAGTCTTTCTGATGGTCTCTTGAATATCATGAAGATGGGACGTGAGAGATAGCCGGCAGCCATCAAGCGTTGGGCATTCGTCCAGTGCGTCGACAACAATGAAGGCTTTTGAGTACAAAGCCAATGTGCCTACCAAGGCTTGGACGAGCTCATCTGTACTTGGCTTTGTGTTAGCTAATACGTGACAATTGTGCAGTGCCTCGACGGTGTCCGACAGGGTTATTTTGGCCCGGTATAGTTGTTTGAGTAAGCTTGCTAGCAAGTCATTCAGTGTCTGCTTCTTCTGAAGATAATTGCAGTAGATATATGCGATTCCGACTTCTTCTTGACTTTGAAACCTCTGGGTGAGATGGTTGATCACCAAAGATGTAAGAACAGTCTTGCCAGATCCAGGAATCCCGGGACAGAAGAGAGTTCTCCCTTTGGTGGCTACCCACGTCTGGAACGCTTCAGAGTCTAGAAACCATTGACCGGTTCCTGGATGATGTCTGGAGAGTGTGTCACTCTGTTGTGGCCCGTAGTCATGAGGGGTAAGCCACTCAAGAATTTCGTGGTGATCTTTTCTGGCTAAGCGGTGCCCCAGCTGTGTTACTTTGGTTTCGGTCGCAACTACCACACTGCGGACTGGCACGCATTCCTGTTAGCGAGGGAGGAAATTTGTATGTAGCCTAAAGTATGAGTCTTTACTTACTATCCCGAAGCGTGTCCAGTACCGAAGGCTCCTCTTCAACTGCCTCGGGCGGGACATAATCTAAGAACTCCTTCACGAAAGCCGCAGCTACGGCGGCTGCGTGTTCTTGCCAGTCTTTGTTCTTATGGGCATCTGCGTAATCGCAAATTCCTCTGATTACAAGACATGGAAAGTTTGTCATGAGTCCCGCAGCCTCCATTTCCACACATAGCAGATTTCCGCCCAGGTCCTTGTTCAACCTCTCGCGGAGTAGGCCGTCCTTGACGACCTGGTTACCAGAAGCAATCAGGCCGTAGTGAATTCGTGTTTCACGTGTCTTCCGTTCTTTCGCCTTGGTCTTGTCGCAAAGCCAACAATTTTCAAGCTCATCTTCGTCATCAGAGTTCGCTTGGCCGTCAGAGTCCACGTGGCCGGATTCGGCTTTGAACACCACGTCGCGGAGCCGGTCTGACCGCAGATAGTTGGCCGCCAGTTTAGGCCACTTTTGTTTAAGCTCATCCAGATATTCTGGGATCTTTGAGCCAGTCAGTTCTTGTTCGGTCTCTACCCTGGTCAAGGCCGTGAGTAGAAGAGTCGGGGGGTTGTTGAGAGCCCCTGTTCTTTGAAACCTCCCGCCCTCCGTTGCCTTGCCCATATCCCACTGGACCACACCAGGGTGCTGTCCCGTTGGCGTGCTCACTACAACGTCACCTAACCTGACCTTGGATGGGATCCCTCCGCCTATCCCTACCATTAGGCCAAACTTGATCGAGGGAAATGTGGATATCATCCTTGATGCAACATTCGCGGCCGAGACCGTGCCGACCTGGCCTTTTGGCAAACAAGCGATCACTATGTTGTGCTTGCCAATAGACCCGAGAGTATACGCGTTTGTGTCGTTCACGGGCTTCATGTTGGGAATATCCGGATGTCGGTGATCAAGCATGGCAATGGCCGCGGTCTGCTCTTTCGGAAGGGCACAAACCCAGCCCACTGTGTATGCGTTGTAACTTCGTGAGGTATCCTGGAGACCCAATTTGCGACCTTCTGCGCTTGTTGAGCCTGGAGAGTCATGGCAATCTCTTCTCTTTGAGGATCGTAGATCCTGACGGTCATCCTCTTCCTCGTCCTGCGGCTTGCGTTTGTCATGCAGCCCGGTGCTGGGTTGATAGCTCATAGCTCTTGATGACTGAAATTACACTCAAGTGAGCAGTCCAAGTGCAGAGGACAGAGAGATCAGAGTCAAGGAAGGGAGGCGGGAACGAGTGCAAAGGTTGTGGAAGTGGCAGGATCAGGCTGAGGCATAATGAAGATGGGAGGTAATAGTAAGCGCCAAGCGTCATCTTTGCAGTAGGCAGCTGCATATTGCTCGTCTTGATGGCGGTTGCAATTCGATGATTGGTCGGTGTCACGCACGCGGCCCAAGGCAACCCAGTGGTCAACGGCTTCTCATTGAGACTCGGTCTGACTCCCCGAGGCTTCGTTGCAAACTTGCAATGATAGAAACTGCGGGAAATTGTCATAAATAAAGGTCAATGTCATTTTCCAGGGCATCAATCTCATGAAGGTTGGGGAGGCGACAACGCAATGGCAGCGTGCTCCAAACCCCTCAACGCCACTACCCTTCCAATCACATCCTCGTATCTTGCGCTGTCATGGGACGAAGGGTGGCAACAAGTACGACTGAGGAAGAGGAAGAGCAAGTCGTTCCTGGAGGGCTCGCGCAACAGGGTGAATAACTGTGAAAGGGGTATTATTATGCTAATCTAGACGTGTCTTCTATGAATGTCGTTAATCTTTTAGTCTAAACGATCTTTACTTCGGGATCGCGGGTGGCCTTCTGGCGCGGCTGAGTTTTGCCCTTGGACTTCAACAACGCTCATGTCAGGCCGCACGTGAAAAGATCTACCTCTCCAGGTGACGGTTGATCCGAAAAACACGGCCCAAGTCCAGATTGGGAGGGCGAGGAACTCTCGGCCAAGCCAGGCAGCTAGCCACTCCAGGAATGACCTGCGGGGCATGCCGCCAGGAATTGCGGTACCCCTGGCAAACTTGGGAGTGTTTTCGTCGATTTCGATGGTGTGACCGGCGTGGAGGCGGTTGAAAGTGAACCAGTCGCAAATCATCCAGATGAAAACAAATCCGAACCAGTATAGGCCGAAAGCGCTCCAGGTCTGGGCGATATCAAAGGTCTTGTTGAACCAGGGCAGGGTTGTGACTGCGAAAGCGAAATAGCCGCAGCAGAGAAGAGACTCGACACCGGGCTCAATGAGAGTTGCTGCGAGCACGGTATACTTGCGTGCGCGTAGCCATCGGGCTCGGCGGTTGAAGTATGCGCGTACCGACATGCCGGCCATTGGTTGAACAGCGAGATCGCCGACGACGAGGCCATGGTTTCTGAAGCCGGGTAGTTTGCTCCTCCACAGGAGGTCTCCGATGAGATGATCCTCGCAGATGTATTCGGAGAAGTGGTCGATGCCCTTGGGAAGCTTTTTCTCGGCGGATATGATGGGGTTCTGGGCAGGATCGGTGATCTGATCCAAGTGCGACTTGCGAAACATGGTGCTCTTGCCGACAGCACAGGGCGCAACGCCAACCGTGTTGATCGCGCCGTAGAATTTAGCATGCGAAGATGCCATGAACATTTCGTCGAGCCGTCCTCCACCCTGAGTTCGTACGTAGTCCATCAAAGAGCCACTGTGTCCTTGAGACGAGTCGGGGTCGGGTCCTGAGGCGAGAAGTGTCTGCGTCTCGCGTGAGGGAGAGTCACTAGGAGAGACCGTATCGACCACAACCGGGAGCATGTGGACGAATTTGTACGGCTTCACCTGTTTGCCGCCGGGGCCGTAACCCAAGAGTTTGTCCACCATACGGCCTGCGACTCCCTTGCTGATCCACACATTGCAGTCCATGACCCAGATAATGTCGCCCTTGGCCTCACGGTACGCACGGCTAATATTCCGGATCTTCGGGTTCGGCCCCAGATTGTCGACGTGGCCTCGCTGACCGTGCAATAGAGGATCTTCCTCTTCGACCAACACGCGCGCATCGAATGCGGGGAAATCTTGTACCAACTGCTTCAGCACAGGGTATGCAGGATCGCTCTTCTCGGCAACGCAAAGGTAGATGGTCATCTTGTCGGTCGGGTAGTCCTGCTGGAACGTTGAGGCGATGCATTCGTAGAGGCCATGCTCGAGACCCTTGACGGGACGTATGATCGTGATATGCGGGACATCGTCTTTCTTTAGGGAAGAAGAGGTGGCAGGCTTCGGTCGGTAGGAGTATGAAAAGAAGCTGCGCTGGAGTTAGGGCGTGCAAGGTCTTGCTTGGGTGGTCTCCTTACATCCTGAAGATGCCGATGGACTGTACAATATAGATGAATGTGCTCCAAATAGCGCACACCAAAGCTATTGTCTGTACCAGCGGTGGGAAATCTGCCATGGTGCAAACGGAGCCAAGCAGTCAAGAAGCGTCGACAACCAGGTGATCGTGGTATTAGTGAGGGTTGTAGCCAAGGTCGAGTATCGTCATCGACCTGATGCCATAAATGCCGGATATCGTCAGGGTCAAAAGTCTCGTCACAAAATCATCGCAATCGTAAGTTGGCCAAGAACCTCTAAAAGAAAGGGGCAGACAAGAGAAGATCGCACAAATAAGCAACGCGACGAAGGATCGGCAACATCGGGGAAGGATTGGAAGTCGCGTGGCATCGAATTTCCACGAACCCCACCAGAATCTCCAAATCACGGTTGGAGAGCACGAGCCACCGGACATCAGCAGGGTGGCAGGCAAAAAGCTTAACCTTTCCCAGTTGTGGCTGATGGAAGTAGAATCGTGGCTGAAGCTCAGGGCATCCGGAAGACCGCTTACGTCAGCTCGGAGCCCACCGCACTTCCTGAAGCCGAGTTTTTCCGGGCGACCGAAAAGAGTCAGAGCGGTGGGGACGGAAGCAAGCGAGACCAGGCGGAGACCTTTTTCTACACAGAAATTTTCTGCGCGACGCATGCGACGAGCTTCTTTCCAACCTACCACACGTCTGCCGAACAGGATCGAGCTGCCTCTGTCAAGTGAGGTGATTTTTCGGCTTGAATGGCCCAATTGACGGGTGATCTGTCGGCAGGACGGGTGGAAAACATCTCAAATAAGTAAGTCGCAAACTTTTCATCGCTTTCTTCCCTTCGCCCATGGCGGCGGCAGCAACAGCTTGGCGAAGACTGGTCCCCGTCGCGGTCGTCGTCGCGCGGGATAAGAGTCAGCTATCTGCCCTTCCACAGGACTGTTTGTCATGATGACACCATTTCCCATTTGTGCTAAGAGGCGTCTTCATTGAACCTCGATGAATGCTTCAAATATAGACTACAACGGTATCTGATACAAACAAATCAAATATTTTTCTTTGATCTCAGTATCTCGTCATTGGCACCTAGCTAACCAACGAAAAAAGATCAGACATGACTTGCTAGCACAATGTCAGACTCCAAAAATACAGCTCCCCAGCCCTCGCCGGCGGGGGCGATGGGGCAACAGAGCTCCCAAGCTTCGACACAGCGACCGAGAGGCCCGCCGTTGTACAAGATCTACGAGCTCCCTGCTCCCATGCGGACATTCCCGCTTCCTAGCTTCTACCCGAATAATCCAATCTCTCTTTTCCACGTCCTGTTCGCGTGGACGAAGCAAACATTCTTCCCACCGCCTGCTGAGCCGTCCGTGGTGCACGAGGGCATCTGGTCTCCCGAGTCTAAATCCGTCCACATTGTTGACGAGAAGTCTATGCGCGCGCTATGGCAGCAAGGGTTCTATGGCAAGGGCAACCTCAGTCGAAGTGAGCCCAATTGGCTCAAACGCGAGCAGGTCCGCCGAGGTCTTGTACCCGGTCAGGTCAGCGAACTGGTGACGGCCAACCGCCGCGAGGAGCGCAGACAGATGAAATGGGAGCGTGCCAAGTCCGAGCAGGAGGCCATTCGCCAAAAACGTCTCCAGGAAGCACAGGAAGCTGCCGTAAACGTCGCCGGTGCCACTATCAATTCTGTCAACGGCTACGAACCAGCCTTGGCCGAAGCGATGCCCGAACCTCTCGCTCAAGCTACATCCAACGTGACCACGGACGCCTCCATAAATACGTCTACCGAGCCTGTTCCTGGTGTTGTGTCTTCTACATCCATCGAAATCCCAGCTGCCACAGCGAACGGCCTGGTCAACGGTGTCACGTCACCTATCGAAGTACCGACTGCCCAGCTTGGATCAGCCACCATCATCGAGCCTGAGGATGTACTTGCCGCAGTTAAGCAGGCCGATATCATCCCCGATGCCGAGCCTCTCTTGAAGGCGAACAGCATTCTTCCGGCTCTCGCCTCTCTGTCCGCCCCGACCGGTCCCCTCGAGCTCCTTCGTCTGCCCAACTCGAACACGACGCCTACAAATGTCGCGGATACGACCGAGACTGCTGCCGAGCCCGATCACACTCCGGAGTCCCTGACGAATGGCGTCTCAACGCCTGCCTCTGCGCCTGTTGGCCCTCTGGAACTGCTTTTGCTTCCAAATGCACATGTATCGCTCGTCAACGGGACCCAGGTTGATGTCATCAACGGCACGGCTGATGTCGAAACTACTTCATCTACGCAGAAGCTGTCGACAATACCAGAGGATGCCAGCCATGGCGAAAAGGCGACTACAGGCCATCTCATCAACGACTTGATTAATGGCGTAAATGGCGACGACGCATACGCGACTGACACCGGCACCGTCAAGACCATCTCTACGGTATCAACAGATCTGCCCTCAACACCAAAGCCTCTCAAACGTCGCAAGAGCGTCCGCTTTTCCCCAAGGGTCGAGTCGACCACCTATCAGCTGTCCGACCCTCCCAGCCCAAGCTTCGCCCTGCTGAACGGGAAGCCAACACCTCTTCTCAACGGCACATCATTGGGACCTAGCATCGTGGAAGCAGAGGAGGAAGAGGCCAAACAAGCCTCCAACGGAACGGCCTCGATCGAGCCGGTCACCACAGCTGAGCCTACCACACAGCCTGCTGAGATTGTGAACAAGGAGCACCTCCAACTTACCTCTGAGGAAGCATTCTTCCTCTCCTTCGGCCTCGGCGCCCTACGCGTTGTCAACCCAAAAAGCAAACAACCCATTTCAACCCCCGACCTCCTTAACCTCTTCCGCCAGTACTCCTACTTCCCGTCTCGCGCATCAGCAGACCTGCAGCCCGACGACAGCTTCTTGGTCAACTACGCAGTGTACCACCACTTCCGGTCCTTAGGCTGGGTTCCCCGCGCCGGCATCAAGTTCGGCGTCGATTGGCTCCTCTACGCCAAGGGTCCCGTCTTCGATCACGCCGAATTCGGCGCTATCGTTCTGCCATCATACTCGGATCGCTGGTGGAAGGACAGCGACCACGAGCTCCCGCGCAAGACATGGCACTGGCTTCACGGCGTCGTCCGCGTGCTGTCGCATGTGCAGAAGAGTCTGGTACTGGTCTACGTCGATGTGCCACCTCCACCTCAGTTCGATGCGGCCATGAAGAAGGGCGGCCCGGCGGAGGTGTTTAAGCTGTACAAGATTCGCGAGGTTATGGTCAAGAGATGGTCTAGCAACCGAAACCGATAAGATGGATGTAGGTGATTTGCTTTTCACATGGGTGGGCGTTGCGGCAATTGCGGGATGCAATAAAAAACAACCTATCAGTCAGATTGACTTGATCGAAGGTTTGAGGGCGGATTCATGGATACACGGTGTAACACGATACTGGGAACATTCATGCCCCTCGGAACTTGGGATGAGAGGCATTGTTGTATGAGTATGAAATCGGGACACTCGGGAAGGACGGCATTTTCGGCGGAGCAGCACGCCATCTTGAAGTTTCTACTAGAATACCCCCTCAAAACACACATTGTACCTTTACGGCATAGGTCTGTATGATGATAATGAAGGCAATCTGTCGACCGATATTGTGGCGTCCCACATTTCCACGAGTCACGAACCAAGTCGGCCGTCCCCTTCGTACGGAGTCGTTGCGCCGGCTCACCGTTCGAGCTGCCCCGGCCGCGAACCCCGGCCTCGGTCTATGGAGCTGCCCGTATGCGGGATGCTCGTCGGCCCCCTGACCACCTTAGCTGAGGCGAAAAAGAATCATTCGCGGCCAGATCGGGCGAAATACGACGGTGGAATAAAATCGCAAGGACCGAGAGGACGCCCCACCCCTATGAACAAGGCCAAGCGACTGGAAGGATTTCCCCGCGATCTCAATAACCTCGTCTAGATCCATGCCGGCTTCAAACCAGGAAAAGTGCCGTCCGTTCGTCCGACATGCAGCCTCCTCCCCAAGTGTGTCTCTCCAAGGCGGGATGCGATCCCGCCGCGGCGTGTGGCTGCGTGCTTTGCGCCGCGGGTGACGTATCGTGCTCAGATCGACCCTGGATCAACGCAATTCTCGGGGTATCGCGCGAAGCGTTGCATTCTCCCTCGTTTCCGTCCCATCTTGCTCCCCCCCCCTCCCCTCATCAAAAAGCTTAGCGGCCCAGGTGGTGGCCAGTGGAGGCGCGCCAAAAGTACATGCGACGGCCACAATTCAAGCTCGAGCTTCGATTGACGGAAGAAATTAGAGCTCTGCCGTCGTGGGGTCCCGCACCACTCCGTGTTTCCCAGCATCATCCCCGGGCTGCCAGGGGTATCGTGTCGTGTATTCTTTCCAATTGCCAGCTGCTAAGGGAGGAAAGCTGACCTATCCTTGTTTCGTTGCTTGAGCTGCACTTCGGATCGACGAACGGAAACGAAAGTCCGTCTGGTTGTTTGGTTGGTCGCATGGCCTCGGCTTGCTTGATTCGAGGGTTAGGTTTCGACGGGCGAAGCTGCGAGTCGAGGGTTTGTGTTTGAAACCGGGATTTGGTATAAGAAGAGCCCATACGGCTTTATTGAAGCGAAGTCGTTCAGCGTTGTCTTTTCGTGTCTGTTTTGTAGCTATAGCAGTATTTCCGAATTTCAGCCCGCGATACCCAGTTCCTCTCTTCCTTCGAACGTCCTCCAAGATGAAGGTCCAGACCTTGCTCTCCGCCCTCCTCCCCGCCTTCGCGATGGCCGCGCCATCGGCGGATAAGAGGGCGGCCAAGCCCCCGGCCTTCTTCCTTGCCGGCGACTCGACCACGGCGGTGCAGTCCGAGGGCGGCGGCGGCTGGGGCAACGGGTTCCTGGGCTTCCTGAAGAAGCCGGCCTTCGGGACCAACTACGGCCGCAACGGGCGGACGACCGTGGACTACGTCAGCGGAGGGTACTGGGCGACGGTCAAGAAGGCCGTCCAGGACAACGTCAAGGACTTTGACGTCTACGTGACGATCCAGGTGAGTTCTATGCTTTCTCTGAAGAGAGTGTAAAATGAATCAACGGAGAATGCTGACGCGGGCATGTTACCAGTTCGGTCACAACGACCAAAAGCCCGAGAAGGGCATCTCCCTCGACCAGTACCAGACGAACCTGGGCAACCTCGCGAAAGAAATCAAGGCCCTGGGCGCGACTCCAATCCTCGTGACGCCGCTCACGCGCCGCAGCTTCTCCAACGGCGTGGTGACTAACAACCTGTCGAACGAGCGGGAGCGGACGATCGCGGCGGCGACGGCGACGGGCACGACGTACATCGACCTCAACCTCAACAGCCGCAAGTTCGTGCAGGCGATCGGGGAGACCAAGGCGCACTCGTACAACCTCAAGGACGGGGACAACACGCACCTGAACGCGGAGGGCAGCAAGGTGTTCGGGCGGCTCGTGGCGGACCTGCTGCTGCAGAAGAAGACGAACCTGGCGGAGTGGTTCAACGCTGATAAGGCGCTTAGCGACGAGATTTGGAAGGCGATTAACAGCTCGACTGTTTAGAGGGTTTGAGGGAGCCGGGTTCAGTCCGGGTGGTGGGGGCTGTGTGAAGGGTTTATCTGTACATATTTAGGAGGCGATGTATATACATTTGAAGAAACTGGATATAACTTCTTTTGTAAGAATGACGAAACTGAGTGAGTTGGTTGTCTCCTTTGTTGCTCATCAACGGTTGAGTGAAACATGCGTCTCAGGCAGTAGTTATTAGCGAGCACCGGGCATGTTGGATGAGTTGCCGGCCGCTGCTGTACCTTTGAAGGTCGTCCGTCATATTATGTCCGGTAATATGTCTGCCAGTGTATTCAGAGGAAGTTGATGAGCCCACTGACGACTTCGGAGTCATTCTCCAGTCGTGGCTAGAGACCCAGAAGACAGTAGCAAGTCATGGCTCGGATTTGATTTCCGGAGAATGAGGATGGTTCAGGTTAGGTGCTACAGTCAAGACAAAAGCCGTACTCTTCACGAGTTTGCTCGGTTTCGGTTTCCTATGGTTCAGTGAAAGCTAACTGTTGTGATATTCATGTGAAGGAGGCTAGCCAAGTCACGCCGCATGAGGTTCCCGTCGTCCGGTGGGGGAAGTCGAAGGAGCAATGGAGATCACGAGCTTGGCTATGAGGCGGCTGATGGAGTCGGCAGAAACATGTGAAGACACCCTGTTGCTCGCGAGATACAGTAGCAGGAGTAAGAGAGACAATGAAAGTCAGACGGCAGATATTAGGATACTAAATACTCAAAGAGGGTCAATTGAGGGATCAATAGACGCCAAGCTGTAACTCATGAAAATAAGTCAATTCCAAGAATTTCGGATGCTGATGAGAAAGATTAGATTAGATACGAGCAGTGAGGATAAAAATGGCTAAAATGCATGTGAAGGGTCACTGTGCAAAGCACATCTCCATACCGTCAAGTATGCACAGTGAGTGAAACTTCTTTCCCCAGAAATGCCATCCGACCGAGGTTCGTCCCCTCTATCGTGCAGCTAGCTCCTCTCAAGCCTGAACTTTTCCAAGTTGGAGCTTCCGAACCGCGGGGGAGCTCACGACAAGATCAACAAAGGCATCCACTAGCCCAGCCCGCGCGCATTCCTCTATATACTCACCTCCGGTCGCATTGACTATTAACGATGGGGTCTTTTTCTTGTTAAAACCCCCAACGCCCTCCTCACGTCATCGCCCTCGAGACACGCGCGCACTCCCTCCTGTCTTTGCGACCCTCTAGCAACGTCGACAAGAGTGTCTGTCGAGCCCTCGGTCTTCCCACATATAGAGTGCGACAACCCTCGACTCCAATCATGGCGATGAGGTCCTCCATTCGCTCCGCCTCGCGCGCGACGAGATCACGACCGTCCCTCTCCTCCCGCCTCCCCGGCCGACCTCACCCCGCCGCGCCCTTCGCAAGCATCCACACCACACCCCAAAATACCCAGGAAGCCGCCGCCGCCGCCGCGCCCACCGAGGACTCAAGCGACGCCCTCTCCCCCTACGCCGCCAACAAGGCCGCCAAGGCCGCGACCATCGACACGATCCTCTCCCAAACGCCAAAGACATTCCCCGAGCTCCAGGAGTACCTGTCAGCATGGCGCCACAAGGCGGACGCGCTCAAGAGACAAATACACCACCGCGAGGTCAGGTTCCGCAACTCCCTGCGCTACGAGATCCTGCCCGGCGGACAGCGCGTCAGGATCTCGCGCCCCTTCAACGGGAAAAACAAGCCCGTCAAGCTCGACGCCGTCTTCCTCCGCGACCGCTGCCCCTGCCCGCAGTGCGTCAGCCCCTCCTCCGGCAACAAGTCCTTCTCCTCCGGCGAGATCCCCACCTCCATCCGCTTCGAGTCCTTCGAGGAACAGGCCGACGGCTCCCTCCACGTCCGCTGGGCCAACGACATCCCCCGCTTCCGCTCCCGCCCCGAACCCCACGTCACCGTCTTCCCCGGCGTCGGCCAGGAGAGCATCAACCAGCTGCTCAAGGAGAAGCCGCACCCCTTCGCGCCGCTCAAGGTCCCCCTCAGGGTCGCCCCCTACCGCCGCAAGCTGTGGAACCGCGAGCAGATCGCCGAGCGCCTCCAGAAGATCCCCTACGACGAGTTCATGGCCGGCGGCTGGGAGTTCCGCCGCGTCGTCCGCGAGCTCGGCGTCAACGGCCTCGTCTTCATCACAGACGTGCCCGCCACCGAGACCGCCGTCGCCGACATCGCCCTCAAGTTCGGCGCCATCAAGGAGACCTTCTACGGCCGCACCTGGGACGTCCGGTCCAAGCCCGACGCCGAGAACGTCGCCTACACCTCGTCCTACCTCGGCCTGCACTCCGACATGCTCTACCTCGAGTCCCCGCCCCGCATCCAGCTGCTCCACTGCCTCAAGAACTCGTGCTCCGGCGGCGAGTCCATCTTCAGCGACGCCTTCCACGTCGCCGAGGAGCTGCGCTCCATGAAGGAGCTCAAGGCGGAGCTCGAGGCGGAGGAGGCGCGCAAGGCCGCAGGTGACTCCCTGCTCTTCCGCAGGATAAACTCCCCCCACGTGGAGGAGAAGCCCGAGGACACATTCACCTCCCCCGTCTCCCGCAAGGACCCCCCCTCCCATCGAGAGATCCTGCAAAAGGCCCACGCCTTCGACGCCCTCACCCGCCGCCTCGTCCCCTACCACTACAGCAAGAACGGCTTCCAGTACCGCCAGGCGCGCCCCGTCTTCGACTTCTCCGACCCGAACCCGGACGTCCACGAGGTCTGGTGGTCCCCGCCCTTCCAGGCGCCCTTCTCCTTCGCCAAGGACGGCGTCGAGCAGGCCGAGTTCCGCGCCTGGCACATGGCCGCCCGCGTGTTCCAGAACGCGCTCGAGACGGAGGAGAACATGTTCCAGTACAGGCTGCGGCCGGGCGAGTGCGTCCTCTTCGACAACCGGCGCGTGCTGCACGGGCGCCGCGAGTTCGACGCCGGCAGCGGGCTGCGCTGGCTCAAGGGCACGTACGTCGCCAACGAGGACTTCATCAGCACGTCGAACAAGGTGTTCGACGAGGAACATCATTATCTGAGGAGGTTGGAGAGGGAGGATCCGAATTATTGGTGTCTCCGTACGCCTTCGCCTGACGAGCAGGAGCAGGGGCAGGAGCAGGAGCAGGAGGAGCAGGGGCAGCAGAAACCCGAGGACAACCTGAGATCGGAAAACAGTCCGGGCGTTGACGACTTTTTCGACGCCCTCAACGGAAAACTAAATAAACCTGCCGGGCCTAAACCTACGTTCAAGAAATTTTGAATACGTGGGCTCAGGGTCACACATAGAAAGCAACATTGGGGAACCATAGTTGTTTAATCTCTTCTCTTTGAATCTCAAGCAAATACTTTTTCTTCTTGACTAACCGCGGTCCACCTGATCCCAACGCCATGCCGATGAGCAGGGTAGCTCATGATGCTGTTAACTGTAGCAAACTCATAGTGATTCCCTCCATGCCAATACCGAAACGCCGCGTAACGTTATTCCATTGTGCCGTGCTCACATGTGCACTCCCCCTGCTCAAGCCTCCCACTTCTTGGCCTCGACACCCTCGGGGGGCTGCGTCTGCACGGTGCGGCCCTTGACGTCGTCCCAGTCGGTGCTCAAGGCGGTGCCGTTGCTCTCGGTGAAGCTCTTCATCATGGCGCGCTGCTGCTCGGGCGTGGCGCCCTTGTACAGGGTCTTGAAGAAGGCGTTGATGTCCTTCTCGTCCTCGTCGTTCTCGTCGGCGAGCACCGTGTCCCAGTTCTTGGCGCCCGACTTCGAAGACGTGGGGTACGAGGGGCCCGAGGCTTCGGAGGTCTTCGCGGGGGCGGCAGCAGCCGCGGGAGCTGCGACAGGGGCCGCCGGCTCGGGGGCCTTGGTCGCGGCGGCGGAGGGGTCGCGGCGGAGGGCGGGCCATCTCGCCACTTCCGCCTTCTTGAGCTGGAACTCGACCTTGTTGGCGGTGACGGTGTGCTTGCTGCCCGCGGGGTCGATGGTGCCCCAGAGGGGGATCGTGTACCAGGGCTCGTGGCCTGGGATGTGGCTCATGCGCAACTGCGTCGCAACGTTAGCATTGTCACCCAAACATCCAGCTGTAGGAGACTCGCGTACCTCTTGCTCGCCGTACTCGACCTTGAACTCGTCCTTGGGTACACCCTTTGCGAATACGGAAACGGAGACGGTGTTGTTGCTCTGGAAAAAGTCCACGCGGACATCGGTCTGGGCAGGAGGAGCCCGGCGAACAGACTCGGCCGCAGCAGCCTTGACTTCCTCCTTCTCCACCTTCTTCTCGTCCTTGACCTCCTTCCCCGTAGTCTTCTCGCGCGCGGCTTCCTCACCCGCGGCAAAGTTGTCCATGGAGACACTGGGCGCAAACTTGACCGTGACCCTCCTCTTCTCGTCATCGGCAGCGAGCTTATCCATCTGGCTCAGAATCTGCAGCCTCAGGGCGCACGCGGCATTGAGCTCTCTAGGCGACTTATCACCCACGATCCCGCCCTCCTTGTTCTTCCTGTGCTCCTCCGCGAGCCGCATGCCCGCCTCGAGCTGCGTCCTCGTCGCGATCGCGAAGCCGTCCTTGTTGACGACGGCATTCTTGAACTCCGGGTCCGATGACTGCTTGCCCTCGACCAGGCCTTGCGCCCACCGCGCGCAGGCGTCGGCGTTGCCGTACTCGCCGAGGCGGAAGTGGGCGACGGCGCGGCGGTACTGGGACTCGCGGATCAGGTCGCGGTTGCCGCGGGCGGCGGCGGCGGCGTGGGCGTACTCGGCGTCGCGGAGGGCGTTGGCGAAGTCGCCCTTGCCGATGTGGGCTCTGGAGCGGGCGATGAGCCACTTGGGCGAGCGAGCGGACTTGAGGGCCTGGGTCAGTTTGGTGATGGCCGTGTCCCAGTCCCTGGCGTCGAGAGCGGCGGTGCCGGCGGCTGCGGCTGTGTACTCGGACATGTTGGTTGTGTTACCGATCGGGGGATTTTGCTTCAATGATTTCTAATGTGGGCTTATCGTGTGCCAAAAAGTGACGGTTCAAGATGGATAATGGATGGTGGTGCTGCGTTTTAATGGGAGTAAACGCTTGCTTGACAAACGGAAATGTGAAGTGTGGTTGGTTCTAGGTCCAAATGCACCTACGGCGGGACAAACTTCAGGCAGCGGAGGGGTCAGACTGTTCTGGAAGCTGTGGTGGGGCTCTTTCTTTCTGCCGATGTGAGCAAGGGCCACCCCGCATTCCTGCTTGTGACCGCCTTCCCATTGTGTTACACAGTTTTCAGGTCCTGGAAGCCTACCAAGGAGAGCTTCACATCATCTAGATCTTTTTGTGACTCTTCAAATTCAAGCAATTCATTAATGTTATCAAAGGAGAGAGTAGTTGCTTCTATTTTTCTTTTTCTACTATCTTAAACCTGGAAACCTCCGGCAAAAGGAAGGGTTGTGATTCCGCAGCACAATGAAGTCCTTATTAGGAACCTTCCAATTTTGTCAAATAGGTTGAAGAGCGGCAGGCACTTGACATGAAAGGATTGATGGCTCTAAATATCAATGAACAGGTAGGAGCTATTGTTACTGTAACTACACGACCTGATAGAAAGGACGATTTTGACAGGTGATGCTCAAGATTATCAACTATAGCACCCCAAGCAGAGCGACCTTAATGTCACAGGCCAAGGTCTCAAAAGGCTGGGAAAAAGATCATTACACATATATTATATATATAGATTATGGTAGGAGAATGGGTTTGTGTCCCATATTCGTCGTCGCCTTTAGCATTATGCAGTGTTGATGCAGTCGTCACATCTATGCCTCTACGCTGATGCCAGGTGTAATCTTCTCGTCGGGATACTTGCGCGCAAACATGCCGAGCGCCTTGATAGAGAAACTGAACTTGTAGTTGGGGTAGATGATGGTGCAGCTCTTGTTGAAGACGCCCTCCATGGACTCCTGCAGCCACTCGCCGTTGGCCTGCTGGCGGTCCATGAGGAATTGGACGCCCTTGCGGAGGGGCTCCATGTGCGGGTACTCCGCTTCCATGAGGCCGATCAAGGCCCACGCCGTCTGAACGACGAGAGAACCGCTGGGGTGCTCGTGGTATTCGCTCGTCTCGCATGCCTGGATTCGTTAGCATTGTTTCTATTACCGACGTCTGTGTGTGACCAAGACTCACCTTGTAGCTCTCTGACCAACCGCCGTCCTCTCTCTGCTTCGAAACGAGGAAATCGCAGCCCTTCCTGGAGTTCTTGCTCGTCTCGTAGACATCACCCACACTCGCCAAACTCTCCAACGCGAACATGCCCGCGTACGTGAAGCAAATACCCCAGCTGCCATACCACGAACCGTCAAAGTGCTGGTGGGAGCGGATCCAGTTGACCGCGCGGTGGATGAAGACCCGGATGTCCTCCTTGCGGTAGTCGGGCCAGTACTTCTTGAACAGCGACAGGGCGGTGACGCAGGCCGTCGTGCACTCGGGGTAGTCGTACTCGATCATGATGCGGCCGAACACCTCGGCCGCGTTCAGCATCTCCATGTACTCGCCGCCGCGGCGCTTCTCGTACGAGCCCACGCCGCCCGTCTCGTTCTGGTACACCAGGATGCAGTCGATGGCGTCGAAAATGCGCTGGTCGTCCAGCATCTGCGGGAAGCCCTCCGTCTTCTGCAGCATGATGACGGACTTGAGCGCCTCGGAGATGCAGTCGCTCACGGGGTAGCCCTGCTCGCGGTTGCTGAAGGGCCAGCCGCCCTTGCGCCGTTGGCGGTAGCACTTGTCCGAGTCTTTGCAGTTCTCGCGGATCTGCTGGCGGTCAAGGAAGCCGAGGGCTTTCTCCAGCATGGGGCGCCACCTGGCTTCTTTTTCGAGGCCGGCGGCGACGACGCCCTGGATCATGAAGGCGGTGTCCCAGCATTGCACGCCGTTGGTGCCGTTGCCGAACATGCCCTCGGCGTTGACCCACAGCGAGTCGTCAAGTCGCTCAGTGTGTCTACGGACGGTGTAAGCGCCGGGGCCGTCGCGGATGTAGCACACGACGTGGTTCATGGGACCGTTGACGGTCGCGAGGCCGAGGTAGTCGGTGTTGGCATCCTCCATGTCGACCAGCTCGCTGGTCCAGGCCTCGGCCCGCTCCTTGATGTAGTTGGTGCGGAGGTACGGGTTCCAGACCTTGACGATGAGCCAGTTGACGGTGTTGAGAAGCCAGGACTTGGGGTGGTAGTTGTCCACAGGGGCGATGTCGTTTCGGTGAGTTTTCCAGTTGATCGACGCCCAGGATTCGACAAAAAGCTCCTTCTTCAAGTCACGGATGACATCCGTCTCCTCGACACTCCATCGCCTCGAGTAGATGTAGGACATGGGCAGGAAGACTTGACGGATGTGAACCCACCATCTCCAGGGGTGAATGGGGACCCAGTCGGGCAACAGCCAGATCTCGGGAGGGACGGGGTTGACAATCTCCCAGTCGACGATACCCAGCACGGCGAGCCACCACTTGGCCCAGTGAGGCGCCTGGGTGGCACCGCCAAGCTCGTGAAGCCTGGCCCTTGCTTTGACCATGACGGGCTCCTCGGCGTCGACTCCGACAAGTCGCAATGTGGTGTAGTTCAGCGAGGTGCCGAAGACGGTGCTGATACCCTCGGTGTGAAGGCCCCAGCCGCCCAATTCGGGGTGGGCGCGGGCAAAGAGGTAGTTCTTGATTTCGGTCGCTTTGGCTGAGGAGATGGGCGTCTTGGTGACATAGAGGGCGATAACGGTACTGGGGAGGAGGAACATGGGGCCACCGTACTCGCAGCCCCAATCGCCAAAGGGGAGTTGGAGCTTTTCGATGTATTCGAGACCATTGGAGGCCGCTTCGAGAGGAGTGCTAGGTTCGGGGAGGATTGGCATGTCCTGTAAACGTATGTCAGATTAGCGGCGCATTCTGGCGCAAGTCGCGTGAGGGTCTCAACTGACCATGGGAAGACCCAGGAAGTACTTGTCGGCGTCGGTCTGGGGCCACGCTTTGGCGGCATCGTCGTCCTCGAGAAACTTCCAAGTATGACGGCCGTCCTCGTCCTTCATGCGCCACTTTGTGCGATCCGTCTTCGCGTCGATGCGGGGTCTCTTGGGCCATTTCTGCTGGGCGATTTCCTCAGCGACGCGCTTTCGAGATGGGGTAGACTTCAGGCTGTGGCCGTTGCTCGAAGCCACGGAGGGCGCTTTCTTCTCGGCCACCATGTTGACTGTTATTCGGCCTCGAAGGTAAGGTCGAAGAGGTCGAAAAGAGGCGTCGTGTGAGCTTGGGGGTTACTCGAGGACGTGGTGACGGCGGGCATTCATGCACTTATTAAACGACGGCCCAGTCAGCGCAAGGAGCGCGGTACCCCTGCGTGTCTCTCTGAGGCGGTGTACCCAGAAAGAATGGAATGACGGGAATCGATAAGGTACTTTCTGCATGTGCTCGGGAGAAACCCACCCCATCCTCGTACGACACCCCTGCTCAAATCATGATTTAACGAGTGGACCTGAGCGAGTGAGCTCTCAGGGGTCTCCCCTCATTGGCGTCACCGAGGAGCAGTCAGCACTCAATCAGCTCAATGCGAATAAAATGATATCTATCAATTCAAGCACCCAAAGAGCATTCCATGTCCCAATTGACTTTTATCTCGTCTTTAGAACCAATCTGCAGATCTTGTCCTTTTCAACTCCAACTTAACGAAAAGGGAAATGCTTAAGCCTTTTTGACAGGTGCCATGTTGCGGGCAACGCCAGGGGGGGGCCTTCGATGATAAGCTTCAGCGGGCTTCGGGTGCCTGAAGCCTCTGAGAGCACAAGCCATCTCACGGACCCGTCCAGTGTCGTTTTTTTGTCTTCGTTTCGTCGGGGCGATCAGCCGGTTGACTGACTTCACACCACCAAAAAAATGCTCGTGCGACTGGTGCTCAGGCCCTTCGGTGTGCCTTCCTTCCAGAACTCGTTGAGGGTGAGGCTGGCCTGCCTCCCATTGGTCAATTGCGCAAAGGTGGGGCGCCTCTTCCGCCCAGTTCCTGCGTCTTTCAGCTCCTCTGTGACCTCCCTTGGCCAATTGAGGAAGTTGAATCCTTCCAGATCATCATCATCACCGCCGGAATTTTCGAGGTTGACGCGGCCATCGAGGCGCATTCCCTCCATTATCCTGTGGTAGATCTGATGTAGATGACCAATGGATCATGCTACACCCAACGTGCTGGGCCACCATAGCCAACTAATCCCACAGCATGCTCACCAGTCCAGCAGTGTCGTCGATATCCCGGATCACGACCCCGACAACAATGCTGTCGGCATCGCCATCGGAAAGCTGGAGGAAATACTTGTTTCTGTATACGAGGCTTTGATGAACGACGAAGTTCTCTCGATCCCCTACAAGACTCGCCCAAACCCTAGACGGGACCCTGCTACCGCAACCCGCTCTCGTTCCGCGCCTTCCGTCCTCCAATTCCCTGGCCGTAATGAGAACGAAAGCACCAAATTCAGTATCCAGATACCTAGTCATTCTATCCGGTAATTCAACTTAGGCTGACATTTTCTCCCAGCCCGAGTCTTGAAGATTATCCAGCTGTCACGCAGCGCCCTGGTGTCCGGCAACCCAGTCACCAAGAGGTAGGCCTGCTTGTCTCATCGTGGACTCGTGGCCGGTTGGCTGATAATCTGAGAACACAGGAATCTCTATTATCAGTGTCCTGACCTGTTCAAGACCCAGGCCATCGTTGATGGTCTGGTAGACGACATCGCATACTCCCTCGGACTTGGGAGGGATGGCCTGAATATCGTAGGTGCCGCCATCCTCGCCCTGGCACATCTGTATTCTGATTCCACGCCAGGTAGCTACTGCCAAGGGCCTTATAGCAGGGCCTGTTATTTTAGGCCTGAGGGACTCGTCCCAGATCAGCGCTTCCTCGAGCGAGACGGCACGGCGAACCTCCTCCTCCTCTGTCAACTACAACTGACCATTAGCAGGGAGTCATCATCCCTATGATAAAGAGTATCGCTCAGATCGACTTTGGCCGCGCTGAGTGGGTGCTGGTGATTGAAAAAGACGTATGCTCATTCCCCCTCTTACTGTGAGGCATTCAGTTGGCTAATCAGCACAGGCTACGTTCCGAACGCTGGCTGCAGCACGATACTAGGACACGTCTGCATCCGGGCGAGGGATTCTCATCACCGTATGTCAATCTGTAAGAGGTTTTAGAGGACCCTGCTGACGAAAAATGCAGGGCAAAGGAAACCCCGACCTACAAACCAAAAAGTTCCTCCACTTACTACACGTCGCAAAGCCTGAGCTACCAGTATTTGGGCTCGTGGACTACGACCCCTACGGAATCAGAATCATGCGCAGTTACAGCCATGGCACTCGTGGTCACGCCCACGAGACCGGCGTAACCGTTCCAAGTTTGCAGTGGCTCGGCATCAAAAGCGGTGATCTAGTTGGTGCAGTTCGTGACGATGCAGCAGAGAGGGATCCTTACCATAACAATGATCAACGCTTGGGCCTGAACGGCCAAACACCAGCAAGGCGCAACTTCGAGTCGATCGACTTTCTCAAGAGCAGGGACAGAAGCATTGCGTGGGGTTTGTTGAAAGACATTCCCAGCGATGTTGATGACTACAACATGGAATGCCGGCGAGAGTTGCAGATCATGCTATTTCTCAACATCAAGGCGGAGATACAGGCGGTAGATGAGGCGGGCGATATTTCGAACTGGTTGGACGCTCATATGAAGCGCGATTGATTTCGAAGGGATGCTTATCTTTTCCCTCCAGAATTTGGGGCATTTATTATTGTTGCCGATTTGCTGGCCGAAATGACGGCCAGCGCATGATTCACTGAAATTCCCAGCGCTGTACAGTGTCGAGTGTCGAATAATACTTACGCACCGTGTTTCCACACACATCACTCAAAAATTTCTACCTCATCTTCAAGACTTATTTTCGACGGCCAGCACCAGTCTCGGAAAATCTACCAAAAATGGCGCCCAAACTCTCAGAAGATGAGATCGACGACCTCATCTACTTCTCCCGCGCCGGCGAGCTCGCCGACCTCCTGGAAACCCTGAAGTCCCTGTCCGAGCGCGAGGGCGCATCCGTCGCCGAGGTCATCACAGCCGCCAAGGACGAGGGCAAGAACACCTGCTTGCACATGGCCGCGGGCAACGGCCACCTCGGTGAGTTCCCGCCCGCGAAATCCCTGCGCTCGCCGTTTTCGACTCCGAGGTTTTGATTCCGCTCACTGACACGCCCGAAAGACGCCGTCAAGGCCCTGATCGAGGCCTTCGAGCCCCGCCCCGCCGACGAGAAGAAGGCGTACGTCGACGCCGCCAACGAGTTCGGCAACACGGGCCTGCACTGGGCCTGTCTGGGCGGCCACCTCGAGGTCGTCAAGCTTCTCGTGGCGAACGGCGCGTCGCCCGCCGTCGCCAACGACAAGGACCAGATCCCGCTCGACTCGGCGCTATTCAACGGCAAGCGCGAGGTTGCAGACTGGTTCTTGGCGCAGTCGGAGGGTCTGGAGGGCGGAAACCAGGAGGGGCTCGCGGGTGCTGCGGCGGGAGTCGAGATTGAGGACGATGGCGAGGCGAAGGATGAGAAGAAGGCTGGCGAGGGCGAGAGTAGCAAGGCTTCATAGGGTTCACGGAATTGAATGAGTTAATGACAGGCGTTTGAGTTTGAGTGTTTTTCTGTGAGTCGGCGTGGCTGTTGCCAGGCTGGGATCGTGAGATACCCCGGATTCCAATATATCAGATGGAACTGCCTTCTGGCTGTCTAAACTTATGAGGTATGAAGCTGTCACAAATAAGATAGGTGATCAAATACCCAGCACGCGATCAAGATATTCAATAATCTCAGGTCAAGTTTTCACCTAAACATTATAACCCATCTCATGGGCGCGTCCGACACCGAGTGGTTGACGAGCCCATGCCGCCAGCGTCGCCCCGCACACCGCCCAATACCTGTCGACCCAACAACCAAGAGTGTCCTAACGAGCGGGAGCCTCCGAGTCGGGCCAGCGGATGTGAACGAGCAAGACGTCACTCCCGTAAGCCCACTCGGAGCCCTGGACGTAGTTGTCGGCGCGTGTGCAGTGGTCCATGATAACCCCGGCGCCACGCGCGACGTCGTTGCTGCACGAACACAATAATCAGCTACGGGAGCAACCTTTTGTGGAAAAGGTGGAGATGTCTGGGCAAAGTTGTAGAAAGGAAGGGAATGTACCAAGTCGAGGAGGCCCTCTGGCCGTTGCTGACGCCGGTGATCTGCGCGTTGCCGATGCGGCACATCCTGCTCACGGAGTCGGCGACGCAGGCCTGGGAGCCCTTGCGCGCGAGGTCGTCGATGCAGGAGACGGCGTCGGGTACCTTTTTGTCTGGTCAGTCTCATCCTGTGTCCGTATACAACTCCTTCTCCTGTATCCTTGAATCTCGAGGATGGAAGTACTCACCCATGCCTCTGTGTTGGGAATCGTGTTACAGGACCACCGCTTCTGCAGCGATGCACCGTCGTCGACGGCTTGCTCCGGGGAGAGGTTGTCGCCGTCTGGGTTGGCGATGATGCCGTCGATCCATTTGGCGAAGGTGAAGGGCTCGGAGTGGGTTGTTGGGGCGGCAGAGGTGAGGGTGGCTACGGCCAAGGCGAGGGCTGTGAGGATGGAGGAGACCATTGCGTTCCTGGTTTAGGAGTATTGGGGCAAATTGAAGGAGGATATTTTGGGTTATCTGGTGAGATACACATTTTCATGGCTGGTCTGGGGGGGTTTATATGTTCAACTACTACTCTAGACCGCTGAGTGATCTGTTCAACATCTCTTGCCATATGTGAACATTCATCGAGGAACTGGCGAGGCAGTCTTCTGCAGCCTGATTTCGAGGGATGTTTGTTCAACACCCCGCAAGAGCTCCTCCAGATTGAAGATCATGGCCCTATTTGGTTCACGTACGAATTTACTTATGGTATGGTCCGGGTATGCTCTCCCGCCTGAGAATAACAGCCCCTGCTCTAGAGCTGCACGGAGAACGAGGATGCGGTTGTAGTTGGGATAGCCTCGCCTCTGTTTTGCCGAATTCCTCACCTGTTTTGGCAGGATAGGTTTATATGCTGCCAGCTGGTATTTATTGTTAAGACAGAGACAGAGGATAGCAGTTATTGATAAAGGAGAGGACACGGTCTTGACGTGAATCCTTGAAGCAAACAGTGGCTGATAACCTCTGCCCGTCTGATCTTGTGGCAGGACCGCTCTGAGTATGTCTTCGTAAGGCTGTATGAAGTTGCGGCGTAAGTTACGTTTTGAAGTCACGACCGACCAATCGTCCATCAACACGACGTGACGGATCCTCCGGCCGCAGTCCGGGACCAACAAATCCCCTGTAGTTCCCGCTTGCTGTGCTCCGTATATACTCAGTTCAAGAACCTCAATTCGTCCTGCTCTTGTTCACTCACATTCTGATATTGGTTACACATGCAGGGTTGACCACCAACGAGCTCTCTCGTGGCCTCTTTTGTCATCTACTGCTTCTTTCGTCTTTTTATTGCATATGCATGTGTTCCTAGTGTACCTCCGAGAACGAAAGTCTGCTTCTACCGGCTTGGCGGAAACCACGATGGCGATCAGGAGTCGGGTTCTATTAGGCTGCAGCCTGACTGCTCTCCAGCATCAATGTTTGCAAGATCTTAGACACAGGTGTATCTTGAAATCAGATTAAGAAAGTCACTGGTCTGTGTTACGTGGAGTACAAAACGTACTGAGTCTACGAGACGATGGGACTGACGTTCACGGGCTTCTCAACCGCATGCTTCTACAGAACCCAGTCCCTCGGCTTTCTCAGAACAGCTAACAACTTGCCCTCTCGACTCTCAGCTTCCGGCTCTTCGTACATGTATTCCCACCGAGCCGTCACCGGCAGACTGATCAAGATGCTCTCCACCCTAGACCCTGGAACATTCAAACCGAAAGCCGTCCCGCGATCATGTACGAGGTTAAACTCGACGTATCGTCCCCTCCGAATCTGTTGCCACTCCCTTTCCCCATCGTCAAACGGCACATCTTTCCGTTTCTCAACAATCGGTACATATGCAGGCACCAGAGCGTCCATCGTCGACTGCAGAAACCGAAAGGTCTGCTCGAGATCCCCAAACTCCTCGTCGAGATCATCGAAGAAGATGCCACCGATACCCCTCCTCTCGCCCCGGTGCTTGATATTGAAATACTCATCGCACCACCTCTTAAACCTGGGATAATAACCAACATCATGCTCATCACACGCCTCCTTCAGCGTACGATGGAAGTGCTCAGCATCTTCCTCAAAAAGATAACTCGGCGTGAGATCGCTCCCACCGCCGAACCAAGCCGTCTGCGCAGCACCGTCCGCCCGGACGGTCTCGAAGTAACGGCCGTTCATATGCACCGTCGGCGCCATGGGGTTCTTGGGGTGGACAACCATGCTGAGCCCCAGCGCGTAAAATCGTAGCTCGTCGACATCGTCGGTGTGGATGTTCTTGTGGTTCTGGCGCATCTCCTCGATCGCGCCGCGGTTCATCGTGCCGTGGACGATGCTGATGTTGACGCCGGCCTTTTCGAAGACGTTTCCGTCTTGCAGCACGCAGGTGCGGCCGCCGCCTCCGGAGTTGGGTCGCGACCATTCATCTTTGCGGAAGGTTGTCCCGTCGAGAGCTTCGAGGGCGGAGATGATGTCTTTTTGTTTTTGGCGGATGAAGTCTTCCACACGGAGGCGCATGGGGCGTGAGGATGACTTGCTGTCTGTGGCATTGAGGTCCATCTTGGAGGTTTGTCTGGTTAGCTTAGGTTTCACCTGGTCAGGGGCGAGCTTACCGTGTCGTCAAGTTCAGTGCATGCCTGCCTTTACAAGTGATTCTTGATGCCGTGGGTAGATGCCATTGAAAACATCACCCTCTCATTGAAGTAATCATCACGAACGGTTGCTCCGCCGTCGCATCGGAGGGTGGCGCCAGGTCTAAATTGGCTTATCTGCACAACTACTACGAGGACCCACCATGGCCATCCCCAGTCGTTCGAAGGTGCGTATAAAAGGACCTTGCCTCTCCCCCGCATTTTCCCCATGCCAGTATTCGCATATCAAATCCAGATGGAGCACAAGAGGCGTGCCATGGAAGACGACAATGTCCCTAGCGAAAGACCACTAAAGCGACGGCGCCGACGCATGCCGGGCACAAGAACAAATCATGCTTGTGTTAACTGCAAGGCGAGAAAGCTAAAGGTGACGTGCCCCGATCTCCCATCAATGAACAGCATGAGTTGACAGCCGCGCATCAGTGCGACGACCAACTCCCCAGCTGCACTAACTGCAATCGCTTAAACCTCGGTACGCATGACAATCAGAGCTCGTGCTTGCCGTATCCCTTTTGCCTCTTCCTAATCCCCTGCCTGTGAGGGTTATAGAATGCCTCGTTGAAGACCCGGCGACCAAGCAATACAGACCGCGCAACTATCTGAGGTCTCTCGAGGAGCGCGTCGCCCTCCTCGAGAACGCGGAGCACACTCAACCTCCGGACACTCCCAATCGCCATATCCCCAGCCCCGCAAGAGCTGCTTTGCCAGCCAGCCAGAGCCCTGTGGCATGGTCAATAACGTCCCCTTTCCCTGACAGGGACGGCAAAAAGAGCGACTTGCCGGCACGGGTTGGCCTTCTCGATATCAAAACGAGCCAGGTAGAGCCGCAGTACTTGGGCTCTTCATCGGCCTTCTCCTTTTCACACATCATCAACTCTTCTCTGCTGGGCGCGATTCCCGACACAGCGTTAGCAGAAGACGGGACGTCGAACAGGCTTGAGCCTCCGCCCTCGCCGTGCCCCCTGCCAGGGCACTCCGTGGCCCTCAAGTTAAGCAAGGCCTACTTTGAGAACATTCATCCACAATATCCCTTCCTTCACGAGCCGACGTTCAGACGCTATGAAGCAACGCTACTGGCATCTCCCGAAGCGGGGAGCGATGTCCGGTCGGAGTATGGCGGCCCGCTCTTTATTTTGAATATGGTACGTCGGAAGCCGCTATGTGTTTCCCAAGGACCAAGGCTGAGGCCGCCCAGGTATACGCTACAGGTGCTCTTCTGATGCCGAATAGCCAAGCTTTGGCAGAGGTAAGATATCGATCAACATGGCTCGCTTTCTCCGTTGCCACTGACGCTGGCCAGCGATTATACGCTTCGGCGCTGCTGTACTCGGACGTCCTGTCGCGCAACAATCTGGAGGCAATACAAGGGCTCCTATGTCATGCCATGTACTCTCTTCGTTCCCGGTCAGGTCCATCTCTATGGTAGGAAACTCCACATCGTCTTTCAACGAGGTTGTATCGTCTGCATACTGACCGACAAACAGGAAACTGTCCGGCATAGCATTGCGCCAGTGTATCGAGCTGGGCTACCACCGCAAGGCTGGTCGACACGGCAAAGATCAGAACATGCTCCAGCTCGAAATGCGAAAGCGAGCCTTTTGGTGCGCCCAGTGGATAGATTGTGCATGCGCGTTGCGACTAGGGCGGCCGCTGGGCATCCAACTCTTCGACGTAGATGCCGAGGTAAGTTTGGTCCTATATGAGCGAATCAATAAGTACCAGCTGACCGGCCTCGCAAGCTTCCCCTGGACATTAATGACGAGTTCATCACGGACACAGGTCTAGGCGGCACCCCCCGGAACCTACCAGGAGAAGCGCCTACGTCCATGTCTAACGCGATCCACGTCATTCGCCTCCGACGCATATGGGCCCGCTTGCACGGCACTGTCCACTCGGCGAATACGCCGGGTGGCATGGACAGCGAGAGCAGGCGTTCCCATATCGCCGAGCTGCGTGGCGACCTGGACGAGTGGCTGCGTTCAGCACCCCCGTGTCCGCCACGTGCCGGTGCTGCTCTGTCCATCTTTTCAACAAGAGAGTGGTACGAACTCAACTACAGCGGTACCATACTACACCTCTACCGTGGACAGCTGGCGGAGGACAAAGGCACCCCGGACAACATCATCATGGACTGCATGCAGGCTGCCGGTAACGTGTGCCGCATGTACCGTCGCCAGTACATTGGCACGTCGGTGAAATACACTTGGGCCACCCTACACTGCCTGTTCCTGGCTGGATTGACATATCTACACTGCCTCTGGACATCACAAGCCGTCCGCACGGTGGAGCCGCATGAAGAAGTGATCAAGACTTCTACCGACTGTACTATGGTCCTGGTGGTGATAGCGGAGGGTTGGGCGGGTGCGGCTCCGTATCGGGACATATTCGAAGCGCTGGCGAACCGAACCATGTCCATGTTACTTCATGGGAAGTCCGCTGCCCAGGCAAGTTCACAGACGGGCCAAGATGGTTCAGATAACCCGCAGCGAGACGCCTGGGCTTGGATGGCAGATTTCGATCATACGGGCGTGTTGGATGGGTTCGACGACCTGCTCTCGGGGTTTATGGAGGACCTTGCTCCCTTGTACGACCACCATACGTAGCATGGTACTGGGATGGCATCTTAGCAATCCTCTTCGTCCGTGAGCATTTCATCCTAGAGCGGCTTGTTGAAAGAACCTAGGAATTAATGGGAATCCTCCCCGATCATTACCAATCACTCGGGCACCAAGTGACATGATTCTCGGCTGTTCCGCGGTAAAGTATACAAACTTCTATTCTTTTGGTGTATTTCTAAGAAGCCTGGTCGCCAGAAAAAAGCCGTTACATCTCGGTGCAATAGGAACCCCTCCTCGCTCTATTGCGCTTGTGAACGCTCGAAATCATGAGCTGTGCGATTATTCAAGTTAGAACACCGATGCGTGTCCGCAGACAAGAGCCGGCTGGCTGGGTTCACTCACGAAGGGCCATCTCCACATTTGACAGATTTCGAGGACCGTCATCGCCCTGTCCAAGGCCATTGTTATCCTGGCCGGCTTTGGCGACTCGCCACTTCCAGAGCGAGGTGAACTGGTCGGGGACCCGCTCCAGCTGGTTCTTGACATGCTGTAAATGACGCCGTCAGACCTGTAACATAGAAATGGAAGCTCCGGGGCGTGTCTTACTCGTCCCAGAATGGGCAAGAACTTGAAGCCGTGGCCGCTGCGCCGGACGTTGTTAGCACATGGGCATGGTTCGGAAGGTGAATTGGACGGTCGAGTTGCCACTTACGAGCCTCCTGTGCAGATGAAGAGGGAGTTCGAGTATCCCGGGACGTAGTCAATGACGTACTGCTCACGAGATCAGCAAAGGCGTACACTCCGGGCGAGTCAAGTCAACATACATTGTTGTCGATCGAATCAGTGTACCAGCACAACTTTGACGGCGCGTTAGCTTGAAGTGCTCATTCGTGCGTGCCATGTCAGCTTGGGACTGCTAACCCGGCTGTCTGAGAAGTCGAACTCCGCCAGGTCGGGCAAAGCCTCGGCGATGACCTTCTTCATACGAGAGAGGCCGTAGAGCGGTACAGTGTTGATGGGGTTCTTGGTGTACTTGGTGCGAGGCGTAGACACGCGACTGAAACACAAATTAGAAACGCGCCTGGGCAGAGTAGACAGATCCAAGAAAGACAACGTACAGGCCCGACTCGCTCGGGTGATCTTCGAAGTTCGTAAACTGCGTGCAGGAAAGTCAGTGAGCACGCTCTCTCGGCCCCTCGTTCTTTTCCTCCTCCGTTCTCGTTCGGACACATGAGTCTGGTAAACGGGAAAGGAAGAAGGAACACCCTTACCTTGCGACCACGGAAGCCAAACTTCAGCCGACCTCCCTTAGAGATTGGGAAGCTGTTCCCCTGGTAGTAGCTAACTCGGAGATCAGTATGCCCCTGGCGGTCCCGTTCAAACGGCCCGTACGTACTTTTCGCCCTCCCCGTAGCGGAAGGACCAGACAGGATAGTTATCCGGATGGAATCTTTCCCAAAGGTCCTTTCGGCCCTTTGGAATATCGATAAACGCGACTGTGCCAGCGGTCGTTTCGACGGCGTTGGCTGCCTCGGGAAGAATCGAGGCCGTCCAGCCACCAGCTACGGGGACCAAGTCAGTCGGGGTCAGTGACTTCGGCGGGATGGGATTGTCTCACCGGCAACGATGACGAGATCGGCGAAGTGGCGCCGGCCGTCGCCTGTCCTGATACCAATGACCCTCTTTTCCTTACCGTTGGTCTCTGTGATCATGCTGGAAAAGGTGCCCTCGGGGTCTCCCAAGACGAACTTGACGCCAAGCTGCTCGCACAGGAATTTGGCGTACACGCAGGCCTACAGTTGCGCATGTGAGCATAACCCCTTGCTGACTGAGTTGCGGGGACAGAAAGGCAGGTAGGCAGGCACCTTGTCCGCGATGGTAACACCGCCCTTGATATCGATGAATCCGTTGAGGTCGCCACCGTTGATTTTGTCTACCACGTGCAATTTCTCAACCCACTTGGGGCTGATTTTGCGCAGTCTCTCTTCCTCTGCGGGGTCGCCCTGGATGAGAATTAGGCCGGTGAGGGAATCGGGCGCGGAACGCGGTCCTTACTCTGATAAATTGCATCCTGCGAAACTCGGATGCGGTCCTCTCCATCGTATCAAGACTATCCCGGTAAAACTGCGCCAGTTCGGAGCCCGCCGAGACAAAGTAATTGCCACACTCGTGAAGCAGCACGTCCTCCGGGCAGAGTCCGCTCGGAAGCTCAGACTGGGCGCTGCCAGCAATACGCCGGTTCCACGACAGCCACATTTCGCGAACCTCAATGGCAAGGTCTTGGTACCTACGTGCAGGCGAGAATTAGCTTGATCAGCCTGCAAGATCTTCGGCCTGGGCTGAAATGGTACGCACACGAGCCTGTCTCCATAGGCCATACGGAAGACCTTATTCAGGTCCGAGGAAGCACCGTCGCAGCCATTGGCCGGGTCGTAGAAATTCTTATCAAAGGGGCATCGGTCAAAAATGGTGATGTCTTTATAACCACCGCGGGCCAGCCAGAGCGCGGTGCTCAGGCCAAAAACACCCCCGCCGACGATGATTATCTTGGAGTGAGCCGTGACCATGTTGGTGAGGGTATGCGGATAATTGGTACGCTCGTAGGTACTGTTGCTGTACTGTTGGAATTGGAGATGTGCCTGACTCACTGCCAATCGATGGCTGAAGCTGGCCGTGGTATTTATCCTTCTTATCAGTGGTATACCTGATCAAATGAAGTGCATGACTGCAACTTACAAGACCCGAGGCTCCGTCGTATTCTTCCGAGCTACAAGATCAGATACCAATAGGCTCCGCTTGGAGGACCGGCCGGAAGCTGCATCTATCCCGAGGCTTGAAATGTTGGCGTAGCAGGTGGCTCAGTTTGATAAGAACAATGGGGTTCTCAATTGTTAACATAATTCTTCGTTTTTAGTCACGTTTTTGAGAAAAAGAAGCACGGTTGGATGCAACGGACTCTTGTGGGACGTCCACCATGGTATCTACAAACTGAGTCGGTGCGGATGTCTCCGAGATTTCCTTGCCTCCGATTGGACACTCGTATGCTTCCGCGGCATCACCGCTTTGGAGTATTCTTCCGACTATCTCCCCTTCCCCAGAACACGGGGAGCGCTCCCACGACACGGGATTCCATCGACAGGCATAATGTTGGACAAATATGTATATATACATCAACACAAGCCATGCCACTTACCCTTACTTGAATCACCATGATCTGGCATCCCTCAGCCTAGGCGCACCATCATTTCAAACGTAGCCGACAGCCTTCACGTTCGATCCGTTCAGAGGATCACCGCATCACGGCCATGGGCATCAAGAGCATCTTTCTTCGGTCCTCCTTTGCCAAGTACGGCAAGAGTATCAAGGAGACACCTCGCGGAGTCATTGCCAACAGCACCCTACTATGTAGTTCCTTACTCTATGCCCTAGGTGGCCTCCCGATGAGTGATTCTCTCCATTACTCCCCTGTTTCTTTTGCTGTCATCTGACATGGTTGGTCTTCCAGCATGGGAACAGGGCGCGTCGGCAGTCGTTCCCTCTCTGCCAGGCTTCCAAAAGCAGTTTGGTATCAAATCGGGCTCCAAAGCCAGCGAGATCCAGACATATGTTTCCATCATCTACATCGGATACGCTATCGGTGCGGCACTATCCTTCTTGGTCAACGACTACATCGGCCGCCGATGGGCATACCGCCTCTACTCGGGAGTCTTCATCGTCGGCCAGGTCGCTTCCTGCTTGTCCCCTAACATGAAGGGCCTTCTGGCATCACGGATTATATCGGGTATGGGCATTGGCTCGCTCAGCGTCGTCAGCCCGATGGCTCTTGTTGAGATCGCACCCAAGGAGATCCGTGGCCTTCTCACCTCTTGGTACACCGTTTTCATGGGGGTGGCGTTGACTGTTGCTAGCTTCTGTGTCTTGGGCATCTACAACAATATCCCAACAAGCAAGCTTCAGTACCAGATCCCCCCGATCGCCGCGTCCATCTTCGTCTTTATCTGCATACTCTCCAGCTTTTTCATCAGCGAGTCGCCCAGGTGGCTTATCCTCGTTGGCCGACGGGAGGATGCAATCGCAGCCCTCACCAAGCTCCGTCGTCTTCCCGCCAACCATCCCCGCATCATCGGAGAGCTCAACGACATCCAGTCGTCTGTCATCATGGCCGAGGGTGATGTCGAGGGCAAACCCAACTTCTTGTCTATCGTCAAGGAGACTTTCACTGTCGCCTCCAACCTGCGTCGCCTGCAGCAAGTGCTAGTATCATACGCTCTAGCACAGCTTTCCGGTGCCAATTCAGTTACGAGCTACTTTATTCCGATCATGGCCCTCCTGGGCAGCAGTGAGGATGTCGCCCACGATATGTTCCTCAGTGGGATGTACGGCTTCTCAAAGCTGGTCTTCAGCATCCTGGCTTCCTTCTTCTTCATCGATGTTCTTGGTCGACGACGATCGTTGTTCATCGGCATGACGATTCAGATGGTTTCGCACATCTACATTGGCGTCTTCATCAAGTCCTACCAGGAAGGCCCTGTGTCCACAGCTGCATCGGCTCTTGCCGTTGCGGCTATCTATATCCACGCGCTCGGGTACGCTATCGGTGAGTTTTGGAATTCTACCTCGTCTCTGCTAGACAGGAGAACCTGAATGACTAACCACTTGGGCCCAGGTCTCTTCATCCTGCCATACGTCTTCGGTGGTGAGCTGTGGCCTAACAGGATCCGATCCTTTGGTGGTGCTGTTGGGCAGACTTTCCACTGGCTGTTCATCTACGCAGTCAAATTTTCTCTCTCCGACCTTCTTGAAGTCACCGATAACTGGGGCGCGTTCCTTTTCTTTGCAGGATGGTGCTTCGTGGGCCTGATCTACGTGTATCTGATGGTTCCTGAGGTTGCCGGCCTTAGCGTCGAGGACATCGATAAAATCTTCAAGGGTCCGTGGTTCAACGCCTGAAAGACTATCAAAACCGCAACTCCGACTTCTTCGCCTGGCGAGGTCATCCAGGGCGTGCCGGAGCAGGACAATAAGGACCGTGGTAGGTAGGTATCGAGTGCCCATTCAGCCACAGCCTCGGTTGACAAGCTATTCTTGATGAAAGAACACACAAGCTGACTTGACGATAGCAAATCCATGGAGGCGCCAGTACATGACAAGGTCTGATTGTGTGGAAATGCATATTGTGATGGGTTTGGTCGTTCTGTCTTTCCTCAACTTTCGAATCTTTTGAGGACAGTTTGTGTGAGACCTGCCCATAGGCACCCCGTGCTACATGAGCCCATGCTTGCCATACAGCTAGATCCGCATCTGTAGGGTATAATACGATATAGCCGGAGAATACAAAGACAATGATGGAGAGAAAGGTCGCTGCAACGCAAGTGTGAACATCCGGGGAAACGCACTCAGCTTCGTCTAGAACAGCCTTCAATTCTAATTAGAACACCATGACGGCGATGTTTCATGCCCGTTCCCAAAGCGGGACAAGAACAGGTCACAGGTTCTTATCCGCATAGTAGCTAGTAGCTTCTATTACATAGACTTCTAGGTAATTGCGGTTTAGTAAAGCTCGGGCTTGGCATACAGGACCAACAACTTCCCCATTGAACGTCGCGGCGTCAGCTTGACATGGTTGGGATAAGCAAAGCTACTTTGAGTTTACTTGGATGCGAAGAGCGTGCCTGACAGGGCGGGGCAACAGCCCTGATCGTTCCATTGATCACCATCACGCACGGGAAACTGATGTTTGGGGAAGTCTATTACTCTACTGCTGTTGTTGATAGTTGTCTATGATTACATACATTGTGATAATGGGCCGAAGACTCCTTATGGAGTGACTTTCACTTTGGAAGAGAGTGAAAAATTGACGATGTGCTGCCAGCGTTTACCCGGTTGGATTGAAATGCGGGCGAGATGTCTCCTTGCGCGCGGAAGTGATCGCAAGGAGACAGGGTGACGATTACGATAGAGTGCTGACAAACATTAAGTTTATGGTTTCTTCTGAATCGTGCCTTCTAAGCCTTCTTGGTGACCTTGCTGGACGTCTTGATCCGAAGCTTCTTGCCAAAGACGAAGAGGAGCGGAATGCCAGTAGACACAGCCAGGAGTACAATCGACAAGTAGATAGTAAACGTCATGGGACCTGTGGAGATTCATGGTTAGCTACGGCTTCTCAGAAATGAAAGGTTTGGAATCTTACCTAGGGCCTGAAGCCAGGTAGTGACTTGCGTATTAAGAGGGAACGAAATGAAGACACGAAGAGTCGAAACGTTGACGAGTACTGGGCCGGCCCACTGGGGGTAACTCTCGATGACAAAGTTCTGCACGATAGGGGCAGTGATCAAGGTGGAAGTCATGAGGAAAAAGGTGCCGAGAAGCAAAATCGAGTAATGAAGGCCGTTTTGGTCGGCGTAGCCAAAGACGAGGGCACCCGTGATGGCAAAAACGATCGGTAGGATGAGGTTGGGAAGCTGATATTCGGGCTCTCGGCCACCTTTCTTCTTCGAGATCCATAGAGACACAGCATCGGCTACCGGACCGCCAATGATGAAGACGACGACGGTTGATAGGATCTGGGGGATTTGAGAGAGACCGGTGAGTTCGAAAGGGATTCTGTTGTTGCAAAACTCTGGTTAGCATCTTGTTGCGGCGTTGGGAGAAGAAAGAGAAACCGCTTACCCAGCAGCCAAAAGAGCAAACGAAGTGGCCTGCCCGGTGGCACCCATGACCATTCCGAAAGCAACCTGCAGGAGAGTGCACCACAAAACCGCGGGGAACATGGTCGTCTTGATGGTGTCGATGATCTGCATGCCAGCATCCTTCCAATGGGTGCCATACTGGAAGAAACCAATATCATCCCACCTCGTGCGCTCGCCGTAGGTGGCGTAGTCCAGCTGGGTTCTGTTTTCGCCCGGTGCGATGGGCCAAATCTCGTGTCCGGCCAGCTCTGCCTTGGATCTCTTGCGGATCGTCTCGGGAACGAAGAGAATGAGCATGACCCAGGTCAAAACACCGACGGCAGACGTGATCCAGTAGATCCAACGCCAGTTCCAGTTGACAGCAATGTACGGACCGAGGATACCGAAGAGGACGATCATTGGGCCCTAGTTGGATGTAATGTCAGCTCTCTCCTTGTACCAGACAGAAACGCACAACCATGTTGTAATCTCGATGGGAAACACACCTGACTGGCAATGATGGAAGCAACTGCCTTGTTTCGCTTGTGCAGGAACATCATGTCCTGAACGATTAGGGGTAGCAAGGCTTCGACAGCACCGGAACCAAGGCCATGGAAGACTCTCGCAGCGATGTGGCTGGTAAGCGACTGACTGTACCCCGCCCAGAAGCCACCAGCCCAGGAGAAAGCCGATGTCAGGACGAGGACAGGACGTCTTCCGATAGCTGCAGTAAGAGGAACAAGGAGGTAAGTTGCGATGCCGTTACTGAGCATGGGAATGGTCGCAAGTAGAGAAACAGATGCCAGAGAGACGGGCGTAACTCCTGGCGGAACGACACCGAGGGGGTCCGGGTTGCCCTTGAGATCGGCGTGCTTGAGGGTCGAGGCCGGGTCGACACCAGAGTACTCCAGAATGAAGACAGGCAGAAGACCAGCCACAGCAATCTCAGCAGCGAGAGAGACGGAGCCGACTTTGGATAGTTAGAAGGAGGAACTCGGCTCAGCTTCGTAAGAAATGGGTCTTACAGAAGCAGAGGGAAGCAACAGCTAGCCATTTTCGCCATTCAGGGAGGTTCAGAGGATCCTTGGGATCAGGAGTAGGAGTCTACAGGACCCAATCAGCCTCTTTTCTCAAGTTGATATAGCTCTCTCCGCACGACTCACAGGGATGAACCGAATGTTGCCGTCCTTGTCGTAGATCTCAGTGCTTCCGAGGACCTCCTCTTCATGAACAGCAGCGGCCTGCTTCTCGGCCGTGATTGTGTCAACGGAGTCGATTCTCGTCAGTTGGCGTTCGTCGTCCTGGAAAGATCGTTGAGGGTATGCGGGGGACCTCTCAGGCGGAAGCTGCGAGTGGCGGAAATCGACGACGCTGTACGGGATGAACATCTGGGAGCTGCGCTTGGCGTACTTGTCGATCCTGGACTCTCGCTTGCCGCCGTTCGCGTTGTCGAAGTCTCCAGGGCCAAGGTGCCCGTTCTTGTCGTCGCCCTCCATGATGGGAAAGGGGCTGAATTCGAAGTGATGGTTAAGACTGAAGGACACGACTGGCGTTCTTGACGTGCTTCGAACCGTATATTACAAGAAATGACAAACAAACAAGTAAACAAAGAAGCAGAAGAAACAAATACACAGGAAGCTGCGTAGAAAAGATCCGGTCCGGCCGGGTTGGGACTGGAATTCGATGAGGTTAGCTATCAACCCTGAACGTTCGCGATGGGAGTAGTCATGCCCGGAAACACAGTAAGAAAGGAAAGGGGCAACCAATTCAAGGAAGGAGAGTACCCGAACTTCACATCATATACCGGAACGACAAAGACAATCATCCCATATTTGCATACGTACCTTTTGAGAAAATTCTGTTTTGTAGCGTTATGTTCTAGAAAGTCCCTACATGATCATCTGAGCTTGTCGATATCAAACCACGGCATCCCTTATTATAACTAGATGGATCAACCGACAACTGAGGATTAATAATGTCAAATGATCGCCAAGAGATGAAATTTTACCCCGGCAAAACATCAGTCTCACCAGGTGAGTCCCGCAACATGAGATGGAATCGAAAGAAAACCGATTCTCGATCACAGACATCGTCCGGACAGCCATGCCATACAGAAGCTGTGGCCAACAAGCCCGCAAAACAAGGGCATCAGACAAATGACCTATGGCCTGTTTGCAAGTACCGGCCCTTTCCCAGCATCATCGAACAATCTTCATGGCTCCAAAAGACCATTTCCCCATATTCCAGAGACCATAGACGACAGGCTATCCTATGCAATCACTTGCGCGGCGGGTGGACGTGCAGGTAGAACATATTGGCGGTGAAACAGCAGTATCCAGAACGATCCGTCCCTTGTATCTAAAAATGTGTAAAGCCATAAAACGGCATAAGTGGATGGCAGCTCGATGCTGGCTTTGGCAGACAGACATGAGGCTCAAGAGGGTGTTGTGGAAGACGGGGGCCACATTTATGCGTCGTGACGTGCAACAGACATGGGATCAGTGCGACTGTGTGACTGCCACCTTGTCTGTACGATCTTCGACGGCGAACGCGCAAGCAGCCGCTGATGGGACGAGAAGACACGACGAGTGCGCGTGTGTGTCAGAATTCGTCTTCTTGTTTGGTATGCAATCTGATGATCTGACAGGATGATGGATTCACTCTCGAGAGCTCGTGGTTGCAGTAAACGTGGAGGCTTACTTACAATAGAACAAAAGACGTGGTTGACAGATAGAAATCGTCCGATTGGTTGCCCTCGCAAAGACCAACCGGAATTTCCGAATACCCTTGAACAAGTGTGAGACTGAAGTCTTGGATCAAGAGGTCGGGATTGTATCCACTGGGCTGATGTTTGTGACAATGTTTCTGTTTCGAATTGACACCCACTTCCCGCCTCGAGGTGGACGTTGTTTCTGCTTCATGATATCCCCCACTTCCCGCCTCTATAAGGTCGCAAATCGCGAATCGCGAACCGCGAAGTAACAAAGCATGACCAGCGTTGGAATTCTATTCTGTCGAGCTCAACTTCCATCACAAACTTGCACTTGATCATTCATGGAGTCATGCACAGGTTGGATTCTTGGCCTAGCCAATCCAGACATTGACATATGCGACTGATACTGCTGTTGCCCACTAGTGGATCTGTGCAGCAGCCGTTCCCAAAGCTCTCACATCTGATGGAGGATGGAGTTCGTCATCACTCGGTGGGCAAGACTGATGCCGTAGCAGACTCTTCAAGTTTTGGGCTTGGTGGTATTTTCGGCTCAAGCATGGCAGTGACAGCTAGGTATCCAGTCTCAATGTTCCAAGACTGGACCCATGGCTGCGTACCAAGTGGACTTTTCCATGATCAACGTGCCTTTGGTGACATTGGATGCGACCCGATCTCACTTGAGCCCGCTGAGTAATGTTGGATCAACGTGGCACTGGTGGTTGCATCCCCCGTTGTGACGTTGAAGGAAAGCATTTGCCCGGATGGATGATGGTGATGATCCGCCAAGCCGCAACAATGTATTTTGTGTTACGTCTATTAGACAGAGAATCCGAAATCAGTGAGAAAAACGAAGGAATAATATTCGTTGTCAGCCAACATTCAGTGGTGATGAACTTGGGCTTCTACAACTACTTGTGCCATGATCTAAACGACAGGACTCGTGGCTACCTTCGCCGAGATATCCTCCCTCTTTATTCCGCCCTTTTCACACATGCTCGTGAAGATGCCACGCCTATCAAACAACTCAAGTGGTGTGCCCAATTCAGCCACCGTACCCTTGTCCATAACGCAGATTCTGTCGTAGCCAATAATCGTCTTGAGTCTGTGGGCAATGCACAGCAGCGTCTTGCCCCTGAGTGACTCCATAGTCTCTTGAACTTTCTGGTCTGTAGCGAAGTCGACTGAGCTTGTAGCTTCATCGCAAACAATGATCTTGGCATTGCGTACGAGAGCTCGTGCCAGTGCAAGCAGTTGTCGTTGACCCAAGGAGAAGTTGAGACCTTCTTCTTCAACCACGGTCTGCAGACCCAAGCCAGATGTCTCAGAGGCGAGGTTTGCCTTTTGCAGTGCTGCCCATAGCTCGATATCCGAGTGCTCGTCAAAAGGATCCAGATTCGATCTGATGGTTCCCTTGAACAATGTCGGATCCTGAGGAATAATGGCCAAGCGTGACCGCAAATCCTGCAGGCCTATCGTGCTGATGTTGACACCATCAATGGTAATAGAACCGCCGCTAATTTCCACCAGACGGAATAATGTCGACATGATGGATGATTTGCCGGCACCTGTGCGACCGACAACTCCCATACGTTCGCCTCCTTTGATATGCAGGTGGATGTCTCTGAGTACTAGCGGCAAACCAGCCCGATAGCGCATCTGCACATGGTCGAAAACGATTTCGCCATGGCTGGGCCAGCTCTTGGGCATGCCCTCCCCTATCTGCAACGGTGCCTCTTCTTCCAGACCAGTGCCATAGTGATGAATGCGCTCCGTGTTGTTCATGTCGTTTTCAACTTCGGCCATCTGACGGACCGCGAACTGGAACTGGCCCATGATACCCAGCATGTACGACAAAACCAGGCCTCCGATACTGGGGTTGACGGTGAAACGAGAGGTGACGACCAGCATACCGAGCACGAAGATCGTGACCAGACCGATGGCGTCTAGGCGAAGAGAGAGCCAGCGTTGGTTCCCGAACGTGAGAAAGTACGCGCCGTCGAAATCATCGATCTGCTTCCGCAAAACCGTTGAGAAATGCTGCTGTAGTCCATACGCACGAATCGTCGTGGTACCATAAACGGCCTCGCTGAATTTGGCGAAAACATGCGAGCGTAGCAAAGACTCGTGGCGTTTGATTTCACGCGCCGAGCTACGGTAATAGCTAGCCGAGAAGAGAAAAATGCAAAGCAGGGGCACCAGAGCCGCGACGAAGTAGTAGTAATACGCCAGGATGAGCGCCATGGTGGAAAGCAGCATGCTGATAGTCAACAGATACATGCGCAGTGAGTCGGTGAGGGTGTTATCCATGACATCGATATCCTTGCTGAAGCGATTGGTGATGCGGCCCAACGGAGTCGTATCAAAGAAGGACATTGGTGCGCGAAGGACCTTGGTCATGGCGCGCTTGAGCATGACCTTGGATGCGCGTGTGCCAAAGATGGAAATCGAAATGGCAAACATGAACATCAAGATAGCTTGCGCTGCACCCAGTCCTGCGTATACACCGATGTAGGTGTCTTGAGTGACGCCAGAGAACTGACCCGCCGTCCACCAGGACAACCAAAGACTGGTCATGATATTGCAGCCTTGAGCGAGGACTAGGAAGCCGATGACCAAAGGAGCTACGAAGATGGAACCGCTGGCCTTGATGTAAGCGCCGTAGACGCTCCAGCTGACAGCTCCCGACGCGCTTTCCTCGGCTTGCATGAGGGCTGCAGTGCTCTTGTGCGTTTCAATCTTGACCAGCTTCTCGTCTTCGTTGATGGAATCTTCGTTGGCCGAGGTGATGGGACTGTTGGAATTCTTTGGCAACTCTTGTGACTTGTCGTCCACGGTTGTGAGTGTCATGAGCTTCCCGAAATCTTCGTTCTCGGCCATGAGCTCCTCGTAACTTCCTTGCGCCTTGATGTGGCCTTCGTCAAGCCAGATAATTCTGTCGGACCGGTTCAAAACGTGGAGTTGGTGGGTGGCCAAGATACGGCATTTATTTGACAGAAGGCCACAGATAGCCTTATCCATGATCTGCTTGCCAACATGTGTGTCGACTGCAGAAAGAGGATCATCCATCAGGACAATGTCAGCGTTGAAGTAGATAGCACGCGCAATGTTGATGCGTTGCTTTTGTCCACCGGAGACAGTAATACCGCGCTCGCCGATTTCCGTCTTGTCACCATCAGGAAGCATCTGGAAGTCGGTGCGGAGGGCGCAGGCATCAACCACTTTGTCGTACCACTCGCGGTCAAAGTCCCGTCCAAAGACGATATTGTCTCTCACACTGGCGTTCTGGATCCAAGCATACTGAGGGCAAAAGGCACGCGTAGCTCCAAAGGTGACACAGCCTCCCGTTTGACGCATGTCCCCAGCCAAAGCCGCCAGAAGAGACGTCTTTCCAGAGCCAACGCTGCCGATCACGGCGACCAATTCTGATCTGCCCACCGTCAGATCCAGGTTGGGAATATGAAATGGCTCGATCATGGTCATTGTGCTTGGCGTTCTGACTCCAGTTCCACGCCCATCGTCGTTGAGGTCGTCTCGCGCCTGTGCCAAAGTCTGCTCCCAAGTGAAAGTTGCATCTTCGACCACGATGGCGTTCACGTTGGTGTAGTCGTACTGGGCGTCATCCGTGGATTCTTCAGCCAGAAGAAAGTCTTGAATGCGCTTCACTGACGCAAGTGCATCGACCGCCTGACCAATGACCATGGGTAACATGTTGAGAGGCATCCGTAGGCCGTTGAAGAGAGCTAGCGAGCTGAAAATAGGAGCAGGGTTCAGAGAATGACTGCTCAGAGAGTACGTGATGAAGGAAAGCATTGAGGCGAAAACCGGCATGGACATGGCGACGGCCTGAATACCGTCGCGGATCGACATGAGAATTTGTATGGATTTGATCTCCTTCTTGCGAATCTCGTCAATGCGCCCGAGGAAACTTGTTTCCCACCCGAATAGTTTGACGAAACGCATCGCTTGTAAGACCTCTTGAGTAAGGCCTACACGAGCGTCTGTGATCTGGTTGATGGCAAAGCGGCGCTTAAAGAGAGCCTTGAACGCCAGGCCTAGCGCTGGAGAGCAGATGAACAGAAGACCCAGTCCTGGCAGGGCGCTGTAGGTCAGGTTGATCAACAGAAGCACCATGGTGATGACGATGTTGAGTGGAGAGCCCCAGAGAAGGTGGAAGAAACCGCTGGCTTGATCGATCCGATAGGTGTCCGTGGACATGAGGTTGACGATACGGCCATTGCTCCAGCCACCGTCCTCTTCAATCTTGCTGTCATTTTGCTTTGGTGATTTCTGCTTCTCGCGCCTCTTGAGCAGCTTCTCATACCACTTCCGCTCCTCTTCGCTGCCGGGCTCAACTGCGCTCGGGGGTAATGCCGCATCGTGTGAACCTCCAGCTTTGGCGCGTCCTGAGATCTTCATTGCTTTGTCGAAGATGACGGACATCAAAACAGCACGGGCTTCGCCGCCAACCGTCATGCCAAAGTACAGGAAATGATTGATGCTCAGCGTCATGATGACCTGAAGAAACGTAATGATGAGGACGAGGCCTACGCCATATGCTATGTTCGGTGGCGCCGAGCCATTCTGAGCTGCGTTGTAGGCTTGTGTGGCGAAGGCGATGAGGTATTTGAGAAGGAAAGGCGAGATGGTTGCCGCAATTGTGCTGCCGAGTTGGCAAATTGCACCGATGATGAATTCCTTCTTGAAAGTGCTGAACAGTGCTCGCAACAGCGGACGCGAGCTGCCATTGCTGATTTGATTTTGGAAGGCAGCCCGAAATTTGACTTCGAGGACCTCAGCGCTGCGCTCGGGGTTCACCTCCCAGATGTCGTTCTGCTCTAGTGGTCGTTGATAACCGATCTGCATGTTGTGTTAAGTGATTTTCATGTAGTGTTGCGCTTCTATGTCGACTTACATGCATTAGAGGGGTAACCCAGGTAAACAGCAGTCTGGATATGAAGCCAGCCTTGGCTTCTAAAGATGGTTGGCGCTTCTCTGGTACCAATGGTACATACTTCGTCTTGAGCGGGTTCAGACGCTGTGACCAGTTGCGTTGTCTTTTCCCGGGTTCTGGAAAATCAGAAGATGAATCTGTCGGAGGTTCTTGGGCCTCAACCTGACCGGCAGGTTGCTGCACAGAGCTGTAGGCAACGGCGCCAGCTTTCTCGCCTTCGCTGCTCTTGCCAAACAAAATCATGCCGCTGGACTACCGAATGGGTCATGCAAAAGCCAAGAAAAAGATCGGATATGTTTGCTGAACCGGCCTGCTCTGCAACTCCTCGAAGACGGCAACAGAGTTCGATGGGCACAGCGGGAATAGCAGCCAAGACATTAACAAAACATACCGTCAACTGGGACTTCACGGCCAAGATGAACTTAGACACAAGCTCATTGTTTCTCAGCACCCCGGTCGATGGAAGGAATCCGGTTGAATCGCAAAAGGCCCACGGATGGGACCAACTACTGTGACAGGGGAGCATGTCGATCAGTCCGTGTCTTTCGCAGCTTCATTGCGTGGTGTTACATGTTGCCGAAGTTGCATTCCGGTTGTCGCGATGACGCGTTTTGAGCAGTCCACTTTGGTGCCGGGTTGCTACCGTGGGGCCGATCGGTAACGAATACCCAAGCCCCTGGCCCAACATAGTTTCATAGTTATCGATCAGTTTGACAGGCTTGACTTTTGAAGCCAGTTGCTTCCGTTGTTCTGGAAGTAATGGATCCATCAAATGCCGAGTTTGAGCGATTGCTGGCCAACCTCAACTCAAGTGGATAGTAACATTCGTGCTGTCCAGAACCATGAGTTGCCCAAACTCAGCGGAGCAGACATGAATCACTGGTTGGAAAAAGATCCGGCAAGATGCAACAGAATTTGTGCTCCTGGAATGATTCGATGTTCCCAAGCAAGCAAAATGTCCTCGTGAAGTTCTTCCGGGGGAGTTGCGCCCCTCGGGTGTTTATTATGTGTTACCTTTCCTATGTCAGCGCTATTATTCAACGAGAGGGGTCGAAGTCTGCAGCAGTTCCATGGCAGCCTGGAAGCTTATTAAGAAACTTTTCTGAATATTGAATGTTAAATGTGTACTCGTTAGGTATAGCGAGATATCTATAACTAGATTATAAGGGTGGCTGCATTGTATTGCGCGGCGTATTGCATTTGTCCTCGTGAAGTTCTGGTCATGCGAAGGTCGCTCACTTGACAAAAGCCGACAGCTCGGGATCCGGTCCCGAGTAGCTACCGGCTCCGAGATCACCTTCCTTAATGGGAAGACGGGTGGCTGATATACCGGTTATCTTGTGGCAGCTATCTCCGAGAGTGGCGCAGGTAAGAGTCGCGCAAAGGTCAAAGCACGCGATACCACCCCGCATGCACGCGATATCGCGCTCCGAATAATCTATGACAAATCCAACTTCGACACCAACAACTCAAGACCTCAGCTTTGAGCCTCAACGCGGTCCAATACATCTTGTGCATCACCATCAGAACATTGGAAGTGTAGCGTTCTAGACATGGCAACGCAAGCGGATATCGAGAATCAGCGGCAACCGAGTGACGAGCGGACCCCGTTGCTCCGGACATCCGCCGACGATGAGGAGCCGAATCAGCAGTCGTCCCGGGACCGGCCCAACGGCGATAACGACCACGGAGAGAACCAAGACCCGGAGCAGGTTTACCTGATTGCGCCCAGCCCCGAGGAAGAGGAGAAACCCCAGCGTACGACCAGTTGGTGGCTATGGAGGGCCTTCTGGGCAATCCTTGCGATTGTTGTTTTGGCTGTGTTCATCAAGGGCTGGGTCGATGCTAAAGATACGAATGTGAGTTTATGGAGCTTTGTTCATCAGAAATTCTCATAAGGACCTCTGAGACTGACCATATTGTTTAGTTCGACCTCGGGAAAGCGCTCAAGAGGGCTCTTGGCGGCGGTCTCAGTGGCGCCGCTGCCATGGTTCTTCAAGTTTTGACGTTGATGGTGAGTGTTCTTCTCACATGAGAGGCATGGAGAACAGTTGAGGTATAATGATGCTGATATCTCAGCCCATTCGAACTATCATGAACTACCAATACCGCTTCGGTACTGGCTTCAGGACTGCTACCGCGACACTGTACAATGATGGAGGGATACGACGATACTACCAGGGAATTGGCGCCGCCCTCATCCAAGGTACGCGCTTAAAACAACACGGCCTTCATCTCCCCTAACCGTTAATCAGGCCCGGTCTCTCGCTTTGGCGACACGGCTGCTAACGCTGGCATCCTCGCTCTGCTTGAGTCGAACTCGTTCCTGAACCAGCTACCAACGCTCATCAAGACCATCTTTGCGTCTCTCTGGTAAGAGAAGTCTCAAACGGAACCAGGTATGAACTTGGGTCGCTAATTCAGTAATTTTCTTTGAAGCGCCGCCGGTTTCCGCATGATCCTGACGCCCATCGACACACTCAAGACCACGCTCCAAGCTCAAGGCGCCAAAGGTACCGCCATTCTTCGTCAGCGCGTCAAGACGCATGGCATTGGAAGTCTCTGGTGGGGAGCCTTTGCGACCGCTGCCGCCACCTTCGTCGGGCATTACCCCTGGTTCGGAACCGTGAGTTTACCTCAGCGGGAGCCATGAGAGACGATTTGCTTACAATGACATCAGTACAACTATCTCAGTGCGAACATCCCGGAGCCAGACAAGAACGATCTCTTCCTGTGGCTTCTGCGCCTTGCATTCATCGGATTCTGTGCTTCCGTAATCTCCGACAGCGTATCCAACTCTTTGAGAGTTGTTAAGACCTACCGCCAGGTTAACGACACGCAGGTGTCTTACAGTGAGTGCACAAATATCCCGATATTGTGATCGCGAACAGCTTGGTTAACGATGATATCTCTCTGTACAGCCAAAGCCGCAAAATTGGTTATCCAAAACGATGGTGTCATCGGATTGCTTGGCCGCGGCCTCAAGACCCGCATTCTGGCCAACGGACTGCAGGGTGTCATGTTCTCCATCTTGTGGAAGCTCTTCCTTGACCTGTGAGTTGCCCGCTTGTAGCTCCATTTAAAATGTGTACTAACCATGGTGACTTCCTCTAGTTGGGAGAAGAAGACAAGCTCCTAGGGATTTTACACTTAGTTGCCGTGCTATCTTGCTAGTGCTTCGCCGAAATCTCATCCAAGGAAGGCATCTCTCTCACCCGAGATGCCATGGACTCAGTGCCTTCAGTAAATGCTGTGTGCGTACGTACATAGATATGAACACCGACTCTGCGGTGTTCTCATGCGGCGTAATGTTTATAACAATTGATTCTGCTTGCGTAAGTGGTGTGTTTGCTGCGATAAGCATGTCTAAACTCTCGGGAGAACACGCTACTGCCCGTGTTATGATGACTGGTGTGCGAAAGGCTCTGCAAGCCAGCAGCCCAAATTCGATACTACTGAAGCCTCGGGCTGATCAGAATGAGTGAGCAATTGGTGGTCTTCATTCAATACACGGCAAGATTGCTACCCTATCTTGGTTCTCCGCATCGTCATGTGTACCAGGTAGGTTCAGGCAGCTCTCCCAGCAACTGATACCTCCCAAGCTCACGATTCTTGTACGCAACAGGGTCGTGCAGTGAGTGTGTTCTGATGTCCCTCCAAAATCTATCCAGGCCAACCTTGGCCGACGTCGCCTTGGCACCCGTAACCTCGAAAACACCGGAAGTCACTCTCAACCCTGTATCGGTAGCCGTCACTTTGACGCTTGCAACCCATTCGGCAGCTTCGCCTCTCTCTTGCGCAGTGAGTTTTGCACGAGCAGCAGGTTCACCGGAATGTCGATACACCTTGTCAATCTCCTCTCCTGCCTTGTCAGCCAGAGTGGTAGCGGCTCGGAGGTGTGCCAGGAAGTTTCCGTAAGTAGAGAGGATGTAGAACTCGTCCTCAGCCTTTTCCTTATTCTAAAAGAATGCCGAGATTAGCAATAATACACTTACGCAGCTGATTTGTGCCAACTCACATCTCCGCCGAACGGCCACGCCCGGGTGTTCTTTCTGGTGTATGCCGAGGCGAAGTCCAAAGCTCCCCAGGCAATACCGATGTAAAAGTTGCCGAACACAAGTTGGATTCTGCGAGGACATTAGTATTCATAAGCATGCCACATGTACATCTCCGCTTACGTGGGAAGTAGCAGAGAAGCGAACGGAATCTTAAGAATCCCAGGATCGGGCTTCTTCTCAGTTGCGTTCCATCCCAAAGCATCGGCCCAAGGAGCCTTCACGTTCTCGATCTTGACACTGCCAGATTCGCTGAGCTGCAAACCGACATTATCCCAGTTGTGAGAGAACACGATGCCGGGCTGTTCCGTCTTGACGATGGTGTAAAGATGATCCTCGGTACCTTCCAACACGCCCTCCAAGACGGTCAGATCTGAGATGACGCCGCCGGTGTTGAAATTCTTGAAGCCGTTGAACACCACGTTGTCTCCATCAGAAGTGATCTTGTGATCACTGTCGCGAGGGTTGACAGCGCCTCCGACAAAGTAATTGTTTGAGATAATCAGATCCTGGAAGCGGTCTGCCTGCTCAGAGCTTCCGATGACATTCGCCGTTGTTGACCACAATAGGTGATAGCCAAGAAGCAGCCCGATGGATCTGGAAGTAAGCATCAGTAGCCCGCCCTAGGTGAAGTTTTGATACCGTGTCGCTTACCCGTCACCTTTCGCAACTTCTCGAATGGCTTTGTACCCAACGCTCCACGGTTGTTCACCACCTCCATACTTCTTCCAACCGAGGATCTTCAAGAGTCCGGAATGTTTCAGTAGAGCAACCTCTGCGCGGGGTGATTTGTTCTCTCTCTCCCGCTGTGCTGCATCCTGTGCTAGAACAGAGGCGACGTCTTTGGCTCGCTGGACCCAACTTGTTTCGTCAGTCGGGAGTTGAGACCACTTCGCTTTGAACTCATCGTAGACGCTAGGGTCTGTGGATGGGACGGATCGGGCGTTGCTAGTCATGTTGGGGCGTATGTGGTCGGGCTTCAGGATGAACGAATATGCATGCCAAAACTAGCTGTAGAGAAGATATCTGAAGGAGAAAGATGGTATGTTGTGTGGTGGTCAGGCTCACGCGCTCTCTCCTTTAGATACGACGTCCTTATCCCTCAGTCGTGATGCCTTGGCTTCCAGCTACCCCTCAGCTCGCCAATCAACCTCCGATGAGCGTGGAGCACTCAGTCGGCAAAGACAGCCGTCATCGCCTTTGCGTAATGTCCCACATCAATGTTGCGATATGTCGCAATCCTAGCTGTACATGAGATGCCGGGATGCCCCCACACAATTCCGGACTAAACAACGCTGGCGAAAACGTGCTCTGCAAGGACAAAGTAACATTCCCCCAGGCTGTGTCTTCTGATAATTAGTTCCGAACGATTATCCCTCAGTGAAATCTGATACGGGGGCCATTTGCCGATCAGTAAATGGTGCATCATCTTCGCTTTCTCAGAGTGATGTTAGAACAATGCAACGTGATCTATTTAGCTTTGAAACTACGTATTACCGATTAATGTATCCAATACATGTGCTTGATCAAGGTTCTCATCCATGTTCGGGTTGTCTGGCACAAACCGCATCAATCAGATCGGGCACGCAAGTCACTCCGTCCCATGACAAGAATTGCCACCGCATCCATCTCCATATCTTGACAAAAGGTTTCAGGGCTCATTCGGCTTTCTTTCGAGTCTTGGGAAAGTATTGGGAAGTGTCTCCTAGAGGAAGTTCGACGACCGAATCTTTGAGGAGGAGATGGAACGTCAAGTACCTGTTCAGAAACCAGCGATTTAGTGACCATCATCAGAGAGTTCTGAGGGATCCTCACCATCCAACGAGACCAGCAAGAAATGCGAAGACTCCTCCCGATTTCTTGAGGCCGATTGAAGCCGTTGCGTGACCGTCTGCGGCAGCAAAGTAACTTGCTGCGACCGTGACAAACGCCAATTCCACGAACAAGAAGATCAAGATGTAAACTATGTTCGTGGGCAGAGATGCCACCAAGTATGCGAGTACAAAAACAGACCATACTGCAAAGAAAAAGTGTGTTAGTCCCAGTTATGGAAGTAGTGGAATTGAGGACTTGCTGATCATGAAGAGACCCAGAGCGTTGTTTAGCTGAGTCGTGTCGTCGCCATACGCAGCAGAGACTCCGAAGGAAGGGGTCAGAATTGCGCCATATCCGGCATAGAAAAGCCCTTTGATAAAACTCTTAGCAATCTGTTTCGTTAGAAGGATCAGATTGCATTGACCACGACTCACCGAAAGAGCTGAACACGCTGTACCCAAAGCCATTGCCTCCAGTCAACTCCCACTGAGCCGATATGAGCATGCCAATCGCTGCGAGAAAGAAGAAGTTTGCGATGTAGACATTGGTTGTTGTAACTCCTCTCCATTCCATCAAACTCAGAGAGAGAGTTGTTAGCGTCGTCGAGAAAGCCCCGATGGGCAATGATGTCTGGCAGCAATTGAATTAGTCCTTCGTATCCTGGTGACGGGAGAAGTTGACTTACTGCAGCATAGGGAAGTGGTCTCGGCGTTGGCAGCTTTGGAGCGTTCAGACTGACAATTTCCGATCTGTCTAGAGAAGTCTCGGGCTTGATAGTCTCGATAGCCTTCTCACTTGCCCCATTTTGGACGTTGACAGAGGAGTAGCTCGACATATTGAACTAGAGGAATCGAGAGGGAGATGCAACTGTGAAAAACTCGGAGATCGGAACGAACATAAGACAAAGACACTCGTAAGCAGAAAAAGAGACATACTTCAAAGAAAGTCAACAACACGCTTGCTGAAGGGAAAGAATTGAGTTTGTTTCTGTTCCAATGCCAATCCCTGTATGCTGCCACATCCCTGAATGACGCGAACGCGTCGTCGGCAGTTGGCTCGATATAAGGTTCGCAGATCTCAGAGCAATGTCACCTTGCGCGATGTTGCGGAGAAATGGGGTGTCGAGAACGTGGGGAAAGGACCAGTGTGGATTGGGATATGATACTTTCGTCATTCAATCGATAATGGTGCAATCCAAACGAAACCAGGAAATGTCTCCTTTTGCAATCAAGCGCCGTGTGATTTGCCGAAGGTGAAGTTTATCTATCTACTTTCCACGAACCTAGATCTTCGCGAGGTTGCATTATAGATCGCGTCATTGGTGCTATGATATCTTGGTTCCATTGGCCCTGGCCGACGAGGAATTCAAAGCGGTAGAACGGCAATTCAATATTGGGAGAGTCCTGGATACCGTGAAAGCAGCCCGTCATAATCGTCGGTCAAATGGGGGCCCATCTTCTGAGAGTACTCGCTGCCACAAGAGTCCCCCCTCAGGGAATCGTCTCAACCCATTTAAATCTTTGCGTGGTCCGGTGGGATGCTAACGCTTTTGTGCCATTATTTGCAAAACGGACTCTCTGTGGATATTGTCAATCGCAAAGCCGTTATTGGGCTTCGTTCTTGGACTTCCAAAGGTGCTCAACATGGCCCAACCTCATCCTCTCAACGCTGAACCAGACCGTTTACTCTTCGCGTAAGTGACACTTCTTGAGTCATTGTATCAATCATTCTAACGGATTCACGAAGTTACTGGGTTCCAAATGTTTCTGGAGGCTTAATCATCAGCAAGATTCCTCAGAGAACCAACTGGGACCTCGCAAGCAATATCAAATACGCCAAAGCTGCGGAAAAGGCCGGCATCGAATACGGCCTCACTCAGATTCGGTTCACTGCTTCATACGGTGCTGCCAACCAACATGAGTCGGTGTCCTTTTCTCAGGCTATTTTGCAGGGAACGGACACCATCAAGCTCATTGCTGCTATTCTCCCCGGACCTTGGAACCCTACAGTGGCTGCGAAGCAAATCGCCAGCATAGACCACTACAGCAATGGCCGTATTGCCGTCAACCTCGTCAGTGGTTGGTTCAAAGGAGAGTTCACAGCCATAGGTGAATGGTGGCTTGAGCATGCTGAGCGTTACCGCCGTACCAACGAGTTCATCCGCTGTCTCAAGGGTATTTGGACGGCTCCCGAAGACACCGGCTTCACGTTCGCTGGCGACTTCTACCGTTTCAGAGACTACAAGCTCAGTCCTAAGCCGCTACAGAAACCTCATCCGGAGATCTTCCAAGGTGGAAACAGCGATGACGCAAGGAACAACGGGGCCGAGGTCAGCGATTGGTATTTCATGAACGGGAATGATCTAGATGGCTTCCGTGCCCAGATCGCCGATGTCAAAGCACGTGCTGCCAAGGTCGGGCGGGAGAATGATGTTCGGTTTGCCGTCAACGGATTCGTCATCGTTCGCGAGACCGAGGAGGAGGCTGTCCGTGTGCTACAAGAGATTCAAGGTAAAGCGGATAAGGAGGCTGTCAACGCCTTTCGTGATGCTGTTCAGCAGGCCGGAGCTAGTACCTCCAACAAGACAGGCATGTGGGCTAACAGCAAGTTCGACGACTTGGTTCAGTACAACGATGGCTTCAAAACCAAGCTCATTGGGACCAAAGAGCAAGTGGCGGAAAGGCTGGTTTTGTTGAAGAGCCTGGGTATCAATCTCGTTCTCACTGCGTTCTTCCACTACGACGAAGAAATTGAACAGTTTGGACGAGATGTGGTTCCTCTCGTTAGGCAGTTTGAGAAAGAGGGCCGGGGGAAGGATGCGGACTATGAGATAGGGAGAACCGGTGATGTGTACAAGAAGAAGTAAACTGAAAACGTGGGAAATGAGACAAACCGCCAAATGCAGCTGAATACCGTTAAATGGAGACTGGGGGTGACTCCATTCGCCTCTATCACAGGGAATATGAACCTTACATCATCAACCAGATGAGTTGAGTTTTTAACAATATTGAATCTCATGATTTGTGAATAGTTCTATATGTTGTATGAAAGCTTACTTATACGTCACATTCTCACTTGTCTAAAGAAAGTTGATACTAATAAAGAATGATAAAATCTGCGTCCCATGAAAACCAGAGTTGAGCATTATTTCAAACCTTCAAATCGCTTCTGACTGCGTTGTAACCCTCCAATAATACTTGTGCTCGTTCTGGGCTGCGGACCTTGAATTGCATCGGGAACGGTAACGGCTCCAAGATGACGTTCGAGTTCGTAGCTTGTGTGTCAAAGGTGGCATCCTTGCCTGTGGCGGGACATCTCTTCAGGCCCATGTCAAATGCCCAACACACTGCCGCTCCCGCGACAAACATTTCGTCATCAACCAGATTTTGGCCGAGACATGTTCGACGCCCCCAACCAAAGGTGTGCATACCAACACCGTCTCTGAAGTTGGGATAGCGGCTGAGAGGTTCCTGGTAAGTTGGAAAACTTGGATCTAAATAGCGATCTGGTCGGTAGTGGTCAGGATCCGGATACTTTCCACGGACGCGGTTGATGTTCCTGATAGTCTGAGTTAACACGTCGCAAGTCTATCCAGCAGAAAGAAGAACTGACCATTCGCAAGCAAGAATGATGGTGCCCTTCTCTATCTTGACGCCTTGAAACTCGGAGTCCTTTTCACACTGATGAGGAACGCCTATCATCGGTCAGCTTTCTCATGCATATACCGCGCGAAGTCCACATTTCTTACCAAGAGGAACTCCAGACCTCCACCGAAGGGTCTCCTTCAAGCAAGCTCGTACAGTTGGCAACTCGGCAAAGTCGTCTCGAGTTGGCATTCTGTTGCCGCAGACCCTGTCAATCTCCTCTTGGCATTTCTTCAGCCACTTTGGGTGAAGTGCCATGCACATCAGAAAGAATTGCAATGGTCCTGAGATAGTGACAACGCCAACGAGGCACTGGAACCCAAGCATACACGCAGCAAAGTCCTCATCTTTGTCGCTCTGAACGAGGGTCTTGTTGCCACTCTGCTGCAGTTGCTCGAAGTAACGGTAAGTCCAGGTGTCGTTCGGCAACTCTCCACGGCGGTATCGTGCCTTGGCGAGACGGAACGATCGCAGCCACCATGCGCGCTGGTTCTTCTCTCGATTCACCTCAAACATACGCCATGGGTTGTAGCGTATGAGATCTGCGAGGTGCCAAAGTGGAGTCATCGTGTTGACGACAGGTCCTGACACTGACATACGTGTGAGTGTTTCAATAGCGCTATCTCCGTAGGCCTTCCCTAGAGAGGCATCATCCCAAGCAAGGCGGCTGATGATCCGGCCCGTTAGCTCACGAGTGTTTCCGTGAAACTTCTCAGGGTCCAGTAGGAGGGTGACAAGCCATCTCTTGACTTCATTCTCGATGTGGCCGTAAAAGTGGTGTTGATGGGCCGAAGCCATGGCGGCGTGAACCCATTTCCGTTGGTATTTCCAGGTGTCTGAGTCGAGATGATTCAGCTTCAATAACTCTTGCTAGTTCTTAGACCCACATGAGCAGCATATTGGACACTTACCATGACGGTCCATCAACGCCGAATAGGCAGGTCCAAGCTTATGGTCGATCAGGGCCCGTATCTGAGGTCTCCCAGCGAAACTGTTTCCGTTTTTGATAAGAAGCTCCTGCGCCATTTCCTCGTCGGAGATGATAATAAACTTCTGCCCAAGCATACTGGTCTGATAGATAGGGCCGAATTCGTCCGCCCATTCCTTGAGCTTGAGCCACATGGCAAATCTGGGCAGGTCATGAACACGGCCGACGATGGGGTATTGCTTGGGTCCAGGAAACTTAGCAAGCTTCTTGGATATCTTGCCATTGCCATGCCATGCCGAAAGGCGACGAAACGAGGAAATTAGAACACTAGGAACGACAATGATGCTGAGGTACAAAACAACGACAGTAAAAGTCTCCATCTTGACATTGTCCAAACTTCAATGAAGTATAAGTGAAATTTGCGAGGTTGAAAGAACTGCTTGAGGTTTGTGATGTCGCGAGTGGGGGATCTCATGGATGATAAGTAGCCCATTGGGATGATCTTCAACCGGGCTTGTCAGACTTCAACGAGTTGGATATACCCCAAAGGTAGTAGACATGGGTCCACGAAAATGTATTCCGAGGGAGGTCGTTGTATTCAGCCCCCATTGGCCAAGGCGATCTCGGAAGAGAATGCACACTTCGCATGCCTGCATGACCTCGATGCTAACGAGGTGTGGCAGCTACGTGTAAATCGTGATTGATACCGCCAAATGCACTCTCGACTATTCGTTGTTCACGCGATGGAGCGGTCCAGTAATTCTCTGTCTTCCACGGAGCAGGCCTCGAACGTAAGAGTCAGCCCAATGACAGATGTGCTGAGCGTTTCCACTTTAGTGCAGGATGGTGTCTCGCTCTGAAATCCTGACGAGAGACAAGCCTCGAACCATTGCCCAAAAGTGGCTGGCAGAAGCGGACAATTATGAACTGGGAGGTCTCTCGTCGACCTCTGTGGAGATATTTCAAAAGAGCCTTACATGTGGTCTAACCAAATCAGCATGGGTTGCTGTGTCTTAGAATCCTGGCGGAAGGATGGGTAGGGGTGGCAAGCAGACGAGCAAGTGTGTCCTTCAGGTTTAGCGACGATGTGAATATGCCTCTTACACCCTCTTTTGTCTGATGAGAGTGGTATTCTTCGAAGGAAGTTCATAAGGTCCCCCGCCTGTATCATTGTCACTGCTTACTACAAAACTCCTTCTATGTGGAGAGGGGGGCCTCCTTCTACCTATCATTAAACGCCGTTTTGATCGACACCTATGAAAATCCCTGTATCTGAAGCAATCTTTTCAGACACAAAAAGCTGAGAAGAGGGGTTGGTGAGGTGCATGTGCAGTCAGACATGGCGGCGAGAACATCGTATGACGTTCTGCCGTGAAGCCAGTTAGTACTTCATTCCTGACTGTAGGGAGATAAGACAGAGAGTGCATTATCATAATTGCGGTATTAGTAGGTCAAAGAAGCGCCGGGTATGGTGGTCGCATCGAATACGTCGCTGCCTGGACGTCCGAACCTGTGGAGTGGCTTAATGGCACATCCTAGTTCCTTGATTTCATCAGCTTATCTTGAAGCCTGTCAGATTCGATGTAACGTCGTGGGCTCATCCTATTGTAGGGTGTCTTCCGCTCTGCAGCGGACTTTGAGGCCACTGCGCTACCGTTTAGCTTCCGCCCGATCACGGAATGCTGGGAAAGAAGCTGGCCGGGCCATTCGGCAGGGAGAATCCGGAGTGGGCCATGGGGAAGTCCGGAGATGTGGGGCCGGAACCCGCGTGGTCGGGTGTAAGACAGGCGGGCAGTGAGACTCTGGATTGGTCAGACCTTTGGTGGCGCGCCTGCAGGTGAGGTCTCACCAAAACGCTGACAGTTTTGCGGCTGAAATGCATCCCTGTCCAGACAAACATCGCCTGCAAGGGCTGTGCCTCATTATCACTGTGCCTCATCCCGTCGGACGAAGGGTTATCAGGCAGACCACTGCGAACTCGCCAACGGTTCTGACAGTTACAATCACGTGCGACGGCGATCACGTCTCGGCCAATCATGCCTTCGATTGGTATTTCATCGTGTTCGCGCGCACGTAGCATGTCTACAGAATGTCCACACTTTTTCTGGTTCCAAGGAAACCATGCAGGAGAGCCTGCATTTTGTTTCTCCCGAACTGCACAGCAAGATAGAGGTGCATGTTATTATCGTAGCCCGCGTCATAAGAATGTCTGCGTGCGGGTTGACAGTCGTTCGAGTACGGTCTTCAAATTCTCGATGCCTAGGTTTTACTCGCCGTTGAAATCCGGCTCTTCTGACTGTTTCTTGCTGCAGTACCATCTGAGAGCTTTCCTTTTATTAAAACATTAATGTTGTTATCCAGGCTCAAGGATAAGCACTCACGCCCAGAACACCTTGGCTCATCGTCGACGCCGCAACGGCGAAAAGCAATGTATCAAGTTCTAGGGGGTTACTCTGATCGTCTTGAGATATGCCCAACTCCCGATCTCAACCGCGGTTTTCGTAAGGACGGCTCCAGTAGGCTATCGGAATAAGATGCAGGCTCTCGGGCCGTTAACCGATCGCGCGTTTGGAACTCGGGGTGGATGCTAAGAAATGGTTGTAGTTGAAATGGGTCTTATGAGCTCGTATCTCCGATTAATGTTGCAAACATGTCGATCAGTTGCCGCTAGACAACCACTGCCCCTCTGCAACACGCGACGTGGGCATAATCAATCTTATCAATCTAATCAATCAGAAGTAATCCTACACCGCATTCTCTCCACGAGTTTCTTGCAAATTTTGATGTACACCCACCCACCGACCCAGACACCATCTGGATGAAACCCAAATATTCTCTATTTCCGTGTGCCTCGTGAAGGCGTTACCGGCTGTTCACATTCGTTAAGTCTCGCCTATGGGGGGCTCCACGACCTGTGGCATTAAAGTCTTCAGCGTTAAGGTTGTGTTCATAACGCAGCTGTGGTTTGGATGAGAGCCACATGCACAACTTTACATGTAGCAGGCAATTGGACTATTCTTCTTTTCTGTTGCAAAATTTGTACGAGGCAACGAAGTGATTGTTTCAAGCTTCAGTGACCATCATGATGGGAAGTTTTCGACAATGGCGGGGCAATTACGAGTAGTGGCCCTCGTAAACCTGGCAACGCATCATTCTGCAGCAGAGTCTTCATCAAAACCTGCGGCTGATCGACATGCAATCCGAGGGCCGTTCCAGCGCCTCATTGTCACGAAGCGGGCCGCTCCTGTGGGTCATGCTGCTACTACCGACTGCCGCGACTGGGGACTATCCATCTTCTCATGGCTTGAAGTGGAATTCCAGCTCCAACACTTCGTAATGTGGGCAAGAAGAGGCCTTAGAATTCGAAGCTACGGAGTGAATGCCCAATCATAGTTCCGAACGGCGTAACATTCTGGACAAGATTTACTGCAAAGAGTGGACATAGCCCCGGCTCTGAACATCTTGGTCTCGGGAATCGAGGCTTTTCGGAGTCAAAAGAAGCGATCACAAAAGAATTCGTAAAATGCACATGGATCGGAAATTGCAGAGCTAACCCGGGATGATTGTCTAGTTCTCCGGTCTCGGGATCCGCTGTCACAAACAGGGCTCCGGCTGAGGGCATTTTCGCGAGAGATAAATACTTAGATAGGTTCTGAAAATGGCACCAATTTCAGGAGCAAGCCAAATTCGACCTTAATATCATTTGAATCATTCCTTCCACGTCCCTATTTTTGATCAAGTCATTTGACCTTCCCACAAGAAGTAAGCTTGCGAAGCTCCGTCATCATCATGGCCTCAAAGAAAGGCACTGTTTCCCGGCCGATGACCGATATCTTCACAAATGACACCGACATCGACCGGTCACGATTGACACGCCAAGTTCCTATGAAAATCTTGTGCTTGGGACTGGGAAGGACAGGAACAGCCTGTAAATATCACTTCCCTTTCACTTGTTAGTTAAAGTAAAATGCTGAAACACGCATGAACAGCACTCCGAGCAGCTTTGAAGCAGCTGGGATACGTGGACACATATCACATGCTGAACGCCAGCGCCGAGAACCCTCCAGACTGTTTGTTGTGGAGTGAGGCTCTCGCTGCCAAGTTCGATGGCGTGGGGGAGTTCGGGAAGGATAAGTGGGACGCGCTGCTCGGGCATTGCCAAGCGGTGTGCGACTGGCCCGCAGCGTCCTTCGCGGAGGAGCTGATCGATGCATACCCGGATGCCAAGGTTCTCCTCACCACCAGGGATGTGGACAAGTGGTACAACTCGGCCATCGACACTGTCAACTGGAGAGCAAATGACACCTTTCTGTGGGCCCTCTCCTTCGTTGACTGGGCTTCGTCCATGTACTACCCCATGCTCAACAAGTACTGGACCACCATATTCAAAGGTGACTTCGAGAAGAACGGAAAAGAAGTGTTCTTGGCTCACAACGAGCACATACGAAAGCTCGTGCCAGCCGATAATCTTCTTGAGTTCAGGATGAGCGACGGTTGGGAACCGCTTTGCAAGTTTCTGGGGTGCCCCGTTCCGAACACCCCGTTTCCTTATGTCAACGAAGGTGATTCATTCATAGGAAGGGTGAGGAGGAGAAACTATCTTCAGTTGTGTAATGTTCTCTTTCGATGGGGGATCTGGGGTACGGCGGGATGGGGCATGTTTTCTGTGGTGCAGACATGGAAATTATATCAGTATCTGATGTAGTATTTTTCAATATCTATATATAAGGCATCTTGAAATACAACAAAGCCGATTACTTAAATTCTGCAAATTACTAATTCTTGGAAACCCTCTCGACCTGGTGGCATATTTGAGTTGCTAGAATAGAAGCCAGCAAGTTTTCAAACCATTTTTCACAAAAGAAGTGAGGATTTTACTGTTTCTATTGGTGAAACCACGTGAAAAGCTTGATAACATAATTCTTTTCAGCTCCTACAGTAGGAGAATCTCTATGTCCTATTAGCAGGACTTAAGAAATCTTGATTAAGATCCTGCTGCAATTCAGTGTGAAATACGCACGTAAAGACTATATGCAGTTGATCACCATCTAATTTAATCATGCCAATCAATACTCATTTGTCATTTCCTTGATTCTGTCTACTTCCCCTCTGGCTGTACTTTGTTGCGTGTGAATTGGCGTGTGTTTTGTGCCGGGTACAGGTGTGCCAAGGAAAGTTCGTTCATGGGCGGCTGGGTATTTGAACGGGGTAAATGCTCAAGTCGACATTGAAGCGAACGTACTGTTCCATATAGATATCTTTGCAATTTGAGCCGTGGCATAGAATTTCTCATCCAATGGAACGATGCGAGACTACATTTATTCACTTACCTAAGGGCACAGTTCGAGGGGAAAAACAACTTGGTGCATTGGGCTGAAGGCAACACGCGCAACTTGCATGCAGTCAAATTAGTGCGAGCCAACAGCACCCTTATCGAGCTACACATGTGACCACATCTACATCACCAACTCCTCCAAGACTGCAATGAGCCGCGCAATACAGTGCAGGAGCCCTTATTTTGGTTTTGATTTATTCAGCATGTCGCTAGGTATAGCGAGGACACATTTAATGTTCATTTTTCGACAAATCCATTGATAAGCCTCACCACATCATGCAAACGCATTGTACTGATTGACCTCCTATTGGTTTCAACCGTTAACTTTTACATATCACAAACACACAGCGCATTTATCATGATACCTTCAGCGATCCCATGTCACGTGATAACTAGGTCGTCTTCTTTTGCGGAATAACACCCGCTCCGGCGAAGTCAATTATGTGGCACCGCCTAAACAGAATCTCTTCCATTTTGACTTTGCCAACTTCAACACTGGGCACCACAATGGCTACATGCTGCTCTACCGATCCACTTGGCGAACTCAATTCCGATGTCGAGGCACTTTCAGTCAAAGAGTCTGATCAACTCAAACTGAGCCCTGAGATCTGGCTCGACATCATCGAGTATGCCAGCAGGGTGCGCAAGAGCGAACTCGACGAGTCCAAAGGCCAGTCTTCCGGGAGCTCGAAGGCCCGCGGAAAGTCTCATGGCCAGTCCCTAGGCACTACAAACAAAGGCACACGGGATTTAAACGTACTCAAAGCCTTACGCCTTACGAGCAAGACGTTGTGCGACCTCAGCTCACCGCTGCTATTCAATACTGTCTCCGTCGGTCTCAGTACTGAGTCTCTTGCGCGTCTGGAGACTATGTCCCGCAACCCCAGCATTGCGACATCGGTACGTTGCGTTCGCGTAAATCTCGCTTTCTACGCCGAAGACCTTGCCCAATCGTGGGAAGCATTCAGGGCATATCGAGCAGAGATGCTCGGCGCAATAGAAGAAAGGTTTCGTATTCTTCTCGACGAACTGAGAGACGACGTTGCCTGCTCCAGTCAGTTAAAAAACCATGTCAGAAGGCTGGGGGCTTCGGCGGCAGCTCACAAAATCTACGATTTCTCTGCGAGCCAAGTTAGAAAGGCACGATGGAAGCAAATGCTGGCTGCTCTGCACAAGTTGGAAAGGTCTGAGACTGAGAATGTTCTGAAACCAGCGTGGTACGAATACAAGAAGCGGTGGTAGTCACAAAGGCAGGTGACTGAGAGTAACGACCATAGCGACTTCGCTCGAAAAGTCGCACAATGCGTGGCTAAAATGCCTAAAGTGGCCAGTCTCGAAATCTCTGATCTGGACATTGATCTGGACTGGGATCACCATGAAGATAAGGCGAATAGCCTGAGTCAGCATGCAACTGCACCCATGCGCTGGGAGAAGTACGACATGACCAAAAACTGCAAGGCCGACGAGGTCCCCATCGCGATTCTGCTCGAGCTTCCCTTAGAGCTTGCCAAGTCTGGCCTTGCTCTGACGAAGCTGTCTATTTCTGTGTCAGCTTCCCAACACCAGGATTGGGACAAGTTGAACCTCAGCAGCGAAATGACGACGGAGCTTGCGAATCTTGCGGGAGATTTGAAGCAACTGGAAATCATGTGGTGGTCTCCTAATCCCGACATCGAATGTCTCGGACACCCGAGTGATGTCGCGACATACAACAAGCAGACAAAGGTTGTGGGTACTTTCATAAGTCAAATCCTGTCTTTGTCACCAAGTCTCGAGAAACTTCGCCTGTGTGCGACGGCGTTCGACTTCTCTGGGTGGCGGCACTGGGAGGATAGGGACGAAGACTACGTCGTACACAAACCTTCTCCGCTTGCTTCATGCATCGGCATTCCGCTTCTGACGCAACTGAAGCGATTGGAGTTGGACCACTTCAACACAAATGTCGAGCCCCTGGCAAACTTGATTGGCAGCCGTCCGTTTCCAATTACGGTGCGGCTCGACAATATCACGATACTCAAGCCTGACAACTTACACGCGGCGTTGAACATGCTCCGCTCGAAGGCAGATCCGAATCAGCAGCAGCTTGGCAATAGCCCAACGTCTCCCGTTTATGTGGAGAGCCTTTTTGCAGTGCGGGATCTCGAATATTTGTTCCGCAGAAAGGAGCGAGACCTGAATACAGGCAATTCGCGATGGATTGAAGATTACGAGAAGTCGCCAGCTAGCCCGGCAATTAAGTACGTTCGCTGGCAACTGGATCGAAACCCGGTGAGGAACAGCCGATCAATGTCTTACACAGGTTACAGGATGTTTAGCGATGTTCACGATCTTGTTCTTGACATGTACTAGAGAAACACAAGACAAATTGGTGGAAATAAAAGTGCTTAGACATGAGAATGCATCAGCAACGAACGCGCCAAATGAGTGAAAAGTATTCGTAGTCAACGGACTTAAGCATCTAAGTCGGGTCAAGAATGACTGCGCTTTTGAATTTCAATGCAGTCCACCTTTTGCATGGCTTCGGTAGCATAAAGTAAGATTTCGAATGGACCCAGTAGCAAACGTACATGTATGACAGCTGCTTGCGTGATGACTATAATTCAACATGAATTCGATAGCTTAACACCTCCACTTAGACAAACAATAGTGCGAACCGAATGTTTAGCATTGCAAATAGTTGTATAAACGGATCAATTATGCAGCATCCCACTCCATGTGGCCGTGCTCAGTGTCAATCTTTAATAGGCAAGCCGTTAAGAATCTTGCCCAACAGGTTTGTAGGCAAAGCTGTGCCATCCTTAGGCCCGCCATATCCAATGCCGCTGCTAGTACAGCCCGGCACGAGAGCACAAACAGTCGTTCCAAGCCCCTCCCTCATGAAGTTACCACCAACAAGTACCAGTCCGCCCTTTCTCACATACTCTGTGAGATTGAACGGCGCCCTTGCAACATCCTCGACCAGGTTCAATGGAGGCGGCACATAGTTTGGCGGCTGGCGGTAAAGTAAAGATACATAACGGTGGCTCGCGACCGAGAGCGGCGTGAGAGGCATATACCTCGCTTGTGTAACAGGTGTCTGCGCCGCCACGCATGACGGCTGCAAATCGTAGACGATATGGTGGAGAAATTGTCTTAGAATGGGAAGACTGGGTCCCGGAGCGTCTGGATCGACCTGGATGTATGTGTATTTTGTTGTCGTAGGGTCATAGCCAAGTTCAAGTTCGAACGAGATCATAGGCTCTTGAAGGGTTTCTGTATTTCGTATTAGTAGTTTTTCGGGACAAAGCTACTTGGAGTTGAGCTTAGCTGACGAACGTTGAACTGAAAAGTTGTTTCCGAGATTCTCTGGAAAATTCCCGTATTTGACTTGAAGCTCCGTCGTAGGATTTATGTTGGCAACGGAGTCTGGAATGATGCCGGAAGACTGGAAAGCAGCCTTCACCTGTGCTGCACGTGTGGCTGAGAAAGTAGACAGAGAGCACACTGGCCGTAGAATGCTGAGAGGCGATGCCCACGAAGACGTCGCAAGAAGAAGGTAGATCGTCTGCTGAAGCTTCATGTTGGCGGCTGAGACCTGGAAGTTTGGTTTCCGACAAGTAATCCCCAGACTATGAAGACACTTGCGTATGTTCTCAAGCGACTTATCCAATAGAGAGTGGAAGATCAACGCTCTATAAATTTGTTTCCCAAACAATGTTCTGAAAACTGGTTGCCGCCATGTCGTCAGCAATACGCCATTGCAAAACCGACATCCGGGTCTCGAACAAGCCATGTGTTCAGCCAAGACAACTAGGTATCAATTGGCTTCCCACCAAGACCAAACCATATGTCATTGAATTAAGCCAAAACTGATGAAAAGATATTAGCGCGATCGGTCTTCTCGGGTTTGAAAAGTCTGGATTGCTTGTACTACTGCTCAAAACGTTAGTGCAGCGCCACGTTTGTCTTTAGACAGGCTAAGTTGCTCCGAATGAATGTGTTACCGTTACCGTAAATGTACGCTTTATCCTTTATGGCTAGCATCTCAGTCCAGAAAAGACTGTCTACCCAGCGGTGACTGAATCTGAATGCAGACATTTCTCAGTTAACTGGAAGTCCTGTAGGTGGTAAGAGCAAGGGATAGATTCGACCTGAAAGACAGTTGATTGATCGAAAACCGTATCTGGGGAGACTAAAATTTCAGATTTCGAAAGTTCTTGTTGAATCACGTACACGAGTATACTCAACCAACAGATGCAGTGAGAGCCGCTCGTCGTCATGAACTCCGCGGGACACTAAAGACGGCTTCCGGCGCCGCTCCCGAAGCCGTGCCGCTTCCGCGGTCCACCTACCGCACGGTGCTCCGCGGCACGGGATCCCTTGTCAATAAACTCTTCCTTAGAGGTGACATGACTTCGGCCAAATCCGAAGTGCTCTAGAAGTGCTCATGCATACGCTGGAATGGGCCCGTTGATGGCTCGTCTGCATAAAGCATACACGAGCAACAGAGAGTCATTTGTTGAACAGTGTGCAAGTTTGGAAGCCAAGAACCAAATTCAATCCATTTCAACCCCAACAACCCGTCACTCCAGGGAAGAATGTCAACTTACACCGACGTCGTCATCTGCGGCAGCGGATCTGCCGGTATCTGCGCAGCGCTGTGGCTGGCGAAGGCGGGGATCTCGTTTAAGATGTTAGAGAAGAAGTCCGGCCCTCTCCAAGTCGGCCAGGCCGACGGAGTACAGTGTCGAACGGTTGAGGTGTTCGAAAGTTTTGGAATCGCTGAACCTCTATTGAAAGAGGCCTATCATGTCATTGAGTTGGCATTCTGGTCTTCAGACGGCGCAAACGGGACACTCCGGAGGACAGACCGAGCCCCTGATACACCCAAGGGACTTTCACATCAGCCACACGTGATACTGAATCAAGCTCGCGTCAACGAAATTCTGTTGGAGGAGATGTTTCGTCGTAATCCCCACCAGAGCATCAACTATGGTCACGCCGTGCGGAACGTGGAAATCGTCGAAGATGGTCATTCGGAAAAGTTCCCCATGCGGATAACAACCGATCATGAAGGTAGTGAGCAGACTTTTAGAGCCAAATATGTTATTGTGAGTGTTCAACATGATATCATGCCGCGAGAGTGAACTCATAATGCTGAACATCTAGCAGGGAGCCGACGGCGCTCATAGCACTGTACGTCGATGTCTCGGCTTCAAAATGATTGGCGACTCGAGCGACGTCGTCTGGGGGGTCATGGACATCTACCCCGATACGGACTTTCCCGATATCCGCAGAAAGTGCACCATCCGTTCCAAATATGGAGTCCTGATCATTATACCTCGTGAAGGTGGCACTCTGGTTCGATTTTACCTACAAATGCCCCATGGTACCATTGCTCAAAATGTTACACTGGTAGCTTTGCACCGACATGCTAAGACAGTGTTGGAAGGGTTTCAACTCGATTTCAAAGACACGTTTTGGTGGTCAGCTTACTCCATCGGCCAGAGAGTGGCGGACCAGTTTTCACTGCAGGACCGGGTCTTTCTCGCCGGAGACGCTTGTCACACGCATTCTCCCAAGGCGGGACAGGGCATGAACACCAGCTTACAAGATGGCTACAATCTTGGTTGGAAGCTGGCTCAAGTCTTGAAAGGGCAGATCAAGCCTGCTGTACTTCAAACATACGTTCTCGAACGTGGCAAAGTTGCAGCTGACCTTATTGAGTTCGATCGCCAGCTCAACTCCAGACTTCACAACGATAGATCCACCGGTGTCAACATGAGCGGCTCTTCTCCGGCAAAAGAAGACGAATATTGGGCTCACGGGGAGTTCCAGAGGTACTTTGTGAAGAGTGCAATATACATGGCAGGCCTTTCCCTTAGCTACGGAAAGTCTCCGATCACAGCACACAATAGTACAACCTCAAGCCTTGCAAGAGGAGTGCAGGTTGGCATGCGAATGCCAAGTGCACAGGTTGTGAGATACTGCGATGCCAGAGCCATGCAGCTAGCAACAGCACTGAAGGCGGACTTGCGGTGGAGAATTCTGGTATTTGCAGGTGATCTCACTCAGGAAAGGACGACAATGAAACTGAAGCGAGTGAGTTCAAAGTTGAATACATACTGGATAACGCCTAGCTGACGCCAGTGTGTCGAAGCTCGAACGATTCCTCAATTCTGATGGAAGTCCGCTCTCGCGCTTCACCAAAAAGCATGACAATCCCGACAGCTTCATAGAGCTGATTTTGGTGGCGAGCGGTCAGCGAGTCGAAGTTGAGATGGATTGCATTCCACTAGTATTTCGCCCAGTGACGGGGCAATGGTCTGTTAGAGGTCAGTGTCCAACTTGAGCCGTCCTCAGATTTCTCGCTCACAAAATCATTGTACAAATGCTAATTCTGCTCCTCTGCTAGAGAACCACAACATCTATTTTGATGACGTGAGCTACAATCACGGCCACGGTCATGCGTACGACAAGTTCGGCATCGACAAAGGAGAAGGTGCTACTCTTATTCTCAGACCGGATCAACGTAAGTGGAGGTTTTCCGTGCAAAGGACTGGCTGTTTAGTAATGTTCAACAGATGTGTCCTGCATCACCAACCTGGAAGATTACTCTCGGATCGAGTCATTTTTCAACGGATTTGCCATGCCAGTCTCTGGAAAATAGCATCATGTCTAGGCTACTGGATATCATTGTTGAGAGAGAGAAAACGAAAGCGTGTTTGAGTGGTTATCTTAATTGTACAAAGACAAAATGGGAAACCATTCATACACCAGAAACTCCGAGTCGGCTTTTCCACTGAGTATCATGGATATTACTCGCGATTATTGCCATTATTACAAGGCAGCAGGTTTGGAGTGTATTCAGTCAATGTTTGAAGCCTTCGTACACATCCCAAACTTCTTTGTTATTTTACAGAATTGTGCCATCGTAAGCGGGCCAAACTGTCGGCGGGAGACCCATCCCAGAGAAGTCGTAAGAAGCGATCATGGACTCCAAATGCTCAAAATCAAAATCATCCCCCAGATTAATCATCTGGTTCCCACTAGCACCTTGCTCCAATAGCTGAGTTCTGTTCGCCTGTGCAATTGAGATGTCTTCCACTTCCCCGTCGACAACAAAGCCAGCTTCTCTGTGCCCTGTATCTGCAGGGTCATCGGCATCAGGCACAGGCTTCGGTTTCGACAGCATGGCCACATAGCGTGAAGCAAGAATACTACTAGAACTAGCAGACCGCAAGAAGTTCATACCCCAACCTATAAACGCTCTATCCTCGCTGGAAGACACAAGGTCTCGTGCTGTAGGTTCCATCGTCTGAACTGCGAGTAGAACTGCTAACGAGGTGAAAACGTCTAGCAACATTCTTGTTAGTATGTGTATGGCATGCCACTCGCCCATCCCGAATGGCTTTAAAGGTATGGAAGCTTACAATGTAAGTTATACCATAGGGAATTGAGCAGATATCGGCTGTAGTTGAGGTGAATAAGTTGGATGGTCTCCCTTGCGATGGATGTACAGAGTTTCGAAGAGGATAGAGCCACATGTTTGAGAAAATCGTCATCCATCTTGCTTTTCCTGAAGAGAAGAAAACATGGTCGGTGAAGCAGGAGGCGCATTTGAAGATATCTGATGCGCATAACGAGCCGTTGGCGCTGAATATCTATGCCATCAGGTAGCTCTGATTCCTCTCTCAAATACGATGGTAAAGAATTCCACCAAGCTTGCAGTTGGCCATCAATGATGACAACGTATCCCAATTTTGCCGAATCCTTAGGTGTCTGGGACCAGCAGAAGCTCTGTTTCAGCTCTCGTTGTAGCTTATTGCCCGAGTCGTACATCTTGTTGAGAATATTGTCAATGATCTCTGAAAGTTTGATGGTTTGGATGAAGAAGGAAAGACGAGACGGGCGCCTTCCCGGTTGGCGCGGGACAAGACTTGCGCCGATATACTGATCATCCACATCCAAGGGCAAGTCAACATCCCTGGCGTCATCGAACGGTATTGAAGGCGGGCGGCCGAACTTCATGCTGAGGGTTCGGTCCAGAACGATGCAGCCCCACCAAACCCGTTTTCGTTCCTGTTCCTGTACGACTGAGAACGACCTGCCCTCAGCTGAGTTACGGTGAAGACCGATACTGAGAGCGCTTCTGGTCATCAACCCTACAAGGTTCCAACATTCGTCTAGTTGAAGCGTTCCCTGCAGATAATGACATAGGAGAAGGAGCGCTTGGACGAGTCGAAGATCCGTTGCTTTGAATATGTGGGATAGGATAATACTTTTCGCACGACCCACGAATGGAGCGGCCAGCGCGCCGAAATCTTCCTCGGGCTGGGCGTAGAACTCGTAGCCGTAAGCCAAAACAAGATTCATAGTCGCTAGCCAGGCAATGTCGTTCGGCTCGAATGAGCTTTCGTCTGCCAACCACAACTGTTCGTACTGATGTCTGAAACTGCCTTCATGCACGAATGGGTAGAACGTGTGGACGCGCTCGAAGTATGCATCCACCAACTGGTTAGCGATCTCTTGAGATGGAAAATCGTCCTTTTCCCAGTGTTTCAACGGCTCGTCATCTTCTTCAAGGGTTGAAAGTGCCTAAGAGATGTGATGATCAGCAACAAGCTCAAATACACCATAGCACAGAGCGCGCTCAGAGATCTTTACCTCTGTTATAGCGGTCTGCTCAGTCGGTCCGTTGTCCAAGTGGGAGATCTTGGAAACAAATTCGAACGATGAAGAGTCTCCAAAATATCTATTTTGAGGCGACTTCGTCTGTTGCGACACACTAGGTGCCTTCTCACTGCCAGCCCGACGACCACTTCCGCTGGAGATAGATGTCCGAAGGCGCTCCTCGGTTGGGCTTCGGTGAGGCCCAGTACGGGGAGTCCATGTGCGATGAGCGTTGTCTCTACTCTCTGCGGCGACTGGACGCTTATGTCTCAAGCGATATTCACTTGGGCTGCCATCAATAGCTTGGCATTCCAAATCCGCCAATACTTCGGCGTTGGCCGTTTCAATTTGCCTGCATTCTCAGTGAGCAAAAGTCCCCGCAAGAGACTAAACATCCCCTTACGTCGCTTCAGTGTCATTGTAATACTGACACTGAATTCCTCTGCTACTGCAACCCAAACATGTTGGCTTGCCGCCGTCACAGCGGTGCTTCTTCTTGCGACAGTACACGCAAGCTCTCCGGAACCCCAGTCGCCTCTTGCTGGGTCTTTCGTCAGTATCCGACATGATGGTGGGTGTCTGGCCAATAGACATGAAAACCATCTTTGCCGCGGATCGAGGTCTCCGCTGCCGTTTTGTGCGTTGGGAACGGAAATGCATTACGCCTTAAAGTCCGTCTAGCCAAGCAATCGGCCGGCAGTTGGAGTTCAAATGCCGAAATTGCGGGGATTGAACTCTGAGGTCCGCGGATCAATCCGCGGTGACATGGATGTGCATTCGCGATACCGAGACTCTGAGGTGGCTGCATTGTATTGCATATAATATTGCATTGCATGGATGTGCATTCTTACCTCTTCTAGATTGGATTCGTTCCGTCCTCGCGCCGCGAACAACATGCGTACACGCTGTTTCGGCGACTGTATTATTCAAATACGCTTTGCCGTCATTTGATCGACATCAGATTCGCAACAGTGTCAACTGATTGACGCAAAGATAACCTAGCCAACATGGTGCTCAAACTTTCTTTCTCGTGCTGGGATTACGACCGCATGAAACCACTCGAAGATGGACGAGTTCGTCCAGATGGTATTGAGCTGAACTTTCTGAATCATCGTGTTGAGGAAACGTATGTACACCGGGACCTTTTTTGCTCGAACGTATGGTCTCAACTCATGCTGTACAGGTTCTTCAGGCAGCTTCGTTTTCACGAATTCGATGTCTCGGAACTGTCACTCTCATCCTATGTTCTCACTCTCAACCAGGAGAATGCCCCATTCATTGCTTTGCCTGTCTTCCCATCCCGTTACTTCAGGCACCAATCTATGTACGTGAACACGAACTCGGGCATTAAACAGCCCTCAGACCTCCGGCATAAGCGAATTGGTACACCAGAATATCAAAGTAGGTGTTTCATTTTTGTTTCTGGGCTTCAATTACGAAATCTGACTTGGAAACAGTGACTGCCGGAGTGTGGCAGCGTGGCATCATGGAAGAACACTTTGAAGTACCAATCACCGAAGTGGAGTTCTTCAGCGGCGCAATCGAGCCTTCTGACGAGGAGCGAAAGAGCAAGATCCCGCATTCCCTGCCTCCTGGTGTGCGAGTCAATCATATCAGGCCCGGCCAAAATCTTTCCCAGATGCTCGAGGATGGAGAACTCGATGCAATTTTCAGCGCCTCAAAACCATCCAGCGTCGGGCGCAGTGCGCACTGCACATACTTGTTCCCGGACTTCAAAAGCGTTGAGGCCGAGTACTACGAGAAGACGAAAATATTCCCTATCATGCACGTGGTTGCCATCAAACGGGACGTCTACGAAGCCAACCCCTGGGTCGCACGTTCTCTCCAAAAGGCATTTGCACAATCACTGAAGTTGGCCAAAGAGGACTTAGAAGATCGCTCATCTTTGCACAATATGCTTCCATGGCTGGAGGATCATGTGCGTGAGACCAAGAAGGTTATGGGAGAGGATTGGTGGAAGGATGGGTTTGCTGAGAATAGGCACATTATCGACAAATTCCTCGATTATTCTTATGCTCAAGGGCTAGCGAAGAGAAAGTTCAAACCCGAGGAGCTGTTTGCACCAAATACGCTAGAGGCCTTCGTCTTGTAAATCACAAGCTTGAAGCTCAGCGTAGGAAGATTGAGACTATATCTACTTTACGTAAAAACAAGTATAACTGTCGGATCAATGAATTCATCTAAAGCACCGTTATTTCACTTCCAACATGCGTTTGGAAATATTTGCGGTCAGTAAAAACGGATGGTCAAGAAAGGTCAAATGCGCTGCTGATGTATATACGATGCGCACAGTGGTATTGAGACCAGCTTAATGAAGCCTGTCAGTTACGCTTCCACGCTTCTAGTTATTGAGATCTCGTATTGGCTAGAGTACCCTTGTTTTATGGCTTATGTGTGGCTTTGCTACCCGTCGTACGAGTCTACGTCGAAACCTCAAATCCAGCAGTGATATTGGGACCGAATTACATGCTTGCCTCGGTTTTTGTATGATCTACTTGAGAGTCCTTTCCTAACTCTAGTATGATCGTCGACTGGAGGACGAGCTGTCGAGGTGTGAAGAAGGAACAACATTAAAATCTATGGGTATTCACTGTTGTAAAGGCGAAATGTTGAATCTAATGTGGGTTATGTTGTTTCATTCCTCAATTCTACGTAAAAGCTGATTTATACGATGTCTACCCGTCAAATACGCAACCGTCTAAGTCGGGTCTCACACTAGAATTTATCCAATCTCAAGGTGAAACCCCTGGGCGGAACTACAGAGAAATCATTGTACTCGGTCTTGGGATTCTGTCCTGCATATTCTTCTCCATCCTTCATGAGAGTCAAGTTCCATCCGAGCAGCAACTTGGCCATCAATGTCTTGAGGTTGTTGACAGCAAGGAAGCGGCCAGGGCAGGCTTGGTTTCCCAGTCCAAACCCAAGCGAGTCAATTGTCGACATCCCAAGAACCAATGAACTCGCCGCTTCCTTGTGATCTTCGCGCATGCGCAAGTAGCGATGTCCATCAAAGGTGTTTGGGTCCTGAAAGGTTTCCGGATCAGTCGCAATGGCCGCCGCAGGGGCAGTGATCATGGTTCCTTTAGGCAGTTTAAGGTTGGAGCATTTGAACTCATAGTCTTCTGTTAGTATTCTGTTCATCGTGACTGTGAAGCTGTTCTTAGTACTTGAAAGGCTCTGGAGAATCCCGGTTGGAAGAGGATGGGCTGAGTGAACTTACACAAAAACACAGGACTCAACCGCTGAGACTCCTTCAAAAAGCAGTCCAATTTAATCAGCTTGTCTAGGTCAACGCTGCGACCATCTTCCGAAACGGCATTTTTTGCTTCTTCTTTCAGCTCTGTGGCCAAAGTCGGCTGTGTAAGCATGTCAACAAACGCCACACTGATCGTCTTCGCTGTTGTGTGGATAGCTGCAATAAGCGTCCTCATCATCGTATCAGAGAAGTCTTGAAGCGTGACATCATCCGGAGAGCCAGCCCATAGCCATTCGAATCCGAACCTTCCTCTGCTCCTCCTCCTTTTGTCCCCAGCAGAGAGAAGTCCCTCGGCGCGTAGCTCCTCGTAAATGGGTCTCAGCTTTTGCAGAACGTAGACTCTTTGCTGACGAAGCGTCCTGACCGAAGGGATGAAGGGGGCCACCAGCTTAGCAACGAGTGGTGGCCATTTTCGCACATCGTCGGCTGCGAGGTATCGATTGACTGCGAACTCCGAGGTCTCTCGTAGCCACTCAGGATCCGACGATAATCTTTCATCCACGAGGACCGTGCTGGTTATGTACGTGATTGCTGCAATGAAGAATTCCATGAAGTTGATTTCAGCAGCCTCTCCTTGCTGTTGGGGCAAATGGGTATCGAAATACTCGTTGATCCTCTTGTTCAACTCATTTGTGATGTCTGAGAGATTCTGGTGGATGCCGACGCGCAAGGCCTTCCCGCTCCAAGGGCCCCTGTCAGGAGCACCGGTATAGTCTTGGGCAAATATGACCTTGGATGCCAGCTGCCAGCTGAAAACGTTGTTGGATAGATGCTTAATCTCCTGAAGATGTTCCTTTGGAAGTATCACTCTGTATTTCACTGAGTAACCTCCAACTGGGATGGTGATTTTGAACGGCTGACCGGCTTTGTTGTATCTTCTGTAGCCAGACTCAAGAAGAGACTTGAGGTCGGTGAGGTACCGTTTTCTTGAGTTGTTACCGTCTGCAAAGCTGTGCGTAGGGACTTGAGAGAGTCGATTATCGTCTTGCAATTGCTCGTAAATGTACTTGACCACCCAAGCCAAGACGGTGACCGCTGTGGAGAGAATAATGATATGAGAAGCCATTATGAGATTTTGTGCGTGTTACTGCATGCTCTAGAGGCTATTCAAAGACCTCAAGCTGTCATTTATGTACTGAAATCGGCAGATTGCATGCTAACTGCAGTACCATACAACATGGCGCAGTTGTTAAGAGAATGGACAATTTGCACAATTAGTCCTCGCCGCGGTGCACTACAAATTGTAAACCTATTGCCGTGCCGCTCGTCCACATTTCTCAGCAATTTTGATACATTTTGTCATCTTTCCAGGGAAGCTCCGTTGTCGTCAGCTTCAGTTGCGAGGTTCCGGTATCTCTTCGCGGATTGTTCGTTTTTCGCCGATCCGTTCCGCGGCAACCGCAACACCAACCACCTCATGCCAAGCCCCAGATCGCTCGTTCATCGCTTCACTATCCATCAGCTTCAGCAATGCGGTCGCATTCACACACCTGTACCGCAGGATTGCCGGCCAATCTGATGGCTTGCGAGATCATTGTTGCATACACGACGTAGTGTTTGTTTCATTTGATCGGAGCTTCACAGCGCGCGGCGTATAGCTCCTCTGCGGCATTCCCCCTAGTTTGACAAGAAGAGTCAGTAATGCCCTGCGTGTTCAAGTACATAAGAGCCCGAAGAGTAACGGCAAAATCTAAAGATTGGAGCAAATTGGATTCTGCAACGTTCATACACCCGACTCAAGCTGTTCAGCATTCGTTCGTCATACCGCCATGTCATCCACGAAGCACATTTCCATCTCACCTAAGATCAGGGGAGGTTGGCCCGCAACCAATCACGATCCTACGTCAGCCGAGAAGGCGAGCAAGCTACTGCAAGAGGACTTGGTTAAGTTCGACATGTTCTTTGAGCCGCCGCGCCACAGTAAGTCTTAGCTAGGTCGATACTTCATGATCTGCTACAAGGGCCCCTAGTCCACTGACGTCTTCCCAATTAGACCACATAGTTCATCACATCATCGCTGCCTATGCTCTCGGAGCGTCTCCGGGACAGCTTCAGCGAGCATTCGACGTGAATGCAGCGTATCAAAGGCCGTGCCTTCCACATAACGAAGATGTCATCCAGGCCATGAGCGACAAAAGAAAGATCAATACGTTCCTGGATGCCTACCAGCATTACCCCAGCTTTCTCGCCTTCTTCCAGAGACAGATCGATGCTAAGGGACCTGGCGCTGTTCTTGAGGAGTACTTGTTTGCAAACGACCATGTGTCCAATGAGCTTTTGGTGAGATGGGTTGCAGGTAAGCATCAACATCATTTTACTGGCGTATATGATGATGGCTAACAGAAATTTTGCAAGGTCTTCTCCACTCAGTGCTGCACTTTGGTTACGCAATTGAGACCGAACAACCCGCGATTCTTGCTCAAGCGCTGGCTCAAGCTTCTATTCATGAAGAACGGGACGTCGATATCATCAAGTTGGCGTTGTTGGACGCCGAGGCCACAGCTGCCAGCCGTGAGCCGCCCCTCAACCGGTCACTACTCGACATTCTGGACGACATCCGACAGTCTGTCGAGCTTGAAAAGGCCCACGTAGCGCCCGATTTTGACAAGGTTAAGCCTGTTCTGTATCGCAAATATGACGCGTACGTCAAGCTGCTGAGCGAGTACACCATCACTCCCGAAAATCTTGAAGATAGGATTTTGGAAGCTGTCAACGTGTGGAGTAAGACACGCATTTTCTTCCCTCAACAAAAGAAGTTGCTGATTAAAAATAACAGGCGCTGGCGCTGCTTGCAAACCTCCGGCCGGGTTGTCGTTCAAGGTCGACTTCTTCCTGTTGCATGCGGTCAACCTGGTTCCGTTTCTGCCGCTATTCGGAGACACATCTTGGCTTTCTGTGTCTAGCAAGATTCGCCTTCTGGAGTGGATTACCCGATACAACATCCTTCTCTACGCGTCCCGCGGCTGTCCCGAGTTGACTGACAAGTACATCGAAGCCAGTCAATCCCACCTCAAAGATTGGCCAGAGGTGTTCAATGCTGCGATCAACCGCACATACGATGATGGTCACCTGGTCAAAGCAGTTCGCGCACTTGCTTTCGCGCAAGAGACGACGAGAGCTTTGGAGAAGGACGGTACTCGCATCATTGCCGAAGACAAATGGCTACCGCTGGCTAACATGGGTAAGTTTGCTTCCTGAACGCTCGAATGCCGTGATTTCTGCACATTAAGAGTGCAAGAATTCCACTAATAGTTTACAGTCCTGGACTCCGTGAAAGACAATGCGAAGGAATCTGAAGAGCGATGGCAGTATGAGCACTGGGAGTAATGCCCATTTCGTGCAGGAATATGTCGATATTTCTGGAATATTGCCTGATATCACTGAAATTACCATGCCTCCGGCGCTTCATGTACTTTAACTTTCGAATTCATAGGGTTGTGTCCGTTACTAAATAATCGCCATATCGCATGTAGACAATGCCCGTGAGCCCTTAAATTTGAGACGATGAGTTAGTTATATTGTCATAGTCTAAACACTTTAGATTTACATTATGGAGGGCACTCTTGAACATCTAGATACTCAGTCACGACAGAGTTTGCAGCGAGTATTGCTTGAAGGATCCGAATTCCAGTCTTCAAAGTGAATCTGTTGCATACATGTAAGTATCCTCATTATCGGCATTCCGCTCATCGAACTTCGCCGCGGTTCTTCGTTTGCCTGCCAAGTGACGTCAAACGTAATGCAGTGTAGATCTTCAAGAGTCTTTCTTCAAGAGAAGCTTGGTTGTCAGGACCGGACTGTGGTTGAAACTCCGCGGGTCGGCATTTAGCGAATTTCCGGCGGTGGACCCGCGGAAACCAACGGCATGCGACGCGGCGATGCTGGCCAAACCTTGTCCGAACTCCTGTCGTACTGCACTTAGAGTCAGTATATTTATCTATTCGAGTGATACAGAGTTTTGTTTTGAGAAAATACCCTGCTTTTTTATAGCGAAACATTGGATCGTTTACTCAAGCGAAACTATTTCATTTAGAAAAAGCCTCAAGATGACTCCCACCAACAATCTGCAGAAGCTGAAATCCGTTCACGCCGGTCATTCTCTCGACGGCATTTGGACTCGCTTCGTAGGTTTAGAGTCTTCTACTGGAAAGCAAACAGCCCATGGTCCTCATAAATGCCAAGGGCTTTACTGGACTCCCGAAGGCATCAACCCAACTACTGCTTTTATCCTCGTTCATTACAATGGAGACTTTTCTGAACATTACCTTGCTCCCCTGTTAGCTGTCCGTGGTTACGGCGTGCTTGGGTGGAACACACGATTCCGGGGTGCTGAGGATCTTTTCTCACTCAACGAAGCTCTGGATGACATCGCCGCCGGGACACGGTGGCTCTTGAAGGAAGTTGGCGTAAAGAATCTCATCTTCATTGGAAACTCTGGCGGCGGCTCTCTCATGGCTGCGTTCCATGCCCATGCCCTCAAAGATCCCAGTCTAGGGCCTGCAAAACTCTTCATCACACTGAACGCCCACTCCGGACGCCCGACGGTTCTCACTGACTGGTTGGATCCCTCCGTCATTGACGAAACCGATCCTACCAAGATCGACTTTGAGCTGGATATGTTCAACCCAGCCAATGGTCCACCCTACTCTGAGGGCTTTCAGAAGCGTTATCGAGCTGCTCAGGTGGCGCGGAATCACCGCATCACAAAATGGGCCAGAGAAGAGTTGGAACGTCTCAATGACGCAGGGATCTCGGACAGGATCTTCCCTCTTCATCGAACAATGGCGGACTTGAGGTTCCTTGATGCCACACTAGATCCCAGCAAACGACAGGTTCCGGGCTGTTACCTTGGCCATCCGGCCAAAGCAAACCGAAGTGTGAGCATGTTGGGCCGGGCGAACACTCTGAGAACATGGCTGTCTATGTGGAGTCTCCAGGATTCGAAGTGTAAGTTCGACGCGTATGCGGATAAGATCACGGTCCCGGCGCTCGTCATCCAGAGCTTAGCCGATGCTGGCGTTTACCCTTTTGACGCTCGCCACCTTTATGAAAGTCTAGCTTCAAAGGACAAGGAAATCGTTTGGGTCGAAGGGACACATTTCTTCGAGAACAACGAGAGAGATCGCGAAAAGGTTGTGGATGTCATTGATGAATGGGTCAAGAAGCGAGTTTAGGAATATCTATAGCAAAGTCTAGTTATTTTGAAGCCTTCGCAGCTTTTGTATTGGTGAAGAGATCTGGACTGGAGGCTTCACCCCGAAAATAATTCGCTCCTTCCACATGACCTCCTTTTGCATTGATGCGTTTGTTTCTTCGCGTGTCAACCCGACGACACGTACCGCTTGGTAGAAGACGAAGTTCATATTGACCTTATGCACCTGACTTCGACGTTTCGGATACCCCATAGCAGTCCGGATCTACGACAATAATCGCGGCCATCGACAACGCTAGTCTAGCATCAAAAAGCTCACGACTTTGTGAAACGAAACGTTTCCTTTGATTGGGTCCACTAGTTCCACTTCCGTTTGTTGTTTCTGGAGAACTCGCTCTGATCAAGTCGATCTTTAGTTGTTTCGTTTCTAAGAACACCACGCATATGTCTGAGCGGGATGGTCGAGTCAGGTTCCAAAGACCTGTTCAGCTGGACAAAGATGTTAACAGACCAACCAATCAATGCAATATCTAGACAGCCTCGACAACTCTGGACTAGTCGATGCCATCTGACTGTTTCAGTCGCCCTGAGAGCATAAATCTGAGGCCTCCGAATTGCTTTCCGAGCAACATCTTCTATGCCTAATGACACCGTGAGGAGTCGGTGCCTCAATGATGGAATTTGACCTCATAGTGTTTGTTCCAATGACCAAATCAACTGCTCGTGTCCGCTCCTAGTAACGCCTCCAGACATTAGCACAAATTAGGTCTCGTTGATGACTGGAGGCTCACATCTGCTTCTCCAAACCTGTCACCAGGTCGTCGTCGCCCTTGTCCGTTCTCCGTCCCGTGCGTCCCGTCCCACATCCCTGCGACGGAGCTCCTCCCCGTCCAAGTCAACAACGTCACCCTGAGCACATCGATTTGGTAACCGGAACCCAAACCAAAAAGCATGCAAGTCACCCGCCGAAACCCGTCCCATGACCACCATCCTTCTGAAGCCTATCGCCGCGCCAGTCCAGACCCTTCCAGACCCCTGTTATGCATGTAGGTTATTGACAATATGCTTCACATAGGATTACTTTCCCGTCTTCGCTTTGACGATGCGACATCAAACCAAGGTTGTTTAGCCTCAAGGGGCCGAGCGTGCGGAGAAATGCGGGAAATCTCAGCTCGGGATTGACTTTGGGAATACCAAACAAGATATTAAGGTTCGGAGCCAAAAACGATATTCCGTCTAGACTTTCCAAGAGGATGGCGATCGCAGAACATGGCATTCAGGCGGAGGCCCTTGGCGAGCCATTTGTTCCGGACGTCTGCTTGAACCCCGCATAATAATGAACGAAACCTACAAATTTGTTCAGCAAAAGACCCTGAAGGGACGCGAGAAAAGCATCAACGAGAGTGAATTGAATTTTGGGTACTTTTGGACGTTTTTCAAGTGAATTCAATATCGAGAGGAGTTGGTATCGTAGGGCAATTGTGATATGTCGTCCGATGGGATTTATCAAATTACGGTAAGTGTCGCGTCTGCCTAGCTCAAAGGAGCTCCTTGCCGCCTTGCTTTCATCAAATGCGTTCACGACGACGGAGGATACCCCTGGAATCTTGAAACCGGACTACCATCTTGGTCTGCGGAGAGTTGGTCAAGATTTCCGGATTGTGGTGATATCTAAGGTTTAATGATCGACATGCATTGGCCATGTACGGTTTTCATTGGATAGATGGAATAGATAAATAAGAGACGAGAACGAAGATGAAAGCAAGAAGAACCGGGCATCTCGTTCTCAGCATCTTCCGCAGCACATATAATTACCTTGGCCATCTACCCCTCTTGCTCATTTGCGTCATACGTATTCGTTCTTAGAGCCCGCTACTCAATATTACTTTCATAATGTTTTCCATCAACCTCATCTTGAACATTCTGGCAGCCCAGGCCGCCGTGGTCCTGGCCGCCCCCGTGGACGAGGCCGCGGGTTCACCTGTCTTGGTCCCCCGAGCCGATGTGTCAGTCTACATGTGCGCCGACAGCCGCTTCCGAGGCGAGTGCATAACCGACAACATCCAGACTGGATCTTGCTGTAAGTTACTTGACTTCACATGAGAGGGGTATCTTGACTAATACAACACAGTCAATGTCCGCCCGGAGATGATCGATCGCATCAGCTCGATTCGCAACAATGATCGCGGCTCAACCCAGTGCACCTGGTATCGGTGAGTTATTTCCCGTGAAGTGCCCTAACAACCCTGCGTGTTCTAATCATGTCTTACAGTGAGCGCGAGTGCCGCGGAGAGGGATACCGCAACCAAGATGACAGCAACCTGGGAGACGGTAATGGTCGCTTCAACGATGCCATTCGAAGCATGGAGTGCCGCAGGAAGTAGTTGTTGACTGCCTAATTTGGGGTGCACTTGTTGGGATTGATCGCTTTCGGTTGCACTAATACTAATATTGTTACTGATAATACTATTTACACCCTGTTGCTCACTTGATGAAGAACAAGTATCCACGCCGACGCACAATGATAATCGTCATATCTCATGACAAGTAGAGACAAATTTCATGTTGGGCAGCTGGTTCAGCCTTTTGGGATCGAAGATACTGTATGCCATGAAGTAACTCAACACGGGTGGATAGTTGATAGTTTCCACGGAATGAGTGTGATTTCCTACTGCATAAACTTGAATTTTTGCCGTAGACCCATGCGGCGGACGACAGCCGTGTGTCTTCCTGCCGTGGTTTCGACTTCATCTCGTATCTTGACAAATCGGATAGTCGTGGCTGCCTCAGCAGAACCCATGCGAGTTCATCCGTACTGTTGACAACTAATTGAGACTTCCATTGAATCTACGAGCGACCTACACCGAAAGAGCCCCACGCCTCACGGTTGAGAACTCATGTTGTTGCCAGCGAGAAGGCTCCGCATCAACATCAACCCACATCCCTTAAAGCCTACGGTCCGATCCGACACGCCCAATAAGCTTCTTCGTTTCCATCCCTAACAACTGGATCTTTTGTCCACGGTTCCATCAGAAGGAATGGATCGACAACTCAGCTCAAGCCTTACGGTGGGGCCGCAAGGGTGAAGTAGACGGGGGAAGTAGACGGCGGCCGCCGCCAAGACCATTCATCTTCGCAACCACTCATACTAATTACCACCGCCAGGGAGGATAGAGTTGACGATGTCTGGATTTTCAGGCTGTCAGTCCCCTCAACAGTAAGAATTACTGGGCCGACATCGGGAGATTAAGCCACCTTCATGACGCTAGTTGTTCACCCCCCTGGTTAGTCAGATGGGCGGCGATCAATCGTTTGTCAAATCATCGTCGACTCCATCCTAGGCAGACAGCGGGAATCACGAGAGAACCATCTTATCTGATCTTTTCATGAGTAGAAAATCTCCATAGTTGTAAGCACTATCACGAATGCCAAGAGAGGTTGAGCAATCCTTCGACGATCTGTCTCGGACAGGACTGGAGACAAGATTGCGGAACTAAGCCTTCGGCTCAGTTGTCGGCAAGGAACTCATCAGAATATCGGATCAAGCGAACAAATGGTAGAGAAGACTCAAGTATAAATAGAGCAGCCTCATCTCATGACAATAGTATTCATCATCAACAACAATCATCTCATTTTAAACTCTCTACATAAACCCCTTTCCCAACCTCACCAAAAACAATAAATCAACTATATTAAACAACCACTCAATCAAGATGCTCTTCACCAAGACCTTCCTCCTCGTCACCGCAATGGTCATCCCCTCCGCCCTCGCCGCGTGCAACAACGCCCCATACCAAGGAACCTGCAACGACTGCGTCGTCTCGTGCCACGACGGTAAGTCGCCGCCATGAACATAGTCACGAAAAAGCCGGTGTGGTGTGTCTGACAAGTTCGCAACACAGACTTTAACGGACCGGGCCGCCAGGAGTCGCTCCAGCGATCCAGCTGCCAGTTTGCTTGCCTCGCTCTCTGCGACGACTGCGACTAAGCAGACGAAGGCAATTGCACATATCGGAATGGGATTGCTAGGAGGGTCCATTTCATAAAAGGCGTGTTTTTCCACCAGACGGCTTGGATACCCTGATGATCACCGGCCTCGAAGGACATATGGCATCCTCTTGTATAGTATTGGACCATTGACTAAGTCAATCCAAAACCTAAATTGACAAATTTATACCCATCACGGTTCAACAAAAATGACGCTAGTTTCCATCACTGCCTGCCACAATAAATACGTCTTCGTGCTTGTCCACCACCTTTCGGAGAAAGGCGATCCAACGTACCAGCACTTGATGTGTACTAAGCCTCAACCTTTTTTCTCGGGAAATGTTTTTCAGTTTTTTACCCTTTGACATTTTTTGAATGATCCATCTCCGTTAACTATGATTTTTCAATATGACAGGGAGCTACTTTCCCCGGTCGTGAACCGACTGCTTTGCATTCCTAAGCCAACAATCCCATCTGTTCGAACATCTGTGACCAACCAACAAATATATCATCGTCGCAATATCTACGCACCGCCGATATGAACTCTCAATCCGACACCCAAAGATCGTTAGAGCCCATAAAATTCAGACAAGATGTACAGTCTTCCTCGAGCTCGGCGGCGCATTGGTCCAACTTTGGCACTGCCCAATTTCAATTCTACTTCGACACGGGCTACGTCCCCTCCTCGACATCAAAACAGGAAGAGAACAACCAGAACAGTCTCATCTACAGAACGCTGCCTCGAGAGCTCGTTCTCGAGATTATGTGCCACACAACAGCGGAGGACCTCTACTTCCTGCGCCAGACATCGCGCCTCTTCTTCCTCCTCTACCCCCGAGTCGACACCCTCTTCGAGACCAAGACTCCCGGCGGCCCCAGACGCGCCCAGAAACTCACAGGCCTCGACGGCCCTCCTCTCGGCCCCTACGCCCCCTTCAGCGAAGAAATCCTCTTCAACGCCTCCCTCAATCTCAAAGCTACCGAGAAAGACCTCTGGGAGAAACAGCTCCGAGACCGCCTCCGCCGCGACGCCTGCGAAGGCTGCAAGGTCCAAGACAGCCTCGCAGTTTCCTACCCCGGCGCCGGCGGCCTCGTCCTGCGCTGCGCGGAGTGCCGGATCGACCACCGCTTCTACCACTTCTCGAACGCCCAGCTGGAGAACAAGAAGAACCGGATCTGCATCGCCGCCGAAGGCAGGCTCAAGCTCTGCCCGCACAAGAGCGTCCACCTCGTCACGAGGCCGTCTCATTTTCCTCCAGGGGAGGCGATGAAGTGGTTCGAGTGTCGAGAGTGCCCGGAGATGCTGCCGGGTCCGGGACAGGATTTCCCGAGAATCACGAGCGCGGAGGAGGGCGAGCCCGCGTACGTCACTTGGAAGGTGACCGTGTGTACTCTTACGCCCGGCCAGGTCGTGACCAAGGCGCTCCTCCGCGAGTGCCTGAAGCGACTTCTGCCCTTCAGCGACGCCTTGTGTCCGCACGCGTCTTTTGAAGATGGATACCTCCTCCGACCTTTCGACTGGGACCGGTGCATCTGTTTCAGAGAGCCCGCGACTCTAGAAACTGAAAAGCACATCTGCGGCACTCACAGCCCTCCCGAACATGACCGTGACAGAGTGGAAGGATCCCTTCCGCCGGGCAAACACTGCTGCGCCTGTCTCAACCGCGAGAAAAAGGCGTCGGTGGGTCGGTCCATGGCGGATTCGACGGGGTTGGAGAATCACAGGGTCCGGTGCCACAGATGTGATACCGAGTATTCCTGGACTCTGGAGGGGGATTGGATAATGCTGAGTGCCACGCGAGATCTCATGGAGAACGCTGTCATTGTAGGGTCTGCAAAGTCGGAACGGGTTGGCTTGTCCATGCCCGAGCATGTTGATCGGCGCAAATGGATACACGCGTTGGATCCAAAGACGTTCGAGGGTAACAAGTACACGAGAGAGATTCATCGGTGCAAAAGGCGAAGTTGTATTTCCAGCAAGGGCCTGTCCACAACCTGCCTGGACGACTTCGAAGTCATAAGTCGCTCTTGGTACGGGAGCAACTTCACAGATCGAAGCGGATTGGTAAGGGGCTAGACTAAGTCAAGCAATGTAAGGCCATCGCCAGTCCCCGATCAGTCAGAAGTCTATCTTGTCATAGGAAGGCCTAGCCGATAGGGTTACGAAGGAGGAGAGCCGAACTAGCTTCAACCGATTAGATTCATGAAGCCGCTGTACTGGTATAATCATTATCACATACAAGGCACAACTTGGTCGGCACTATTAGGAGTAGAAGTTTATTGTATACAGGCTCTCAACAAACCGCCATCGCCTAACAGTCATCCGTCTTCTCTAAAACTACAAAACACTCCCTCACTACTAGCCCATATACTTGTACCAACCGAAGCTCCTTGTATGACATACTTTGTTGGTCATTCCAATCAAGTACGCGCCGCTCGACTACCAGCAGAGAACATCCAAGGTGCATCTGCTCTCGATGATGACTTCAGAGTAGATAGGTTGGAGAGCCTGGAAGGCTGAAGCGATGGCGGTGTTGTAGTTCTCGTTGAACTTGGTGTTATTGCACTCGCTGCAGTGAATACCGAGCTCAGGCTCCGGCCACTTCATCTCGTAGCCCATGTATCCCTTGACCTCGCCGCTCGTCGAGTCGGAGACAGTGAGATTGAAGGTTGCAGGGAGCACGACGGTATCATCCGAGGTGTCGTTGGCAAAGGGGGCGGCTCCGAAATTGTGAACAAACAAGCCATCTGGGGCTGGCAGGGAACCGAGATTCTTGAAGACGTTGAAGAGAATCGGAAGTATGTTGAGAGGAGTGCCGTAGGAGCCTTGGCACCGCGCAGTGACGGACGAGTTCCTGCGATTGGCGAAGGGATTGGGGCTGCAGATGCCTTCGGTGGTGAAGATGATGCTGCTGAGGAAGTGGTCGATGGTACCGTACCAGACGGCAGAACGGGGGCTTGCATCAACCTTGATACCCAACACTCCACCGATGGAGACGTTGGCAGCTGGAGAAGGGGGGGTAGCGAGGACGGTGCCGTTGTCAACAGGAGCACCAACAGACCAGGACGTGGGGCCATCTTCCCGGTGGTTACAGACGAAAGCCGAGACGCAGGATGTGGCACTAGAGGCACTGGCACTGACGGGTCGTCCGCGGTAGGTGTAGCACCAGAGAGTGGTACCACCATCCTTTGTGCTCAAGGCCTTGCCGGCACGGAGTGGCTCTGGAGTGCCGTCCTCAATCCAGGCGGACCAAGTCTCGCCGTTGGAGAAGGTGGCAGAAGCACCTTCGAAGTTCCAAGGATACTTGCCGTCGCTGTAAGGCATCTCGACGACCAGGTCAGGAGAGGCGGGATCTGTCTCGTCGGGCGAGGACCAGATGGGGCCTCGGTACCAGTTCATCTGGCGAGAGGTAGACCAGGACTGGTTTAGAGGGTTGGTGCCAATGCCGCAGTCGGCCAGGACGAGGTTCTGTGCAGGATTGACCATGGACACGGCTGGCTGGATGACGGCTGAGAAGGCCGAAGCAGCCTGGAATGTGTTGACGACAGACATGATGGTAGGGTTGGAGGAGATTTCGAGGGCAAACGAGAGTAAACGAGAGGAATTGCGGTCCAAAAGGTCCAAAATTGAGGTGGATGTGATAGGAGACGAGGGTCAAGAAGAGTGGTGGTTTTGGAGTGAATGGAGGTTGAAGAGGTGAAGAAGATTGGAAACGAAGAAGACCAGAAGATTCAAGATATGCATTGAAACCCAGCACCCGCGTTGGCTACTGCCCGTTCAAGATCTGCTGAGTTTCCTCTCGAGTCGATTCCATGTTTCACAACAAACGGCACCTGCCTTGGCAGTTGATCGAGGAAGGAAGCCGTCTTGATATTGGGGTGAAGGCAAGTGCGTCCATTATCCATAGACACGTCAATGACGGATGTTGCAGATCATTGGAGAGTAGAGGTCACGTCGGTAGTTCTTTCCAACAATGACTTCGAAGTGCAGCTGTTCCAAACGAGAGGTAACGGTTATAATCATGAATTCAATACTGCCCACTGCATCGTGTTACACCCGCTCGGAAGGTGCGTGATCGAGATGGGCAACAAGGTGAGGCAAGTACCACCTGCTGCGTTTCTCGCGGGGAACCTGCCAACAGTATCAGGTGCGACTTTTTAAAATGGCAGTTATTATAATAGTTGGCTCCTTCTCACTTCCTTCCGCTCAAGACGGTATGGCATACGTACCTTACGTATATCATTACGGCAATTTCATAAACGATTCCTTCCTTCTACATTCAGAGGTTGTTCTTTTCTTCGTTAACAGGCAATCAGGAAAAGGTACCATGTTGGTTCGGCGGGTATAAATGTTTCATCCACACGTGGTTCACCGGGAAGGCCCTCGTCGGAAGACGGTGTTGATGGTGACCTACCCGACCAGCGTCAGGACCCTTGGAGACCTCGAGATGTAGACTCCTGTCTACGCCCTGACTGCCGATTAAATCAAGTTAAAAAAAATTCTATTTCTTGATTTCTCTATAACCCACTCCATATCCTATTTCTGGAATGCAGGTTCTTGGCAAGAGGAAGTCGCCATCCGTCGTCCAAAGTCCCACCTGCCATCTGAAGTGCCAAGTATCTAGATGCTGTGATTGGATGTCGCGAGCTTCAGTGGGTCTGCTGATAGCTCCACCTCAGCTCCAGAGAGGGGCAGATTGCCGGGGGCACAGCGAATCAGCCATGCACCTTGCTCCTTTATCGCACAGACGTCACTGAAGCAGCCGGGGACGCCCCCAATGACCCCTAAAAATAAGACCCAACCCGCATTTGGTGTGGGCCGCTGTGCATCCCCAAGTCCTCACGGCTTTCTTCCTCAGCAAATCGCTATTCCAGGCTGATTCACGCCGCACCACCTGCACCATCATTACAAACTACCCGACAACCAACGAGAGACAACCCGACGCAGCTCAGCCGCACTCGCCCTCAATCGAGACTAGCTGACATGACCCAACCGTTTCCTGCCGTACTATCGATTCAGATCATGTCGCGAAAAATGCCCTGCGCCACGTTTCTCGTGCCCCGACGCCTTTCGTCGTCGGCTTCGTCGCGATGCTGTCCATCTTCTTTCTCCTGCAACTGATTTCGCCAACGGCACCTAGGCATTGTCATGTCTTCTTCTCATTCCGCCTGAAGCTTCGGCATCTTGACGCGAGAAACACGCACGACTTTCAACCCCGCTCGACATTCTGCTTCTGCGGAGGTGCGACCTGACTAAACCGATTAGCGAGGCTTGGAATTCGACTTTGGAGCATCATTCGAGTCGGGTTTCTACTTCACCGACCAAGCTCCATGCCAGCGCTTGGCTTCAGCTCTTCATCCGACGCCTACCAAACATGTCGGCCCTTCCGGCAAACTGGGAATGGGACTACGACGGGACTCGATGGTTCTACCGCTACAAGCCGAATGGCCATGTTCAGTTCCACTTCCCCAAAGAGGGCGATGAGTTCCCCGACTTCATCGACATCATGTCACCGATCCCCGACCTAGCACCCGAAGAGAGGCTCGAAAGCCAGCAGCAGTTGAAGAGACGAACCGGCGTCGATGTCGATTCCAAGTCAAAGATGCGCGCAACCGGGGGTCCGCTGGACGATTTTGGCATGAATAGGAGCGGGTTCGGCGGCCCTCTGACCGATGAGGAAGATGGTTTTCTTTACCAGCCCGAGAACTTCATGTATCTCGGCCCCGGCGCTTATACTGATGTCAGCCCCTTGGCTGACGAAGAGGAGAGGGACCATATTGCCAACAGCAGGCGCAAGAACAAAAGCAACGGCGACGAGGGCAAAGACAAGACGATGCTTGACGCGGCTGGTACCGACAAGGCCGGTGTGTCACCCCTCCAGAGCGCGACGAACACACCATCCGTCGTCCACAGCACTCCAGTCCGAGAATCGGTTGCCGTTCCACAGCCAGTAGCAGAGGATGCCGTGCTCGTCATCAGCACCCAAGAACTCCCTGGCCCAACTCAACCCGCCATCCCCTCTCCTGGAGTTCCTCTGCTAGACTCCGTTGAGAAGCCCCGCCCTGGCTCTCATGCTCCTGCTCAGTCGGCTCCTTGGGATCCTGTCGGCGTAGTGGCCGAAATGGCGACGGAACATACCGCGGCCGCACGTATTGAGACGCACCCGGACCCCGTCGAGATAGGCGACAGTGCTGTCCTGGCTCCAATCGAGACCCAGATGATGAATTTCGGCATCGCCGAGTTGCCAGAACGCACCAGCCCATCAGACGCCAGACCGCCTGTATCGTCTACCCACGATTTACTGCACCAGACAAATATGACGGATCAGGCGCTTCACGGCGCCACATTTGGGTCAGGATCAAGGCCCCAAAGCTCGTCGCCGACGACATCAGCACAACCCAATACCGAGGCACGACCTGTGAATACACCGGCGAAGGTTCTGTCCCATCAAACAATACCAGAGACGGCACCTCAACCTCCAAGTTCTTCTCAAGCTTCCCCCGCTGCTCCTTTCAGCATAAAGCGAAAACCTTCAAAGACCGCAGCCAAGCAAGGCCAGTACCAGCCCTACGTGCCTGGATCTGCTCCCACCATTACGTCGGAACAGCAGAATAGGAGTCCGGACTTCAAGCCACGAGGATACAGAAACCCTTTGGCGAGAGAGGCCTCGTTGATGTTGGGTACCCGCCAGACCTACGAAGCGTCTAACGTACCCTCTGTCCTCCAGCCTCCAAAGGTGCCGCCAAAACATCCGCTCGATAGCACACAGCCCTCCGGTCAACACCCTGTCAACCCAGCACGACCCGATAACACGAGAACGCAAACCGAGCCGGCAGGCGTGTTTCTTGTGGCTACCGGCACGCATGAAAATCACACACAAGCGCCCTTGCAACATGTCCCATCGGTTCTGAAGCCAGCAAGAGGGTATCCACAAGGTAAACCGCAAGAATCAGCATATCAGTCGAATCAAGTTTGCCAACCTATCGGAACCCAACCATCTGGCCAGATTCCACATTCCCTTGCGCCGGCTCGTGGCCAGCCTCAATCATCCGGAATTAGGCCCGGCGTCCACCGAGTTGAAACGGCACCTGAGCTCCCGCCATCGGATCATCATTCACCAAGCTCTCACCTTCCGCTGCAGAATGCAGGTCCGCAAACCTGCTCCCGACCGCCGGTCCCCCAATTTCTCCAGCGTCCTAGAGGTCAGAGCAATCTTGATCGAAATCCTCCGAAGCCGTCATACGCACCTTTTCCGTCAACCGCAACCCGCGTTAGATCAAGCTCCGATGCGCCAAAACCTTTCCGTGCCACTCCAAGTCCGCCTGCTTCTTCAGCCCGAGGTCAACTTCCCCCGCGGCCTGGAACGGCCTTCAAAGAAACTTCAGAGCCTAATACCGATTCAAAGCGAGAGTCAGCAATGGACTTCATGCGCGGATACTTCCAACCGGGTACGGACGGGGCCACGCAGCGATCAAACAACATCTCACCGACAAACCGTACACGCCAGATCTCATATGCAGACAGTGAAGTCTCGTCCCTTGGCCCTCCATCGGAAGGCCAGTCGTCGGGGCAGATTCTGCAAACACCGTCCCCACTTGAAACTGGCGGAAGGCGCTCCTCTTCCGGCTTCTTTCGAGGTACCGGGGCCAACGCATTCCCGGAGGGCTCAGGAGCAAGCATTGCAGCACCAAGGCAAAGCCCTTTCAATGATCATAATGACCCTATTCAATCTCCTGGGTCACGGCCGGCGTCCTTTTCCGGGCCATCTCCTACATCAACCCAGCCAACAACCCCGGGATCCGCAGGGTTTGACACCATACAAACCCCCCCTGTCATTCCCGGGAAAGTCCCAATTTACCCGTCAATTGGAGTTGAACCATTGATGGCGCCTATCAACCGCACAATTCAGTCCGTCGTCGGGGGTGATGTATCACCCACGGGTCGCCGGCATTCCGTGCCGATAGAGCAGGTGACACCTTTAGTTGAGCGAGCTGCTGTTGGACAGTCCCAAATGTATCTGAATGGCGACTCCAGCCTTGCCTCGCAGATCCAAAAACAGTCATTCGAGCATGGTCGTGGCATACCAAGACCGCACTCGGCTCAATCAAATACCTCGCAACCTGCAAGTCGTCAGGCAGAACCACCTTACCCAGTTGAAGCAAGTCAAGATATGCCCCGGCAGCCAATAGATCGTCCGCAGCGACCAACAGTCACTCCTCCGACGCAGCAGTTTTTCGGTCCCATGAGTCCTCGGACGCCTGGTCATACCCTTCATCCCATCCAGGAGCATGCTGATGGTGACCGCTCCACGCGTTCGCCGGTCACAGCTGTGCCGCGAGACGCTCATGAGCCAAGGCGCCGTTCCCCAGGAACGGCCCGTCAAATGTCGACTGGGTCATCGCAATATCCGTCGTCTGCTGAGTCGCCTAATGAGCAGAGTATCAGTATTACTGGGAGTCAAGTGCCTGGCTCCGGACCGCAATCACAACCAATGTCGCCGGCAATGCCGACAGCGGGTCAGAAGTATTCTCCGGTCCAGAATAATCCTTTCCAGCAGTCTCCAATCAACCTTACTGGTTATCCTACCCATCAAGTCACGCATCCCGATTCGATATCATCCGCGGTTGCACAGTCAGCCAAGGACACGGAGAAAGGAGGCTGGCTTTCCAAGTTCATGAGAGGCCCAGGGAAACCGCACGTGCTTCAGAAACCGCAGCCGTCGCAGCAAGCTGTTCCAACGGCGCCGCAGTCGCCAAATACCGTACCTCCCGCGCAAGGTGTCCAATGGCCACCACTACCGAGTGCTCTAAACACGGGACTTCCATTTCAGCATCAGCAATTCCAGCAACAACAGGCCAGCCAGTCCATCATCAATCACCAAGCACCTGCCATATCCAAGCAAGTACGGCCTCCGGTTCATGAACCAAAGGCATCAGAAACTCAAATCATGCCCAACGAAATGATGCCCCTCCAACCTGCTGATTCCGTTTCACGGACGGAGCCGGAGCAATCAGCAATGGCTTTAGGACCACAAGGGGCACTAAAGCCTCAAGCACGCCAATCGCCTGCGATGGGTCAAGGCACTGGACAAACCTCGAGAAGCATCTCACCACGAGAACGTTCGCCTGCTCCAGGACCGACAAGTGAGCAAATAGCGGATAATATGTCGGATGCTGCATCAGTGTCTGCCTTATCGGTATCTACCATGGATGTATCAGAGGCTCAAGCACAACCAGTCCTAAAGCCGCATTTGGTAACCGTGGAAAAGACCAGTCGCCCTCATGGACAAGATCAGCTTCCATCGCGAATCGCAATGACCCAGAACCTCAGCTCTTCACCGTCGTTGCCAAAGGCAAATCAACGAAGCCACGAAATGAACCTGCCCACAGATAACGAACTCGCCGTTGCGCCACTCTTTTCAAGGACGCAAGCCAAGACTGCCGTCACCCCTGCGTCTGTCAATAAGGCCCCGGCTGCGAACGACAAATGGGCGAAGAAACCAGTCGTTGATTACTCGGGAGATGATTGGGGAGATGACCCTTGGGATTATCAGTGATCTAAAATGATATATGACGAAGGCTTAGTGGTTTGCTATTTGGACATATCACAGAATACCCTCAAAATAGATTGACACATATTCCGCAATCTAAGGCTTCTGCCTACTGCTAAGGTCCCCTCATCCGTCGATTCAACAGATAGACGGCATCAACAAAACACCTTATTCCTCCGTCCCTTCCATGTTAGAGATGAAACTCATCAGTCTCGGTCCTATAGTCGTGCTCAAGCCCTGCGCATGTCCAACCACACCTTCGTCTCAAGAAGAGGCTTTCTCCGAAACTGAAATCCCATCCAAGACCGCAGCCGTTCCCTACATCATCGGAACTCCACCATACATACTCGGACCGTGGAGTCTCGCACCCGTATGCCCACGCCGGCCGAGGAAGGTACCGAGTTCAGGGCGATGGCCGCCTCCTGCCGGATTGGAGTTGTCGGGCATGGTGCCCCAGTACTGTGCTACCGCCGGGCGAGGCTGTTGGTCGGGGGTACCTGGGGTGGTTTTCTTCTTGGAGCGGAGTGGCAGACACATTTGAATCGATGATAGAGGGCGTGTAGGATGAGTTTGTGAATTTATTATATTTGAAGGACGTTGTTCTTGTATGTGAGTTTTGTCAGTTTGAATAGAATTGTCTTTAGTGTCATGATTGACTGCTATTTTATTACCGGGCATCGAGTTCAGCCGGTGACGTCGGATCACACTTCATACCGCAAAGAGGAATGGACGAACGGATTTCTTCTCTGCGGAGCGTCATACGCGTCTTGGCTTCTGTCGCACTTGCCACATGTCAGCCTCACGAGTGAGACATGGCGGTGGCAGTTGAGAGGAGGCGGAAGCTGCAACCAGTGTCACGATGTATGTTGCGGAGAGGTTGTTGTTTCTCTTTCTGAGTTCTCGACGGAAGGCTCCCGTGGGTGTTGGTTGCTTTGGTTTGGTTGTTGCGTGCGATCACTCAGCTGGTGTTGCGAGGATGAATGAGGTCAACCCACGAACACAGGGGGGTATATAAGGAGTTTGGCCGCATATCGGGGGGCTGAATGAATAGTTGAAGTCCCCGAATTACCACAGATTCTTTCGGGAGTCTCTGAGAACTATTGGTTCACAGGACTTGGTCTCGCGGTCAACATTTACGCTAAGGTCCGTTGCCCGACTCTGCTGCAACCCCGCCGTCAAGGGCACCCGACGACGACGACGATGAGCTGAACTTTATGAGAAGTGGAAGACGTCTGCGAAGGACGCCACGGCGGAGAGGAAGTTGTTCAATTTGGAGCATGGAGGAGAGGATTCGAGGAAGTAGAAGAGCCGCTGGTGATTAAGGAGCAGACTATAGCAGAGGCTATTAATGGGGTTATGCCGGAGTTGGGTGTGGAGGAGGCGGAGACCGTGAAGAGTCTTGTAGGAAGGATATTGGATTATGATCCGGCGAAGCGGTCGTCGCCTGCTGAAATAGTGGGAGAAGCATGGTTCTAGGAGACTGATATGGAAGAGAGCCGGGATTTAAAGTCTTCGAATTGATGCTTTTCTCGGCATCTCTTACGCATAGCCATGGTGAATAGATCTAGTGAATACGCAAATGGTCTCGTCCGTAGGTTACGCAGGTCTCACTCCAGCTGCCGAATGCCTGAGACACGACTTGGAAGGGAATGTGCCTTCACAGTCTCCAGCGACAATTGCCGGTGCCATCTGCGGCATCCCAAATCGACCACGATACTCAGCTACCGGATCAAGCTGATACCAGCTGTGCCAAATGGCATGATCTCAGCAACCGAATTCCGTATCTCCATGGTGATGTGTCTTACATGGAAAAGTTAAATCACTGAGACTGGAAGCCTTCTCGACCCATCTAGACCGCTGGGCATTCCAATCAGTGCCGTCCCGCCAATGGCGAGAGACGCTTTAGCAACCAAGGTAACTCGAGTTGCAGCCGAATGCGGCCAAGTTTCGAACAGGAACCCGCAACCGGTTCCCAAACGAAACGGCCCGCTCCACGTGTTACCGGGTGAGTGCTGGAAGACCCGCGAGCCGCGTGCCCAACGCGATGCTAGGGAATGACCGGTGCAGGCATTTTCGTAGGATATTTGAGCGTGCTAGGTGTGATATCGAACCATGTCGTGCCTTCCCGGGATGGAGCTGAACGCCTTGAACCGCAAGCATACCACCTCTGCACTCTGAACCACGTCTGGCGACGTGCTCAGCTTCAGCCGTTCAGCCCCTCGGCATATATCGAGTCCAGAACGTGTGTACTGAAACCGTTTCCAATTCCCTGAGGCCTTGCGGCTTCGTTCAGAGTGATGAGGAGTTGCCGTCTACTTAAGAACAGCCTTCCCGCCGAGGATTCACCCATGCTGAGCATTTCAGATTCATCCACTTTCTCTAAACCCCATCAGTACATCCTTCTGATAAGAAATTAGCAATAATGAGTCAAAGCAGAGCTCCTCGGGTCACGGTCACGTTGCCGCCGACGTTCTCATTCAACCAGACCGTTCTCCAGCCACGCAGCGGCAATGCCAACGGAGCCAAGGCTACCAATGGAACAAGTGTCAATGGCTCCAAAGGCACGAACGGTGTCAACGGAACCAGTGGCACCAATGGCACCAACGGCCACCACGTCGAAACCGCAGACGCAGATCTGCCCCTGACGCCTCTAGACGTCCTGTCCAACTTCAAAGGAACCTTCGCCGGACGAGGCTTCAACACCATCTTCCGCCCCAACAACACCAAGAAACCGACCGTGCTGAGCGCCCCGACGACAGACGGCGTCACCGACAACGTCTTGCAACTCAACCTGACCGCCGAAACGATGGTCTTCTCCGGCGCCCTCGGAAAAGTCCCCAACCGCGGCGTCTTCAACCAGGAGGACATCTCGCTCAACGGGCTGCCGTACACGCAGACCATCGTCGACGCGACCAACGTGGCGCCGGGCGCCGATCTCCCCGCCGACCTCCCCGTCATCCACTTCGAGCCCGGGTTGTGGATGCGCGTGCCCGGCAGCATCGGGCTGAAGGCTTCCCTCACGCGCATGGCGTCCATCCCGCACGGCACGACCATCAACGCGCAGTGTTTCCAGGAACCCGTGACCGCCAGCGGCCCGCCGTCTTTCGATCCCGTCAAGGACAGGATTGACATCACGCCCTTCGTGGTCGGACAGCCCTCGACCAAAATCTCGTTCAACAGCCAAGATGTGACGAATAACACCACCCACCGCCTCCCCGAAAATCTGGCCAAGAATAGTAACATCACGCAGAACATGATCTCCGACCCGATCTCCGTCCTCAGGGCCGCCAACGCCGGCAAGACCATCACGAAGCACACCAAGTACGCGGTCACGACGGCGCCGGACGCGTCGGGCTGCGGCGGGGGCGTGACCAACATCGGTTTTCTGTCCGGCAACGACCCCGCCACCGCGGCCAACTCCAGCCCCGCGCCGGTGCCGCAGCCCACGAACGCGAACGCCGTCACCGTCACGGCGACGTACTGGGTGTCCAAGGTGCGGACTACGGTGGACTTCAAGAAGTTCAAGCCGACCGCGGAGACCCCGGTCGCCAGTTTCTCGCCCGCCGCGGTACGAGTGGGAGATATCGTGCCGGTGTTCAAGGTGGACTTTGAGATCCCGGCGGATAAGACGGTCACGTTTGAGTACACGCAGATTCAGTATGCCCAGGTAGTGATGCTGAACTTTGCTGGGCTGACTTGGCCGCATGCTACTGTTGGAACTCTGGCGCAGTCGGATCTCATTGCGAAGGACGACCCTTTGAGGGCTAAGATCCTTGGTCATTGATCATACTTTAGTAAGGGTCTGCTGAGGGAGGTTGGGACTACTCGTATGTTAGCATTTTCCGAGAATCAACTGGGTCCAGATACGCCTCAATACATGCCTATTTTTGCTTTAAATCAATTCAAAGGACTGTTGTGAATGGGTCTCTCGTAATCCTTCGGCCTTTTCCAGTAACCATTCCATGTATTGCAGTCGATCCATTGAAGCCCATACCAGAGCTCGACTGGTCGCATTGGCGTACGGCCAGGGCCTCCTTCCTGTAAGGTAAGATACTATGGGTTCGAAGTTCGTCGCCGAAGACTCGCCAGATGAGACGTTGTCTACCGGCCCGCGCCGGCCCGCCCGGTCCTCGGTGAGCTTCCACACCGACCGACGATCAGGCCCCACTGGAGCAAACAAGACCGTCATCTCTCAGGCCCAAGCTTCCCTTTCCCCCCCGGTGCTCCTCCATAGTCAATTTTCAACTGCGAACCGCCTAGACATACATAACCGACTGCAATTGACATATCGCAAGAATGTTCGCAAGGCGCGCTCTCGCCACGGCGCGACCAGCCCTCCGCCAAACACACCCTCGCCCTCTCCTCCAACGCAGCACCCCGCGCAACTCCTCCTCAAACCCGAGCGGCGGCGGCAGCAGCAGTAACCGCGCCGCCGAACGAATCCTCGACCGCGTCCCCTCGCGCTTCCAGCGCTATACCTCGGGCCTGCGCAAGGCGCCCCTGTCGCACATCGTCGCCTTTCTCATCCTACACGAGATCACAGCCATCGTGCCGCTGCTCGGCCTCTTCGGGCTCTTCCACTACACAAACTTCATGCCGCTCGAGTACGTGACGGGCCACTGGGCGGGCTACGTCCGGGACGGGGTGGGCAAGGCGGAGCGATACTTCAGTCGCAAGGGCTGGTTCGGGTTCGGGGCCGAGGATCGGGGGACGATGACGGGCGAGCTGGACGCGAGCGGGCCGTACGAGACGAAGGAGGTGGAGAGAAGGTGGGCTAAGGAGGAGGGGATCGTCACGGGGAGTTTCCAGTACTCGACGACGGGGCCGACGGAGGAGTCGGCGAGGAGCACGCAGGATGTTCTGGAGAGGTGGCAGAAGGATGACAAGTACAAGATCGTGGTCGAGGTGGCCATCGCGTGGGGTATCACGAAGGCGTTTCTGCCCGCGAGAATACTCGTCAGTGTCTGGGGAACGCCTTGGTTTGCTGGCGTGATGGGCAGAGCGCGTGGCCTCTTCAGGTCAAGTAGATAATCACATTGCAATTGTGGAAACAAGCGAGTTTGGTGTGGCTTTATATGCCTGGTGTTTTTTATTTTGACGTTCAAGACTTTTCTGTATCAACCCATCGACGTTACGGCGTTTGTCCTACGCAATCCTCCGGGGGACGCGAGGCATGTTTGGCTTGTTCGGGGGTGGAAAAGAAATTTAAGCCTTCTCGTAGATCCAGTCGAACTGGGAGGTCTTCCACTGAACGGCCTCGCCGTCCTTGAACCAGAGGGCAATCTCCTTCTTGGCGTTCTCGACGGAGTCGGAGCCGTGGCAGACGTTGCGGCCGACGTCAATGGCGTAGTCGCCACGGATGGTGCCGGGGGCGGAGGCAAGGGGGTTGGTGGCACCGAGGATGGCTGGAGGGCAGATGTTAGCTGATGCTTCGTGGACAGAGGCAAGTGTGGGACTTACTGCGGCCGGTCTTGACGGCGTCACGGCCCTCCCAGACCATGGCGCAGATGGGGCCGGAAAGCATGTCTACAGCGAGTTAGCCTAGGTCCGAAGAGAATTGGGAATCTTGATGCTCACAGTTGATCAGACCGGGGAAGAAGGCCTTGTCCTTGAGGTCGGCGTCTGAGGGGAGGTTAGCAGTGCGTGGTGGGGTTTGAGCTTCGATGGTTACGAACAGTGAGTCTCGAGGTGCTCCTTGCCGGGGGTGACAAGCTTGATAGCGACGAGCTTGAAGCTGTAGACGAACGGTTAGGACCAGATCCCACGTAGAATGCAGGGCATCCTTTTTGTAGAACTTACCCACGGCTCTCGAAGCGAGAGACGATGGGGCCGATGAGGCCGCGCTGGAGGACTGTCAGCTTGCTGCAATCGTCAATTGGCAAGTCGCTTTGATGATGAAGCGTACCTGAACGCCGTCAGGCTTGATGGCAATGAAGCTATCTCGAGGTCAGCTCAATTTCTTCACGGTGTGGTGTGCCCCTCTTTAGCAGCCCGAAACCTCGCACGATGGCGGGGTAATTTTCAGGGTAGCGGGAGCATCACAAGACAGCACATTGCAGCTGACGGGTGAGGTATAAGGCCAGAGAAAGAGGACAGGAAACTTACGTCTGCTCGGTAGACATTTTGGGAGAGTGATCAACGACGGCTTCGGTGGGAGAAGTGATGTGTTGTTGTTGGTAAATTGTGGTGGTGACAACGGAGGGGACGACGGGAGAAGAAAGGTCTGCTGCTGACCGCTGGTTTTGTTGGCTGGAGGAAAAAATTATGTACAAGCCAAAGAGGAGGGCGAGAATTATGAAAGTAGGTGGGGGCAGCTTTTCTGCCGTTCTGCGGGCGTATTCGGGGAAGTTTGAGCCTGCATTGCTTGCATTGCTTGCATTACTGGCATTGTTGTGCTGTTGCTTCTTGTGCCTCGAGGCGGGGTCGTCGTCCTGCGGCGAGTGGTGGGGGCCGGGTTCAGCCATGGCGGCTGGCGCTTCCAATTGGTGCTTGACGCGCTAAGAAGGCACAGTGAAGCGAAGCTTGTGACACGGCAGTCGACCACTGTGGGCAGACCGCCTTAACTTGAGGTGGAATGGACAACTCAGCAACCTTTCAAAGCTGTGGGTGGAGGGTGCAGAGGGGCCATTGGATGGGCAATACCTGGTAATTGGATCGATTGGTGATTGAACTGGAGGTGAGAAGGTCTTAGAAGAGATGCCTCATCCACGTTGACGAGCAATTGAGGGCATCAAGCACCGCGCCGGTGTTGTTGTATTTTGTTTACTTTGCCAGCTGCACCGGTCGACTGATAAGGTAGAGAGGCGAAGTGAGGCGAGGTACCAGATGTAAGGACAGTGTGGCAAGCGCTCTGTTTCAGGCACACACGGTGTCTTTCTTCTTTTAGTTGCATTAGCTGCTTTTTAGTATAGGTAGCAGTAGACATTCACCGCTTTGATGGCTAGGGCAGCAAGGCAATGGTAGAATTTCTTGACAACACCTCAAGAAAATCGACTTATATTGCATTCATCATCAGACAAATACTACGTCTGGCCCATCAATCATACACGTGTCTAGGTAGATAGACCCTGAAAACCTGCATGACCTGGCTCATGGAGGGGTAGATGACATCAACTGGGGTTATGCACAAATCCGTCTCTCCCGTATTCGACTATGCGGAGTTGCTCCGACGCACCCCTGTCAGCCACAGCTCGAGGCCTGCGCTAGTCCAAAACGGGAGCTACCAAGGGGACAGCTGTTGCACTTCGGCCGTCTCACAACTGGCAGGTGCTCTTTGTATTCCGTACTGCCTGTCAACGACATCCGTCCCATCATTCCCAATTAACCAACCCATCGACGAGAGAGAGCGCAACAAAGAAGGCCTTGCTTCTTCTGCTCTCATGTCATTCCTGTGATTTTCCTTCTTCTCCCTATACATACTTTTCGATTCTTCTATACGACCTCGCTGTCGCACCTCCCCTCGCCATGGGGTCGACGGGCAAGTTGTCCTGCAAATGGACAACTTTCTTAGGTCTGCTTGCGGCTTTCAGCTGCATGATACAGCCTGCAGGTGAGAAACACCGTGACGCCATGACTTTTCTCTCTTGCAACACCAAAGCTCGAATCCGATACTGACGAAAGAATCGCAGTCATGGTTAAGGAAAATGACTTCAAGAAGTGTCACCAGGCCGGCTTCTGCAAGCGCAATCGCGACTACGCCGACAATGCCGACTCCCTGGGCCCTAACTGGGCTACCCCCTACGATATCGCCCCCGATACCGCCAAGTTCGCCGACGGCCAGTTGCAGGCCGTCATCCTGAAGACCATCAACGACGCCAAGGACACCGTTCGCCTCCCCATCACTGTTTCCTTCCACGAGTCCGGCACCGCCCGCGTGAGCGTCGATGAGGAGAAGCGTCAGAAGGGCGAAATCGAGCTGCGACACAACAGCATTGTGCGGAAGGAGCGATACAACGAGGCCGAGAAGCACGTCATTGTTGGCGGCTTGACTTTGGACAAGGAGGCCAAGGTTGCCTACCAGGACAAGGAGCAGATCACCATCCAGTATGGTCCCGATTCCAAGTTCGAGGCCGTCATCAAGTTCTCGCCCTTCGGTGTCGAGTTCAAGAGAGATGGAGCCTCGCATATCAAGCTCAACGACCGCGGTCTCTTCAACATGGAGCACTGGCGCGCTAAGGTCGACAAGCCCGCCGAGGAAAAGAAGGAGGGCGAGGAGGCCAAGACCGACGATGTCAAGAAGGAGGACGAGAGCACCTGGTGGGACGAGAGCTTTGGAGGCAACACCGACTCTAAGCCCCGCGGCCCCGAGAGTGTTGCCCTCGACATCACCTTCAGCGGATACGAGCACGTCTACGGTATCCCCGAGCACACTGGCTCCCTCTCGCTGAAGCAGACCCGCGGCGGTGAGGGCAACCACAACGAGCCGTACAGACTCTACAACTCCGACGTCTTCGAGTACGTCCTGGACAGCCCCATGACCCTCTACGGAGCCATTCCCCTCATGCAGGCTCACGGCAAGGACTCCACCGTTGGTGTCTTCTGGCTCAACGGTGCCGAGACCTGGATCGACATCACCAAGAGCGAGACCAAGGCCAACCCCAAGGCCCTCGGTGCCGGCTCCAAGACCAGCACTCACACCCACTGGATCTCTGAGGCCGGCATCCTTGACCTCTTCATCTTCCTGGGCCCCACTCCCAAGGACATCTCCAAGGCCTACGGCGAGTTGACTGGTACTACTGCCATGCCGCAGGAGTTCTCGCTCGGCTACCACCAGTGCCGCTGGAACTACATCTCTGACGACGATGTCAAGGACGTCGACCGCAAGTTCGACAAGTACAAGATCCCCTACGACGTCATCTGGCTCGACATCGAGTACACCGACGGCAAGAAGTACTTCACCTGGGACCCCGACATGTTCAAGAACCCCATCGATATGGGCAAGGCTCTTGACGAGCACGGCCGCAAGCTCGTTGTCATCATCGATCCTCACATCAAGAAGGAGGATGGCTACAGCATCAACAAGGAGATGAACGACAAGGGCCTCACCGTCAAGAACAAGGATGGCGAGACCTTTGAGGGTTGGTGCTGGCCCGGATCCTCCAACTGGGTCGACTGCTTCAACCCCGAAGCTCTGAAGTGGTGGAGCCAGCTGTACAACTACGACAAGTTCCCCGGCACCATGGAGAACACCTTCATCTGGAACGACATGAACGAGCCCTCCGTGTTCAACGGACCCGAGGTCACGATGCCCAAGGACAACATCCACTACGGCAACTGGGAGCACCGTGATGTCCACAACATCAACGGCATGACCTTCCACAACGCCACCTTCGAGGCTCTGCTCACTCGCAAGAAGGGTGAGCTCCGCAGACCTTTCGTCCTGACCCGTTCCTTCTACGCCGGCTCCCAGAGACTCGGTGCCATGTGGACTGGTGACAACCAGGCCTCGTGGGAGCACCTTGGCGCCTCTGTCCCTATGATCCTGAACCAGGGTATCTCCGGCTTCCCCTTCGCTGGTGCCGACGTTGGAGGCTTCTTCGGCAACCCTGAGCCCGACCTGATGGCTCGCTGGTACCAGGCCGGTGCTTTCTACCCCTTCTTCCGTGGCCACGCCCACATCGACGCCCGCCGCCGTGAGCCCTACATGCTCGCGGAACCCTTCAGAGGCATCCTCACCGCCGCCCTGCGTCTGCGTTACAGCTTGATGCCCTCGTGGTACACTGCTTTCTTCCACGCCCACCGCGACGGAAGCCCCGTCGTTCGCCCCATGTTCTGGACTCACCCATCCGAGGAGGCCGGCTTCGCGATCGATGACCAGGTCTTCGTCGGATCTACCGGTCTGCTTCACAAGCCCGTGGTCGAGAAGGACCAGGAGGTGGTCAGCATCTTCATCCCCGACGATGAGGTCTACTACGACTACTTCAACTATGAGAAGCTCGACACCAAGAAGGGCGAGTACATCACCAAGTCCGTCCCCCTCGACCAGGTCGCCGTCCTCATGCGCGGCGGCCACATCTTCCCCCGCCGCGACCGTCCCCGCCGCTCCACCCAGCTGATGCGCTTCGACGACTACACCCTCGTCATCAGCGTCAGCAAGAACGGCGACGCGGAGGGCGAGCTCTACGTCGACGACGGCGACTCGTACGAGTTCGAGAAGGGCCAGTACATCTACCGCAAGTTCAAGCTCTCCGGCAGCACCCTGTCGTCCGTCGACGCCGAGGGCCGCAGCTCCAAGTCCGTCAAGCCCGGCTCCTGGCTCAAGGCCATGAAGGAGGTGTACGTCGACAAGATCGTCGTCGTCGGCGCGCCGGCCGCCTGGAACGTCAAGGAGGTCACCATCGAGTCGGAGGGCAAGACGTGGTCCGTTCCCGTGCAGTACCACGCGGCCGAGGACGGCCGCGCCGCGTACGCCTTTGTCGGTCGCGTCGCCGCCCGCATCGGTGAGGACTGGAGCATCAATCTGTCCTAGAACCGGCGGATGATGCTCAAGCTGATCGGAGGCGGGGCCAAGACCCTTCTCCCGGTCTTCTAGGATTCGTTTCGCCTAGAGAAATCGAGATGCGTTCTAGAAAAGTCACGACGAAGGGCGGTGTAATGTAGAAGAACCAAGAATAGTAGACGTGGGCTCCGCGGATCGCTGCCGGGATGGAGGACCCAGGGGATTACAAAAAAGACATGAGCAGATAAAGCGTCAATTATAGAGTGAATTCACACACACAGAAAAACGTCTCCAAAGGAAATGAAGAAGCTGCTTGGCCCCCAGTCATCGCGCAAGACCGCAAACGCCCCCGTGTGATTTCGTTTAACGAGGATCTAGAACCCCCGGTCAGGGGCAGAATAATCGAAAAACATCGGGGTTCGGTTCCAGAGAATCAAGAGAAGACCAGAGGTCGGGCTCGTGGTCGGGGTGGGCTCATTCCGTGGAGTCCCCCTCCCTCTCTCTCCTTCCAGTAGACGAGAGAGACCGGGACCTGGGCCCGGCCGGAGACTTGTTGAGCCCCGAGAACAAATGGACTCGATGGAGACGGGAGAGAGCTCAGGCTCAGCCTCGCTCGTCTGCGACGTCGTGCAAATAGCGAGGTTGGCTACGAGCTGTTTATTCGTCACCGTGTTACTGTGTTATGTTTTGCATTTGCGTCTGCATGTGAAAAGTTGCACTGCATTGGCGGCCGCACTAGATATCATCGCCAAGGTCAAATCGGGACCGTCCAGCTGAGTGATTTGAAGAGCGTTTCCTCAGCTATAGTGAAGCCAAGGGGCAGCGTGCAAAAGCATGGACCCGAGACAGCATGATGCATAGCGTGCGATTTGCGGGCAGAGCAGAGATAAGGAAACTCTCTTCATTGGATCCTCTCCTCGACCCCTTTTCATTCCCCGTTATCGCCGCACTGGCATGGTCGTACGCGGTGGTTTTCAGGGGGTTTAGCACGTAGGTCGCTTCCAGGTCCCCTCGCATGTGAAGAAACGTCGCGCGGCTCTTGTTAAAATGTCAAGTCTCCCTACTGCGCGCTAGACGGGCGGCTGCTTGTTCCCCGGGCCCTGAAGGGGCGCAAAACGGCGCAAGGGACGCCCTGAAGGCCGGCGTGATGTTGGGATGGCAAGACATCACGGGCCCCGGATCGCGTCTTCTCATTCGCCCGGATCCTCGAGCGAAATGGCAGGGCTTAGGCGGTCTGGTTCAGTTCTCTCATCTCTTATCCCGACTGTTTTAGACCAAGGGTGTCAGGTCAAGGTTGCGAGAACACCAAAATCGACCGTGGAAAAAAAGAAAAAGGAAGGAAAAGTGGACGGGGAATGTGGCGGTTGCCGACGACTGATTCCCTGTCTTGACGGCCGCTTGGGCCAGGGAGACTGCTTGCGAGTTGCTCTGAGTTGTCAAAACTGCTCCTCTTAGATTGATGCCGATCAGCGCCGCAGTTGGAGTTGAAGGTGCGGCGAGATGGCAATTCGGGAGATGTACGCAGCTTGAGGCTGGGATCAGAAAGCTTGATCTTCATGGCGCTTGCCGAGTGGTTGTCCGTACGTGAGAACCTCGGTCCATGACGACGAGTGCGGATGTTCGTGTCTAATGGCTGGTGGTCTGACGGTGAACTCGTGGAGTTTCTTGGCGCGAGTTGTGTTCCAAGTTGTCTCGCAGCATTGCCACAGTTGAGTTGCGATGAACTGTATGAAGGTGTGCACTTTGCAAATTTACTTCTCGCCCACAGCCACCAGCTCCAAGTTTGCAATAACTTCCGTATGCTTTGTAGCTATTTCTGGACTTTTTGGCGTGAAGAAGAATAATCTAACGCGATCGAGTGTGAGAAGTCGAGGGCGCGTTCGGTACCTGCGTTCAGCATTCCTCGCGCGGCCGGCGGTGTTACGGTACCTTACCGCCGGAATGGCAATCATGGTGGTGGCAAAAGGCTACTACCTAGACGGGCGAACGGGACGCCTAGAATGGCAAGCCGTAGGTGACGTGGTGGTGATGGGGTGTGAATGTCTGAATATTTCTCGCGCTAAAGCAGCTAGAGATGCGCGAAAAGAAAGATTTTCAGGAGGGTCGGGATTTCAAGGCGCTAGAAGGCGTTTCTTGGAATTGGGTGGTCTTGGTGGTGTTGAGGCGTGATAAGATGTTGTTTCACGGACCGACTTCAAGTGATGGTGTTGGACGAAATGGTTGCAGTTGAAACGGCCGAAAATGCGACTGCAGACATGCTGCGGCGATAAGCAGAAATCAACAGCTCGTGATGCTTGGCGAAGACTCCCTGCATCCAGCTGCGGCTGTCACCTCTCTCTTGTTGATCCATCTGCAACCTTCCAGCGATCGAGTACACTTGCATTTGGACTGGAGAGGGCGTTCACATCGTCACCTCAGCCCCGCGGAGGTGAGAGTCCAGGCCCAGCGAATCCGGGGGAGTCGCGAGATGTCGGAAAAGTTGCGACTCCGTGTCTGAGTCGTAGCCGGACTGTCGTCGACGCGCCAAAATCAGGGACGGAGGACAGTGACGGCATCGGGCCATGGAGACGGTGGAAGAGGAGGTTCGGGGGTCGGTGGGCCGAGCAGAATTAGGGGCTCAGCGCCGGGTCGTTGGAGTCTTGGCAGGGGAAAGAAAAACGGGCAAACGCCTTCGAAAGCGGAACATGGAAGGTCGCTGGTGACGTCAGCCGTGGACGACCGGTGGATCCTTGAAGAGTGGGGGTTACTGCCATCCCGCGCCGAATGGAATTTTCGGAAGCCCCATTCGCACACCACGTTGAATTGTCCGTAAGAAGCAGCGAGACGTGCTGTGCTGTGCTGTGCGTCTGCCGGTCGATGCTGCTGCCAAGACACACCGGTTCTTCGACAGGTGCCGCTCGTGGAATGGATTGGCGGTGGTGCCTCGTATTTTGAGCTCCGTTTGGCGGCTGGCCTGCGGTTAGCGCTGCTGGCAGACCTTTCTCGCGCTTCGGACTGCTGTATTTTCTCCGTCTACTGGAACAAACATGTCGGTCCTTGATTTGACTTGGAGGACGCCTTTCGTCACTGGCTGCTGATGTTGGCAACTTTGCTCGGCGGGTTCGGGCCTTTCTTGACACTTGATGCCATCAACGCAAACGCGCTAAGGTTTCTGTTGAGGTGGCTTGAGAGGTAGCGCTCGGGAAGAACTGCGTGGTGGCGGCCATGTGTACTACGTAGTAGACAATAGTTGAAAGTCTTTTTTTGATACGCCTTGATGCTGTCTGTCTAAGGCCAACGACAGCGTGGTTGATCGGCGAGTCTGTTCGCGGGAGAGACGGTTCAGTGCAACGCGGCAGAGAGCCTCACAGTGTCTCAACAGCCGGGAGGACCAGGGATGAGGTGTGCGGATGGAACGCAGACGTGTGTTGGTAGGGCGGGATCGCGATGACGGGCGATCGTGGGTTCATCCCGGCGGGGTTTTGGTTGTTTTTCCCTCAGCGGACGCATCTTTTTCAGCTTTGAGTCGGGATCCGTAGACTTGTCACATTTCGCTGTCCCCAATGATGCGTATTTTTCGATAGAATTGTTTGGATCTGTGGGAATTGCTGCGTTGGTATCCGCAACTTGCATGTGCGATGATGATGTTGGCCACGGCAAGGATGACATTTTAGGAAGTGGTGTTGATTGAGATTCGAGACGCTAGCGATTTTACAGCTTAGATCTGCCGCGAACCGAGGAAAGTGCGAGAAAACAGTGAGGCGGCGGGAGGGAAGGCGCGATGATGCGCGACCACTGCAAGCCAAGGAAGGTGTCGACCTGCCACCTGCCACCTACCTGCCTTAGCTTCGTGCTGCTTCCATCAGCCATCTTGATGCCTTGGAGGCATCCGGCAATGCGAGCCTCAGGATATCTCGCAATGGAAAAAATGCGAGCCTCCAAAGTTTCGGTGTACACCGTAGTGCATTCAAAGACCACTCAATTAATTGCAATGTTGCAACGCAGCACCAGCCATCGCCTTATCGCCCACTGCGGTGGTCCCGAGTAATCAACCTGACGGAAAACATATTCAGGGTCCCCCCATGGTCCATCGCTCTACGTTCTGCAGATTGCAGAATTCCCAAGCTCCTCCCAGCTCCTCTCCCTGAGCTCCAGCTTCCGCCCCTGGTTATCACCGATATCCGGGCTGTGGATGGACGCGACTATGGGTTGAGGTTCTGGAACGGTGGAAGCAAGATCCCGGTGCCATGTTGGTGGGGGTTAATGGGTGGCAGGAGGAGGAAGGGATGGAGGGAAGAAAACTCCAAAACGCTGTCTGGGTAAGCCCGGTCACAGTCCGTGACGGCAGCTCCTGTCAAAAGGCCTAGGCCGCCTCCCGTGTTCCATCTCAACTCGGAGTCGAGATCAGATCATCGTGGTGTTGTTCTTGGGGACTGTTACTGAGGTGTACGAATACACAGGCAGGTACCAACTGCCTGCCGCGCCTCACAGCCGGTCCAAGCTCCCCTGATGCAATGGAAGCGAATTCGCTTGATGGCGAAGCATGTCGACGACTCCACGGCCTGCTCTCGGTTCGAATTGCATCCCTAAAAACGCCAACAAAGGTGGTCTTGCTCTCTAGCAGACCCGCTCTTTTAATGTTATGACGAGCCAAGGACCCCAAGCAGAGATCAGCGTTCTGTCACCCATTTTTCCTGGGCATCGCCGTGGCACCGCCGGCCAAGGGCGACGCGATAGGACGACGTGATGATTAGACGGGCGAGGAGAGTCAGAAAGATGCAGGCAAGCCGCAAACCGCGAAGCAGGCGAAAATAAACTGGAGACTGCATCACTCACAGATGTTCATTGAGCTCAAACACGGGAGCTGGGGGTCGTCTGCCGATGGTTTGTATCCGTACGTGTACTTGTACATTCACGCCAGTGACCTCCAGGTCTTCTATGGAAGACTCCATGAGGTCTCCATATTTACCTCGTAGAGTCCCTGTTTCTTAAATGACCGAAAGGCCAGGGACTGGAGATTCGCTGGATCGCTGGGGCTTTTTCTGCTTTTCGCTTTCCACCAAACCCTTGAAGCTAAGATTTCCGCTCCGCGGTGCTGCTTGCTGTCTTTTCTGTGGTCTGTGTTCAAGGTGCACTTTCCGCTGCGAGGGTCATCACTGATCACTGATTGCCATCTTTGATATCCGTACTCCGTACCGCATCCCGGTCGCGACTCGCTCCTACCCAAGATATTTCATCAACGTCCCTTCCCCTTCGAACTTATCGAGAAGCTCCTTCCCCAGCCTTTTTCCTCTCCTTCCCCAGTTGCATCTGCCCCCAAGGTATTTACCCACGGGGAAAGAAGGGAAGCATTGTGCCGAATTGCCGTTTGGCCTATTTTTGTTGGCTCTTTTCCATCGCCATCATTTTTATCGGTACCTTCTACTTGGCGTCCGAGCAGGTATTTTGGGAATACCCGACTCATCCACCGAGAGATACACCGACCCAACAGACAGCCACGCCAACTCTAAACTCGGCGAGTCTTTTTTGCCTCTCGTCATCCGGGTAGACTGCCTGCTCGCTTTTAAAAGCTTTGAAGGGACACTTCTTCGCTGCGGCCATCTGCGCGTAGTCGCCAATATCCTGATCCTTCCACCAACACACGCCCACTTACACCGAATACTTGGCCCTCACGGCCACCCAACACCCACAATATGGCGACAAATCGCGAGAGAGCCGATTCGGACGTCAACGAAAAGCAGTCGTCGCATTCGTCCGACAGTGTCCAGACCGCCACGGATCCCAGCCTCCAAGCGCCGCAAGCTGAGAAGATGACCCGGTTGAATACCGACACGCTCCTCCCCCTTCCGGACGACGATAACCGGCCGCGGACGGTGTCTCCTTCGGGCAATCGCGAAGAAGCATCTCGACTGAACGACGACTTGGAGTTATTGCGTGCTGAACGATTCGTATCAAACCAGGAACACGAAGGGAAATCTCACCACGGAAGGACGCACCAAGGCGAACCTGAGGATGTCTTTGCTACCAACGCCAACCCAGAGCCGCCGAAACCTCCTCCCGAGAAGAAGGCGGGTGCCTTTGCCTTTGCTATCTGGAAGTGGCTCCGCAAATTCCCTCGATGCTTCCGCTACACCGTCTACATGATCCCCGGAGCTGCTCTCCTCCTCATCCCCGTTCTGATGGGTGCCCTCGTCGTGGACCCCGACAGCGCTACCGTCGGCGGCGCGACGGGCGTGTACCTGATGTGGTTTGGCATCTGGCTTGAGGTTATTTGGTGCTCCCTCTGGACGACTCGTATGATTACGAGCTTCATCCCCCTCGTCTTCGGAGGCATTGCCATTGTTATGGGTTCGTCCAACCACAAGAAGTGGAGGGACGTCGGCCAGGGTCTCGAACTTCACACTGCCCTCTTCACCTGGATGGTCGCAATCCTCTGTTCCTTCTCGCCCATTATTGATGACCACCGTGTCGTCCCGGACAACTTCGATGGCGACTCGGACGACCTTCCGAAACTCATGTGGATTGACGTCGTCCGGAAGGTCATCATCGCTCTGTTGGTTTTGGCCGCTCTCAACTGGGTCGAGAAGATCTGCATCCAATGGATCGCCACCTCTTTCCACCAGCGCACATACGTCCAGCGAATCGAGACCAACAAGAGCGACATCGACCATTTGGTCCATCTCTACGAGCACTCCAAGATGCGCATCGCCCGCGAGGATTCCATCTGGCAGACGACCGAGACTGGCGGCCCTTCCGGCTCCCGTACTCCCATGGGCGTCGTTGGCAAGAACGTCCGCTACGCCTTTAACAAGGCTGGCGGCGTCGCAGCCCGCGTCGGCAACGATTTCATAGGTCGAAAGGTTGCCTTCAACCACGCCCGCAAGATCGTCTACGAGATGTTGCGCAATACCGGTTCTGCTCACGCCCTGGCTCGCCTCATCTTCCGCAGCTTGGTGAAGGAAGGGAACGACACCATATACCTTGAGGATATGCAAGTCGCTTTCAAGACGTCCGAGGAGGCCGAGCACGCTTTTGGTATCTTCGACAAGGATCTGAACGGCGACATTTCAATGGACGAGATGGAGGGAACCTGCAACGAGATCCACCTCGAGCGTAAGGCCATCGCCGCCTCTTTGAAGGATCTGGACTCCGTCATCAAGAAGCTGGACAAGGTCTTCCTCTTCATGATCTTCATCATTGCTATCATTGTCTTCATCTCCATTCTTTCTGGATCCGCCGCCGCCGGTCTTGCCTCCGCAGGATCCAGCTTTCTGGGTCTGGCGTGGATGCTTCAGGCTACTGCCCAGGAGTTTCTCCAATCCATCATCTTCGTCTTCGTTAAGCACCCTTTCGATGTCGGTGACCGCGTCACCGTATACGGCAACACTGGAACTCTCGGAACTGGTGATGACTACTACGTCACTGAGATTTCTCTTCTTTACACCGAGTTCAAGAAGATGGAGGGCCACATTGTGCAAGCGCCTAACAGCGTTCTTAACACTCTGTTCATTCTCAACCAGCGTCGTTCCGCCAGTCTGGCTGACCCCATCGAGTTGAAGCTTGGTTTTGGCACCGATCCTGCTCTTATTGAAGAGCTCAAGTCTCGCATGCTGAACTTCTGCCTCGACAACAAGCGCGACTACCAGCCTCGTATCATCACCGAAGTCAAGACCCTTAACGAGGTCCAGTCCTTCACCATGAACCTCATCTTCTTCCACAAGACCAACTTCCAGAACGAACTTCTCCGTCTGCAGAGACACAACCGCTTCGCCGCCCAGCTCATGGCCGAAATCCGAGACCTCGGTATGCAGGGTCCCTGGCAGGTACAGCCCGGTGGTTCCCGCGAGTACCCCCTCTTCTGGACCGGCAGCGCCCCTCCGCCATCTTACAACTCGAGCAACGCCGGCCCCGGCCCCAGCGGCGCCCCTCCCGCGACCCCCGACGGTGCCCAGTCTCACCAGTCTCTGCATCAATCGTCGACCAACCTTGGCCACGCCGTGGCCACTCGTTCTCGCGCCGACTCGCGCACTGGTGTCACTCCTTTCATCGACGACAGGTGGAGCGATTTCCAGGACGTATTCGAATCTCGTAGGGAGACTCAGCAGCAACCCCACCGTTTACAGAGCATCCGCGAACGCGCCATTCTCGAGCCTACTACGAGCAACAGCACGAGTGTAGCGCACCCACGTCAAAGTGTCGATTCCGGTTCCCAGCGACGCAAGTTCTGGGGAAGGCCACGCAGCTCTAGCAGAGGAGCCAGGGACATCGTCTAGTTCTGGCGCTCCTGTCACCTCTGTTGCGGCTGTTGCCTTCCTTGACCTGTCTCTACCTACTGTTCCCATCCCTCCTCACCTCACCTCCTCGCCGGCGGCGTTTAGTCCCGCCGCGAGATTACTCATCCATTCTTTTCCCATCGTTGCACAAGTTGCAGCAGCACTCGAAGATACCTCCTTTCCAGTTGCATGTTTAATGCGGTATTCTTAATTCATAGCGAAGCGGTCACAAGAAATTGATCAAAAGTTCTGTATGATACATAGTTACGAAGACTTCAGTCCTTTTAGACAGAAATCGGGGTAAAATACCCAATAGAGATCTCGATTCATAATCACATGCTCCTCTCTCTGTAACTGCCATTTGCTTTGGTATCTAATCCGCAATATTCGTCAGTCCTTGGTGTCACACGTACTCAAAGCACATCGCCTCTTCCCGAATATCCATCGCATTCCGTATGGTAATGTTCTCAGCCAATCCAGGCATCCACATGACGTGATCCAACGTCGTGGCGTCCCCTCCGTCACCAAAATACGGCACAAAGGCTTCGAGGGGCAGAATAGCCGGCTGCGCGTCGATGAAGATCTGCCCGTTAGCAACATTGGGCCCGCCCATGGCATACAGCCTGGTGGATAGGTTGGCCGTCTGCCACTCCCACCACAACCGGTCGAGGTTCGCGTGGTGGAGGTAAAAGATCGGGTCCGCGGGCGACCTAGCGTGGTCCCTCATCTGCGTTTACATGTCAGTCTCCTCTTCCCTCCCTGATCTGCTCGGTTCCGGTCGAACTCACGATACCGCCCACACCGAGATGTCCACCGCTATGAGGCGCGTTCCCCAGACAATTCAGCATCTCGGCGTAATCATCCGACGGGACGGCCATGCACGGGTCCACCGTGTTTTTCTGCGATACTGTGTCGAAGGCGGTCTGGTTCAGCCCGCGCGTGAGGCAGGTTCCCGGCTCGGAGCGGGTTAGTTGCGTCGTGATGCGTACGCGGTAGGCTGCGAAAGCGCCGTCGAGGATGCAGTTGTTCGCGTCTGTTCTGCCTGTGCCGAAGGCGGGGATGGCCGATGTGTTTGAGGCGGGATGGTCCCAGACGCTGGCGTTTTGGATGGGGTGCAGGGCTTGGTCTGCTTGTTCGTCCCAGTATCTTTTCATCGGTGACCGGTTAGTTTAGAGCTGGTGAGAGTGATAGGGATGGGGGAGGTTACGGGTATGCTCCGACGAAGCCGCATTCGTTACGGAGCAGGTCCTCGTGGATCTTGGTGTACCAGCGATGCCATGGAAACAGCGCGCCCTGTCGTATTCACACACCATCACACATAAGCATGATTCCCATCTCCAGAGTCTTTGTTGTAAATATTTGACGTACGACTGTGTGGATGTATCGGACCTGCGCGATATGCGCCGCGAGGAGTTCCTCCCATCGGCTCGTCGAGCCCCAGGTGCCTGCTTTGGCTGGTGCTTGGGTCGGGTCCATTAGGCATAGCGTCGCGTTTACGTAGGATTCTCGTTCTGCTTCGGTTAGAGATGTCCTATGAGGTATTCCTGTTAGTTCAATGTTTCATGGTCTTGAGGTTTGGTTGGATTGGGTGGGATGTACCAAGGTGCTCGCACGCTTGGCGATGTGCAGGCTGCTGCTGCCGCTTGGGACGCGGCGAGAAGAAGGAAGAGACGCTTTAGCATTGTCGATGGTGTTTGTTGTGTTCTATGGATGGTCTACTTCTGGTTAAAGGGGGCCTCGGGGTGGTTGCGCGGACTGGAAGGTGAACGTCGAGGAATTTTGACGGAAGGGCGCGGAGGGCCGAAACGAGTGTAAGGGACTTGAATATTCGACATGAAAGCAACATCTCGAAGTAGAACCGGGCTATGGTCTAGACTTTATACCCCCCAAAGCCTTGACGCTATCGTCAAACTCCATCCTGTCCGGCGTGATCTACCTGGTTAGCGACGTCCTGTAAGCGGACAAAGCTCCGGGCCTTGGCAGAATGATTCTTCCCATCAACGAAGGAATAGAGTTTTTCTAGAAATGCCCTTGTCGATAGGAATGGGCAGTTCTTGTCTAGCTACTGCCTCGTTGATCCTTGCTGGTGATAATTAAGGCTGGCTTGGCGGCCATGACTTGGCTGCAGGATGTGGATGGTAGATTTAAGGTTGTGGTTAGAGTACGGAGTTCCACCCTGATCGCCTCATGTTGATGAATGCATCTTTCATGTGGTGAACGGCTTCTGGTGCAGCCGATGGTACAGGTTAGTTGTCGGACCTTGCTTGCTCTCGAGAAAGGCTTGCCTTTTCTCGTGAGATTCTCTCGAAACGCTGTGCATCAGTGATTGAGTCTGATGCAAAGGCCAAAACTCCGTGTCAAATCTGTTGAACAGATGAAAAGCGACTATTGCTAGCCGGCGATGGGGTATTCTTGGTCCGGACGAGCTTCCCGGACTCGGTTCCGCGTGTTCGGGATATCCGGCGCCAAGATCCGGCAAGTGGAGATGTAATCAAGTCACCAGTTGATTGAAAGACTTGTTTGGGATGAACCAGTGTTTGGATTTTAAGGATAATTGATTGGTATTATTGATTGTGCTGACTTCAACGCTAGCTTGGGCTGAAGCATCCTTGATCTGTTTCTCAGGCAACTCTGGTGATTTGGTTGCGGCTAAAGTTGAATGCAACTGAATAACATTCTAGACAGAGTAACTGAGTTTGAGACTCAAATCTTGACTTGGGGTGTGTATAAGAAATCATCAGCAATCTCACGGTTGGCATTTTCGTTGATGCAAATTCTGCAGCTACTCTAGACTCATATTTCTTAAATACAGTCTTATTCAGAATAGAGTAAAAAAAAAGGATTGCTGCATTATTTCGCGCGGCAAATTGTAATAGTCAGCCAGCACCTTGATAACCATTGCTCGTCCGCCTTCACTACGGATGCTTTAGAGAATATTGGGTTTCAAAAGTCTTTAGAAGGGTGAAGAAGTTGATGGTCGCGTGTTATCAGAAAACAAAACACCTTGAGGATGGAACTGTGCTACAAAGATTCGGTAAAACATGTCTACAATTGTGCATGCACGTTTCTCCGATATGCGTTGATACTTCTATAGAACCATCACTCTTCGTCAGTCAGGCGCCCTCTTTCTTCGACAGTAGTTTCATCGTCTCTGAGATTCTGTCATCACGATTACAGACTGCAACCATACCAAACCCAATTTCTTCGTCAGATACTCAGCGTACTCAAAGCTACAACCATGGGACTCCTTCTGTATGGGGCAACCCGAACCAGGCAAACACTGCCTTGGAATTGCGAAGCACTCAAGTCACTCTCCCTCAAACAACTGGGAGAGCAGCACAAGAAGCTGTATGATACGACGTGGATCTCTCTCAAGAATCTCCGGCACACGCCCAGCCACGACTCGACATTCTGGGCGGAATATGCGACCACTGGAAAGCGTTGGCCCGAAATCATCTCGATGCAAGCCCACGCAGAACTGCTGAGACTTCTGGACGATGACCCTCACAACATTTCGTGTTCAGAAGATTGGGTACTCGGTGGCGCATCGGACAAGTATCAGATCAGATACCTGGCCCACTGTCAGATCAGTGACATCGCCGCCAGACACGCCAGGAGCTCGAGGCATGGCGACGACAGCGAGAGCCTTATTCGCCTTTTCATGGAATGCAAGGATGGTTTGGGCGTCTTCCTCGATGAATTCGACGTCGAAATATACGGCAAGTACGATGTCATGTTTCGTCGGATGCTGGCCACGTACTTTCCGGAGCCACTCCGACCATTTCGTGGCACCAGCACCGTATGGGATCCCGTTCTCGGTGAACGGGCGGATTCGAACAGCAGCCCGGTCTTTCATTTGTATCCCTGGAGACAGGCCGCTAGCATGGAGAAGATTTTCATCTCGGGACCACCCGTCGACGTATTCTCCCCCCAGAACGGGCTCTTTCTTCGTAAACCTATCCAAAGAGGCCTGGAGCATGGAATCATTGCCATCATACCGGACGTGGGCGTGGACAGTTCGTCAACGGAGTTCAAACAGAGGTTGGTAAGATGGTGGCAGAGTCCCGTCAAAGAGTACCAGATCGTCGTCATCGACCCGGAACACCCTGCGGCCTTTGAACCCCTTTATCTTCAAGCGAGAAGACGGCTGCTTGACTTTGAAGAGCGCAAGTTGGTATTTAATGGCGACTTCCGCCCAGACGTCAGGTGCATGTGGTGGGCTTTCCTCTCTGCCGTCACAGTTGCAGCCTGGCGACGCAAGGGTCATCCCACAGAGGCGGGAAGAATCAACAGCGCCATACGAAATGCTATGCGATACTGGGGTACGCCGCTGGGCTTGATCAACAATAACGTGGTGAGCTCGTTCATGGCGACCATTGCGGAGAGTACGGAGAACCTGTTGGACGAAGACCAACAATTCATGAAGCAGTATGATCGGGATGATTTGGGCGTGGCGGTCGTTGCCTTCGAACGTGCGAACGCTTTTAGGGACGAGAAGGAAAACTGTGATTATCAGTATGAAGACGATGACGAGGATATGTTCAAATATGACACGTAGGTGGACTGGGAAAGAATACCCTGATCATACGGTCAGTAACACACTGTCGAGGTGACAAATCCTCCCAATGTAGCCCCGATAAAAATATAGACTACCGATATCATCATGTTTCATGATTGCAAGTAATGTCTGGTAACTCTGGTTCATACATGGTGATACTTTGAAGTCGAGATACAGCACAGCTCTGAGGAGTGACTAGTAAGTTTTACCCATTAGATGACCTTACAACAGTATATGAAGATGTAGCATCTCAAAGTCAGTTGTAGAAATTCCCATTCAAGCTTTTGCAGATGGAAAAAGGTTGGCGTCAACTTAACTGAGATCTAATGAATATCCTAAATATTAAACTTCCTGTATGGCGTGGTTGAGATACCTCTATGTGAGGCAAAGCAGTCGGAAATGCTTAGTTCTTCTGCAGAATCTTTGTTCTCCTTTTCACCAATGAAGGTCGAACGGATTACTGGTTCACCAGTCATCACCGCCGCCGTGTACTTCACCTCACCTCAACCTACTTCAGCCGGGAAATTAACCCTATAACTCAGTCGTCAAACTAACTGGCCACTCTTTTGAATAGTCACCTCCACAAAGTGGTCATTTATTTTGACGATTAAGTGCCTATCAACTTGTTATGAGAAGAAAAGGTTTTCTTTGCTCTTTCTCTCTCAGTTTTCTCTTCAATCACCTCACCAGCCTCTCAACTCATTGCAACCAACAATCCAAAGAAATGGCGCAAAACCCCATCGACGAAGTGGTAGCGCCTTTTGATGGCATGGATCTGGATCAAGATGATTCGACTTCAATGCGCGGCGACTCGGCGTCAACTCTTCTCCCCATCGGAAGACAAACCCGCCGCGAGAGACGCCGAGCCGAGGGAAGAAAGCGCGTCGAGAGAATATTCGGCGATCGGATGAAGGGAAAAAGAGGTAAGTTCGTTCTCTAGAGATCTCGCGTCCCCAATTGTTTTCGGCGTACACTGACGCGCCTCAGGTGACGCCTTCGTGTCTACCGAGGAAGATCCCGAGAAGAAGCTCTTCAGAGCCATCGAACACTTTCCAGAGACTCTCAGAACCGGGTTCAAGACCGGCGTCTCGTTTCATACGGTCAAACCGATCGAGCACTCCATCGCCGAGAATCTCTGTCGCAACCTCAGCCTGCGGGGTACTCTGGGAGGCGACTCCGCCCGCCTCTTCGCATTCGCCCGCACGCTCGTCAGTCAGTCCAACAACATCAAAAGCTACTATCCGACGGCGAAATACGAGGGGTCCTTCGACGAGCGACGCAAGTTCTTCTTCCAGGTCTTGGCGGATCGATTGGTTGTGGCGAAACTCGGCGGAGGCGTGCCGCCCAGGAGATGGGACCGGAATCTCATTTCTAGACAGACCTGCGAGGCGATGCTGAATGCCTTTGCTGAAGCCCGGGTGGCTTACCTCCGGATGGACATGGACGACGGCGAGAAGGTGGTTCAGGAGGGCACTTATACGAAAAAGGTGACGAAATTCATCAAAGAACTCGATCAGTGGATCTCGTTCATCCAGAAGCTCGAGAACAAGGAGCAGCAGGGAGAGGATCACGAGTTGGCTGACGCGATGGGCGACCTTGGTATGGGAAACTGCAAGTAGATTGAGTGCACGCGAATGTATTCTGGGTGGGTGGCTGCGCCGGGGCTACAGGATACCAGAAAAAGAATCATGGCGTGCGTATAGAAAGCAACCTCAGCGTTTCATTAAGGTCTTCAGGCTTTCACCGAGAATGGAAATGCAGACCTCGCTCGCTTGGGGCTACTATCGGGTACTTTGAGGGAGGTCGAGGTGGCATACTCTTATAAAAACATAGATTCTTCACAAGATTGACAGCGGCGAAGATCGAATTTTGGGGCTTTCAATAGAGAGTGATTCTATAGATCGGATGTGGTGGCATTTCAGCGACTAACGGCTCTTGGTATGTGGTTGTTGATGGCGTGAGGTTGGTGTAATGGGAGGTGAAAGATGAGGGTGAGTTGACTACTTATCCCCTTTGAATAGCATTTCCGGATATATGGATATGCCTCTGCGTAATATGCAACTGACACGCTGATATGCGGAATCCGAATTATGGCTGAAGCTCTCTCATTTGTGGCTTGCTCTGTGGCTGGGGAAACAACCGTGGACGAGAGACAATTTTTGGATCGATCTCCGATTCAATATTCTGCTAAATTTCATTCGTACCACAAACCCATATCGAGCCCTGCCTCGATGGCCATGCGCCTGATTCGACACTCCTGCCGACTCTGCTTCGCAGCGCGCCGACTGACCATCCGATCGTTTACGACCGAGTCTTCCTCCTGCTCCCGCGTCGACACCCGAGCCTCAATCCCTGCATGTAGCGAACCGAAAAGGCTACGATGCACCGAGGTGGATGAGCATGGCGGCGTGACGGTGCGATTCATCTCACCGAAGAAGACCGAACTTACGACCCGTTATGGCCTCGTGCCTCGCGACATCCGCAAGATTGAGGCCTCGGCCCTCTCCCACATCGGCCTCCGACCATCCACAGTCCTCGTTCACCTTTTCCACCTGAAGGTGCTCGTCCAACGCGACCGAGCCCTGATATTCGATGACGCGACGAGCATGACCTCCCGCGACAACTTCTTGCGCGATATTCGTGAAGCGATACGGCTGAGAGACACGACAGAGAGCGAGGCAGCAGCCTACCAAGAGGAGGACAAGACATACAGCCAGCCGCGAGCCTCTTTTGAATTCCTGGCTCTGGAAGCTGTGCTGAGCTCTGTCGTGTCGGAGCTGGAGGTAGAACTCGAGGCCGTGCGACGCCCAGCTGAGCATGTCTTGAAGTCACTGGAATACGACGTGGACCGCCGCGTGCTGCTGAACCTTTTCGGCCTCTCCGGCAAGGCAACTTGGGTGGCAGCTCAGGCAGAGCTAGTCTTGACCGCCGTTGAGGATGTGCTCGACTGGGATGACAGTCTCGCCGCGCTCTACCTGACGGCGAAGGCAGGTCCAGACGGCCGAGCCAAGACAGCCGACGACGATCTCACCGCGGCGGAAATGCTGCTGGGGTCTTACTATAATGCGTTGAACGAGATCGTGCAGGAGGCGCAGAGCTTGGTGTCCAGCATTCGGAACACCCAAGAGAGGTTTGTGTCTCGCACCAATTGCCCCGAATTTCATGAAGTCTCCTCTGACAATCTCGTTTGGCTTGGCCCGCTTCCAGCGCCAGCGCGATTCTCGATGCCAATCGCAATACCTTGATGCTTCTAGATCTTAAGTTCCGCATGGGCACGGTGGGCCTGGCCACCGGCTCGTTCTTTTCTGCCTTTTACGGCATGAACATCTCCAACTACATCTTGGAGTACAATTGGGCGTTTGCCGGCGTGTGCGGCACATCTGCACTCCTCACTGTGGTTGCCATCTGCTACGGGTCGTCAGTTCTGCGTAAGCTGATGAGAGTCAAGATGGAAGGACACAGGGAAGCCCGGTCTCTCGTCTCTGGCAGATGGAGCAGAACATTGAGATGAAGAGACTGGGCAAAATGTAACATTAAGGGTGCTCAACTCAGCCGCCCGCTGTGATAACATAGACTTATGCCATAGACTAATGCATAATAACGACTTGATGAAGGCAGGGCTCTTTCGGAACATGCGCCGCCTGCACCATCGGAGGACGAAACGGCCTTTCATCTCTTGTTTGAGACCACGATCAATACAGATTGAGTCAACCGACGGCGCTGACTTCAGCAACGACTGCCATTGTGGCCTGATTCAGTCGAACTTCGTCAAAATTGGGACGACACATCATGGGCCGGGATTGCCCATCGCGCTACAGCCGCATCTTTGCAGCTCACGGGATCATTCAGCTGTCATCATGAGGATGACATTAGAGACAACAACTGAGTCAACGCATGGAAACATGTTTCGTGTTCCAGGGCAATAGAAAAGATTGATGCAGCAAACGATCTAGAACATCAACGCCTCGCCGGCTGCTCTCGCACCAGTAAGCATCGCGTTCAACAATTCTTACATTCTACTGAAACATTCAAGCGGTCGTTCACTTAACTGAGTAGTTGAACGTTTGAACAATCATATTTCACTTGATCGTTTTGTGACACCGTCCCAAGCGGAGGCATCACTTCTCACTGCAGTGACATTTGATGTGCAGCCGGGGTTACGGACAGCCGAGACCTGTTTCTCAGTCTAGAACATACTAAAATAGCGACAACAATCTGACGGTAGAGGGATGTCAAATTGACGGAACGTCTCCCCGGAACAAAGTTAATCTCTCTTCAAGTTCCAGAAGAAACAATCCTCAGGGGCACCGGCAACCAAGCCTTCAAGGCAAGGACGTGCCTCAGGGGCGAACGCAGCACCACCTGAAAGACCGATGGGTCTCAATATCGGCGCACATTATCGCCAAGCAAGCTTCGTTGGCGATTAGCTGGCGGGAATGACGAGTCCGGAGGGGCCTAGACTGCCGATGCAAGTGGAGATGTAGGCTGAGCCGCCGATCACTTGACGGGGGTCCAATGCCGTGTGTTTTTTCACCATTGGATGTTTACGCGATCGAAAAAACCGGTCACTGGTCAGCGACGGCACCGAATATGCATCTTGGCTGCAAGAATACGAGCTCCACGAAAGCACGCGAGCGACGTCATGCAAAATTCTCCCCTCGTGTTGGCCCGTTGCTATTTTTGTTAAACCAAACCAAACAACCGACACGCCTTTAAATACTGAAAATGGCCCCTCGGATGGTCTCTGGTCGGCCAGCTTTGACTAGACTTCCAGAAGCCCTCATTCATCCCTAATACTCTATTATATCTCTATTCTAATATCTTCCAACATGTATCTCAGAGGAGCTCTCGCGGCGGCCGGCCTGGCCACCACCGCCTATGCCCAAACCCAGCAGGGCTTCAACTACGGCGCCACGAACGAGGACGGTTCCTGCAGAGGCTACGACGACTTCGCGAGCTACTTCAACACCGCAAAGAGCTTGGCTGGCACTTCAGGATTCACTTCTGCTCGTCTCTACACGTCGATCCAGTGCGGCACCGTCAACGATCCGATCTCCGCATACCAGGCCGCGATCGACACCGATACCCAGATCCTCGTGGGTCTGTGGGCCAGCGCCGGACGGGGCATCTACGAGAACGAGCTCAACTCGCTGCTGCGTGCCGCCGAGCAGTACGGCACCGCCTTTACGGACCGCGTGGTTGGCATCAGTGTCGGTTCGGAGGATCTCTACCGCAGCAGCCCCGACGGCGTTGCCGCGAACGCCGGCGTCGGCGCCACCGGCGCGGAGATCGAAGGATACATCGGATGGTTGAGGGACTGGATCCGCGGAACCGCCCTCGAGGGCAAGCCCATCGGCCACGTCGACACCTGGACGGCGTGGGTCAGGGGTGAGAACGCCGGTGTTGCTGCGTCCGTCGACTGGCTTGGCCACAACTCGTTCCCGTACTTCGAGTCGACGAAGCCCAACGCGATCGAGCAGGCCGCCGACAACTTCTGGTCTGCTCTGGGTAACACGGAAAGTGTTGCAGCAGGAAAGCCTGTGTTCGTCACTGAGACTGGCTGGCCACACAGTAAGTCGAATCGCCCTCACCGTTACGGTGCTACAGTCTCGAGATGTCTTAACTAACATGCTGTCCCAGTCGGTCCTCAGCAGGGCGCTGCTGTCGCCTCTGTCGACAATGCTCGCAGCTACTGGTCTCAGGTTGGATGCGCTTTGTTCGGTCAGCGCAATGTCTGGTGGTACACTCTGCTCGATGCGAACACCGCGCAGACCGACATTTCCTTCGGTGTCACGCCGGCGGGCAGCTCAACGCCTGTTTTTGACCTCAGCTGTTAATGAGCAGTCGTCTTGGAAGAAGGCGCAAGGCTACGCCTAGGCTTTTGGGTTGGAATCCCCAAGGCCAGGGTGTAAATAATAGTGTAAAAAGGGATGAGGCTGCGCCGAGATACGACGCAATAATGTTAATCTTTATTCCGCTGTTACTGCGAGGTTGATTGCTTCCCCGCCTTCGTGTTACTGCGTCTAGAAGAGCCGCCTCAAGAGCATGTGTTCGTTTACGGGACAGAAGATTACATCTTCGCAAGCCTGGCCTCGGAAGGGTTCATAAGGATCGATAGGATCGTGGATTATAACGAAGGATCCGTACGGATATTGGTCTACGCAATGGACGACCCCTGCCAAACCCCGTCGGCCTTTATGACTTAAATCTCACGTCAGAATCCTAGATATTCCACTTGATCCCATTGGCTAGAATTATTCAGGGTCTTGAAAGTGCAGGTCTCTGTCGCCGGATCAGTTTAGTAGGTCCGCTCCGCAATCCTGAATCGCAACAAAGCGATAAATACACTAGACATTGCTACCCCGCGACCGTTGACGATAGGGCTCGAATATCAGCGACGAGTTTTAGAACTGTGAAAATATCTCCGACGAACTTGGTTATTTGAGTGAGTGGCACTATTTAGGCAAACCTCGACAATATGGAGGTCGTTGCTGCTGGCGTATCGTGGGCGTTGGACAAGTCGGTGTCAGCTCAGAAGATCCTAGGTCGCCTCAGTCTTGCCTCCTTAGTCGCGCAGAACATCACGACTTCATGGCCAGAGCTCTCACAGAAGCTATCGTCTCGAGCATCGATCGTGTTTCCGAATGATCCAGACTTCGGCGGTTCTGTAAGCAGATGGCGCGAGTGGCATGCACCGGAGGTGGGCGCAGTTGTGAACGTGTTCACGGAGAACGACATACAAGAAACGGTTCGTCAACCAGGTTGAAACAGACAGCTTTTTGTCGAGCAGACTTTGGAGTGCAGATGAAATGCTTACCACTGGCGCTTAGATTCGTTATGCGAATGAGCACGGAATGCCCTTCCTCGCCCGGTCTGGCGGACACGGTGCGACTGAAGCATTGAACACCGCCAAGAATGTGATCATGATTGATCTTCACGGCTGGGACGAAGTCAAGATAGCCGAAGATGGTAGATCTGCGACGATTGGCGGTGGAGCGAAGGTGAAGAAAGTTGTGGACCACCTTTGGGAAGCTGGCAAACAGACCGGTAAGTTAAGCACAGCCGAGAGACATACCACGTGAAGACTTTGGGCGCTCATCACATGACACCAAGTTACCGGCATCTGCGAGTGTGTCGGAATGTCGGGACCGGTCTTGGGAGGTGGCCATGGCTGGCTTCAGGGGCAATACGGACTGGCGTCGGATCAAGTCATTTCAGCCCGGGTTGTCCTACCCAATGGCGAAGCCGTGACTGCCTCAGAGGAAAGCAACCCGGATCTTTTTTGGGCTCTTCGAGGAGCCGGACACAACTTCGCTATCGTGGCTGAGTGGGAGTATCGCATTCATGACGTGAAGAACAAGGAATGGGGCTACCAGATCTTCATCTTCCTCAGTGAACAGCTGGAGGAGGTGTTAGATTTGACGAACAAGATGATGAAGACGCAGCCCCCCGAGATCATCCATTGGATGTACTTCGTCAACATCCCAGAGATTGACCCGCATCGGGTACGATTCCCCCCCTTACGAACTCCCCCCTTTTACGAGCTGGATCTTCCTGGTATCTAACTCATGTTGCCAGCCAATCATTTGGTACGCCATCATCAACGATGGGCCTTCCGACGACACATTGCAGTACGCCAAACCGCTCTATGACATTAGACACGTTGTCGTTGATGCTGGATCCGCGTCCCTGCCCGCTCTGGCGGGCAAGACCTTCATGGACAACGACGGCCTCGGATGCGCCAAGGGTAACACCGGTCTGAGGTACCCAATCGGCCTGAAGGTGTATGACTTGCCTGCAATAAGAAAGGTGTTCGACGATATTGCCGAGATTTCGAATCGTATCCCCGAGTTTGCCGGGTCCTTCTTCTTGTTGGAGGGATACTCAACCCATGCTGTTAAAGCAGTCAACGAGAAGGACTCCGCCTTTCCCCACCGCGATGACGAGATCTTGATCACGCCGTACGTTATGTACAAGCCAAATGCTTCCCTGGATGCGTTGGCTCAGGAACACGGGGAAAGGCTGAGGGGACACTTGCTCAAGGCTAGCGATGATCCTGAGAAGTTGCGGGCGTACGTGAATTATGCGCATGGGGTTGAGTCTCTTGAATCCATGTATGGATGGGACGACTGGAGGTTGGAGAAGTTGAGAGGTCTGAAGCAAAAGTGGGATCCTGAGAACCGGATGAGGTTCTACAATCCTATTCTGTAAATACACGTACGTGAGGCCTAGGGTGGAGAGGACGCAATCCGTCTCGGAGGCCGAGGCCAGACCTGTCGGAGGACCGTGGCAGATAAGAACATACACATACTCAGAGGGCAATAGCAGCCGCCGAATCTCGATGAAGACATACCGTATTGATAGAGAGCATATAGGCAAGTTCAGCTATGGTAACTGTAGACGCATCTAGGGACTGAATAGGCACATCGTGGCAGTAGTGATGGCATTGCGGACCGCCAGCTCCGTGGAGCGCCGTGGGCCGGACGTTCTGAATCATGGCTTTCCCGATGATTACCCGTCATCAACTTGTGCTTGATGCCGGCTGGATGCCGATTGTACAGTGTGAAGAGTTCAAGTTGCGGAGTTGGTCGGGCCAGAGCCCGCACGATGCGCGGAGTTTGCCCGATTCCGCACAGTCTCACGACTCGCTTGCTGCCCGATACTCCCCGACTTGACAATGCGAACGCGAAATCTCCACTTTATTCTCCGAGTAAGGTACTACTGTCAACGACAGAGTCCACATTGAAAGTGCCAGAGCTGACTGCCGAGGTGTTAGGAGCGGTGGGTGCAAGTAGTCACAGATTCAATTTCCCCAGATGCCAAAAATGTCGATGACATCTTACCCCAATCTTGATTGTCGTAAGATCATGCGGGGAAGTGGTTCATCTTCACCTTGAACTCATATGTTGCTTCCCGCTCCTGTACTGATCCCCCACATGGAGCTCTCGCAATTTGTTGGAGAAGTTCGTTAACGAGACAACTGCACATGAGCCTCTTCTGCTCAACAACCATTGTATCTCATTTTCTTCTTGCTTCCTGATAACTCTGACCCATCTTCGCGATTGAAACAGTATCTATACATCTTTGTTTACTCAACAATCGTCTTTGACTGAACTCCGCTGGCATGGACATCGGGCCCAGCTCTCTTCAACTTGCAATGACGTTGATGTTCTCTTTACAACCTAGTTTATGGGGTAAGACGGGGCACCAAGCATACCATGAACATGGAAATGACGGGAAATAACTTTTGCCCATGTCTTCTCGAGCGTAAAGCTCCGACCGGCAGGCTCAAATATTGGAGCCCGACACTCCGCGGACAGGCTTCACGTGAAATGCCCCAGACTTCCCCCATGTCACGTAGTGAAGTTTCCCCACGGGGGCGCTTGCAATTCCCCGGGTCAAGCGCGTATTGGCTATCACGTATCAAAGGAGACAATCTAGCCTAAGCACTGACCTATAAGTCTCGCGACGCGGCGGTATGAAACTCTCTGTCTTCGTCCTTAAGCACTCGTCCTTTCTTTGAAGTGCGTTGCTGAACTCTTTGTTGACACCACCAGACAGACCCCGATTCGGATTCCAGAGGCCCGAGTCGTTGCTGCAAGATGTTTCGGAAATCGAAAGATAATGGCATCAAGAGCAAGGGCATCAGCCCCGAGCTCGAGGCTGTACTCCCCAAAGACGGCCTCCCCTGGTACAAGAAGTCGCATCTGCGGTTGCTCAACTACTACTGTGTCTTCTTGGGTCTTCTGTGCGCCGCCAACGGATACGATGGCAGTATGATGTCTGGTCTTCTCGCCTTGCCACAATGGATGGACTTCATGGACCAGCCGAAGGGTGCCTGGTTAGGCTTTATCAACGCTATTCAGTCTCTGTCAACTATGCTGGCATATCCCGCCGTCGCGTACTTCGCCAACCGATGGGGACGTAAGAAGGGTCTGTTCGTCGGCTACACGTTCCTCTTCCTCGGATCCTTGCTTCAAGCTTTCTCGCCAAACAAGACCGGATTCATCCTTGGGCGTCTTTTCATCGGTCAGCCAAGTGCGTGGTGGGGCGGTCTTGCTCCTCTACTCATCACTGAACTTGCCTACCCGACGCATCGTGGAGTTCTCACAGCGTAAGCAAGACGCCATAGAAATTGAGCCTCGAGTCCCCTAGAGACAACTAACCTTCGACGATAGACTGTACAACTGTGGCTGGTTTGTTGGAAGCTCTCTGGCTGCTTGGGTGAGACCAACCCTTACTCGTATGACCACTGCAGGTAACTAACCTTAGCTAGGTAACATATGGTACTCGAAACTACGCCAGCTCATGGGCATGGCGCATCCCATCCCTTCTTCAGATTGCGATCCCGCTCGCCGTTTTGCCCGCCGCTCTCCTGGTCCCCGAATCACCCCGATATCTCATTTCGAAAGGACGATTGGCCGAAGCCCGAAGCGTTCTCACCAAGTTCCACAGCGGCGGCGACGAGAACTCCATACTGGTCGACTTTGAGATGACTGAGATCGAACGGGCCATCGAAGACGATAAGAAGGCTGGCGAAACCTCTTCCTGGGGAGAAATGTTCAAGACGCCCGGAAACAGACACCGTGCTTTTATCTCAATGACGCTGGGTCTCTTTGCTCAATGGGTAAGAACCGTATTCAGCCTTGGGAGGAGTTTCACTGATCAATCGGGCAGAACGGAGTCAACGTTGTCAGCTACTACCTTCCGGATGTCCTGAGGGCCGTCGGCATCAACTCGGTTACCGATCAAACGCTCATTAGTGGATGCTTGCAAAGCTGGAACCTGGTCATGGCTGTCTCGGCCGCCATCTCAGTTGAGCGAGTAGGACGCCGGAAGCTGTTTCTCACCAGTTGTTTCGGCATGCTCACCAACTACATTATCATCACGGGATTATCGGGTGGCTTTGCTGCCACAGGAAAGGGCCCTGTCGGTCTGGCAGTGGTGCCCTTCTTATACATCTACTACAGCTTTTACGATATTGCCTTGTAAGTTGCAATAACCCTTCTGAAAGTTGGTAATAATTCTCATTATTTTTCGCAGCACGCCTCTCATCGTCTCCTACCCTGCCGAAATCTGGCCCTACCAGCTCCGTGCTCGCGGCACAGCTCTGACCCAAATGACGACCTACCTGGGTATCTTCTTCAACGTTTTTGTAAACCCAATTGCAATGGATGCCATTGGGTGGAAATACTACCTGGTTTTCGTCGTGATTCTCATCATTGGCACGATCATCATCTACTTCTTCTACCCTGAAACTAGAGGGCACACCCTGGAAGAGATGGCAGTTATCTTCGATGGCGATGAAGCGAGAGTTACCGACTCCGTCGGTCGCTCAGACGACAAGGGGGCAATTGTTTCTCAACATCATGAAAGCGCCTGAAGTAGCGGCATATGACGGTAGATTTGGTTCAGCAGTGAAGATCCTTGAAAAGATAGAGCTTTAGACCATCTTTTTGGAAGAAGTAACAATACTCATTTGACGTTCACACTATCTGTCAGCCTGCATGAGGTTCTTGTTGTTCGTGAAACCAACGATCTGACGTGCCGGCTTGGCAATTGCTTGTGTCTCCCACATATGTTGTCTCTATTAGCTGAGACCTGGGTTGACAGTCTTGAGGTGGATCGGCCGCTACCCAACAAACGCAAGGAAAGGGTCCGCAGCGTTAACGTTGGGATCTCCAAAAGAACGCTACCCGTCGCAGGTTTCAATCTCGAAACTGATACCCGCCATCAATGGCCCACGCCTGCCCGGTGACGTAAGATGAGTCCGTTGAAAGTAGAAACGCAACCACCGTCGCGATCTCCTTTGGCTCAGCCATGCGTTGCAAAGGACAGCTCTTGATAGCTTCCTGAAGATATGGCTGGTTCGCATAAAGTTCCTTGACTTGCTCGGTCGCAATAAGCCCTATCATAAGAGCGTTGGCTCTGATTCCTTGAGGCCCCCATTTCCGTGCCGTATGCCGGGTGAGAGCATGAATGGCTGCTTTCGATGCTCCGTATGCGGGACGAGTCGGCTCGCCAGCGTGAGCTGCACCAGAGGAAATATTGACTATGCTTCCCCCGCTGTTTTTAAGAAAATGTGGGAGGGTGTACTTTGTGGTCAGGGCGAACCCTATGAGATTTACATCCATAGTCTCGCGCCAGACGTCGGGACTCATGTTGTCGACTGGTCCATCTTTGTTGATGATGTCAGGACGTGTTTGTGCGGCCATGTTGACCAGTCCGTCGATCTGTCCGAAGTTTTGCGCTGATTTTTCGATGACATCTCGAACAGATTCCTCTTTCGCCAAGTCTAGGTGGTAGGCTACAGCACTACCGCCTGCCTGAGTGATTTCGTTTGCCACCTTGGTTGCACGCTGGTCGTTGATGTCGGCGACAACAACTTTGGCTCCGCGGTCGGCTAGAATCTTTGACGTGACCGAGCCGACGCCGCCGGCGCCGCCTGCCACGATGATAACGAGTCCGTCCAGAGATGACATAGTTTCCGGAAGAGATTCGAGGACAATATTGAAGCTGACAGGTTTGTGAACAGTCAAGGAAAAACGTCAAGCATGTAACGAAGCACGGGTTATATATAACAACATATGTTGCATATGTTGCTTCAAACTTCCCTTAGCGATGAGGGAACCTTGGCGAGAGGTTAGAATAAAGTTACCTTTGATTGTAATCTACAAATTCGAACCGAAGATGCATTGGATATTTGGATTAGGTTTCCAACGAAGGTATGTGGCGTCGGCATTGGTTGTGACTAGACAGATAGAGTTGCTTCGTATCAATTGTCGCGGATTCGCATTCTGTCTCGCTGTAAATTTCAACTTCCAGCTGAATGTGATTCGTCCAAATACGAGCGGAATCAACATTACAACATCCGCCAGCGGAATGCGAGCCGTATGGTAGAGCTTGTTTTCGGGGGAGAACGGTACTATACGCAGCTCGCATTCGGAAGTTTCCCCAGAACTTTGTTTCTTTCCCCTGGAACTTTGATTCCGCAGGGCTGTGTTGTAACAACCCAGACAATAATTTCCAAAATGACATGTCGGGCCCATGATCATTATGTTGACAACTTGTTAATTGCCTGGGCTGTTCTCTCTCGCGCATTCTCCGTTAACGTGAGAAAGAGCCAATGACATCGCATCCACCAGCGCTGCCTGACCTGGGCGTTTTAACTTTCACTAAGCAGTCTTCCCAGAGGTATCCCTCCAACAATGGTGAACGCGGCTGAAAACCTTTTTCAACACTACCGGGAACAATCAGTGTCCTCTCCGATGGACCGGGAGACATGCCCCGGCTGGCATTACTGCGGCGCAATGTCGATTTTGGAGTATTCAGGCTAGAACTATGCGGAATTGGGGAAAGGAATTGAGGTGTTTGTGAGCTGTCACGCGGTGGAATGAGCGCACTGTCTCGAGGGGCCTGGAATTGAGAACTCGATGACGAACGCCCTTGGAACGCCCTTGGTCTTCCCGAGAAGAAGGCCATTTCTGTGACTCGTTGCGCCGAAGACCCCAGATCTACTGAAGACATCGCTGCTTCTCCTCTAGCTTCATCGACCGGGGAGGCAGAACTTCGGGGTCGTCCACTTCTCTCGTAGGCTAGAGAAAGCTGACAGTCATTTCTCTCAGTGCCTCGGACTCGAGCTGCCGTAGAATGATCGAATGCTGAAATACTCGTAAGCTTTAGCTTCCTGAGTGATGAAGCAGGTCAATCAATCAGCAGGGGCCTCTCCATATCCAAATTTAACGTGAAGAGGACGTTATAATGAACTCTTTACCACAGGAGGAGATCAATTTCTCATTGCTTAAATTTGAAGCTAATGTATTTTCCCGATTTATATCCCGTAATTTTGGCATCAAACACAAGCTTGAATCACTCTATTGATGCAGAAAATACTGGTATGATAAGCTCGCCAGCTCAACTGCCGAATTCACTCTGTAGCCACTCTTCAACTCTCGAACTTGTGCGGCTCTTTCCCTTCCGAGAACTCCCGCGACTTCGACTCCATACCACGGTGGTCTCCCCATCATGGGCGTTAGGTAACCTGACTCTGATGTTGTCCGAATCTATGTCGATGATGGCGGGAATCGTGAGTCCCGTCATGTGCGCCTCCGCTGTATTCTGGCTCTCAGAGTCGTGGGTGAAGTCAGAGGCATTACTTGAGTCGCCATCACTCTGAGCTGCACCTTCAGGACATGTGTCTGCAAATTGGTAGGTGGTATATCCTGCTGGGTCCATGATAGGAGGATAGTAGAGATAAGATGTCTCTGCCATGGGTTGGGTAGCCCGGTAGCTCTGGGAATCTGAGGACGGTGCAAAGTCCCATTCCATCTCGCCTAGAAATTTCATGTATTAGCTCAAAGAACACCGGTATCTCGACGAAAAGGTGATTACCTGTCACCCCTCTACGGTTTCTGTAGTAAAACCCCCCTTCTTCGTTGTCAAGGGTCCATTCCGACCAAGGTCCCGCGACTGGGAGAACTTCTTGATCTATCTGTATAGATCGACCCATTGACGGCGGAAATAATGATGGAGCGATATATTCTTGAGACTTCTTGCTCCCATCCTTTTTGTGACGGTGTTGTTGACTCATTTTCAAAGTGAGGACTTCCGCTGCGTATAGTCTGTCCTATGTCGATTGAGTCAAAGATAGGACCGTCGAAAAGCTCAACCAGAGAATCTGAGTTAGGACTTAGAGGCTTAGCTTAGATGATGTTCGCTGACACCTCAACTGCATCGACAACCTGAACGTTGTCAAGAGCAAACTCGGTCAATCCAGACCTTCAGATAAGGGCCAGGAAGATGCGGAAGTCGATTCATTTTAAGATATCGCTCCACGCGGTCTAGATCAGGATCATTGTAATTTAGGAGAAGAACAAGGTATCTCTTTGGTCATGCCGTGTACGAAGCCACATCAGTGGTGATGGATGGTCGGTTTGGTTGAGGTAAGGCATCCATGCCCTTGCTCTGGGCATCAAAAATGCCTAAATATCAATTCAACAACGCTATTGGTGAGTCGGATGGTGTCTTATAATGCACATCCAACACACGAGGAAGACTAGCCAAAGAGGAGGGAGTGCTCCGCGAATCAAAAGCCGCATATTTGGACATTGCAGGCATAGCCTGCTGCCTGCTTCGTCTTGCATGCACGCGATGTGCCCGTCTCTGTAATTGAATTCCAGTTGATGCCACACTTTTCCCGATGATATAGGGCCAAAAAGAGACAAGTAATATGACTAAAAGTGGATGACAATATGTCATTGGGCCACGTCGAATGCTATGCTTACCGTCTTATGCCGTCCTCCTGATTCGACGGAGGGAGAGGCCATCAAGCCTACACAGAGTAAAGCCGAACACCAAGGTGAAGGAGGCTCATGCTTACAACGATGGCGCACCATGAATGCCTGGCTGCCCAAATGCTGCCCATTTCGCCTGGTGAGATGAACACATGTTCAGTTTCTCGACGCAACCAATATCTCAGGGATGCTCTTGGGCAGCTACACGCATGAATCCCGTCATTTCTGACCTTCGAACCATGCAATCATGCCATTGTGTTAATATGTGTCGCATTCATCATTTATCACGTGGTCTGTATTGCGGAAAGGGATACTCGGGGCCAACTAGTAGGTTTTCTTTCTGGCATTCAAGTCCTCGATTACTTCAGCTAAAAATTTAAGATAACACCGCCACTGTAATAACGGATATGTAACTCTTGAGTCTTTGAGACTCATAAGTGTAGCCGTAGTGCTCAATGATACATCATCCCGTCATAGCCACTATTAATTATTCATCAGATCGTTTTATATGGGATATTTCACGAGGCAGCTCCAGCAGGTAGTTCGTAATCTTGATTGAACGCAAATACTGCGGCAGGTTTTAACGAAAACACATAACCAAGATACAGTCGTTAATCTGAGAGCTACTCTTTCATTCTTTGAGCATCTATGTTGCTGCATGAACAGTTTTATGGCGACATCAACGACAACCCGCGTGAAGCAAAACAGACACTGCAATAACGTTGACGGTTTAAACTACTTTACACTTGTCTCACTTTGGACTCACAGAATTGATCCATAGAGACAATGATTACTCGCATAGACTGAGTGGTTATAGAGCGGTGTCGTCGCACTGAGTCACAGAATTCGGCACTGGCGCACCTCCAAGCTCCGCCACTTTGGGAATTGACTTCGTTCCCAATTGGTTGAAATAACTATTGACCGAAATAATCTCAGAATGGCATGGAATCTCATTTCAACTACCTAACACGGACGTTGGTAGCTATCACCATCCTCCGCTTCAACTTTGCCTCATCCACCACTCTTCTTTATTGCCTGACAGGCACCCATACATACTATGCGTCACGCTATCAAAAGATCCCCCGTCTTTGCTATCTCCGTGAACTACCATCTGTTGAAACCAACAACATCAGCGTGGAGGGTACCTTATCAACATGTGAGACGCTTAGAGCCGGTCTCCCGCCGACGTGTGACCCCGCCCCCATTTTCACCACGCTGCCTTCGTGGCTGGACCAGAATCTTCCCCACCCAAGATAGCTGCGACCAGGTCGCCCTTGAACAACCTAGAGTTCCTATGTGTATTAGGGTCTTAAAGAAACAGTGGTCTTCGAACCCAAGACTTGGAAATGAACGGCATGAACGCTGCGTACCCGTTGTTTTTCGTCCAATCAGGCACAGCGTAACCTCAACTTCGACAACTTCCAGAGTCATTTCACATCAAATCTTATCCACTTATTTGCAACTCAACCGACAACATGTGGCGCTTTCTGGGGTTTGCATCGTCAACTGAGAACGACAAGCCTGAACCCTCTCGCAGTCTCCCAGCTTCTTGGTACCGATCCCCGGAACTGCACCAGCTCGAGAGAAGAGCCATCATCTCCAAAAAGTGGATCTTGGTTTCACACTCGCTGAGATTCAAGCAAGCCGGAGACTATATCTCTTTCAACTATGCGGACTTCCCATTCTTCCTGATCCAAGACCGAGAAGGCAACATCAACGGCTTTCATAACGTATGTCGGCATCGCGCGTATCCAGTTGTCGAGACTCGTTCTGGCAAGGCTAGCATTCTCAGCTGCAAGTATCATGGCTGGTCATACGGCTTCAAGGGAAACCTAGCAAAAGCACCGAGATTCGACACAGTGAGGGGTTTCGACAAGAATCAACATGGCCTCCTTCCTATTCACGTCCGCATAGATCCTGCCGGATTCATTTGGGTGAATCTCCAAGCAGGCGAGCCTGATGTGAAATGGGAGGATGAGTTTGGTGGCGTCTACCAGAAACCGAGGATGCAGAACTTTGACTTCGCCGGGGGTTACAAATACGACCATGTTTGGGAGATGGAGCTCGATGCAAACTGGAAAACAGTCATCGAGAACTACAACGAGTGCTACCACTGCCCAACATCTCATCCTTTGATTGCTGGCGTGTCGGACCTGACTCAGTACAAGGTTGAGCCAAGCGGAAGTTGTCTAGAGCACGAGATCATCAACAAGAAGGCTCGAGATGAGGAGGACGAATTTCGGAGGTCCATTACCTTCTTCTTCCCCTCAACATCGGTGACAATCACGTAAGTCACAACCATGGGATTTCATTATAACAAATAACGTTTACTGACATCATTTAGTAAAAACTTCTTCTACATCCAACGGATGATTCCAGTCAATGCTACGAAAACAAGGATCGAGAATGAGGTCTACCGAAGCCATAGTGCTGGGGATGAAGAGTTCGCAGCAATCAACGCATTCTATAAGCAGGTCTTGGAAGAAGACAAAGACCTGTGCATTGGAGCGCAGAGGAACCTGAGCGCCAGCGTTTTCGTCAACGGTGAACTTCATCCTGAAAAGGAAAAGGTGTGCAGAACTACTTCATCTTTCCTATCACAAACGTCTAACATGAATCTAGGGCCCAATTCACTTCCAGAACACTCTCAGGGAAGAGGTGATGGCACACAGGAAGAGAGAGCTTGACCAAGGGGGCAGAGAGATCTGGCCAGCCACGCCGAAGCTGTACGGGGAGATGAACACGGGGAAGCTGAACGAGGAAGAGTCATTCTGCTCCGAGCTTGAGAAGGCGAGCTGCGGGGCTCGGCAGGAGCTTGCATGGTGAGGACGATAATGCAGTCTAGATTGTTCAACATGTAGAGACTACCTGTTTAGATACTGCGCAATCAGCGTTGACTTCGAGTTTCATCAAATTGAGAACTTTTCACACCAAAATCGACACCAGTCAATATTTTACGTAACAGCGGCGACATATCTCCGTGAACTAAAGCTTCCTCGCATAGTCTGTAAACGTGCATTCGGAAGCTCGGTTTCTCGGAGTCGTGAGGAGTTGATGGTCGTTGCGCATGGTTTGGATATCTTTGTCCGCCAACATTTGTGAGAAGCCAATCATCGTAAATAATATTAGTAAAACAGCGTTGTCTTCTCGGATAGAAAGCATGTGGAGCTATACATAGATTGCTACAGAGTGAATTCTTAAGATGACATGCGACATGCACGTCAATTTGACAGCACGAAACCGAGATGCAGCACTGCAGGAAGACTCTCATCCTTGTTACCCCAATTCTTCAACCTCGTGGCGAGTAGCAGGCATTTTCCTGTTCCACCAGTATTTGCAAGGTGGTCACCACATGAATTCCGGATGGTAAGAGCACCCGGGGTGTGCAACGCGGCGTTATCTTGGAGGGATTCTTATCAATCTTCACTGTGAGGGGAAAGTGGGTTGTCATCGCCGAGCACCGACAACGGACCATCCATGCTCACTGTCTAACCCGATTCTACGCCACTTATCAATCCTGGTCTATCTGATCAATGACAGTTTCTTGCTACTCACGGTGTTGGAGGTGACAACCCACGCTAGCATCTTAAACGCAGCTATCACAAACCCCACTTTCCAAAACTCATCCTCACGCGATGGCCAAGTCTGTTCGGAACGCCGAGTAGACGCGCTTGAGAGCGAGTGGTGATGGAACTGAGATGATGCTTCGAAGCTATACCCAGCTTTTTAGACTATAATTTCGACGAGTCGTGTCAAGAAACGTGAGATTGTCTTTGGAATAATCAGATTCGAGTTGAATAAACACCAGGAGCAAACAACCTACTGTCACACAACCCATCTTCAGTACATCATCTCATTACCTATCTCAGCTGTCTTACTCTCATGACCATGGCGCCTCTTGAGATTCCCATCATCGACTTTTCAGGTAGGTCCAAAGCATGACACATTTCACCAATCGAGTCTAGGCAATTTCTCACACCGGCATCTTTTTACAGGGTTCTACTCGCAAGACCCAGCCCAGAAGCAGAAGGTTGTGGACCAGGTCCGTGACAGCTGCCTCTACAATGGGTTCTTCCAGATCGTTGGTCACTCTGTACCACTGCAGCAGCAGAAGGCAGTCATGGAGAATGCGAAGAAGCTCTTCAACCTTCCTCTTGAGGAGAAACAGAAGGTCGCAAAGGAGAACAACACATGGAACCGAGGCTATGAGATGCTGAGGTCGCAGATCCTTGAGGAGGGAACGCAGCCAGAGTTGAAGGAAGGCTTCTACATTGGCGCTGAGATCCCCGAGGATCACCCCTACTTCATCAACAAGAAGCTTAACAGCGGACCGAACCAGTGGCCCCAAGGCCTTGGAAACGACCTGGAGGGCTTCAGGTCAGCTTCGATGGAGTACTACTCATCCGCCCTGTCTCTGGCATCGGACTTGATGAGAGTTTTGGCGCTGTCATTGGATCTCGAGGAGAGCTACTTCAGCAAGTTCATGGAGGGTGCTGTGGCTACCATGCGACTTCTCCACTACCCTTCTCAGCCTGCGGACGCGGACGAGAAGCTCACCCGCGGCATTGGCGCTCACACAGACTTCGGTGCTATCACCATGCTTCTTCAGGACAAGGTTGATGGTCTCCAGGTCTGGGACAAGAAGAACGAGACTTGGATCGATGTAAGTCACCGAGACGAGAGACACACCCAGTAATCACTTGGTACTGACCACCCCCGATCAGGTTCCCCCCACCGAAGGCGCATTCGTCGTCAACCTGGGCAACCTCATGGCCCGTTGGACCAATGAGAAGTACAAGAGCAATATCCACAGAGTCATCAACAAGTCGGGCCAAGAGCGTTACTCCATTCCTGTCTTCGTCTCTGGTAACCCGGACTACCTCGTCGAGTGCATCCCCACTTGCAAGTCAGCTACTGAACCAGCCAAGTTCGGGCCTGTCACCGTCGAACAAGCAGTCTCCGCGTCGTATGCGGAGTCTTACGGAAGGGCGCAACTCTACAAGCAGGGCTTGGAGAAGGCCATGGCGAACAAGCTCAAGACACAACAGCAAGCACAACCGGCTCAGATTGCTGTAGCTTAGATGGCATTTCGAGTTGTCCAGCAGGATTTCATAAAATGTGATATCAATGAAAATCGTACAAGTTTCTCTCTGAAACCAGTTCTGCTTTGTGAAGGATCAGAAATGGGGAAGGCTTTGCCCCCTCCAGTTCGTTTGATTACCTGTGAAGAAGTCTCCCCCACTCTTGTCTAGCACCACCCATGTTTCCAACGCAGACGAACCCCAGTATGGACAACCGGCAGTGACAGAAACACACCCCGTACTAGTAGATTTGGCACGCCCGTGAGAATCCCCGGTTGTCCATGGGGGATTTTGGACTGGAGTTGCAGCATTCTGCATCCTGATGATTAGATAGCGTTGTTATCTCTCACTTCTTGGAAACAATGCTACCTAAGGTACTGCAAAGCAATGTTTATGGAATTGGCGAAAGACCACTATCTTTGACGTGGGTACTTTGGCCACCAATTATACGTAATGCCTGCAAATGTCTGTTCAATATAATAACAGACATGGATACGTGTGTTTGCGACTCATGAGGCTCAGTCTGTCTCCGCAAACCTAATCCGCACTCAGCCCGGACTCAGTGACAATGAAGTCCACAGAAGAAACTTCAAGCGTCAAGCAGGCGGGTGGGTTCCAGGACCAAGAGTTCGGAACACAGATTGTGATCAATGCCGCCACGGAGAAGTCTTACGGTAAGTTTCAGTGTTACCCATGTCGCTCCTTACCGGCGTCTCGGACTTGACCGCTGACCATTGTGGCGCTGCAGTTCGTAAGATGGACTACTGGCTGCTGCCTTTCATGAGCGTCATGTACTTCTTCAACGCCGTTGACAGAGTGAGTGATTTGTGCGATGTCTCAAAGCCAATGATTAACACCGATCTCTCAGAGCAATCTCGGAAATGCCGAAACAGACGGAATGAGCAAGGACTTGGGCTTCGTGGGGGAGCAGTACTCACTTCTGATCCTGCTTTTCTACATCCCTAATGGTCTGTGCGACCTTCCTCTCAACCTTTTGACGAAGCGATTCTCTGGCCGCATCGTGCTCCCTGCCTTGATGGTAGGATGGGGAGGCATGGCGCTTCTCCAGGCTGCTTGCAAGAACTTCGGTGGCATGTTAGCTATTCGCCTTATCTTGGGGTAAGAACACTATACGCCTGGCTTATCATCGCGTTTGAACTCATTCTAACATGAACATTTCGTGCAGGGCGTTTGAAGCCGGCTTCTTTGCGGGTGCGGTGTTCTATCTTACCCTGTTCTACACTCGTGGTGAACTGGGGTTCCGCATTGCCATCTTCTTCGGCAGCGCTTTACTGGCCAGTGCATTCTCGGGTTTGATCTCGTTTGGAGTGTTCCGCATTCAAGACCCTAATGTCCATGGGTGGATGTGGCTGTTTATCATCGAAGGTCTGCAATTCCTGTATCACCAAAGGACAATATTTCTGACCACTATATAGGTGCTTTGACCGTGGTGTTCGGTATTATTGCCTTTTGGTGGCTTCCAGCCAATGCCCAGACGGCCTGGTTCCTGAACGAAGCCGAACGAGAAGTAGCGAGCCTCAGATCTTTGAGGGACGGCACCTGCGAAGTGGAAGAGAAGTTCAGTCTCAGGGAGTCTTTCCGGAGTTGGAATGACTGGAAGTTCCCAATATGGTGCATCATCAGCTTGACTTATCCCGTTGCATTCGCCACAACGGCCAACTTCCTCCCGCTCATCATCAGACGTCTAGGCTACGACACAGTAACCACAAACTTGCTCACGGTACCACCTAACGTGGCAGGCTTTTTGGTTCTACTGGCCGTGACGTACAGTTCTGACCGCAACCGAGAGCGTACATTCCACATAATCGGAAGCCTTACTCTCAGCTTGATAGGTCTCATCATCTTGGTTGCCATCGACGCCCAGGCGAATATTGGAGTTGCCTACTTTGCCTGCTTCCTCCTGGCCGGCGGTGCATACATTCCCAGCTCGCTGGTTCATAGTTGGCACAACAACAACAACCTCAGCGAGAACTCACGCGCTGCAACAACGGGATTGCTTGTTGGTCTCGGAAACCTTGGAGGAATTCTGTCCGCAGCTACGTTCCGTACGACTTATGCGCCTCGGTATGCGCCGACGTTGATTGCCACGGCGGGATGCAACGTTGTATGCATTTTCTTTACGCTGTGCCTCGGGCTATGGATGAGACACGAGAATGCGAAGAAGAACAAGGAGCAGGGTATGACTTTGAGGGCTGAGGATGTGGAGACACGGGAATTGAGGGATGGCGAGAAGGACCCGAGATGGCGATTCTTTATCTGAGCCCAAGCTAGAACCACGTATCAACTTGCGCAACGTTTAGACTTGAGACGCAATACGTACATTCATGAAGCCACACACTGATAGCAGTCTTACATCACACGCTGATTATGGATATTGTGAACCGCTGGTCAGAGGGGCTGGTGGTAAGAGTCGGTGGCGAGGTCTCTGACTTTGGATCTTTTGAACGTGTCTTGTAAGTCCTTCATCTCTCTCCAGGCTTCTCCTCGGCAGCTGGACGGCATGGGCATTTTACAATTTCATCTTATCATTTCATTGAACATCTAACTACCACTTAGTAACGCCTCCATCCACCAATATGTCGCTTCCTTGGCAGTATCTGTATAGTTGTCAGCATTCATGGTGTGGTCGATCGACGAATAGTATTACATACCTGCTAGCGTCGCTGGCCAGGAAGACGCAAGCCCCCTTAATGTCATCGGGCTCCGCAACACGACCGTTCATGATCTCATCTTTCCAACTCTCCAAAAGGTGTGGGAAAGGTGCCGTCATCTCGGTTCTCACATATCCCGGGCTAATCGAGTTGACGCGAATGCCATAAGCATTCAGCTCGGCGGCGATCGGGGCCACCATAGCTCTCACAGCTCCCTTCGTGCCGCAGTACGCAGTGGACCGCTGAGAACGAATCGCCATGTACGACGCAATGCTGGCCACGAAGATGATGCTGCCACACTTTGTTCCGTTCGCGATCATCGCCTTGGCGGCCAACTTGGCCGAGAAGTACAGACCCTTGCAGTTGACTCCGTAAAGCCTATCAAAGTCTTCCTCTGTGGTGTCCAGGAACTCCACGTTCTTGTTGACTCCCGCGCATGCCACGAAGATGTCTAGTTTGCCGTCGAAGTCGGCTGCGACTGCGGCAAAACCTTTCTCCAAACTCTCCAAAGATGTGACGTCGACTTTGTAAGCCTTCGCCCTGACCCCGTTTGCCGAGGAGAGCTGCTCAAATGCTGAGGGCTCGGGGTCGATCACGTCAAAAATGGCCACGTCTGCACCGGCTTCTGCGAGTCCTGAGACGAAGGCAAAGCCGCAGCCCCTGCCAGCGCCAGTGACAATGGCAACACGGCCCTTGAGTGAGAACTGTGTTTGTTAGTGGCCAGTTACCGAGATTTGATATTGAGCAGGGGCACAGGATTCGCATACCTTGGACATGATGCTGATGGTTATTTCACGTGTGTCTTGGGGTATGGTCTGACCAATGTGGAATCAAATGACTTCTAGAGAAGGGTATCGGAGTACTGTGTCAAGCAATGAAGTAACAGTTCGACGGGTTAGGATTCTTCACCGGTGTACGAGTCTCAAACGTTCCGAGAGTAGATGATGCAATGCCGATGTTTGGTTCAGGCAAATAGTGTTTACGGACGCTATCAGTAGAATTACTTAACCTCATGGCCCAAGCCGCGATACCAGCACGTCCAACATCCTCGATTCCATCTCCGGCCTATCTTTAGGCGATCTCCTCACACAACACCAATTCCACTGTTGCTGTATCTAGTTTCAGTTTGGCACCAAAATTCCACCTTCTATCCATTTACAATGTTGCTCCACGGCTTCCACTTAGCCCAACTTTTGATAAGAGTGGATTGCAGGCGCGGAGTTTAGCGGGTAAAAGTGGAAGATTTGTTCCGGGAGGAGTTTGCCTGACAGCCAGAACAACGCATGCGACTACTATCGCGTGTAGCTCGCCTGCGGGGTTAGTGAGGAGTAGCTCATCCCTGTTGTTCAGGAGTGGGCGTTGGAGGGGATACAAGAATGGGGGTGGAGCTGATTTCACGAAGACATGCTGCAGAAGTGGGATCACAATCAACCACCGGCGGAGGCTTCCTTCCTTACAGATGTGATTATGATTTGAAACTGTTTGATAGGCCATAGTGCCTATGAAGAATGACGCTTGCGTAACAACATCCATGTCAAAGTCGTAAGGGGGCGGTGCTGGAATGGAGGACGTTGCAGATAATCGTGCATCGGGAAACTGTGGGCACCTACCCTTGAACGCGGGGAGAGCTCATGTGGAGTAGCTCCGCGAGTCCTTGTCCGAACAATTCCCTATCTGCTTCAATGGAGGAGTTCCAGGGACGTCGGACAAATCCCACTAGCTGAGCATAAAATGTGATTGTGAAGCCTTTGCAATACAGGCTATCTAACATTCGAAGGCATTGTCATTACCAATCATCATTCCAAATACAGACACACCTCAGTACAACAAGAAACAACATGGGCAAGAAGAAGGTTCTCGTTTGGTATGCCACGCATTTTGGCGATGTGGTGGGGTGATCTGACTGACCTGATCGTGATAGCTACGGTGTCGACATTGATGCCGTTGCCGGCTGGCTCGGATCCTACGGCGGAGAGGACAGCACGAGCGACATCAGCAGAGGTACGTCTGGCCGCTCTCTGAGCCCTGCCAACTTCAGTGCCTGTTGAGCCCCAGATCATGACAACTGACATAGTCGTGCACAGGAATCTGGGCGGGAACAGTCGGCACACGCCGCCTGCTTTCCCTTTTCGAGAAATACAACATCAAGGCGTCATGGTTCATCCCCGGCCACACGCTGGAGACGTTCCCCGAGGAGTGCGCCATGGTGCGCGATGCGGGCCACGAGATCGGCCTGCATGGCTACAGCCACGAGAACCCTGTCGACATGACCCCCGAACAGCAGCGGGACGTTCTCGACAAGACGTGGAAGATGCTTACCGAGTTCTGTGGCGGCAAACCTCCCAAGGGTAGCGTGGCCCCTTGGTGGGAAACCAGTCAGGAGGGCACCGAACTCCTGCTGAGTTACGGTATTGAGTATGACCACTCCATGTCCCACCACGACTGTCAGGCCTACTGGCTGCGGACAGGCGACAGCTGGACGAAGATCGACTACACCAAGAAGGCTGAGGAGTGGATGAAGCCCCTTGTGAAAGGAAAGGAGACTGGTCTGGTGGAAATCCCTGGATCGTGGTACATTGACGATTTGCCACCGATGATGTTTATCAAGAACTCCGCCAACTCACATGGTTGGGTGAACCCAAGGTGAGCTCGAGTCCAACTCGCAGAGTCGGTAATGGCTCATGCTGACTGACGACTACAGAGATGTCGAGGATATCTGGAAAGACCACTTCGACTACTTTTACAGAGAATACGGTAGGGCTGATGGGCAGAAACTCTAGTGACTGTTACTTTGTGCTGACGAACGATACCACAGATGAGTTCATCTTTCCAATGACGATCCACCCGGATGTCTCCGGAAGACCCCATGTTCTCTTGATGCACGAGCGTATCATTGAGCACATCAACAAGCATGAGGGCGTCGAGTGGGTCACCATGGGAGAGGTAAGATCCCCATTTCGACCCTCTAAGTCCCAAAGTATTGTTGTCTAACTTTTTGATAAGATGAGTGATTGGTTCAAGTCGACGAACCCCGCCCCAGAAGGTGGATTGATGCCTGCCAGCCAGGAAGAGGTGATGAAGAAGTACGAGGAATGGAAGAAGACACAGGCATAACTGCATGCTTCACGAATCTTGTAGACATTGAGTTTTAATGCAAATACCCATAACAAGAAATGTTCCCATGTGTTTCCTTATTTTTCTCCTTGATGATGTCACGTGTTGGACGTGTCATGATACATGTATTCCAGCGAGTGTCTTGGTGGTTTGACATGACGTGTCCTCGTTAGTAAAATTGTACAGCGCTTAGATGGATAATGTCAAAAGGAAAATATGACAAGGTGTTTCAGCTCATGTCTGGTAGGTAAAAGAACAGTCCTACAATGAAAAATGTTTTGTTGTACCACTTGATTCGAACTTTCGCCGGAAAACTCAAATGGGGGGCAATAACAATCATAGTATTACACAAGCATGCTCATGTGAATAAACACCCATGAAATTCGGCTTAATCTATTCATTGGTCTTATTCTTTCTGAACCTTCATCAGATCATCTATGACCTTGCCAGCAGCAAGCACGGTCTCCTCATCTAACTTGCGCCCAACGAGCTGAAGCCCGACTGGCAAACCAAGCGAAGCCATCTCCTTGCCATTGTCCTCCCAAAGCTTCTTATTCCACTCATCCTCCACGCCCCTAGGCGCATCAGCCCAAGGCTCGCTCAAATCAGTCTCAGAAACTCGGCCACCTGGAATAACCAACGCTGGGTAATCGAGGAAGTTCCACACTTTGGTGTACCCTACCCAACGGCACCCACCATGGGGTACGGCGCTGTGGGGCATGGGAGGCATGAGGACAATGTCCACCGCGCGACCCGTCGTCGGGGAACGGATGGATTTCCACTTCTCCATGTATGCTTGCTGCATTTCCCACTTGCGCCTGTTGAGCTGCCAGTACTCGTAGACCGAGATTGCCTTTCCGCGGTTCACGAGACGCTCCACGTGAGGGATGAAGGGCTCGCCCCCGGCCAAGACGTCATTGCGGATATCCTCGCAACCGTCAGCCGTGTAATAGAGATCCTGTATGACGTCTGGTAAGTCACTGAACTTCTGGAACTTTATGGCAGGGTGCCTTCTTCTCACCATGACTCTGATGCAGTCTTCGTGCAAGTCGGCGTTCCACTCCAACACCTCATGCCCAGCCGCACGGAGAGTCTCGACTGCACAGCGAAGAACCCGTGTGATTGGCGGATGGGGTCGGACAACGTTGTCGTCAAACAGAACACCGATTGTCAGTGGACGGGACAGACCCTCTTCATACACGTCCTGCCTCCAAGGAATCGGAGCGCATCGGGAGTCCAGTTCCCAAGGTTTCTCGTTGATCAAGTGCTTCATGGTAAGATGTATGGTGCTCAGGCTACGAGCCATCGGTCCGATTGAAGATGGAACATGTTCTTGGCCCTCGGTGGAGACCGGAACGCCGCGGTACGGCAGACGAGCACTCTATCTCACCTGTTAATTCACTTCCAGCCAAACCTGAAGCTTCCACTAGGTTTGGGAGTCTCTCAGTGTTCTAGAATATGACTTACACTTGGCTTGAAACCATAGAGGCCGTTCATATGCGATGGGATGCGAATGCTTCCTCCGATATCAGTTCCCCAACCAAGCATTGAGGCTTGAGTAGCAAGAAGGGCTCCCTCACCACCAGTGGAGCCTCCTGGTGTGTAGTCCTTCTTCAGGGGATTTGTAGTAAGACCCCAAAGAGGGTTCTCAGTCTCACACCACTACCGAAGTGTATCAATGTCAGCCGTCTCATTCTTTCAACCCAACATTTAAGACACGCGTTGCATGCCTCGCGAGACTAACCATGATACTCTGGGGAAGGTTGGTCTTTGCAATGATAATCGCACCGAGAGATTTCAGCATTTTGACGACCACAGCATCATCCTTGGCAGGGGTAAATGATCGCCCAACATATCCCAAAGTTGAGTCAAAGCCTTTGACATTGAATTGGTCCTTGAGGGTGACCGGGACACCATGCAATGGACCGACAACGGTTCCATTCTTTGCGAAATACGAGTCGAGTTCTTTGGCACGTTCCAAAGCGTCTTCAAAAAGAACCTCAGTGAAACTATGCAACTATGGTGAGCTGACTAGCCCTTGCATAACTTTGAGTACGAGGTTTGCACGAACCAGTTTGTCTTACACAACAAGTTAGCAGCCGTTATCTTAGCGGGGTATTGGCCGCAATGGTTGATGAACATACCTTTTCATGAGTTTCGCAAGCCCTAGGTACATGAGAAAACCGTTAGTTCAGCTCAGATCAATTTTCTTTTTGACGAACTCAAAGAGGCTGATGCAGACTAAGTCCTCACTTTTGGATGTAGGCCTTGATAACAACCTCGCTTGTCACTTCACCGCTGGATATCTTCGAAACTAAAGCCTCGGCGTCGGGAATCGCAGTAATGTTGCCGATTATGCCGGAAGAAGCATTGCTGTTGTTGGCCGTCTGAAGCACGGCTGCAGCGATTGCTTCCGCCTGGATGAGCTTTTTCTTGGCAGCAACATCTTGCCAAGTTTGGCCCGGTTTGGGGATCGTCACTTGCGTCATCGTTCAGACTAGGGTGCAAAACACGTACAATTGAGGTAGCAAGTCAATTGAAAACGATCAAGTTGTCGAAGAACTTGTGTAAAGTCACCAATGTAAACACGCCTCTATCGCGTTGCGCTGCTGTCCAGAGTGAACCGGTATCCCGAGTGACTTCGGGATGCCGAAGATCGTGAACCAGCGAGCGGCTATTGGTGGGGGAACTGGGAGAGATCCGCCTGATCGGATATGAATCGGCAAGTTGCCGAGTAGGGCTTATCAGTGGACACAGTGAGAGCTCTTATCTAGCGTTTCCCCGCGGGTTCCCTTTCCTTCTCCAATTCATTCCCCTCCATGGAGCAAGGGGCGATGTCGAGAGTGGGGGATGGTCAAGACCCAGATACTGGTGAACAACAGAGAGTGGGAGGAAGGTGGGATTCCATCATGGCAACTCAGCCAAAAATGCTTCGCGACTCGCGACTCGCGAGGTCTAGAATGGCAGACATCTGTCTAGGGGAAAAGAAACAGTTTTCGACGCCTCATCATCAGCTGAACATCGTACCATCTCCATGAAATGAGGTGATGAGCTTTGGGAGACGATTTCACTCAGAGGTTTTCCATGGTTACGTTCCGTTATTCTTATACTCCAACTTGAATCGGAATCTTCTCCATTGCCATTCAATTCAAACACAGCTTCACCACTTCCAACTCTTGAGGGATACCCGACGCGCCCTGCATAAGCGCGGTCAAGCAGCTCCAGCAGTCCTCCCATTGAACCACATCCATTCATCAATATGACGACAAGTTCAGCAACGCCTGCCACGGCGCAGACCAATGGCAGCGCCAACGGACATGCTTACCGGTACCAAAACGGCAATTCAGGCGATTCCGATGGCAAGTCCGACGTGTGTGTTGTCGGAGCCGGCCCCGCCGGCCTGATGCTCGGGTTTGTGTCTCCACTTGCTCCGAGAACTCCGGACTCGACTAACATTCTTCACAATCAAGTTCTTTGCTTGCTAGGTTTGGCCAGAATGTCGATATGATTGATGAAAGGCCCGACCAAACAACAGTAGGCCGCGCCGATGGCATCCAGCCCAAGTCCATCGAGACCTTCCAAATGCTCCGCATCGGCGACGAGCTCCTCCGCGACGGCGTCAAGGTGCACGACATCTGCATGTGGCAGAGCTCCAGCGCAGACGACCTTCATCGGCTCAGCCGCTCCATCCACTACCCCGCGTCCGTGGTAGACCTTCTCCAGCCGTACATCCTGCTGTGTCACCAGGGCATGATCGAGGCCGTCTTCATCGACGATTTCCGGAAAAGCGGCTTCGAGGTCAAGCGAGGTCACAGCTTCCAGACCTACACTGCATTGGAGGACGGCTCGCTGCAGATCGAGGCCGACCACGATGGAAGCGGACCTACCAAGATCCACACCGATTATGTCGTGGGCTGCGACGGCGCCAGGTCCAAGGTACGACAAACCATCCCCGACACGTATGCCCAAGGAACGCCACACGCCTCAGTATGGGGCGTGCTTGATGGCGAACTCGAGACCGACTTTCCCGACATCTGGAGCAAGACCGTCGTGTTCTCGGAACAGCACGGCTCCATCCTCATCATCCCCAGAGAGCGCAACATGACGCGCTTCTACATCGAGATGAAGTCCTCCACTTCATCAAAAGACCTCGGTCAAGAATATGTGATGGAACAGGCGAAGTTGATCCTGGCCCCCTACAGCGTGAACTGGCGTTCGGTAGAGTGGTTCGGCAACTACTCAGTTGCTCAACGCGTTGCTGCCCGCTTCTCGGACCCTGCCCAGAGAGCCTTCATCGCCGGCGATGCCAGCCACACCCACAGCCCCAAGGCCGCGCAAGGGATGAACACCAGTATCCACGACTCTTGGAACCTCGGATGGAAGCTCAACCTGACACTGAGAGGACTGGCCAAGGACGGTATTCTTCTGGGGTCCTATGAGCAGGAACGTAAGAAGATTGCACACGACCTTATCAACTTCGATTTTGAGCACGCCAACGAGATTGCGCGCGGCGATGCTAAGCGCCTGGCCGAGAACTTCAAGACAAACACGAGATTCATCTCCGGCGTGGGCGTCGAATACGGAGAGAACGAGCTCAACCGTGGCCGGTCGGAAGCCGTGAAAGGCGCTGCCAGGCCCGGCTCTAACCTTCCGCCTGCGAAAGCCACCCGATACATCGATGCCTGTCCGGTTGATGTCCAGCTTGACATCCCTATCCTAGGACAATTCCGCATTTACGCTGTTTTGAACAATGTTGCCAGCCCATCCGCCAAGTCGTTCCTCACTTCCTTCAATGATTCTGTGGCATCCGAGTCCTCCCTATTTACTCAATTATCAAAGGCAGCAGCGCAGTCGTACCAGAAGAAGCCTCGGGCTAGGAGAGTAGACGACCAGCATGTGCGTCCTGAGAGGTATACTTCTGTGAGCGAGCTCAGCACCTTTGCCCTGATAAGTGAGTAGTCCTTTCACTCCCGTCGACCGATAGTCAGCACTAACGCTCGTCACAGCTTCAACGGACAAGAACGACTTCGAGATCTCGTCCCTGCCGCCAGTGTTCTCCCGCAGCGGCTGGACCGTCTACCTGGACGACGTCGCACCGCTCGACACGCAAGGTCGCACAGTCACAGACAAATGGCTCGGGGGACTTGGAGCGGACGAAGCTGCCGTCATTGTTGTCAGACCCGATGGCTACGTCGGCTCAATTGGTCGGTGGAACACGACGGAGTCCACAGCCGGGCAGACGGCGGCCCAATGGCTCGACGACTATTTTGGAGGATTCCTGCAAGTCCCCGCCAACTAAGACTGAATTTTCCGACAGTCTCTCTTTTTCAGGAAAAATAGCGCGTCAAGCGGCCGGGGTGGCTTGATACTATGGGTAGGGCAGACGGTATGAATCTCAGGGTCTCTGGTCTTACAGGCATTACGACACAGTCACCGCAACTGTGCCCATTTAAACAGAGATTTCTCGTAGATCGCGCAAGCACGTGCTTGAATCTGACTCTTCGTGATCACGTCTGGACCCTGAAAAGACCCTGAATTGATCAATGGGGACCGAGAGACTCGATTCTTGCATGGTGTCTTTTAGGTAATTTGATTAAACATGGAACGCGACCCGTTTTGTGCAAGTCGGCGCCCCGGTTATGCCTCCATACAAAGAGCCATGTAGCCAACAGTTGCGTCGAACGGTCCGGGGCTCAGCTGCGGTTCTTCTGCAAGAAGTTGTCTTAGGTCGTACTACTCTACGTCATCACCATTTCTCCCCTGTCTTATGCAAGCTCGACCCCCGGAACTCAGCAGGCCGGGCCAGGCATGAATCATCAGTGCATGCAATTGTGCGCAGCGTTTCAGGAGCTTTCCCTGTTTACCAAAGTCAAAACTCGTCGACTGGCCGAGTTGATTGGAGTGAAGAACTGAACATCCCAGCAGGAATGCCAGAAATGGAGGCACACAGCAAGTTTTCTAACGGCGTCGTCTCCTCTAAAGTGGGGGTGGAGACCCGTAATCATTCAGGTGTAATCCTTGAGCTTCAATTGGACGCGATAATGTGAACAAGGCCAATCTGGGGTTGCGATAGAGCCCACGAGGGTTTGATATCTACAGGGCGGCCAACAGACTCACTCACTCACTCATTCACCACTCACCGCTCACCACTCACCACTCGCCGCCACTCACTCCTGATAACATAGCTCAGGCACAGCTTTATCTGTCTCTCCCTCACAACGCGCAAACTGAGTCGGTGAAGATCCCCCAGACGGCACCTACGGTAAATGCCCCTGTCGATTGTCTTGGGACCCCGGCAAAGGGCTGTCGAAATCACCATCGATATGTCAGCTGTCAAGTGATTGTCCATTGACAATTCACCCTTGGCCTGTACTGTTCAACCTTGGCGCTGCCCTCGGGTCCCTTGGTTCTTAGTTCCATCGTGTCTCTCAATCTCAATAAAGCTGAGGGACCTCCGTCACCTCAACCGAGTCTAGTGTCCCCAAGTCCCAGATTGCAAGTTTCTCGTCTTTGTTTGAGAGAGCAGAGCCGGATTCTTCAGTCTTTCGTCCCGTCACTTTCACACACACTCTCTTCAAGATGGCTTCGGTGAGCGAGAAGAGCACCGCCAAGGGGGCGACGGAGCAGGGCTTGACACAGTCTCGCTCCAACTCATTACAACATGGCGAGGTCGGTTCGGTCAACGACGCGACCGTCCGCGACTTCTACACCGGCGCCGTCAACGAGCAGTACCGTCTGAAGTCCGAGCTCGTCGCGAAGCATCTCGGAGAGATCGGCATGGGAAAGTGAGTTTCAACGTCTGAGCGACCAACACGATTCGGTCGTGTTCAATCGAACGACGACGATAGCTAACCGCAGCGGCCCTCGGTCGCATTCTCCAGGTTCCAATGGATTCTCTTCGTCGTCAACGGCTTCGGTTGGATCGTCGACAACTTCTGGTCGCAGGGCATCACCGCCATCCGCCCGCCGGTCGGCAACGAGTTCACGGACATTGTGAAGCTTAGCTTCAGCTCGGTCGCGTACTACGTTGGTCTCATCATTGGCGCTTCGTTCTGGGGCACCACGTGCGATCTCATCGGTCGCAAGCCCGCCTTTAATGCCACTATTCTCTACGGAGGCATCTTTGGATGCGCCGTCGCCGGAACCACAAATTTCACGGCCTTTTGCGCTCTCTGGGCGATTATCGGTACCGCGGCCGGCGGCAACGTGCCCGTCGACAGCGTGGTGTTCCTGGAATTCGTCCCTCAGAGTCATCAATGGATGCTCGTCACGCTGTCGGCGTGGTGGAACTTGGGACAGGTGATTGTCTCGCTTTTGGCCTGGGTATTTCTGGCCAACTTTGCGTGTCCGGCGGGTGATGCTCCCTGCAGGATGCAAGACAACATGGGCTGGTGAGTCGAGCTGAACATTCCCTTTATTTTCCCCGCAGGGATAACCTTTCTGACCGTCTTGTTACACAGGCGCTATCTCATGATTACGCTCGGCGGTATCGCGATTGCCTTCGCACTTATTCGCATCCTGGTGTTCAAGATCCCCGAGTCCCCGCGATTCCTCATCTCCAAGGGCCGGGACGCCGAGGCGGTCGAAGCCGTCAACTACATTGCACGATACAATGGCCGCCCCGAGACCCTCACTCTTGACATGCTGCAGGACATCGACAGACAGTGCAACGGCATCTCGGAAACGGGCGAGGGTGCGACGCACGTCGATCCCGATGCCCTCCCGACGACCTCGAAGCTCTCGTACATGGAGATCATCAAGGAGAGCTTCCAGGACTACAACCTCGACAACTACAAGAAGCTGTTCGCCGGTCGAAAGATGGCGCAGCACACGTCCGTCACCTTCCTGATTTGGCTCACCGTCGGTGTCGCATACCCGCTTTATTTCGCCTTCATCCCGTCGTATCTGGCGACCAAGGATACCTACTCCGCAAACACGTCACTCAACCACACGTACATGGTTTACTGCATCGTGTCCTCGGCGGGTGTTGTCGGGCCTATCGCTGCCGGTTTCCTCGTGGAGACGCGATTCGGTCGCCGGTGGATGATGGCCGCTTCGGCCGTTCTGACGGGAGTTTTCCTCTTCGCGTACACCTCTGTCGGCACTGAAGCCGCTGATATTGGCTTCCAATGTGCCACTGCGATATTGGGAAACTTTGGTAAGTCCCGATTCTATCTACTGCATCAAGTCCATACTTGCTAATCCCTTGACAGAATACGCCGTGATGTACGCTTTCACGCCCGAGTCGTTCCCGGGCCCTGTTCGTGGAACCGGTACTGGTATTGCATCCACGCTCCTTCGCGTAGGAGGTCTGGTCGCATCATTTATCTCGACATACGCCGGTTACACGACGGTGCCGATCTATGCCAGTGCTGCGCTTTGGGTCTTGGTCGGAGTCTTCTGTTTTGGACTGCCGTACGAGACACATGGACATGCCTCGCTTTGATTTGGTGGGGAGTGCAGCGAACCAGAGATATCCAATGATTGTATTTTTATGGCTTTAAAATGTAGATGCGGTACATCAAAAATGTCAACGCTTGAATGAAGAGCAAAGAATGGAAACGGGTTTTCAAGACCCGACTAGGCAAGAAATCTTCCAGTTTCAAAAGTCGTTATCCTGTCATGTAACTGCATCATAAGAAGCAATAGCTTTTGTCAACTACACAAGAAAGATTTAGCAAAAGTGCCAAAAGCCTTGTCACACGTATTATGGCAGCTTGGCGGAGATGATCACTAGCATCAATTCACTGACAGACGGGCTATGATTAGGCATATGCAGTCAAGGTCATTTTGGTCAAGGGTTCTGACTGCAGTAAATTTCTCGCATAACCAGCAAAGTCATTTCAGTGGAAAACCAAGACGTGAGGTCTCTGACTAATTTCATTTTGCTACTTCATTAAACCAGAACTGGTATACGAGTCTAGGTTGCCTGGGGGCTGATGCCAACCGCCCGAGAGAAACCCGATGAAACCTCAGACAACTTCACCATTCCCAGGAGGTCCTAAGCGAAAGTCTCACCGTATTCCGAGTCCCAATCAGGATGATTATCCATTCTTCAGCAAGGCCTAGAATCCCGCCGGACCGGCCGAGTTGCATCCATGCGACGGTGCAATGTAAACGCGGGGTACGGAGAATATCATGCATTTCCCGTCTTCCGGCGAACCCCTGAGCGAGCTTATCAAGCTCCAAACTGCCACTTCAATCGATCTGCAATTCGTCAATGGCACAGGAGTGGACTGATAATCCGGGGTAGTCGAGATAGGGGTATCGTTCGTCCCAGGTCAAGGGCGGTCGTCCCCCACTCTCGAGATAGGTCCACCCTCGACCCCAACAACGGGCGGGAGCTCCCAGCATCCACTTCCACTCCTCGAAGATGGGGTGCTGGACTCGCACGCCATAGGATCATCATGGGAATCTATGAATCTGAATATGCTGTGGAGTGATATGTGGCTTTACAGCTGAGACTCAAGCCTCAGCTCAACTGTTCAAAACCCGGCTTCTCCAACTCCCTTGACTGGGCTGAGGTACCACGGAACATCCAATTCAGGACATCTAACTGGGATTGGAAGAGATTACCATCGTTCGATCCTTTCTTGTTCAGACACAAACCAACAGCCACCAACATGCCTAAAGCCACGACGCCTCCCCCGGTCTACGCCGCCCTCAAGGACACCACCCTGTTCGCTCCCTTGAAGCTGGGTGGTCTCAGCCTCCAGCACCGTATCGTTCAGGTATGTCAACAGACACAGGAGAATAACAACCACTTCTTGTCTCAAGCCTCCTTACTTGAGAGGACATATGCTAAGCTCCATCACAGGCCCCTACGACTCGCATGCGAAGCGAGTTCGAGTCCCGCGGAGTCCACGTTCCCGGCGCTCGCGTGGCCAAGTACTACGGCGAGCGCGCCAGCGCAGGTGGTCTTCAGATCACCGAGGCCACCGACATCTGCCTCGACGCCAGTGCCTACCCCGGCGTCGCGGGTGTCTTCACCGACTCTCAGCTGCAGGGATGGCGTAAGGTGACCGACGCCGTCCACGCCAAGGGCGGCTTCATCTACGTCCAGCTTTGGCACACCGGTAGAGCATCGTCCGCGGGCATGCGCGGGGGCAACACTCCCATCTCATCGGGAACTCAGCCTATGGACGGAAAGTACCTGGACGGCACCGAATGCAAGGACGGTCCTCCCAGGGCCATGACTGTTGATGAGATCCACGACCTCACCGCCGAGTGGGCTGCTGCTTCGAAGCGGGCGGTTGAGGTTGCAGGTTTCGATGGTGTTGAGATTCACGGTATGTTTGTGCGTGTAACTGCTTGAAGAGTGCAACACTGACGGAAGTGACAGGCGCAAACGGTTACCTTCTTGAGCAATTCCTTCACGACAACATCAACACCCGCACAGATGAGTATGGCGGCTCCATCGAGAACCGCTCAAGATTCCTGCTCGAAGTCGTGCAAGCAGTGACCGCCGCCATCGGACCTGAGAAGGTCGGCCTTCGTCTCTCCCCCTACAACTACTTCCAAGGCACAAAGGACAGCGACCCCAACAAGCACTGGACCTACATCTCCCAGCGCCTGGCCGACCTTTCCGAGAGCCAAAGACCCGCATACGTTCACATGTAAGCCACTTCCCCAATGTCTGACAAGCAACTTGCGAGCACATACTGACAAGAAAACCACAGGATTGAGCCCCGTTTTGATGAGGTTCTCGACGAGGAGCAGAAGCTGGCGTCGCTGGGCAAGCAGAGCAACAACCTGACCCAGTTCCGTGACATCCTCAAGCCCGCCGGCATCCACTTCCTGGCCGCCGGCAACTTCAACAGGGACAACGCCGTCACCAAGCTCAAGACCGGAGAGGCCGACGCCATCGTGTTCGGCAGGTACTTCATCGCCAACCCGGACCTGGTGGAGCGTTTGAGAAACGGCTGGCCGTTGAACCCCTATGACCGCACGACGTTCTACGGGGCCGAGCCCCCTGAGAAGGGATACAACGATTACGAGTTTTACAAGGTTGATAATGCGGAGATTAACGCGCATGCATAAAAGGCTACGGTTGTTTATGAAGGTTGGGTAGATCATGAATATTATGCGTCGCAGTATGGCGCATCATGACGATAGAGAAGCATTGAATCAATAAAGAAATGTTCAAATCAGTCTTGGTGCCGACAAATCCGCTTAGCCTGGAGACTTGATGATTCTACACTTGCATTGTAATGAACTGTAGACGTAATAGCAAGTACATAAAAATTTCGACTGACAGTTCTTCAACCATTCTTCAACCAGATATGATAAAGATAGGTGACAGCAGTTACTAACTGATAGAACTCAAGCAGTTCCATATCCTGTTGCCATGAGCAAGGTAGTATGGTCAAGGAGATTATAAAAAGCGTGCCCAACATTACGCAAGGTCTCATGAGAAGTTCTTCGCTCGCATTCCTCGAAACCTCGAAACTATTGATACAAACACGCAAAAGTGAACTTGCCGTCAAATTTGTTTCAAGGTGCAGGTATCATACGTGTTCTAATATACACAGAAATGAATCTATAGACTTGCTCTAGGAGCCTGGTCATCCGCTGCTGAAATACTCTCCGGAGTCGATGGCCATTTTGACTCAATATCCTTCCACATATCATACGTCAACAGCCACCTGCCAACGCCGTGATATCTCCACGGGAACGGGTCTTCGCCCGTCTCCTGGGACTCAGGCAGGACAGGCGACTCGCCACTCAGCCACTTCTCATCCATCTCCCCGAACTGCTTGAACTTGGCATCGCGATCCACCTGCTCCTCGCCGTCGTGGAGGTGGTACATCCACTGGTTATACGTGCCACGGCGCACGACCTTCTCCGTCCTCTCCCGGCGACAGTCCTCGTAGATCTTGAGGGCTTGTTGCTTGGACGAGGCCGACTTGTCAGTCACTCGGGCAAGACACAGACCCAGAACACCGCCGTCTTCGAGCGCCATGCCTGCGCCGCTGGCGAGGTAGGGCAAAGTCGCGTGGACGGCGTCGCCGAGCATGGTGAATGAACCGGACGAATGCGACCAGGTCGGGTCGAGGCCCGGTCTGATGCATAGTCTCCATTTCAGGACTTCGTCGCACATCAGCAACATCTTGCTGATGCGGGGATCCCATCCGTCGTAGTGCGCACGCATCTCCTCGATATTTCCCTTTAGTGTGTTTCCGCCATCGATGGGAATGTCGTCCGGCACCAACAGAACCATGTTGAAGAGCTTGCCTCCCTTGAGGACGTAGTTGACGGCGTGCTTGTCGGGACCGACCCAGTAGTTGACCTGCGGGTTCTCCACGAAGTGCCGCAGTTCCGGGTCCTTGAGCATGTCGGCGGTGTTCAGGAGGAGTCGGTACGCCAGGTCCCCGGTGAGCTGGGGCGGATCAGACTTTCCGAGGAACTCCTCCCTCAGCTTGGAAGCGATACCATCGGCGCCGACAACGAGGTCGGCGGTCATCGTCTGGCCATCGGCGAGGTACACGGTCGACGTCGCCTGGTCCTCGGAAACAGTGAAGGTCTCAACCTTTGCGTTCGTGACGAGCTTGGCGCCCAGCTCCACGGCGCGCTCGAGGAGACAGCGGTGCAGATCGGAGCGGTGGAAGTCCCAGAAGGGGAAGCCACCGGCGGCCGCGGAGTATTGGTGGTAGTCCATGTCGCCGAGGAAGTTGCCCTTCCAGCCGATGAAGTTGCACTTCTGGGGCTTGGTCGCGTACTTCTCGAGCTTCTCTTCCAGACCCCACGAGAAGAGCACACGAGCTGCGTTTGGAAGTACTTGGATGCCGGCCCCGACCTCTCCGATAGCTGGTGCTGATTCTAGGACGGTCACATCATGACCGGCTAACAGAGTCGCGATGGCTGCTCCTAGACCTCCAAGACCCGCCCCGACGATGATGACCTATTCCAGAGTTAGTCACAAACGTATCTACTCAGAGACGAAAGTGAGATACTTACATGTAGTTTGCTGCTCTCATCTCGCTGGATCTTCTCTTGGATCAGATAACTCCGTGCCGTCGACATGGTCTTGACTGAGTGAAACGAAACACCGATGATAACCGAACCCAGTTTCGCCAAGTGGGATTCACGTTATTCAGCAATGTGATGCAATGCAATAGTCCGAGCGGTTCGTGAATCAACCCAACGTCTTAGTTCGGTTCGTCTTCTCCGCATGCATAAATACAGAAGACTGAGACCTACGAGCTATGTAGCAGGGTGGGAGACCATATGGTCACTCTGAGAATCTCCTCACCACTTCAATCTCCAATCCAAAGAGTGGAATTCGTCGCATCATTGATCTCACTCTGAACAACGCCTGGCCATCGCACCAGCTTGATCGCGAGTGCCGATGAATGCGCCACATGAACACGACCCCTCACATCCGGCTACCCATCTCCGGAGTCTTCGAATGTCTCGAGAAGTTGACCGGTATCTTCAACTATCAGACGTCCGCTCCAATGAGATAAGACACGCCCGCCGTTCAAAGTAAGGGTAGCGCCGAAGTCGCCTTACCCCACTCTTATCTCGTGGGAGACATGAAGCGCCCAGGGGTGGGCGATGTTGGATCGCGGAGAACAGGCATCTTATCAGAACCGGGAAGCACCAAGAGTGGGGGAGGGGCTCTCTCTCTCTCTCTTCTCGCCTGCGGTGACATTCTCCGCACCATATGCACGAGTTACGCACACTCCTATCAACATCCCCGGAGCTGATACGGACGATACGGGTTGCGACGCTATGCACGATACCGTGATTCCTCAACGCCGAAAAGCCGCCTCAGAATGCGGAGAAGTGGACACCGATACAACGGCGTTGCACAGTCTATGTCCATCCCCATTCCCCCATCTCCGACGATATCATCCAATTCACAGCCCAGATCACCCCAGATTCACATTCGCAATTGTCCATCCAGGCTCAGGGACCTGAACCGAGTTTTCTTTCCTTTTTTCCAGGGGTAAAATTACACTGTACTCAGAAGTGGATGGACCCGGTAAACCGCCATGGAGGACTCTCAGACCGCTACAACTGGCATCGCCAACTATCGTCACAACTCTGAGAGCTCAGACGGTTACCTAGGTGAAGAGAAGTCCTTTGTATGCCCTCAACAAGGCTGTAACAAGCGCTTCACCCGGGCAGAGCATATGCAACGCCATGCTCTGAATCATCAGCCTGGTGGTTTGACCTGCGATATCTGTCGCGCTCACTTCAAGCGGCCAGATCTTTTGAGTAAGTGAGAACAAGCACGTGTATCTCAAGCAACAATTGTGCAACTTTTGTGCAACCTCTATCATTGAATTTTGACTAATATGGCCAGAACGGCATATGGACCGGCACCGCCAAAAGGATCTCGAAGCAGGCGGACCCGGTTGCGGTGTCTTAGACACGAGAAAAAGATCTTGGAAAGCCCCAGACGGCTCCGTCGTCGAGAAACGGCCCTGCACGCATCCTCCCGGCCGGGGTAGAGCCCCAGGGCGCGCTCGTCAGCAAACAACACAAGTACCCTCACCAGAACCGGAACCGACAGACGCGGATCAAAGCGTCTCGTCTTTCGACCCGGCGTTAGAGCAGGACTTCTCGGGAGGAAGCATCTCGCCGGAGATTCACAGGCGCCATACCGTCGATTTCCGCCCCGGGAGCTTCGACTCCAACCAGTCCTACCCCTTCGACCACGGCAACATCCTGAACGCCTCCGAGACCGTCAACAACTTCGCGGGATTCCCGCCTGCGCTCCAGTTTCACGATTTCGGCGCGGCGGATAACAATTTCGATATCGATTCCGGCCAGCCGATCAACTGGGGCGACCCGTTTGCGAGCGAGCAGCTGGACTATGACCAGATATTCCAGCCGGACACCGCGAGCTCGTTTAATATGCCTTACACCACCGCCCTAGACTACAACTGGCTCTTTAACATGCAAGACACCGCCTCGCCCGTCATCTCATCCAAGACATCCGACCAGAACTACGACCCCCGCCTCCTCGACAACTCCGCCATCACCAAGACGCAGACCAACAACATCGCCATCACGCCGGAATCCATCAAGAGCGCCCAGCTGTGGTCGGAGCCGATGGACGTGGCTCCGCACGACACCGGCGCGCAGGACAAGCCGCCGAGCTACAGCACCATAATGCAGTCCGCGCCGCAGGAGGCGCCGGTCAGGAGGCCTCCTCCGCGGAACTCTGCCGAGAGGAACGCGGAGCTGGCGGCCTCGCGAAGACCGGCGGAGGCGACGGTGGCGACGGCTCGTAAGCGCATTGCCGTGAGCAGACCGGCACCGATCCTCGAGCCGGAGCGGCCCCTGTCGTCGTTGAGAAAGCCTCTCAACACTCCTACCGTTGACGACAAGGCCCGCGAGAGACTATTGAACACCATCGAAGCGGCCAAGCCGTGCCTACCAGATCAAAGATACACCCTTTCGGAACACCCACTGCTCTCCGCTGAATCTCTGAACTCTTACCTTGACCTCTTCTTCAGCCGCTTCAACACAGCCTACCCTCTCATGCACCTTGAAACATTCAACTGTGCAGAGACTGAGCCGCTTCTACTATTATCCATCTTACTGCTCGGGGCAACTTACTCGAGCAAAGACTGCCATCAGTTAGCTGTGTGCATACACGACGTTATCCGGCCCAGCATCTTCGCCCACGCTGGGTTCTCGCCTCGACCTGAATTGTGGACGTTGCAGACCATCTTGTTAGTGGAATGCTTTGGCAAGTCTCGTGCGGGGCAGAAGCAGCACGACATGAGCCACCTCTTCCACGGTCTTTTGATCAATCTCATTAGAAGATCTGACTGTCAGTCGGTTCGGCCGCCTGGGCCTCCTCCGGTTGGTGCGGATGATAGTCCTGCGGCTCTTGACAAGGTGTGGAGGAAGTGGGCCGAGGCCGAGCAGAAGAAGAGGTAAGTTTCACCCCGGGTATCCCGAATCCTGACTTTACGGAAGTAACTAACATGAGTGCCACAGGCTTGCTTTGCTCTGCTTCATGTGGGATACCCAGCACGCAGTCCTATTTTGTCAGAGCCTCTGCATGTCAGCATTCGAACTACGGTTGGAACTCCCCTGCAACCAGAGTATCTGGGAAGCACGAGACGCCTCGTCGTGGGCGTCGGCGTGGAGGTCCAGCATCAACGACCAGAGAACATTCTACCTTCCCGTTCTCAAGGCTTACCTCATGCCGTCGGGGCCACGAACACACGGCCTCAGTGGGTTCTCCCGCATTCTCGTACTTCACGGTCTCATGTCTGTTGCCTGGGACATGGGACGCCGCGACCAGACCGCACTCGGCGTGATTTCCGGCGAGAGCCCGGGTCCAGGCTCGGGCTGGCGGAAGACGCTCAGCTCGGCCTACGACGCTTGGAGATACGATTTCGACTGGTACTGCAACAACTTCTTCGCCCAGATGCCGCGGGCGCCCCCCTCGCCGGATGACGAGATCCGGAAGACGGAGTTTGAGTCTTTCACGGCTGCGTACAAGGCTCTGTATCACTCCGCGCAGGCCCTGCTCAATATGGACTTCCTGGACGTGCAGATATACGCCGGAGCACGACATATCCTGGGCCGGCCGGTTCAGCAGAAGGATTACATGCGATCTGCGCAGGTCGTCAAGAGGTGGGCCGTGGCGACAGGGAATGGGCAGGGAGAGGGCAATGGCGCGAGGCAAGATCGAGGGGACGCCGCCGCCGCGGAACAAGGGAAGCAGTCGGCGTCGACGGCGGCGTGGCACGCGGCGCAGATGCTGCGGGAGACGAAGAAGACGCTCAGTGGCACGGAGGCGATGAATCTCTTCCACGTGCCGTGGTGCCTCTACCTGGCGACCCTGACGTGCTGGGCGTTCCACCACGCGAGGCCGAACCGGAACTACAGCGTGCCTGCGCGCCGAAACTTTGACGCGATGGGAGACTTTGACGAGGACGAGGATGGGGAGGAGGACGAGATGATTTGGGACCCGCAGGGGGAGATGGACGCTCTGGTGGCGAGCATGTCGGAGCGGGTTGAGCGGAATGATATGACTTTGAGGAGGGAGAAGAGACGTACGAATGGTTTGGTATGGATTATGGCGGATATTCTGACGACGGTTCGGTGGGGGATTGTGCATGCTGGCGTTGTGGTTCTGAGGGGGCTCGTGCCTCAGAGACTTATCAACCAGTATGAAGAGGCCGTCTAGAGATGCGGCGATGTACTCATGAACAACTCGACGAATTCGAGAATCAAAGGGACTCCGTTTAGTATGAAGTTGGTTGGGATGATGAATCGTACCGGTGTCCGTGCAGTCCCCGGGGCCATACCCCTGGGTCTGACTCCCACGAATCATCGGTCACGGAGTCGAGTGAGAGGAACTAACTCCTCAGAAACGTCCAATTAATGCAGCAACTACCGAGTGCTGGATCAGCTCGTGTTTCCTTGGTATTAATTTCTCGTCCGATATTGTGGAAACCACGCCCAGGAGCTTTGACTCGTTCGTGAGCTATGACTTACTCAGGAGGGAATCTCGGCTCCGAGATCTGTGAACTCTGTTCAGAAACTCACTGCCAAAACTCGGTGAAAAATCCAGAAGTGGGTGAGGCATCGTTTACATAAACATGCCGAACTCGTCTGATCGCTGGTGCGTTCCTGATGTGGTCACACATCTTCGGATTCTTCCCATCTTTTGATCAACGCCGCCATCATGGCCGACATCAACTATTACCAACGACTGACAGAGGTGTACACCCTGGAGAACAAGCCTCTGTTACTAGCGTCCGCAGTGAGCTACGTCGTCGGCTATCTCCAGTACACATACGTCGTAAGACTTACCCTCCGAGAGGGCAAAGGGCCGATGCCATTCTGGATGCACTCATTCTATCTGGCTCACGACTCGACGTGGTCTTACATCCTCGGCAAGGCCGCCGGTCAATACGGCGAACACTGGTTTTTGAGAGGAACCTCGACGGCGCTGCTCATCTGGTCGACCTTGGAGATCTGGTGTATCCACCGGGCCGTCTTCAAAGAACGAGAGGCCAACTTTTCGTCGGTGCTCGGGAAGAATCCGACTGTCTCTTCGGCTGCGGTCTATGCTCTGGCGCTACAGCTGGGCATGTACTCGGTCGTCCTCCTCGCCATCGAGTTCATGGGAGAAGGGTGCGTGATGCAGTGGTTCTGCTTCACCAACGTCCTCATCGTGCTGGGGCCGACCCACCATTATTTGAGAGCCGGGACGAGACAGGGGCTGTCGCTTGGGTTCTGCCTGGTCAACATTATCGGGACCATTTGGACGTTTGCTCCTTTCAGCTTCTTTGTCTTGACGATGCCGGAGATTTTCGATAGCACTTTGTATTACGTTGTGGGCTGTATCCTCACAGTCTACTCGATTTGGTGCTTTTACGTGGTCGCGCAACTCCCGGCCAAGACGAAGGACATGGATAAGACGGGGAAAGGGGCTCCTATTTGGTGATTTTGCAGGCTCTGTAGTCGCGCTTGGCTGCGGGTTATTGGACGCCAGTGAAAAGAGATGTACCCAAAATTGCAGAATGCGTAGAGACTTGTATGATACCGTACGTAATAGGAATCATTGGCCTCGGGTGTTGAAATCTGTTGATGTTGTTTGAGGGAAGAGAAAATGAAAATGAGATTCAGGGGCTGATTGTTCAAACTGAATGTTTACGTAAGCAGCCCAGGCGATGACGCAGTGAGGGGCAGCCAACTCAATTGCTCTGGACCTCTTGTCCTCCCCGCACTAAGCTCAGGCAGCTCACCGAGAACCACCACTGCAACCACATCTCCTCTTTGGACGAATTTTTGGCCGATCTACGGCGACGCGACGCGACGCGTTCCAATCCCTCACCGAATCTCCGAACGTCGCGCCTCTCGAGGCCAGCCGCTCCTCGCCCTCAATGCCGCCCCTACCGCCGACAACACCCCTCCCGCGCATCATCACCTACTACCAGACGCACCACACCCACGACGGCAAGCCGATCTCGATCCTCCCGCTCCTGACGCAACCCGACATCAGCGTAACCCACGTGATCCTCGCCGCCATCCACATCAACGGCGACCCCCACGGCCTCACCCTCAACGACCACCGGCCCGACGACCCGCGATTCCTGACGCTATGGGCCGAGCTGCGCGTGCTGCAGGCCAGCGGGGTCAAGGTCCTGGGCATGCTCGGAGGCGCCGCTCGGGGCTCGTATGAGAGACTCGACGGCGACGAGGCACAGTTCGAGGAGTACTACGTCCCGCTGCGCGACATGGTGCGGAAGCATGCCCTCGACGGCCTCGATCTGGACGTCGAGGAGGAGATGAGCCTGGGCGGGATCATCCGCCTGATCGATCGCATACGGCAGGACTTCGGCAAGGACTTCACCATCACCATGGCGCCCGTCGCGATGGCGTTGCTCGACCCGATGAAGAACCTGAGCGGGTTCGACTACGAGGCGCTCGAGGTCATGCGCGGCAAGGAGATCGCGTGGTACAACACCCAGTTCTACTGCGGATGGGGCGACTGCAGCAACCCCGTCATGTACGAGATGCTCCTGGCCAAAGGCTGGTCGCCCGAGAAGATTGTAATCGGACTGGTCACGAATCCGGAGAACGGGAGCGGCTGGGTGCCTTGGGAGATGCTGGGATCTGTGCTGCTTCTACTCCGAGGTCGTTATCAGCGATTCGGAGGAGTTATGGGCTGGGAGTATTTCAACAGCTTACCGGGAGGTAAGGAGAGGCCCTGGGAATGGGCTAAGTGGATGACTACCATGTTGCGCGCCGAGCAGGCCTCGTCGTGGCCTGCACATGGTGTTTTGCCCGTGCAGACTAGTGAGATCGCGAAAGAGGTGAAGAAGGAGCTTGTGGATGAGGCGGATCCCGACGGGCCTAACAGCAAGGATGCGCCTCTCCCTGCGGCGTTCGAATACTACTCGGATACGAACAATGATGATTGAACAGCATCAAGTCGAGGCAGCTTCAAGACTATGCTTACCATCCCTTTGAGCTTGAACACTATGGGGTCAGTGCATCGGTTCCCACGCTTGGATTCAAGGTCGAATGGTACATGAAGACGATGATGTTTATACGGGAATTTAAGGCGTTCGGGAAGGTTTTCGGTTAGGTTCATTATAGAAAAGACATAAGTACACGATGGGCTTAAAGCTCGTCTTCCCTGACATTTCCTTCTGCGGACAGCCCACGATCCCACTTCCTCGGTCAGGCGTAAGGACCACTGAAATTGGCATAAACCTAATCCTTCCGGTCTTGTCCTTTGTGCTTGATCATGGGTCAGTCGTTAAAGACGTCGAGGTTTGACAGGGTCAAGCTTGTTCGGGTCTTTTCGTCACCCCAAACGTGGGATGGCCTTCAACGGTCGTCCATTTGTCGCGTCGTCCTAGCTATTGGAGGCCGGTCCGGGCCACGAGCCTACGCCATCACCGGCAACTTCCCACGTAAAATGACCAACGAGAAGATCAGTAGAACGAATATCACCAGAGTTGAGATGCTCCTAGAAAGTATCAAGCCTGACTTGTTCTGCGATGGGACCTAAGATCAAAACAAAAGCTTCGTTAGTCTGGATTCGAACTCGCGACCTTCCGAGAAAAAAACACTTTCCATCCTCCCCTAGCATTAAAGATGCATCAACGCGCCGACGACAGCAAGCAAGAAGTCACAAAACATTGGGGACCATAGAATTGACACTCAGAATCAGTCAAAAAAAAGGCAAAAAAATCAGAGAGACGCTCCCGGACATATATAGAGTCACCAAATTTGTTGAATAGCCGAACCCAGGCTTACACGCTCCACCCTTAGACCATCTTGCAACGTTCGCCGTGCTCTCTGATGGAAGACTCGAGAAGTTTTCGGACCTATAAGGCTTTCTCCCTCGGTGTGGGAAAAGAGCAGTACGTACTGCCTGCTTCTGTTCTCCTTTGACAGCGACCTTTCATCCAGAGTCCAGTCCTTTACCTACGCGCTACGTACATAACGCGCTTCACCTCAGATCCTTCCCATTTTGCATTGCTTGTGTCGTCTGCGTCCTTGATTGTCCAGAATTTTATCTCCAGTAACCACTCTCCTTGCCTTTCCACTGGCTTCTGGTACATATCGCAGTACATCTCTTGCGCGTCCACGGTCCACCCCTCGAGCTTCGATCTCAAGCAAATTTGAGCACACATTGCTTTCATATTCTTGTCTTTCCGATCCCGCGACTTCTCCGAGAACGCATTCATTCCGATGATGCCATCGGTCGCAAGAACTTGAAGGCATCCAAGTACGGCAACCGCCGCCACAAGAAAGATGCCTAAGTTTCAGAAGAGCGTCATTGGAAGAAGTACAGACTTCCCATCCCCATTGACGTCGCAGGATCTAACAGGTAAAATCAGACATGGCTCACCAGTCCACCGACGATGACGCTGTTTGCGAGGAGGTAGTCGACAAGCTGATGCACATCATCACTTGGGCCTTCAACGACGGCTTCTCCTTTTCCACGAACCACATCGACACCGACATCGCCGTCAACATCTGTCTCGTTCTTCGTGTCGGAGGAAGCCCCGACCGCGCTGCTACACGTATCGCGGCGCTGATGCGTGCCCTCCTTGGATCCGGCAAGAGCCTGAGAGCACAGTACTCCCACGACCGCATGGGTAACGCTATGTTCTACGAGGCCGTCGCCCAGGATGTCAGAGATGGAGGCATCTCTGGAGCAGGAATTGGTCCCCAATCGCACTCGATGATTGCTCTCTCTTCTGCAACGACCAAGACCCCTTCTGCAGCTGTTCGTGGGCGCTCGTAAGAGTTTCATCCGTGAGTGCCCTGACGACAACGAGGAGGGCATCTACACCGAAAAGACTGAACGACTTCTTGGTCTTGTCGACAGCTACTTGGATTATGCAGATGGGTACGAGATCAACAAGCGCAATGTTTTGGGTGGTCACACGACCAATACTTTGGCGTGAACTGTTGATTAAGACGATTCACTGGAAGATACAGACTCCGATGGCTCCACTTCGGTTAGGAAATAGCTGATCATTGAGCCCAATACCGCACCTTTTGTGCTTCATCACTACTCTTTTTGTGCTTTCCTTCCAATTGTTACATTGCAGCATGATCAAGAGCATCCGCAAGTTCCTCCTCACCCTGTACCATCTGTACGTCCTTCGTGAAATTAATCCAGTAGTCGGCGAGCCGAACCAGGTCTTTGACTCTCTTGGTGTAAACCGCCTCCTGGGCCGTCTTGGTCTCAACCAGGCTGCGCAAGTAAGCCTTGCGAGCAGTGGTGAAGAGCTCTGTCATCGCCTGGCAAGTAGCTGGCGTGATCGACGCCATCGAGAACGTCTCAGGGGTAAGGCCACCACCGCGAACACCTTTCTCGTGAATCATGTCCGCCACGGCCTGGAAGAAGAAGCGGTTGCTGGCCTCGGACGCGGGCTTCTGGTACTGAGATCCCGAGTTGCGGCAGGCCTGGAGCAGGGCGAGCATGAAGCACTGGACGCGGGCGGTGTCGAGGTTGTGGGTGCCTTGGAGGTGAAGCGCGCCGCAGAGATTGTCCGCCTCTTCGTCCTTGATGAACTCATGCTCAATGGTCGCATGGTCGGGGAAGAGGAAGCCGGCTCTGATCGCGTCTTTGATGGTGTCGCAAAGGAGGCCCATGGACTTGACGAGCTTGAATTCCGGTCGGACTGTTGCGGACGGGTTGGCGGGAAGGGCGGCTTGGACTGGTGGGGTGTTAGTACTGCTAGGCAAATAAAGAAACATGTTCGTCCCAAGGTCAAGCCGAAGGCGATGGAATAAAATTCAATGAAAAGGGCATTGTAACTTACCTCCCATGAGATGACGTCGCTTCTGCTTCTTCTTCTCCGCTCTGTTGGCCTTGTCCTTGCGCTTTTCAAAGTATTCCTGCGTGCGACGACGAAGACGCGTATTCTTGGGGCCATCAGCGTTTTTGGCATCTTCCGTATGGTTCATCGGAGTATCTTGCTCGTTGCGGTCGGCCATGGCCACGATGGGAAGGTGCGGTTGCAGGTCGTCTTTGAGATCGAATGCGGACGACATGATGAGTGCGGGAGCGGTGACGACGACGATGGCGATGGCAATGGCGATGAGGATGACGACGAGTAGAATGAGAGTAATGAATGAATATAATGGGGGGTACAAATCGTGTGTCGAAAAAAAAAAACGGCAGGAAGAAAAAGGCACGAGATGGGAAAACAAGGAGTGAGAAGGCAGCAGAGGGATGGGCGAGGAATAATGGCAGTAGCACGGCTGATGGCCGGCTTCAACTCGCCAGGACTTCACCTCACTTTTGCTCCCATATCTCCTGGGATGTGATGAAATTATGCGAGATAGCCTTATAGGTGTGGTTAATTCCACTGCTCCCATCGAAGAGCACGGCAACCGTTGCAAGATGGTCTAAGGGTGGATTGTGTAAGCCTGGGTTCGGCTAGAAATTGGTGACTCTACATATATCCGGGAGCGTCTCTTCGTTTTTGCATTTTTGCCCACCTAAATTCGTAGTGCATTCGATGTTGTGTTGCAACATGGTTGCCTGGCTAAGGTACCTCGACTCCTGTCCCAAGAAAAAGCCTTCCCACCCGGGAAGGTCGTGGGTTCGAACGGGCAGAGCTGACCTTTCTCTTTTCCTTTTTTTTTCCAACTCTTGATTTTTGCACTGCTTCGGAACCAAAGAAAGGTATGCAGGTAAAGGGCTTATCCATGTGTAATTGGTCATTGTCCTTCAAATTATGTGATGCTCCGATAGCTCTCATGCAGACTTCAAGGGTGGTTTATATCAGGCCGCAAAGAGAACGAATCATCAGCACTGGACGATTGGGCAACGTTGTATTTGACTGTCGAGATCGAATGAATGAAGCCTTCGAGTAGTTTTCAGGGAATTCCGGACATCAATAGGAAAATATGGTCTCTATGACATTGTGACTTGTTTGGTACGACGATAACTTCGTGTGAACATGAGACAGGATAGGACCAGGTTGTGGACGAGCGAGCCTCATCAAGTCTTATAACACACTACTTCATGAAAAATACACAAACTGACATCTTTCAATGGTCCTGAAATACCTGGATTGTCCATATCACCGTTTTCCCTGTCCCTCCCGAGATTTGAGCATGGACTCCAACTGTTCTATGGTGAGCGTGACCATCTGCTCCTGCTGTCCAGTCGGCCCTAGGTCCGAGCTCTTGTCTGTTCGACTCTTCATGTTACCATGACGTTTACCAGCCTTTTCCTCGTCGCTGTCCGTCTCCGAGTCCGAGTCGTCCGTATCACTATCCACTCCAGCTGCAGTTGGCACGGTGACCTGTGGTTGCTGACCTGGATACATGCTTCTCTGCATTGAAATAGGTGCTGGCATAGCTGGCATTTGCGAGTATGGAGGCATGGTCATGTAATGGTCATTTCTCCAACTATCGCGGCGGGCTTCGTCACTCTCCGAGCGACCCACCGTTGCGATGAGATACTCGTCGAATTTGTCGAATCCACTCGCCACCGTTCTGAACTGCTCCTTTCCGAGCACTGGCAAAGGATCTTCCGGTTTGCGTGATTTGCCTTCGTGCTCAGTTAGAGCTATGGCTGTTTGGAATGCATTTCGAATTTGTCTGAAGAGTGGTCAGGGTTTGCATTCAATCTTGTAGACATGGAGCGTGTGTCACGTACCTGCCATTCCATGTATCTCGCTTCTTGCTCGAGAGGTCTCGGAAATTCTCTTTGGCGAACTCCATGATCTCAGACTTGTTGATCACGAAGTCTCGACTACCCCGTTCAGCTTGTTCCTCCTTGGCTCGCTTGATGAACATCTTATACAGCTTCTTCGTTACGTCGAGTTCGAGCTTGGGATAGAAGAGACACAGTTGGATCCGAGACTTGAACGCGGGATCCATAGTGCCTACCCTATTCGTAGTCAAGAACAAAATACCGGCGTAGTACTCCAGGCTTCGAAGAAAGACACTCGTAACGGCGTTGTGGCGTAGGTCGCTCTTGCTTCTCTTAGCAAGAAATACGTCGGCCTCGTCGAGCAATAAAACGCATCCCCATTTGTGAGCAAGCTGGAAGTTGTGCTGAAGGTTCTTCTCGACTTCGAGGGCAGTGTCGCCAATATCTCCACACGTGATGGGATAGAGCGGTCGTTGCGTGTCATCGGCAACGCACTCTGCTGTCGACGTTTTACCGACACCTGGAGGGCCGTGCAAAAGAATAATCAGCCCCGCCCCCTTGCCTTGGACTAGATCAAGACATGATCCTACGCTGCGTCTGGTTGGCGAAGGAGACTTCGCAGATTGCGTTGCCCTCAGAGCCTCGTGGTTGTCGACAAGGGCGCGAACGGTAGGCCCATGCTTGCCGGGAAGGACCAAATCGTCGAAGCTGTTAGCGAACTTGACATCGCTGAGGTCTTTTGATAAAACGGTGATCCATTGCCGTGACCGCAATCCAAAAGCGTGGACATAGTGTTGCATCAACATGAGGTCGTCTTTCCCCAAATCCTCCGCCTGGAGCGGTCCGAGAGTCCAAGACATCTCTCGTAGGAAATCCTGAGATTTGGCCTCGTCGATCACGCCGTCTTTGTACACAAAGTCACCCCCACAACAAGTCTCGGCCCCATGACCACACCAAGGTTCTGCGGTTGTCTCTCTTCTATCCATTTTGGTGAAGTCGTCGATTGGAATGCTTGAGTCTAGCCGCCATTTTGGGTTCTCAACGATGGCTAGCGTCGTATCCACGATGACTTGAGCCTCCATTTCGTGTGGTGGCTCATCAAGAGTTTTGCCCCTGAAGAGCTTGTGGCAGTAAGCCTTGTCCGTCAAGTCGATGAATCTCTTTCCATTCTCTGTGAATGTTTCGCGCAAGGTTTCGCTGTTGTGCGCAAACTTCAGAGGATAGATTGGTAAAGATGTGATCGGTTGGCTCCCATAAAACTTTTTAATGGTTACCTTGGTAAGTTTCGGGACGTACGAAGATCCATCGTAGCTCAGGTTAATGCAATCCACGATGAATCCATCCAAGGGTGCCTGCGTTTCCTTCTTTTCGGCGTCGATTTTGTAGCTGAGGAGCTCGCGACCGCCGGCAAAGTTGACTACTCGGTAAGCGTGATTTTGTTCGGTTTTGGGGACAACGATATCTCCTCTCTCGAAGAGATGCCACAGATCACCGTATTCAATTTCCTTGGCTGTTCCGTCCTTGAGTTGCTCTCGGAGGTTGAGCGTGGGTTTCAAGTTATTGTCGATAAAGTCAATCAGTAGCTTGAGATCTTCCAGCAGGTCTGCGTCTTCAAATAGTGCTTTCCGCTGTGGGTTGGACCGTTGCCCCAAATTTGAAGCAGATGTCAATTTGGCAGACACGTCCGCCTGAATCCTGGCCTCCACGTCCACGATACTTTCTCTGATGGGGCGATGGTTCTTGACGAAGTATTTGAAAGGCCGAAGAAACAAAACGCTGCTGTAAACCACTGTCCCATCCAACTGTTCCTGTTCCGAAAAGTTCATCGGTATACTACTAGTCAGCTTGTCCAGATGCACAAGCAGTGGGCGTGACCTTATGCGTAGTCGTTCTGGTGATGGACCGCCATGCTGGTCTTCTCCGGTGCGGCCTGAGACCATCGAGGAGTTCTCAGACTCAAGTACTTCCAGAGCTGGCAGCGTCTCTGGAGGTTGTTTGGTCTTGGACCTTGTCATGTGGAATTGCTCTGGGCCGACGCGATGAGTTTCGTGGAGATTAATGGGGTATTTGCGCTTGAGAGGTGGTTCCCAATCCTCGGGTAGACCGTCGACAGCAATTTTCAGCTCTTTCAGCTGCGACTCAAGTTCCTCGATCCGCATCTCGGTCAAAGTCTGATTCAAGGCTGCTTGCCGCGATCGCATGCTGAAGTTACCCAGTCGCTTTTCATCTTCAAATACTCTCCATCTCATACTAGAGTAATGAGAGCTTTGTACGGCTCTTGTAACTTGCTGTTCTGTCTCGTTGGGGTCATCGAGCGCTACCAGATGACTCACAATGTCCATGCTTTCGGGGGCCAGAGGTGTTCCTCCTCCTGACTGAGGGCTTTCCTTCGCAGCTGATGGCACATCTGTCAACGGTCCGCCTGCTACTGCTGCTTCTCCAGACCTCGCAGCCAGCCCATGTTGACGAAATTCGTTATTGGGGACATCTTCTGCTGAAGTCACAGGTGGAATGGAGGAGCTGTCGGTTTCCATCACTTGCTCCATTCCGAAAGACACTTGAATGACTGGTCTGAGACACGATTATGATGCACCAAACAAATGGAGTGTGAAGCACATATAGCTGGTAGATGATATTTCCGAGAAAGAAGGGGGAAAGCAGAAGGAGGTCGAGGGGACAAAGAGCGAACTATCCATAAATCCTTCATGGCCATGCCAAGAGCCAATGTATGTCTGTCACAAACTCGGTAAAAAGGCAGGCGCCATCCTTAAGCAGGCTGTCTAATATTGACTGTCAGTCACAGGAAGGCAGCCAATAGCATACGGCATGCGGAAGGGCCGACTCCATGACTGCAGGCCTGACCCACCTAGCAGCTGCCAGTGAGGCCATTTTCTATTTGGAGACCGCAGCCTGCCGCAAGAGCAAGAACCGGGCAAATCATATTGAACCATCTTCGGGAAGGGCATGCATGAATGCTGCAGTCATCATCTTGGCTTGTGTTGGTATCATGTGCCTTATCGGTCGAGCCCAGGTATTGCTCATTCCCCATGTTATTATTTTGTCGGACAGAACACCTTCGCTAAACGCTTCTTGCCCGCATCAACAACCCTCATTGTGTATCAGACATCCTCAGTCGCATGCCAGACTTGAAATGGACCGCGCAGCTCTGTTTAGCTCAAGAGATCGACTTCCTTCCAACGAAGCTGTGACATTCATCGAAACCTGTGTGGTCTTACCAGGCGAGCCGGAGGCCGTTTACAGCCCGTGGTTTGGCTGCCTTGTCTCTCCAGAAGAGGCAGCGCAAGGAGAACGCGAAAAGTTTGTGATCCTGAAACATGTATCGGTATAAAATTCTAATCGTTTCTACTGCAGAAATCAGCTTTGGGCGCAGATCAGGGACGAGAAAGAGGAGTTTTTCAAGCTAGTGGCAGAGGTGCAGAAAAGGCTCAATAAAGCAATGAACAAGAATGGGCAGAACACCGAAGAGATTGACATCCGGAAATGCACCTGGGGCCAAGTACAGAGCGAGATATGGAGAACAGCAGAATCGTGGAAGAACCGCCCCGATAAGCAAACGAACACGATGAAATTCGTCAACAAAGTCGGATCTTACTCCGAGGCTGTAGAGGGTTGGTTGGGCCTTCTACCGGCAGGCGACTACGGCGCAAGGCAAGAAACAAAATGTTTCATTGTTCCCCAATTATCAATTTGGAAAGCATACGTACTAACTACATGCAGCATTTGCGGTGTTTTCAAGCTTGTCATCGGTGTAAGTTCTGAGAGCTATAAATACCCAGTTAGGTGAATATATCTGCTAAGAACCACAAAGGCCGCTGGACAGTACAGCAAGGTAGAAGAGGAGATTTTCAAGGCTCTGTCGGAAATACCTGATTTCATGAGGAGGACAAAAAGATACGTTGATGTATTTTGGAACCAACGCGATCACCGCTTTGAACAGTTGAGCATTGAGCTCTTTCGTGCAATGTTGCAATCTCTTCGCCACATCATGCAATTCTTTGCGGACAGTAAAATTCGTATGTCGCATTCCACGCAATCCGGCAAACCCTTCAAAATTAACAGATTTTTAGGAAAGGTCTGGGAATCATTTGGGAAGCAGAATGCGTATAAGATGGAGCTCTTGGGCAGCCTGAGAGATTTACAAAAATGTGCCGACAAGATCCAGTCCGAAGGCGCCCTCTGCCATGCCGAGTTGTCGAAAGAAGGGCTATTGATCAACCGAGACACCCAACTCGTGGTCAACGATTTGCGACGCATGCTCGAATCCCATCTGTCGTTCCAAAGGCGCGAGATGGAAGATCTTCGTAGGTGAACCCTTCCCTGAGATGCTTCCCCGAGATTAAAATCCAGTTGCTTCTTTTGGCCGTCAACCTTAGTCTTGAAGCTAATCATTTCTGTTCCCTTTTCTAAGGCAAGGCGGTTTTCGGCGTCGAACCAAGCATCGATGCATACGATATGGTTAATGTGGACCACAATGTGTCCGAAGCCACAACCGACGACGCAGACTCCCGAAAATCATTCCTCGCACAAGTTGAGTCGATTCAGCAACACAACGAATCCTCGAGGCAGAGACTTCTTGACGTCCTCCAATACGATAGAGAAGCCATCGCCCGAGATGTTGAGACTTGCTTGCAACTCGGGTACAGACTAGACGACAAGGCGAAGTCAAGAGCCGCATCTCTAGTTCAAGCCGAACTCTTCAAGGCATTCTTACAAGACGCTCATGAATCAACGCGTTTGCTTGTCAACGGCCGGGAAGACGTCTCTTCAGCAGACGGGATATCCCCGCTGAGTTTCGTGGCCGCTGAGCTCTCGCAACTGTCAGTCAAGGCAGGCGCAGCATTCGCGGCGGTCTTTGTTCTCAACTACTTTTGTGCGGAGCACCCGTCATCTCCTATCTTCCCAAGCCCAGAAACATCAGTTACGGGGCTCATGGCAAGTCTTATCGGTCAGCTTGTATGGCAGATGAACGACAAGAAAATCATGCCTGACTTGTCGTTCTTGACTGAAAAGAAATGGGGAAAGATTTCGAGACTAGACCCTGCTGCTCTTTTCACCCTCTTCAAGAGGTTGTTCAGACAGCTGCCCAGAGAGGCTATGCTTCTGTGCATCATTGACGAGATCTCTATCTATGAGACGCAAATGCTTCAAGAAGACACGTACACAGCACTGCAAAAGCTGGTCCAACTTTCGAGTGATCAGAAAAGTCCCTCCGCTGCCTTCAAGCTTCTTGTACTTAGCAGGAACCGAGCCCTGGTTGTTGGCGAGCACTTCTCGGAACATACACTTGACTTACAAGAGGACATCGAAACGGACGGTGCCGCGAACTGGACGATTCAGATGATGATGGCTTAAATTGCGAGTTATGTATTTCGCAATGAGTTAGATTCTGTAGTATTACATGTCTCTAGCTAACGTTTGCTGAATTTCATCCCAGATGTACTTGTCTTCACCTCGGTGAACCCCAAGAAACAGTCCGGACTTGGCTCGGTCAAGGTCCTCACCGACTCCCTCGCTTAGAATTGTGGGACTGTCTCAACTCTACCCCCGGCAATCTGCTTGAAACCTGTTGCTCCGAACATGTCATCAACATCAACCAACATATCCAAAAGCATAGCTTAACGCCAGAACTATTGCACTAAGAGACTCCATCAATTCCCAGAAATTCATGCCTCTTTCGTGTACGCAGTCCCAGTTTCACCTCGGGACGACGCGCGATTGCCCGGACTGCTTTTCAGCCGATCACCCGCTTCGACATGTCGATCCCAACTTGTGCCTCAGCAAACCGAGCGTCTCCAAGTCTAATACTGACGGAGGGAGCCACCAGAGAAGCCGCGACTGGTGCGAAATCCAACCAAGGTTTGCCGCCAAATGGGCAAGTGCCGACAGCTCCCTCGAATACGACGTCGCAGTGCAGGGTTCCGGAGGGATAGTGCAACCTTCGGCCTGATCTTTCATCAAGTTCGGACGACCATCGTCCCTAGCCCGGGGTAAGGTTGCCTCCTACTTTTCGCTTACGGATGGCACTTTTGGAAGAGCAACCCCTTTCAGGATGAGGGAGCTCCGCGCGTGTGACGATGTCGTCCTCTTCCCCGGGAGACCGGCGTCTAAAGAAAGGCAGTCTAAGTTTAGCGCCATTGATCGTCATGGGGGCCCCTGCATCGGAGTGTTTCGTCTCTTTCCAGAATCGATGTTTCGAGCCACTCATCGTTGGTGGAAATCCTGTTGTGGTGGAGGTCAGTTCATCTATCTCGAGGGTCTTGCGGGGCTCGAGGAACAGGCCGAGCTGGCCACGGCCATCAGCCGACCGCCATTGACCTAAGGCCCGGAAAGCCATAACTATTTGAGTGTCCGTCCCTCGTCCGGTCTTTAGCTGTCAGGACGCTCCAACCAACTCTTGTTCATCCTCACATTTCAATATGGTCTGGTTCAACCAAGCAGCACTCCTCCTCGGCAGCGCGCTGCTCGTGGCCGACGTGCTCCCAGCCGGGGCCGTCCGGACCATTATCCCCAAGACGAGCTTCGACTCGCAGTCCAACTTCGACGCCGACTGGAACTACCTCTACCCCTGGGGCACCGACCACAACGGCGGCGCTCGCATGAGCAAGGACAACGCCAAGTTCAGCGGCGGCGTGCTCACACTGACGGCCAACAAGGTCAGCGGGCAGCCGCAGGCGACGCACGGCGGACAGAAGATCAACATCAACTACCTCAGCGGCGCGATCCACGCCAAGGAGCACTTCAACGTGTCGCGCGGCGGCGGGTACGACTTCAACGCGGAGCTGAAGGCGACGACGACCAAGGGCACGTGGCCCGCCTTCTGGCTTACCGCTGTGCAGGGCTGGCCTCCTGAGATTGACATGGCGGAGTGGAAGGGCAGCGGCAAGATTAGCTTCAACACCTTCAACACGAGCTCGATTGTGGACGCGAAGGATGTCAACTATCCCGACCCGGGCAACTTCCACAAGATCAAGGTTGAGACGAGGGATCTCAACGGCAAGGACGTGCAGGCCAAGTTCTACATGGATGACAAGCTTGTCACGACGCAGGTTGGGGCTGGATACTTCGGAAAGCCGATGTACTTGTGAGTTGCTGCCGGCTGACCGTGTCGAACTTGAACAGACTGCTGACGAACCGCAGGATCATCAACTTGCAGATGGAAGGTTCTTCTGGATTTCCCGGACCTAGCGGAAGTAAGTCCACCGTCTCCTGATATGTCGAGCTTCCATGACACTAACGACAAATCCCAGGCACTCAATTCCAGGTTCGCAACCTCGAGGTTCTTAGCTACAACCCATGATATGACGATACCGACGAGCGAGCGAGCGTGTTATTTGATTTGGATTCTCATTGTATCTACTTTCATGGGACGTGCTGTCCCACGTACATATTACCCCCAGTTATTCGGTAACTAGTGAATACGCATCATTGGCTCAAGGACTATTCGCGTAGGTACCACGGCAATGGTTTTCGCGAATCGCCATCATTTGCCCCGTTTGCGCGTTCTTCCCCTGGTCTCTCCCAAAAACTACCAGTCATCTTGGGTTGTGGAGGTTCAGTGGCAGTTAACTGCGCATTCCACTCATTGCGCTTGGCCTCGAGCGCCTCTATCAGTTCCTATACATCCGTTAGCTGCCAGCTGTCTTGTCTTCTAGCATCTGCTTGTATGCTGTCCACGACTGGATACACTCACCTCTCCCAGCGAATTCTCGGATCGTGTCCGAATGATAAACGCCTTGAACCACGCATCCTGTCAAAGTCAAAGTCAGTCCATTGGATGGCTTTCTTGTAGAACCTTGCTCAATACTTCCCCAATGGATTAAGACCTCAGTCCTCAGTGCGTTATTACCCTTTCTCCCAATTAGCTCGAGTAGGTCGTTCCGCTTGTTGTTATAGTGATATTCCACGTCCTTCCCCCTCTCTGAGTATTCAAGTTTGGAAAGGTTTATAAGGCGATGGGTTTCCCATTTTGTGTTGCTAATAGATTTCTTTCTGTAGTTGTTTTCCTGGCTGAAGATGCCATGTTATGGTGTCTGAGAGATGAGTTATTTCCTTTTATCACTCAGGACGGATTGTCATGGCTGAAAGTCTGCTGTGTTGAATCAATGGTCTTTCACCAGTAGACACAGTAAAGAACTTGGTTCAAGGGGGATCTGTAATATGGCCATTTGATATGCCTCATTAGGGATTATGATTCAGTGCATATCAAATACAGATCACAGAAAACACAGCATCCTTTCATGTCTTTGTAAATAACACTACAAGAAGAGGTCCTTGTTCAGTGTTCTGCTCTTACCCAAAGAATGGGGCTGGTGCTGGTGCATGTCTTGTGCATAGAGATATGCACAACTCTGTGCAGATGACATAATGCGTCTCACGTGACTAGGCCGTCTTCAGCACATGACCTGGCGTCTGGCTCGCGTTCTGGCCATTTCCTTTACCCCCTGCCTTCTCCAGCCCCCACCTTCTTCTCACCTTTCTTGATCTCTTTTTCGCGTCAATCACGCTTCCAAGTCGTCAAGGACAATGCACAACGACAATGACGCGATCAAAGAGCCTTGCTGCTGCTGAAATGAAGGCCCTTGAGGGCAAGAACGAATCTCAAGACAGCCAGTACGTTCTGGACCAATACAAGGCTCTGTATGGGATCGGCGTGGTACGTACGAGCATTCTTTCTTTTTCCTGTGGCGTTCCTCCAAGTGGAGGCTTTTCCTGCCGGCCCTGGGCATGTTTTGGGGGCATTGCTGGCGCTGGATTGATTGCAACATTTCATTTCGTACCTTAGCACTGCGACGACACAGGCCTTGCTGCGACCACGGCGCTAACTGACTTCGGTTTTGGGTACAGACGAGCAGCTCGCCTCCGAGGCCAGCATCAACATCGTCGCGACCCAACAGTCGAGGCTGCAGAAGCCGCCACGAGTCGCCCTCGACGGTCTACTCCGATCCTCCAAGTCGCGCGACCAGTCAACCCATTTCCAAATCGGTACCGAGTACAGCGCCGCCAGCCACAGGTACCGGAAACGCGGTTGGTGATATCTCCACTCTCGAATGCAGGGGTTCCTTACTGGGATGGCACTGACCCCGACAGCTACCCCAGCAGGACTTCATTCGCGAAAGCCAGTCCTCGGTCGCGTTAATTGCCGTTGACGCTACGGATGCCGGCGGCCAAGATCGCGGCCCAGATCCCCAAACAACATCTGCCTGCTCTGCTCCGATTGAGTCCTCCGACGCAGCAAATTTTCTCAGGCCGGCTTTGCCCACGAAATCCCACGGCAACGCGGTAGATTCCCAGCCCGACATCGTCCCCGCACCATGCGCCCCCGACGAAACCTCGCTGCCCAAGGAGAAAGTCAATCTCTCGCCTAGATCGTCGCATCCGCCGTCCCGCAAGAAGAGAAAGATGGACGTATCGCAGCAATCTCCGACCCAGGAGAATGACGAAAGGGACTACGAGAACTACTTTGACGGCCCGTCCTTCGTCGAAACAAGCCCAATCTCGCAAGACCCCACGAGCCAACATCATGCGATCCACGATGACGACTCGGGTGCCGTGCATTTTGACCTTAGCCACCTGCAGAACGAGACACAAGTCGACGAAGAACCCTCATCGATACCCGAAGATTCCGGCTTAGCCACAGGTCGAGGAAACTGGCGTAGATCCAGCTCGCAGCAACACTCTTCCCTACAACGTCCCGATGGCGAGTCCCCACTACCACCGACGGCGCCGCCGCCGCAGACTCCGGCTCAAAACCCCTTTGCCGGCATGAAGAAGCTTGGTGATCCAGCCTTAGTGGGATCCCAGCTCTTCGGTCAGACACAATTCTCGTCAGCCGTCAAACGATTCAGCCCTACATCCTCACGCCCATCGCCACATGGGTACATACACAACTCCATATCACCAAACTTGGCAGAAACGTCGCCGCTTAAGAACCGATTCAATGTCACTTCGCCTTCCGAAATGTTCCCTTCCAGTCCTCAGGCGATCCGAATTGAGCCTCTGCGAGCTGAGGAGCGGGAACGCAGCCCGAGCGACAGTGGCCAGCCCGACGATGGCACGGTGCCAGAGTCTCCCCAGTACGCTCCTGTAAACAAGCGAGCGAGACCGGAGCCTATGGATAACTACGAGAACATGCTGGAATCTCAAAAGAGAAAGCTGAGCATGGAGGCCGAAGATAATCTGTCGGGAGAGGACTCGGACGACGTGGCTGATGCCCTGAGACGGCGTAGAAGGCTCGCCGCATCGAAGCAAGAGGCCGCATCCAAGGAGCTCACAAGCATCAGCGTCGGAAGACGCAGTGATCGTCGGTCGGTCGAAGTCCCCTCGACGACTAAGAAACCTAGAGAGAGACGACCGAGGCGATATCAAGCTCAACGCGCCGACAAAGATTCGAATGCATCGGGTGACGACAACGAAGAACTCACAGTCGCAGATTCGCAGGATCAGGCTGGAGCGAAACAGTCAGCTTCTAGACCATCTGGGGATAAAGCAAATCCGCGCGCAGTTCCACAGTCAGGCCTCGTGTCAAGCAACGAAGCAATCCCCGACAGCACAGGTGCTACACAGAAGTCCATCCCTAGCGGTGTGGTACCAGGTACCGAGAGTTCAGACAACAGCTCTCGGCCGAAAGATATCATTCCGGAGACAAGTCCTACCAACACGCAGAGCCGTGCAGACGCCAAGGTTAGAGCGTCCTCGGATGAGCCGTTGGTGGCGCCCAAACCGGAAGCCGTCAAGAACTCAGTCGACCCCGCTACTACTGAGATGCAAGACCCTGAAGCTGAGATTGAGGCTGAAGAAGTTCAACCCGATACCTCTCCAGTCGCTCCCCTACAGCCATCGCGAAGGTCTGGCCGCAAATCACGCCCTACCCCCAAGGCGCAAGATTTGAATGATACCGCGCGCACAGCCAAAGCTTCAGAGTACGTGAGTGCTGAGATGCACTCCAGCGTTGACAAGGAATCAGCCGAGGAAGCCGCGGCAGCACAGGAGAAGTCTGTCGTGGAAGACTTGCCAGCCTCGAGGTCTGTTCCTACTACGGAAGGTCGACCCTACATACCTTCTTCCCCTCCAGTACCGAGAGGCTCAGTCAGAAAGATGAGGGAGCCAGGTTTATCAACACCGGACCAGGGTAACGGTGCCCCAGCACCTCATGAACGAAACTCGCATGCCGCACCCGATCCCCCAGGCTCAACATCGACGCTGAGTGTTCTCACGACAACACCCGTGCCGTCAGATAAGACCTCGCCGGCAACTCAGGAGTCAGTAGAACTACCGCCTCTGTCTCCGCAGAAACCCACTCGCGGACGTCAAGCCACCAAGAGGTCGACCAAAGCCACAGCCAGTTCACGCGTGTCCAAACCCGGGACAAGAAGACAGAGCCGCAGGTCAATGCGTTTAGACTCAGCTTCGACCGACGAACTGACCCGGTCGCCCTCCGTCACCGGCTTTGAGAACAGCATCATTCAGCCGCCGAAGTCAACTGCCCGTGGCAGTCGTCTTTCCATGCTATCGCATACCTCCAAAGACGGCAACGGGCCCAAGATGTTCGCTGGCATGGCTTTTGCCATATCTTTCCAGTCAAAGAAGGAAGGAGAGAGAGCAGATCAGTACGAGCACCGCCTGGGGCAAAGTCGCGACATCGAGAAAATGATCGTCCAGTCCGGCGGCCATCTGTTGAAGAATGGGTTCGATGAGTTATTCGGGTCCAATGCACTCAAGAGCAGGTCCACCAGTCCCGCATCGGACGGCGCTGAAGACACTCCGTTGACCTTGACGCCTTGGGCCCAGACTATGGGTTTCACGGCCTTGATTGCCGACGGCCATTCTCGGAAGGTTAAGTACATGCAGGCTCTTGCTCTGGGACTGCCTTGCATTTCGGATCGGTGGGTGGCTACTTGTGTTGCTAAAGGAACCGTTGTGGACTGGCTTCCGTACCTGCTCTGTGCGGGGCAGTCAGCGTTCCTCCGCGACGCTGTGCGCTCTCGCAATCTGGTTCCCTATTCGGCCACTGAGGCGCAACTGAACGATGTCATCGAGGCGAGACCGAAGATGCTGGAGGGAAGCAAGATTCTGCTCGTAATGAAGAAATCCAGGGCCGAGGACAAGAAGATGCCTTATGTGTTCCTGGCGCACGTCTTGGGGGCTTCGCTTACGCGAACTTACAGCCAGGACGAAGCCAGGGACTTGCTCAAGCAGAAAGAGGAGCTCAACGAGCCATTCGATTGGGTGTATGTGGATGAGCATACCGGGAATGAAGAGGGTCTATTCAGCTCTGCAGTCGCTGAAACCAAGCCGTCGAAGAAGAGGAAGAGGGCAGCGGTGCCGGTTAAGGATGACGCCGGTCAACCACCAAAGAGGATTCGGACTCTCAACGATGAGCTTGTCATCCAGAGTCTCATTTTGGGTCGTATGATTGAAGAGGGAGAGCTTGAAGCATGATGAGCTTCAGATGGGAACTGTATTAATACTTGCATCCAAAAGGAGTCGATGGGTCGACGATGGCATTACTATGGCGTTTGGCGGTGGCAAGTTGGGATAATACCTGTATGGATGGGACAGTCTTCTCAAGTAGGGCGAGAGGGACAATACGTAGCATGTTTATTGTAGGAATGAATCAAGAAAGTTTACTTAAACCACAATACATTTCAAGAGTTATGGCCAAAGAAATCTTTTTCTTGTTGGGAAAGGTGGAGGAAGGGTGCTGGTGATGTTATGCTATCTACCTTGGGCAACACCTTCCTTTGAACACCCCGGTAAAAGATGCGATAATTACAGTAAGGTACATATGATATTGCAGGAGGAGAGACAAGAAAATGGGAGAGGGGGTCGGCAAATTTTGCACAACCTGGAAGGCTGCACTTTCCGCCACGACCCCCGGCAAGAGACACGACACCAGACAGCTTCACATTCATGACACATGAGCATAGCATTTCACTTGAGAGACAGCAATCAGTAATGTGAGAAGTGACCAGTCCTTTCAATTCGCCAAAGTAAACAAAACGCGACCCTAAGACTGTTTCCATCACATGCAACAACTCGAGATGGTGAGCTGTGCATTATCTCTTACATGACTGACGCCGCAGTAAAATAAAAGGCCTCCTGCCCTGCCATACCCTAGGAGAAAGTGGCCACTCTTATCATGTTTCGCAACACGGGGCGATCCGAAGAGTGTTTGCACCACTGCACAACTACAGACCTGTTGTGCCTCCAAATGAGTCCCTCGAGTCAGGGCCGCCGCCCATGTTCTCTCACATACGCTTCTTCTGGCCCCAGACCCCATCCCACCTGTCGGCGATGTAGGTCAAACGGGTCTCCTCCTCCATGTCGCCTTCGGCAACCTCCATCATGAAGGCGAAGCGAGCGATGACGAGCGCGTCCATCAGTTCGCGAAGTTCAACAGGCCCCATCTTGGTGATGTCGATGGAGTCGTCGTCCTTGTACCGCCGCCTCAGCTGGTTGTAGATGCGGATGTAGAAGTGCGTCTCGCTGTCGGCGGCGGTGTTGCACAGGTACTCGCCGCGGCTGCGGACGCAGCGGTCGGCGGCCTCGAAGAGGAACTCCTGGACGCGAGAGTGTGCGTAGGCCGGGTTCTCGCGCTTCTCGAAGCCGCAGGCGGTGGCGAGCGAGGTCAGGGTTCTCGCGGAGATGGCGGAGTCGTCGAGGAACTTGAAGCCGGTGATGTTCTTGAGAGACTTGGCGCACTTGTCTTTGGGTGCAACCGTGCCGGTAGGGACGACCTTCTTCGGGGGCAGGTCGAGGCACTTCATCGGCTTCAAGCAGTTCTCGACGTTTTCTTGGCGCTTTCGGTTGGCGAGGACCCTGGCACCTAGCTGCTCGGGGGTGAGGTCTTGCTGCGGAGCGCGATCGGAGGACAGGATCTTGTACGGCTTCGGGGCGGGTGAGGCGAGCTTGTCGAGCGAGAAGAAGTTGCCGTTGCGGAGGATCTCAGCCGCCTTGGCAGCCTTGGATCCCTTGCGAGGCTTCTGACGTTTGCCAAAGACGTTGGGTGAAGCCTTGCGCTTGGGTGGAGAAGAAGCCTTAGGAGACTTCTTGATACCGGTCGAGACGGGCTTGAGCGCGTTCTGAGCGGGCTTGTCGACAATCTGCTGGCGGACAGTGCCGGCGACACGAGCGTTGAGAGCGGTCATTGTGTCGTAAAGAGGTAGATCGAGGTATAGAGGATCGCGGTATAGAGGATCGAGGTGTAGAGGATCGAGGTATAGAGGATCGAGGTATAGAGGATCGAGGTATAGAGGATCGAGGTATAGAGGATCGAGGTATAGAGGATCGAGGTAGAGTGAAGCTGATAAGTGTTGAGGAACAGGTTATCAGATCGAAGTTGTGATGTGGGATGAAGCCAAAAGAAGGAGAGGAAGGGGGGGATCGGGGGACCCTTATGTATGTTCAGAAGAAGTTACTTCCGGTTCCCAGATCACTCACCATCGTGATAGTTTCCCATTTTCCAGGTCGGCACCGGGTGCCTTTTTCAGAAAATGGGCGGGAGAGGGTGTAAGTGGGCGTGTGGTCGGAATATGGGATTAGCCTCTCGAGGGCTTGGTGGCTTTCTCAGGGTCCCAACTCAATTTTCAGGAACCGAACCTTCAGTCTGCCCAATGAGCCGGGGGAATTCGTCCCCGAGAACTCGGGAAGATTCTGAGAATCATATCGGAGATGCCTTCTTCTGCTTGTCGAACCCGTGCTCAAGTAAGTTTGTGTCCAGCAAACGATTTCCCCGGCCATTTGGTGTCAGTCGGGTGAGTTTGCCCGTGCCATTCCCCTCGACAATTCTGGCAGTTCACTCTACCTAGGCTGGCCTCAACGAAGCGATGAAGACAATTTGCCACGCCAGCATGAATGTGGTGACTGTGACATGATCTAAAGAAAGTCGATACTACAAAAGATGGCATTTCAAATCACCGTATTCTCCCAAGTGCTGGAGAATCAAGATGGACAAGATTGGGGCACACCGGGAATAGGTGGGCAAGGAGATACCGTAGAGGTGTATCCAGAGTCAGAGGTTCTATGAGGCAACAGCAAGCCGGGCACCGCAGGCCTCTCGAGGATATTTTGAGTTCTCCTTAGGTACGTAGCCAGGGATTTCTATTTTGCCTCAAGTCTAGAACACCGAAATTTTCTATTGGTCCAATATTCCAGAGGGCACCCATCCCTCAGGGTTGTATCCTTTGGCATGATTCGGCACCTCCTGAGAAAACAGAAGGGCAAATATCAAGCCGATGATTCTAGTCCCGGCTGGCATGCGAAGGCTGGAGTGGCTGTAAACGTTCCCATTCTGCAAAGTCTAATCCGTAATTCTCATATTGCTAATACAATAATTCATCCATCTACCACCAACCATATGCTCTCCCGGTAAAGCAGTCCACGCCCTTCTGACATACACTCCTCGTCGATTTCTGGATCAGTCAGATTTTTTGGCAGCCTCGCACTACTGTCTCTTCCACTCCAGGTAGCACTCCTTGGTCGAGAGCCCTCCACTCAGGAGCTGATCGAACTCTTTCTGGGCACCCGGCTGTCCAGGCTGAAGCTTGAGCCTGAAGGGCCACTTCTCGATCACAGTATGACCCTTCTTCATCACAGCTCCCACGGCCTGCCCTGCCTCGGAGAACATGAACTTTCTCGCATGGCTTCAAGTTGGGAGGTGGTCAGTACCGCTAAATGTAAAGAAGACTGTGGAGATGCTTACCGGTCAAACGTCTCGTCATGGGCAACAACACAATTCAGGGCAACATTGATCTTCATGATGATAGGGTCATTTGGCCTAGGCGGGGTGGATGGGAAGCCGAGGTACTTGAACAGACGGGTTCTCGTTTGACTATTCTTCGCGTCGGCTTTCTTCTCCTCCAATGTGAGGTTCTCGTCTACCACGTTCATGAAAAGTGTGATGAGAGTGGCGTGGGGGTTGACAGCGGGCGGGTCGAGAAGAGGCACCATGGCATCGAGCGTTCGATGGATACCGAGATATCCTTCGTCAGCTATGTTGGATACCTATTGGATCCGTGTAAGTCAAAAAATCATTTCTTGAAACATATCTTTCTCCGACCATGTCTCGTAGTGGTTTGTAAAATGTCCCTACCTCGATGCGGCTAAAGGAATTGCCGGTCAAATACTTACCGAGTGCCGCAGCATCCATGTTGAACAACTGGAAAGAGACTTTGGGCCGGGACATGAAATCTGCAAGGACCGACCGGAGGTGACAAAAGAGCTTTCCGTATATGTCGTTCTTCGCCGGGCCATTCTGAGCGCCTTGTACGTCATCCGCAGCCCATCCCGCCAAGGGCTCGGCGCTGTCAAACATAGGCCACTCCTGGACGTTTCTGTGCAGCGTACTAAGCTTCATCAGCGATATTAGTCTTTCAACACGTTTTCTAAACTCACGGGTTGGGATGCCGGAATTCAGCACGCCGGGCCCCAAAGGGTAGCAGAAGTCCATCTTCACGGAACCGAGTCAAAGCCACTCGATGAGACGGGGTCTGGAATATGAGATGGCGATCCCGGAAGTCCTTTCTGCTCTCGCCAAGAGTGATAGCCCTGCGAACCTTGCTTGCCTTATCGACGCCGAAACCAGGAGGAACGTCGAGGAAAGCCAACAGGTCGTTCCACATGAACTTCTGCAAGACCAGGCGGACTGTGCGATCGCCGTATTTCCAAGTCTTCGCCTGCAGACTGTCCGATGGCTTGCCCTTGACCTTCTCACAAACGTCCTTGATGAGAGGCTGAATCTGACGCTTGAGAATCTCGAGGTCGGACTCGCGAATCAGAGCAGAGTACCAGACGTGAATGATGCAGTCAGCTGCCTGATCGGTATCGCTGACCACAAGGGCAATGAGAAGCATTATGGCGTTACGGGCCACAACATCGAAGTCTCGATCGTTCATCGTCACCTGAACGGACTGCTTATAGCTGTCGGGAAGCTGCGCGATGGTTTTGACGACGTTCCGAAGGTCGCCGGAGGCTTTTAAGAACAAAACCCGTCAGCTTGTTCGACTTGTCGATGTAGCTCAGAGCGTATCACTTACCGGCAAACAAGAGAGATAAGATTCCGTCATAGGCAACGCCCTCGTTCTTCCCGAGCTTCAAGACGTCGTATGCTGGAACGTTGCCCCAGAAATACTTTCCTCTTCCGAACGAGACCTGTTCTGACGGCCCCTTGAGAGTCTCGTCATCCACAAAAGCTGGCATGCGATTCTCTGCAACCCATGCGGGCTGCCACGTCTGCTTGCCCAGGAGTGAGGTGCAATCGCGCTTGTGAATGTGCCAGTGAGCCTTTTGACACTCGGCGCCGCAGTACTATAACATGATCAGATCGAGCAGATAACAAAAGTTGAAGGCCATGAAGATCGGGAATTAGGTCTGATGACCTTGAAAAAAAGAAAAAAAGACGAAGCCAAGGTTCACAAGAGGGAGAGGTTTTGAGTACGTACAACAAAAAGAAGACAATTCTTGCAAGCAAACTTTCCTGTTTTCTTGCAGTCAGCGCTATCTGGAGCGTGATTGGCGCAGGTAGCCTGGGTTGCTGCCATCTTGGCGATGCCACTCGTCAAAAGCGATGGATGTGGAAGTGTCGAGGTTTTGCCGGTTGATGGATTGGATTGGGTTTGGATGAGATGTTTGCGTTGGCAGAAAATCTGAGTCTTTATAACATTATTTCTTCTACTATCTTGACTGGAATTTTCTGGTTGCCGAAGTGTGTTTGAGCGTATGAAAAATGATTGCGCCAGCTTCTTCAGGCTCTTCCGCTCTTGCAGAAAGTCGTGGAACAAGAACGTGAGCATTCTCTTTGTTGGCTACCTATGATGTTTCTGTACCCGCACTCTGCGTCTTTCAGCTAAGATGAAGCATCACAAGCATACCTAAACCCCAAATCTGGCAGACATTATATTATTAGAAAAGCAGTATGCACCTTGGTTTGATTTCCCATGAGGACGATATCTTCACAAAGATATCGATTGAAGATACAATTAATAGTCCACAGCTACACTATGAGGGGTAGCAGAAGCATGTTTCGACTGTCTTTGAAAGTAATACAGCAGACCCGCTTGGGGATAAAAGAGAAGCAGCAAAAGTCTAAGAAAGATACTCAATGTATCTCGAGAACTTTTACGATCCAATCCATAGCTTCTTTACTCTCCTTGAGGCCATACCGAAACGTGAGTGGAAAGCAATGCATTTGCCCATCCCAGGATAGCCATTGCCCCGTGACGCCTTGCTCCTTACACATGTTCCGGAAAACGGCGGCCTCTGGTTCTAGAACATCGTAGGTCCCTGACACTCCATATACGCTAATTCCATGTCGAACCAGATAACTGAGATCTGCTTTGATGGGAGACACCCGGGGATCTTCGAACCCCCATTCTCCCTGGTTGGCGAGGTCCTGTCTTTGCGATGTGCCGTCGTCTCCAGTCCCCGGGCTGATAGATTCGGGGCACCATGCTTTTGCAGTCTCCCGGATGGACTGATGTGTGTGAATAGGGTCGAGTTTATCTGCCTCCGTAATTGCTTCAAGCTCATGCCGTAGATCGGTAGTTGGACTCATGACCAAGATGGCCACGGGCGGCTTTGATGACTCATCGTGGTGGAATTTCAACGACCAGGCAACAACACACAACGCAATATTCCCTCCCGAGCTGTCGCCTGCAACTATGACAGTTTCCTTTGCTCTCGTCGAATCCACCAGCAGCTTCTTATACACCCTTTCGATCTGTGGGAACGCCACCGAGGCTGGGTTCTTCGGCGCCAAGGGGCATGAAACAATGGTCACCCTTGTGTCTCCTAAACGGCGCACCAACTCTGCGCAAAACGCCCAGTGGTGCTCGCTCGGAGGCATCTGCCAACCGCCGCCCGCAAAGTAGATTATCCGGCGACGATATGTGTCTTTGGCCAGGTCATGCTTCTCGCCTGACTCTCTCCGTTTTAAGTCATATATCCAAACCCCATCGATTTGCTGCTCGCTGACTTCGCAATATCTCTGAGCCCTCTTCGTCGCCGTCAGTCGCGTTGCCCCATCGGACAGCTTTTTGGGCTTCGTCAAGCGGGGTTTGAGCGGCTTCAAGACGCCGTGAATTATTCGAGTCAACAAATGCCGTTCACTTCGCTCGTGGATCATGAAGCCTGCGGGTGTGGGCTTGGTATCGCTGCGGTCGTTGAGTCGGTCGTCCGATGTAGAGGTCTCCATCGCGAAGAGGTGGGAACTGGGGTTACTCTAAAGTTGAGATGGAGGTGGCTCAAGTTCTCCACCGGCATGATTGAGGACTGTGAAGTCCAAGATGTGCAGCACAGGTTTGCTGGAGCGATTGTTTTGTTCGACTACGCTTGGTTTGGGTCCACGACGTCATCGGCCCTGGGCGCCTTGACGTCATCCAAGAAATGAACATGAACGATCGCGTCTGATCAAAAATCGCCGCCTGAATCCAGAATATTTAGATATCTAAATCATTTATTCGGTTCATATTTTCTTCTGATTCCAACTTCATGACATTGGACGGGACTTGGAGTGAGGTCTCTCGTGAGCTAGTGCAGTGTATGATCGCGAAACTTGGCGAAATTGCAGACAGGCCAAGGAATGCAAGTATTTTGCGAATGATGTTCGATCATATACACCTATTCGAAGCAGCAAGTCGACCACTCCAGGGATTATCCGGACTCATAGGTCAATGATTGTGGCCCAACAATGATTAGCGGGTTGGCGGAGGCGGCGATCCCGCTCTTCGGCGGTCCGGATGGGGCTAACGGTCTCCGCACTTCAAGGTGGGGTCATCGGCGGCGGCACGGGGCCAAAAGAGAAGGATTTTGGTACAAACGTATTGACAGGTATGGCCGGCTGAAAATGGAAAGAAATTACCATCAAGATAGAAAATCTATTACCAGCTACCCTCCAAATCTGCTAACGCTTGAGTTACGTATCCTTCGCGCACGCACGCATTAATGAACAGCCCTCGCGTTTCATTGTACACCAAGTACTGGACTGTGGTTGACCGAGTACTTCTTTCCGTCAATCCACGCCTCAAATCTGAACCCTCCAGCTGAAGTGGCGGTAACGCGTAATTCGAATTGAACACGGTTGCAGATGTGCTTTTTGAAGAACCAGAATCGTCTCTTGTACTTGGGCTTCACCATTGAATGCTCCACCTCGCCCAAGAGAACTTCAAAATCGGTCAGGGCTTTTATGTGACCTAGAATACGTGTCTTGTTAGATATTTGTCAGGCAAGTGGCAATTTAAGGACTTACTGGACGCTTCATTGATCCCACTGGCTGGCCATTTTAGTTCAGAAGTCATAATTGTGGCCTTGATCGATCCAATCTCCTCGTTTGGTGGAAATTGAGCTCTAAGCGGATGCGTCTTCAAGTCAGTCGTGCTGACATCGTCACCCTGATCACATTAGTATATACAAGGCAAGGAAGAAAATTGCATACCTTCTTGATGAGCCACAGGACTCCATAAGCCGTCGATTGTTTAGGGTCAGAATTGTCTCTCTGGATCTTCAGCCTGCTGCTCTCTTTCTTGACGGCCAGTCCAAAATTTGCGCGTGCTTTACGGCTCTGTAGCACTGGGGCTTGATTTAAGCCGCCTCCATTGTCCAGCAAAAGCCCATGTACAACTGCGAGCTGCGGGCGTGGATCTTCGCACCGCATGACCTTGATTGTTTTCCCACCCGTAAAGTGATTGTCAAAGTATTTTTGTAGTTTGAACAACACATAATCTGAAGATCCAAGTCCGCCAGAGAGTGTGACAAATTCCTGATGATGATGAGTTATCTCAGAACGCCGGGAAACTGAAAGCGAAGTTGCACGTACGACTTGATCAGACGACATCTCAGTCAGATTTCGCAGCTGCTCCTGGATGCAACTGAGTATTCCATTGATTTGATCATCAAAGAGACCCTGGATTTCATCTCTTCAGAGATGGTTAGTAATGTACTCCTTTCAAGCGTGGTGATGTAAACATACCTGCTGAATATCATGCTTCCTTGCACAATACCAAGCTGGTGGCTGTCGTAGTTATTTGGCAAGCTGTCGACCTTTACGGAATAACTTGACTCGTCGAACCCTTCCCTTCCAAACGTCCTTTTCAAGCGGAGAAATTCTTTGCTTCTTGACATTTGCGTGGGAAGGTATGGAGGAAGTGGAGGCCCCTCAATATCCGACCACGCGGCCAGACGGGATTCCACCAACGTCTTGAAGTCAGCGTCAATCAATGCCCCCCCTATACCTATCCCTGTGACCGGCAGAGCCTGTGCCATCCGCGGACTCTCCTTATCTGTTGATGTTTTCCGCATCACTGTCAGGTCAGTCGTCCCCCCGCCGGCATCGACTGTCATGAAGACGCAGTCTTTTTGGAAACCGAAGCCTCCCCCCCTTTCCATCTTGGTCCCCTTCAAAATGGTCACTGCTGCAGCCTCTGCTTCATTCAGACCGATGTCGACTGAGTGTCTCCGCCCCTCTTTTCCAAACCCAGCGTCATAGATGGCTTTTTCGAAACCTAGTCTTGTTTCCGGAGTCTTCCATGTAGTCGGCACGCTGAAGACAAACCTGATCGCAAGACTTTCCCAGGTGTCCTGGAAATCTTCCTTTGCTATGACTGACGACTTGGTATGCTCATAGACCTTAGTCAAGAAGTCTGTGACCAACCTCCGGGCCTGTTGAGCACTCTCCGGTAAGTTAGCGACCCCCCTTGCTCGCCATACCTGGAGAGAATCATCCTCGATAGAGAGCTTGAAGAGTTGGTATCGTATCTTGCCGGGTAGATCTTGCCGATCATCGCACAGAAAGCCCCATTGAAAAAGGCTGCCATCAGCGTTGTATGTAAGAACAGTCGGCACTTTGTTTTCGCCTTCATCAACCTGACCAGGCCAGCCACGGACGATCTGAATGGCATTACGAGAGGTTTTGTATGCAACACCTGGACCCGGTTAGTTAGTTGAGTTTCAGTAGGATAGCGGCCGCATGCGTCCACTTGCCTGTGAATGTGTTTCCGAAGTCCACGGAAACCCAAATATCTGCTTGCTCGCTCATAACGAGGGAGGGTTCCTGACCAAAGCCCCGAAATTGAGTCTGTATACGGTTGTGCTTTGTTGACGAAGAGTAGGTAGCGAATTGAGATCAAATTGAATACGACCAGCCAAGCAAATTGAACATGAAGAGCTGAAGGAAGGAAAATGAATATCGGGTATGCTTGGAATAACAAGGGCAATGGTACCATGTCGTGCGTACGTGGTTGTTCCACATCATCTGAGCACCAAGACACTCCCTGCCAGCGTGGCTATTATATCGAAGTCCCACCGCTTCGGGTACAACAACCGACCTCATTCCGCTGAGGGAGACGTTCGAACTCAAAGTTTCCGAGCCTGACGTAAAGTCTCACGAGGTTTGTATGACATCGCTTCCAAGCCATTGCGACATGCCGGGCAGCCCCGCCTCAGCACGCCGATGGAGGCAGTGCACATTCTGCCAGATGTCTTAGAAGTACATGTATAGATGCCAGCACGCTTGTCTCGTATGAACCTCTACATACCGCTTGGCGTGCATGTCGGGGGAGGGAGGGTAAGACGGTGGCGGCGCCCGCAGGTTACAGTGCAGGTACTCCTGCCCAACCAATCTATACCCACGAAGGATGCCCTGTGGTTGTCCCAACAGCCTGCTCTTCCCAAGCAGTATCCTTTTTCATATCAATCTTGATGTGTCAGCTTGTAAATATAACTAACCCCCTTTTTCACCTTGCCACAGCCTTGGGTTCAGTTCGCATTTCCGTCCTGTTTGATCGCATTCGTTCGCAAATCGTGCTCTCCAGCAATGGCAGACGTCTCCTCCTCCAGCAGCCTTCTTTCTAGTCAAACGGGCAGTCAAACTACGATCGCCGCAAGCACTGAAGCAACCACAAGCACTGAAGCAACTACAGTCACTGTGACCAGCGCAGTCTGCAGTTCTTCACTACCGCCCTCACCCAACACGCGCATCGGAGCCTCTCCGGGCACAGTCGTCGGAACTGCTTTTGGTTGTTTTTTCCTCGGCTGCCTATTTGGCCTGCTACTAGCGTTTGTTCTTCTCCGGCGAAAAAAGAGAAAATGCGGAAGTCGCACATCAATACCTGTCAGGCCTTTTTCGAAATCAATGACACAGCCCGCTGCTACCCCTACGACCCTTGACAACGGCATCAACTTGAACCAATTCCTTCTTGATATGATCCCTGACAAGGCTCTCGTCGAAGAGCTTGAGAATATGGACTACCTCATCTCTCTTCACTGCAAAAACCATTACCATTCACAGCCTGTGCAAACCACACCGAAATTTCTGGCGCGCATACTTTCGGAAATTGGTTTTGGTGATCACCCGACGTCGAAGCCAGAGGAGATCGCAAGGCTATGCAGTAAACCAGAAACTCGACAAGCAGGTCTGCGGCTGGTTGTATCCTACGGAGTATTTACAAGCGTTGACTTCAACGCGCGCAGCCAAGTTTCCATGCTGCCTAGTCCAATATCGGTATTTTTAACGTCGCTCCCCTCTGAAGAAGAACAAAACGGCAACGAAAGTGGTATTGTCTCCCCTCCCCTAGCTTTTACTATGGATCAGGCAGTTAAATCTTTTTCAGCGGTCGCAATTGCTCTTTCAAAATGGCGCACCCTTTCAACGTTCTTATTGCATCCAGCACGCGCCAATCGGACGCCTCTCCGACCGGTTCAATCGGAAATTGTACCAAAGGCTCAGAATCTCACAGCTGTTCTCAACAGATTCCTTCATCATTTCGTTCCGGCCGATGAGGAACACCGACGTCTTCAGCTGGATCACCTTCAGACAGTCATCTCGGGATGCACCAAGATCGGTTACAGCATTCTGTCTCAACCAGTGGACTGGCGTTTCACCTATCAGGCAGATGAGGCAAATCCAACGGGCGTCAACTCGGTTGTGGTGTGCCCAGGTCTAGACAAAGCCCGCCCCAGGGAGGGAAAGCTGTTCAAATCTGTGGTATCGCCTCACGCTGTACATATCAAGACGGAGTAGAGTACAGCTTGTAATTCAGCCAGCCGAGTCAGCTGATGCGATGTCTAAGACATGGCCTCCCCCGGTCATTCCTAATACTAGAAGTAGCGTGTGATCTATCAATGGCGTTCCTGGAAGTTTAGGTAGTCATCATACGATGAAGGCACGGTGAAGTACAAGTACGCCAGCCTGCTATTCCACACAAACGCAGTGTAACATGAGCTGTCTGTCGAGACCAGTGCGAGGCCTGGAGGTGGTTGAATGGCGTATGCTGTACTACATCAGCAGACATCCTGTAATTTCACTGGATGTGGTACGTTACAGCTCGCAATGGAAAGAAGAGCAATTTGCCTGGCGGTTGCAGATTGCATCAGTGGCACTCGTCTAAGCCCGGATGCTCCCAACGGTATGATGGGCAACGTGCACAGCCTGAGGCGTAGCTGACTATCACACAGATTGTATAGAACCGTACATGGTGTTGCAATACAGGTGATCTTCTCTCAAAAGCTTCTGAACCAAAGATGCATTTTAAAATATAAGTCCTGGATTGTTGTTAATATGGCATTGTCCGTGTCCACATGGAAGTGATTCAAGGGCTTAACTGTACACTTCGACGACTTGGCTGGACCTCAGTTTGACTTACGTGGCGGCTGGCCGGTTGGTCTAATCATAACTATCATTGCTGCTCTCTCTCCTGTCATTAAAATGGCGTTGCTGCCTGCTTCCTTCCTTTTTCCGCTCTCCTGAGCACCAGAAGAGCTGATTATGGTAAAGTGCGTGAATCAGAAGTGGGATGCTGAGACAAACACGTCGGAGACGCCGAGCTGCAGCGCAACATAGCACGATCGGTCGAACAAGGTGGTTGAGATATGTCAAGTGTGGGTGGCTGTGTTCCGATTGGTGAACTGTTACATTCCATTTGCCTCCTGAGCACGAAAGCTGAGCCTCTGGTGCAGTTCAAAAAAGATGGAGATGACATGTCAAATGGCGCACCTCGTGAAGATGGCTAGAGAAGCCTGACTGAAAGTAGTCATCATCCTTGGCCCATATCAACATAAGACGTCATTTCATCTGGACCCGCCACCGCTTATAATTCTCTGCATCCAAAGACCAAATTATCCTCTGTGGTCGCTACTTATCAACGTGCTAAGGTCCAGTCTCCCGTGAAAGGCTCTTCTCTAGAAAGACTCCGCACAGCCTTTTGCCACGCCAGTATCCCCTTCGAGGCAGGCGAAAACCGTTCGCATATCTGACGGTAAGATCCTCATACCTTCTGATTAGTCTCATCTATTTTCCTACTGTAACATCAGGCCCAACAACGTCTCATACCCCAGCCGCAGCAATGGAAAGTGCGGGATGTGCCATCGGTCTTGCACCTATAGCTTTCAAGTCTTTGAAGCTTGGCACCGCAATTGGGGGGGCTCCAGCTCACATTCAGTCTGCTTTCAACACTGTTGCAGTAATGATTCGCGACTTGGAATACCTCAATATGCTGCGACAAAAGAACGGCCATCTCTTGAATTCCAGAGAAGACGAGGATAGACTGACGAAAGTTGCTTCGGCAGCTGATCAGAGGTTGAAAGATGCTTGTGACGTCCTCGCGAAGGCGCAACATGGGGCCTCAGAAGACCTTAACATGAACTCTATTCATTGTCACGTCCGGTGGGTGTTGAAGGACGCAGCCGAATTTCAACACAAGTGCGATGTCCTGCGGATGGATCACTGTGTGTTGCTGTCCGAGATAGCTCACCTACGGTCCATTTCTCAACCATTGGATGAGCAGAAGAAATCTGCCGGCATGACGCGTGAAACAACACACACCGTCATCTTCTACAACGAGTCTCGGTTTCGGAAGTACATGGAACAATCGAGCAATACCGGCAAGTATCATATTGGATTTTCTTTTCTGCGAATGAAGGTCATTCTGATACTTGTATAGGATACGCCATGGCCTCTACGTCACTAATTGAACACGGAGCTCTTGCCTCAAAGTCAATTCCGTCAATTGCAACAACAGAAGAATCCAATTCTTTCAGTTTCGGCCCAATCGGTTACGTTCCTGGTGTCGAAGGGGTCACTATGCCGGAATTGGGAAGTGGAAAGGCAGACGTGGGAAAGATCGATGAGGTTGGGGACAGCTTGGAACCGGTTGCAATCCACACGGAGATTCTTGTTGTGAAAAAGAAATGGTGGGCTTTCAACCGGTGAAATAATCATTGGGATCCGCCAAAGTACGGCGACAGGGTTCCTGCAATCACAGCAGCTACCTTTCCGCACGCATCTGGTTCTGCGCTTTGGTGTCACGTAATACTATTTCATTCTTCACTCAATCAACACTTTGGCATCTTTTCTTTTCTCGGTCAGGTAATGAGATTACATTCGCCATCTGGGGCAACTGGCAACTTGCCGGGGCGGGTCTCCGGCAGCTGATATCTCCGGCGGTCCAGACCGGACCCACAGTCTCCACATCTCCGTCAAATGCAAATCCGGGCGATGGGCGAGAGACCGGAACAACAAGGGCGACCAAGACTCATCGAGAATCAGAAGAATCAATCGGAGTCATTAGAATGAGGAGGGCGGTAAGTCCTACGAACACAAACTTAGTAGACGCCAAATCCGTTGAGACAGCCTCCTTTTCCGAGCGAGATTTGCAATGCGCCTCTATCTTATGCCTTACGTTAATAATGGATACATTCTTTTTGCAGACCGGAAGTTGATTCAGAGTTCTGGGCGCGATATATCAAGACAATTATGTATTACCCTTGAAATTTCTGATTCCGGAATCCAGCCAAATCAAGGCCATCAGGGTTGCGATGTCGCTCTCAGGAGACATGAGTATCCCTGTACCAAAAAGGGCATTCGATCACGATGGCAAGTGGAATCGCACAATGTTCAACGTCAAGGATACCACAACATGTCAGCCAAGACCACACGACCAAATCGACCTGCCTTTCGCAGCAATGACGAAAACCCCTATCCATCGTGGAAAACACGGTCTCAAAATCCCACGTTCCGCGACACGAGATCGTCATTGGTCCCGCGTCGGAGACCCCATCATCCTTGACCACCATAGCAGCAAAAGGGGGAGCCCCGCACCAACTCATCAACCACGCAACAAATTCGACGATGGATCGTTATGCATGTTCTCCAAGAAATGCCCATCGTCCAATCTTTTCGCCGCCTTCGCTCACGCTTATTCCCGCCCCGTGAGATTTTTTTTGGGATTGTTGGCAGTTTGGCGGCCCCGCCCCTGCGCCCGCCACGACCTGCCGCCGTACATCGGCTACGACTGCCCTGCGCGACTTGGCGGCGGGGTGTTCGCCACAGGTGAATTACAAAATACGTCAACTCCTCGCGCGAGTTGATGGTGATTCTCTTCGATAACCACGCCGTTTTTCCCAGTTGCTTACTTGCTTGACTTTTTTTTTTTTTTTTTTGGCGAATTTCTGGATTGCTCGTCATGGTTGTCAAGTCTGGTTTCTTTGCTGCAGCGGCCTTGGCTGCCGTAGGCGATGCGTACTCACTGGGGAGCTTTGACTATGACTCGCTCAGCTTGAGGGAAGTTGGCGCGCGCAATACTGAGGTACGTTTGATACTTCACAACGCAAAATGGATTTGATACTAACCATTCTTTACAGGACTGGCGCATGTGGTTGTTGAAGGACGGCGATCCGATCTCATTTTGGCACGATATTCCAACGTGGCCGGATGAGAGCGAGAGGCAAGTCGTGAACGTGGTCATCGAGGTCCCCCGTTGGCAAGACGCCAAGATTGAGTTGGCCAGAGATGAGCCACTCAGTAAGTCCCGGAAAGCCTACGTAAAGAGCCGCGCTGATCATGGCTACCAAGACCCCATTTACCACGATACCAGGAATGGTGCTCCGAGATTTGTTGAGAGCGTCTGGCCTCACAAGTCCTACCCGTTCCTGTACGGGTCTATCCCTCAGACGTGGGAGAGCCCCAACTTCAACCACAGCTTCACTGGATTTGAGGGGGATAACGACCCCGTTGATCTTTTCGATATCGGCCAAGAGTAAGTGCAGCAGCGCGGGCGTGGTGTTTCTAGCTGCTGATTGCATTGTAGTCCAGGGTACGTGGGCCAAGTGAAGCAAGTCAAGATCCTCGGCGGAATCGCCTTGGCTGATGTAAGTTGCCGCGCTCGTATCCTCTCATGTATTGATCGCGCATCACTGACGACTTATAGGGTGAAGAAACGGACTGGAAGATCATGGGCATCGACATTAAGGATCCCCTTGCGCCATTGATCAATTGTGAGTCTTCACATTCGCAGCACGCGAAGACATCTACTGACAATAACATAGCTTGGGAGGATGTCGAGAAGTATCGCCCCGGCACCGTGAAGACTTTCAGAGACTGGTGGACGGTAAGCTTTCCTAGTCAGAGCATTTCAAGCTACGTGAACTGACTCGTACTCGCAGTACTACAAGGTCGCTCGCGGTGACGACGTGATTGATATCGTTGGCGATTGGTATCAGAATGTCACCTTCATGGAGAATGTGCTGTTCGAGAGCCACCAGACCTGGGAGGAGTTGATTAAGGGCGAGGTCGACTCGAACGAGATCAACTACAACCAGACCGCCAACTCGGACGTCGATGTCAGCTACATCAAGAAGAGCAAGACGAGGAAGACATTCGACGTTCCCAAGAAGGACAAGATCAAGCCGGCTGCCGAAAAGCCCGAGGCGTACAAGGGCTGGTGGTACCTTGACAGCAACTACACCCTGCTTCAAGTTCCGGCTGTGCAGCAATTGACGTTGAACCGCCAGGCGCCCTGAGGGTCGGAGATCTGGGGGCGTCGAATCGATGGACTGTGAGCGCCTCGGTAATTTGAATGGCGGTATTCGTTTCTTTTCGATGGCATGCATCATCGGGTATGTTAGAGCGGCTGATTTACCAAAGCATGATGGGATTAGACTTCTGTATGATGACTTGACAAGGAACACATAGGGCATGATTATTTGCTAAATGAAACAATGATTCAAGATGTCTGGTGAGGTCAAAGTGAAGTTGACACCTGCGATACCTTTCATATATGAGGACACTCGAAAGGAAAGAAGTACCGGGACGATATTCCCTGAGCTCTTGCCGCTTTTCCGGTTCCCGGCATTCAGATCGGGCAGGCGCCACCCAACGGCCGTGGCCCCACAAATCGGCAGCCCTACCCGCGAGCTTAATTCTGACTTTTTTTCCGATGTAACTGAAACATTCCAGAGTCTGCCCATCTCAACGTCGAGTCGTCAACGATACCATTTGCATCCATCCCCACACTACCATTATTGGCAACCCCCTTCCCTATCTTGGACTTGCTTGGCATCATCATTTTTGGGACTAGCATCGTGGGTTCCTCTGCCTCCTGCTTTGGTGTTCTCTTCGCTGACGAGCGTTAGGTCACGGCCTGACTCGCCTTCAGTATCTCATCGGCACCAAATCCAGGGCAACGTGTCATTATCGGGCCGACAGCACCTCCCGGTAACGGACCGGTCAACCTCCGACTACCTCCGAAACGGAGCCCGGGAGAGCAGCAAGGTCTCCGAAGATGGCCACGCCCGGCGTGGACCTGGACGACGTCCAGATGCACATCGACGACGCCACCATCCAACTCAGCACCCATCGCCTGACGACGCCCTTCCCGGAATCAGTCATATCCATCACCCGCACCTCATCACCAAACACATCCAAAGAGCACCCATCTTCACCCGAGTACACGCCCCGTGAGTTGGCGGAGCAGGCGAAAGCCCGGCAGGAGCGCCAGAGTGCTCGCGAAATGAGATGGGTCGCTCGCGAGAGGGCAAATCGTAGCAAGAGCCCAGTGCCCATGACTCCAATGCGGGCTTCGACGGGCGGCATCGAGAAGAGGAAGTCGACAGGAAAGTGGAAGAGCAAGGCTACCGACTCGCGACTTTCGTCGGACCTCGATCGCCTCCTCGTCGGCGATAGCTCAGCTAGTCGCGCTTTGCAAGGTTCTCAACACCCCCTTCGTGCCATCTTGCACAGCCTCCCGGGCTTCACCTACGACACCGAGCTCGACAACGTCAAGTTTCGCAAAGGCCAGCGCGTCCAACTCGGAATCGAGGATCTTATGGCCAGTGGGGGAAGAGATGTGGCAAAGGAGTGGTTAGAGGAGTTCCTCCTTCTCACATTCGAAATCAAGGCCAAGGTCCTGGAGCGCTATCCCATGTGCCGAGAGCTCGACGACGTGCCCCTGGGCTACATCACCATGGCAAAAGACGTCGAGACGTTCATCAATAAGCTTCCTTACGATCGCGCTTTTAAGGTCCGCCGGACGATGGAGCGCCGCCTGTGCCAGCCATACGACATGCGGAAGCTGGTGGAATGGACGATCAGAGCCCGCTGCCGGTTTCTCGAGACGAAGCCGAAGATGGTGCCGGGCTTTGGCCCTTTCGGGCAGATGAGCAAAGAAGAAGGGACCGATTTGGAAAAGCGTCTGTGGGCGGCGGTCGATGCTAGAGGGTATGCGATGCCTAGAGCGCATGACGATTAGAGAGCCGTCGTCCCGGTGTACGAGATGAGTTTTGATCGAGACGATTGCATTGAATGGGGTATAGCATGATACCGGAAGCAGCAAGGCGATCGGCGTTTAGAGACTAAAGACTAGATGTGTTTAATGGTATACATTTTACTGTCCGCTTTTCTCATTTTTGGACCGACTCGTGGCTGCGGATCCTCGTTTTCTCGACATCTCCCAGGTCTCCAGATACCTTCTTCCCGACGCATCGACCAGGGTGCCAGATCGCGAACAGAATGACGGCCAACACCACCGGCGCGAACTCGAGCACGCCGAAGAAGACCTCGTTCGAGTAGAGCTCCCCGCCGAGTCCCTCCGCCGTCTCCGCCAGACGGAAGCACGTCCGCAGATACACCAGCAACGTCGCCGCCGAGAAGGCCGCCACGAAGGCCGTGAGCCTGTGCTCCTTGACCAGTTCCCGAGCCCTGAAGAGGAAGACGGCCGTCGTGATCACAAAACACCCGATTGAGAACACCTGGTACGCCAGCCCGCCGAGCAGGATATTATTCGCCGTCGTCGGGTCCTCGCGCCGCGACTGCTTGACCCCGATCAGCGCGGCGCCCGAGATCTGCGCGACGGTCGCGATGGCGTCGGAGGTGATGAAGAACCACAGGACGAAGCGCGGCGGGAGCGGGGAGTACCGCCGGCCGAGGCGGTGGATCAGGGCTGAGAGGATGGTGTAGATGCCCGCGGCGAGGAAGACGGGCGCGGTGACGATGAAGAAGTAGTTAAGGATGAAGTAGATGAGGTTGTAGGGGTTCTTCTTGGCGGAGAGGGAGCGCGCGACGTAGCCGACGATCTCGAAGAGGAGGCCGACGGGGAAGGTGGCGAAGTACCAGCTGCGGTGGCGGACGACCTGGAAGGTGTGGACGAGGAGGAGGACGGCGAAGAGGGCGGCGGCGAGGGCTGCGAGGGCGATCGAGGGGGTGTAACCGTAGATGATCACGGGGGTGTCGTTTTCTCCGCCTGGTGGTGGGAAGTTTGGGTCGACGTAGCCGCCTGGGATACTGTCAGCTGGGAGGTGTGCCAGAGGGTTGGGTGTCTTTGATGATTACCTCTTCGCGAACTCATTGTTTCCTTTGGAGGTTAATTATCGCCTAAAAGCGGTGGTGTCGTAGTCAGGACAGAGAGCAAGGATGACGATCCAAGAGGATGAAGATGTGGCGGAAGCTTCGATATATAGCCAGTGTCTCAGCTGTGAGACGTGGCCGTCGCCTAGCCCTGAGATGCTGGTTTGCCAAAACAGCGACCAGGGTTCATCATCAATGATGAACGATCTTCCCACGGCGGATACCACACCACGGATCGACAAACAGGGTTCGGGACGAAACCTGACGGATATTTGACGTGGTCCCTCGTGGCTGTTCGTCCCATTCCTGCAGATGGTGTGGGTACCGGCGGCCTGGTCCTTCTCATGCGTCGCGTGGACGGTGGAGGCTCGGACACCCAACTTAATACGGACCATACCTCTCGACTGGACTATTGGGGGCTGAAATGGGCTGGATATGCGTCTAATTGGACTCGCTAAGCTGTTCTCATCGAGATTCTTGCAAAGTCGTGATTTGGAGACCCCTGAAAACCCTGGGACGGCTGAGGTCTATGATTCATCGTTCCACGTGTCTTGGATACTGACAGTCTCAAGACGCCATGCTTGCAGAAAGTGACCATGCCAGTTCGGGCACGAAGTAATTAGACGAGCTGCCATTGCTACCCTTGTCTATGTTGAGAATTCCCGGAGAAAGCCAATCTGGACCAGATTTCGGCCGATACCTGTCAAACTCACCCGGCTGCTTTTTGATTCGCGGAGCGTTCAACGGCCATCCTGGACTGACACCAAACTTAACGATAGCACCAAACTCTACGCCAAAAAAGCCAGAATCATATTGGAAACAGTTCAAATCAAACGCATCGATCATTTTCTATTGTTTCGCCGTCATTTCCACTTGCTCCCGAATCACTTACCGTTTTCATACACTTTTCCGGCCCCTCAGCTCGCACCTCGGCATTGCCAAGAAGTCCGAGGTCCGGGGTTTTGTGGGGCGGTTGGCCGAGATGCCTTGCGAGCTACTGATGGATGTACCAACTCTCGATGTGTGTACAAACCACTGAGAGTTTGTTATTCCGATGTTGCTATCCCCTTTTGAAAAATGGAAAATCTTTGGAGTTCACGATCATGTGTCGTGGAGTTGTTCAATTCTCTCGCAGTGTTTGCGCCGAGTGGGCCGCACATGGCTGGTGAGTCCCTGAAGACGTCGCGCAGCATTGGTTGGCGGTAAAGCGAGCACAGTATTTTAATCGACGGTTTGATATGTATGTTGAAGTCACTTTGAAGAAGGCCTAGTTGCTTTAAACCCCGGTAACCACTGACAAAACTGACCACTCCAGCTGTTGTTCTTCATAGGCCCTTCAACCTGACATCTAGACTTTTATCTGCTGGAGCCTCAGCCAATCTGAATCTGACAATTTTTTCGTTCTCAGACTTTTCAGCATAGAAAAGCCTCCACACCAGAATAATTCTCAATAATTCGATCTTCACTCCTCGAGTCATCTCCCACTGTCCATGCGCCTGACAAGTATGTCGAGAACCTAGTAAGGCACACATTCGCAGTAACCGCCCGGAAGACTGAAGGAATCGTTAGCATAGTGCGCAGGACATGAACCATATTGTTGATTGTTTCTCACTGGCAGAGGTTGTCTGCGAATCCGCCGCAGTTCTGAGGGCAATCGGCCTTTCCAGTTTGCGTACAAGCATAGGCCTGTGTTGAGAGAGCCGCAAGCGCGGAGAAGGCGATGGCGATGATGTTGCCTCGCATGTTGACGGCTGATGTTCTTCGTGCAAAGGTGATACCTAATGAATGACTCAGAGTGAGTTGTCAAATTCAATTGAAGTTGAAGGTTAGACAAGAGCTGAGTCTTCTATTGAGCTAAATCAGGCCGGTGGGAGAGAAATTTATATAACATGCTGCAGTTGTTCACCACCTCAACTCCCGGTCATGCCGGCTGAGTGGCTGTGTTACGGCTCTGACGGTTTGAGTTTTTGCATATGAGAAAGATGACACAAGTCCAGTAGTCTATGCTTTTCTGATTAATTTAAGTGCAACAATCTGCTGAAAGTATAACCACACGAGTCATTCCGGTGCTTGATACGCCCTAGATGCCGTCTCTGGATCTCGACCCTCTACTAGGACACGGCTGGCGGAACTGATGCCGCCGTGTCTTCAGCGCATTGGCGTTGGAGATCTCAATCAGGTTGACCAGGTGTTTTTTATATTAATCGCCGTATCTGAAAAAGCGAAGTGGCCCCGAATCAGTAATCACAGACATGTGTTAACTTCCTGAAATCGACGTGCGCACCTGTATCATACTTCTTTACTACTTTCCCAAGTTATCGTCATCCTCATGGAAGTTCTCATCGGCTCATCGTTAGTTCAATATCTCTATTTACTAGATTTTTCAAGTCGCCCTGTTTCTTCCCCTGATTACAAAATTGATGTAAATCCAGAGGCAAAGTGACTGTGTGCGTTGAAATTGCATCAACAACCCGGAGCCGACTCCAGATACCTGAAAACATAGCTGGGTCCCTGGTGAGCGCTCTCGTTGCATGCGGTACCGCGTTGATGTGTATTGCGACTATGCGTTCGATCATGTGCATCAACTAAAAGGATGAATTGGTTTGCTGCCACGAAGCTATGAAGCCAAACCCACTCCTTTCGCCAGCAAGCAGGCGCTCCACTACTGCAAATCCTTGGGGAGCAAGTGCTTGGGCATAGTGTTGAGGTTGGGGATGTACATGCTCTTATAGTTAGAAGGTTCCCGCGCCACGGCAGCCCAATCAATGCCGGATGAAGTAGTAACCGGTGCAGGAGGCCTCTGCTTCGAGCCGTTTGCTCTAAGAAACCTGTCTTCGTCCATTATCATCAAGGTTCGCGGAATGTTGTACTCGACCACCAGCCTCTCGTAGTCCTTTGGCTTTCTGTCTCCCCACACGTTGTCCGCTTGAATAATCTCTTCTCGCAAACCCATCAGCCACGGGTGGACTGCTGAGATGTAGTCATGAACCGTTACATATCCCTTTGATGTATCTGAAGGCTTGAAAATCAGGGAGTTCGCCTTGACGGGTCGGTCTGTACCGCAGCACCGCAGAAGCTCCCGTCGGTCTTCCTCTTGGTCGCTTTCCTCGTCCTCGTCATCCGACTGAGCGTACAGCTCCGGATCCAGCTCCCCAAACACGCAATCATCATCATCAGGATCTGCATGTCTCTCGTGCAGCTCGAGCCAGTTGTCTTGCCACTGCCGTAGGGCATCGACGGCGACGGCGATGGACCCGATTTTGGGCTCCGTGAGCGATGCCTGGGAGACGGGGTGCCAGCCCTCCTGGCGGGCGTAGGGCTCGCGAGACGACCCCATATCGCGGTGATCCTCCACGACGAAGACGCAGGTTGACAGCGGTCCTCGGAGCCGCCAGAAGATGCGGGCTGCGTCGGAGGTGAGGCCGACTATTTCGCCCGCATCACGTCGCTTTTGATAGGAAGGGAAAGTAGTGGAGGTGGTGGGCATGATCATGCGGCGTTGCGTTAGGAAGGCTTGATTTTAGAAGAGAAGGAGGTGCTGCGGTAATCTTGTTGGTCGTCATACGCGAGGAAAATTAGACGAGGTGGAAAGGCGTTGGAACAAATACTTCACTAGGGGTCTGTCCTATCTTATCGTTGATCACTGGAAGGGTTTCAACACCGGAATACACCAACGGGGTTAGGCATCAAGACGAATTCGTTCAATTGGCGGCTCAATCTCTCACTCAGGTGCAATTGTCCGCCCAAGTTGCTCACGTAAAAGTTGCTCATTTCAAATGGTAAACTGGTGCAACGAGCAAGCTGCCCAAATGGAGCTTCCCTACGGTATTGACTGAAAAAAAATGCAGTGGCCTTTCAGACACTCTCATGAGTGAGTAATGATATCCCACACCCTCCAGAGGTCGTCATTGTGCACAGGACACATAACTTTTCGCTGCCATCTATTGCTACCTTAACTAATGATCCAACGGTTCTGCAACAAATCGGCAGCAGAAGGACGTTCGTCGGGACTGTACTGGAAAATCGACCTGAGCAGCCCGACTATCTGCTTCTCCTCTTCGTCATCAACGCCAGCTGGCTTGTGGGTGTTGATAAGCTTTTCCAGAGAGTCATGAACCTTCGGTGGTTTACGGTCACCCATGTCAAATTCAAACCCTTCCTCGTCATCAAACTCCTCCTCAGAGTCTTCATAATCGGAATTATCGTCACCGACTGAGTCATCTTCATCAAAATCCCGTGGCCGAGCATCAAGTCTTTCCCCCTCTGGCCCATAGTACCTCGAAACCGCTGGCCAGCTCGACAGAAACTCGTCTGGAAGCGGCCCTAGGATGTCGGTCATCTGAATCAGATGTTCATCTTTCATCGCCTCGTCACTAAGCCCGAAAGGTGATATTTCGAACAAACCCACGCCGGTGATGAGCTCGTAGACAAGACAGCCAAAACTCCAGATGTCGATGGCGCTTCCTATGGTTTTGTTTAAAGCAGCTTCCGGTGCTCGTAATGATGCCGGAGTAACGACAGTCCTCGGTGGATCATCGCTGCGGAAAGCTGAAAGTGCGTCAGTGATGACTGACTAGTAGGAATACAAGGTCAATACATACCTCCTCCAAGATCCGAAAGCTTCACCACCTCATCGCCGCCCGAGAGAGTGTATTCCGACAGCGGTTCAGACACCACAAGATACCTCGGAGCCCACTTGTCAGGTTTGCCATCGATGCGTTGCACCGGATCGATACGAGACTTGTCTTCCTTCTGCATTAGTGCCTCACGCCCGAACCGGTTGAGATCTTGTAAGGCGAATAGGACGTTGCCAGAATGAAGGTCGCCATGCACAATTCCACTAACGTGAAGAAAATGAAGCCCCAAGAGCACTTGGCGCAAGATGCGTTTAGTCTTCACCATCTCGAAGCGTCGTACGGGTGGGTTGAGGGGGTCGTAGATCTCGACCGGGGCGTTGAGAACCGAAGACATGCTTGGGCCCATGGGCTCAAACACCAAACAGAGATGGCTCCCATTTGGACCATCATGATAAAAAGAATCCAGGAGATTGACCACGTATTTTGAACTTGGGTCTTGCAATGCTTTCTTGGCCAGCAGCCGTTGAATACCTAGCTCTTTTGGTTCCTTCCGCTTTGATACTTCAATCTTCAACGCAACATGACGACTAGCACTGAACGCATTTTTATCAGACCCCATGTTCAATGGAAGAACCGTGGCACTAAAACTTACGTTTGATCATGGGCGAGCCAGACCGTACCAAATGACCCATTTCCGAGCTTGCGAATGACTTCGTACCGGCTGTTGAAAACATCACCGAAATGAACTGGATGAAACCCTCCAGGGCGATAGGATTCTGACCACTCGCAAGGGGTGCCGGTCTGCTGAAATCTGAAGTTTCTTTCCGAGATTGGGTCTCTTGAGGGAGGGGTTGGCGGCGGCGAAGACATAGCGGCCCTTCAGCTTCAGCAGGTCGGTGGTCGTGGAGCGATGTCAATCGGGCAGCAGCTTAATGTAGGCGCGCCGCCGAGTTGAATGCGGAAATGAAAAGTACAATTTACCTTTGAAGCATTCACAGGGCGACGCGGGGTGAACAGAAGATGAAGTTAAAGGGAACTTGCTAGCAGTAAGTTGTGTTGGTTGGAAAACGCTGTGCCCCGCCAATCGCTGCGGTATGTATGGCGTTGCAGCGAGCGGCAGAATTGAAGTGGCCATGTTAGTCAGATAAGTCCCGGATTATGCATCAAAGAGGAATCCTTAGCCGGAGCTTGCCTATTGCTATGCCATACGACGGCATGGCATGTTGCTTGATTTGCCTCTTTTTCTTTTCCTTTTCCGCTCTGAGTAATGCAAGTTCAATTCTCGCCGCTCAACTATAACGCGGCAACTCCTCTACATTTTAAACCCCAGATCACTCGGCCCACTGCACATTACGCCGTCGTGTCTCACACCCTTCTGCCCGCCTCGTTGAACGCGTTCTCAACTCGCTCCCGTTCAACCCCAGAGACCAGACGCATGATTGAGAGGCTATAAGGATCATTGCCTGACTGCGTCTTCGTTCTGCGAGATCAGGAACGCAAGCCCTACGTTATTGTCCCAGGCCCTGTAGGTAATCCCGACTTTCACCCACTGACTTTCACCCAGTTGCCCAATCTTCACTTGCTAAAACCAAAATAGGATCAATTACCGTACAGGTTAACGTTCTAAGGCAGGAGCCGCAGGATTGGCTCGAACAACACTAGCGAAATGCCCACCCCGACAATGAGGATTGCGTCTTTGGCCAACTGCCTAATAAGCTAATAAGGAGCTTTACGAACTACTAGGCTTCGAATCGTCAGGATATGATGAAGCGTTAGATGCGCGGTTAATGACTTTTGATGGAGGTTTGCAGGCCTGGCGAGCCTAAGCAGCCCGACTATCAATGCATGTATATCCCAGACCAGTACCAGTGAATGTCGCCAAAGGCAGGAACTTCTACTTTATGCGCAGACAGATATTCACGTTCTTTTTGGTCAAGATAGAGACATGCATATATAGATCCAGAGAAAACATACATATCACCATCATTGGGCAACGTCTCGACGCCCCCGAATGCAGGGCAACATGGAGGACCTATTTCAGCAGTACTTGCAGGCAATACACGAGCAGTCCGCGAGATGCCCCAGGTTCTAGGTGGCATTATCATCTGGAAGGCTGTGACGTCCTGTCCTTGGTTACCTTATCACATGTGGTGAGGCGTCTGCGGCGTTTCCTACAGTGCGCATAGAAGACGCGTTCATGCAGTCGCTAGGGCGAAATGAGAAGCCATGTTATGTCACAGTTGGGCTTCGAAGTCATCAATCGTCGGGTTACTGGAGATTGGCTTGGCTCTATTCAGTATCTTGCCATACTCGGCGAGTACATAGTCGATTTCTAATATTCTAGTAAGTCCCTTCATAGGCCTGCTTGGTTTGAATTTTCGCCGTACACTCATACGGCGGAGCCACGAATAGGCCACGATCCCCTTTAAGCTCTCAGGCCTTTAGGCTGCGGCTCTATAGCAAACGTTTGCCATACTCTCTACTCAAGGCCGCCAACAAGGATGAATATGCCACATCTTCATACTCACCATCCTTGTGTCTTGAATTCCCCCTCGGGAGCCGGTGCATGCGTCTGAACCGGACCGGCCGTAGAGCCGGGAGCCGGTTATGGTTGTCGTATTATTTAACGCTTGCTTGAAACCTCAATGAGGCATAAGGCGGTCGCCGGTATACCGGAGCTGCGTTGGCTTTGAGCGTTCGCTGGGCAAGGGATACTGGCTAGAAGGGTAGCCTGCTGGTTGGAGAAACTGCATTAGGCAAAAAGCTCACCGGCTGCTTGATATACTGCGTCTCCTCTCCTACCTCAACTATGGTAAGCCTTTTTTCTAGCAAAACATCAATGATCCCACACTCACCAACTGTCATCCTTGAATATCGCTTGGCACCCCAAGCCGCCAATGTAGTTCCGTGCATCAGTTTCTGACTTGAACACGCGAGGTTGCCGCTCCTTACTTTCGGGATCTACAGTCATCTGCAGAACCCCAGACGGATCGACCACCACAACACTCCGATCTTCCAAAACCAGCCTTCGGATATTCTCACAAATTATCCTCTGTGCAATGGTATTTAGCGAGTATGTATCACGGAACGAGAACACCACGGCACAGGCGTTGGCATGCTTTCCAGAGCCGGGGTCTTCGGGGTCCGGCGAACCCAGCTCACGCGCAAGAGCCCTGGTAAGACGTTCTGATCCCGCAAACCGAACGGCGCCTCGGAGACTGAAAATAACAACTTCTCGTTGGCAGTTTGGGTTATGCGGCTCGCTCTCACCCGCCACGATTGTGGCTACTGAGGTACGCACAGTGGCACCCGCGATCTGGCTGGCGTCCATCATGTGCAAGCCCATGTCCCGTGACAACTGCTCACAGATCACGACGCCCCTCACGCTATTTCCACGCCCGTCAAGCTTGGGAGAGAAAGCTGCGAGGCCGACTTGGCCCGGCAGAGCCCCGATGATGCCGCCAGCTACACCGCTCTTCGCCGGGATGCCCACCCTGGAAACCCAGTCACCTGCAGCGTCGTACATTCCGCAGGTCGTCATGATAGAGAGAACCTGACGGACACTGGTCTGAGGGATGATATGGTCTCCAGTGATGGGGTGCACGCCGCTGTTGCAGAGCGTTGCCGCCATCAAGGCCAAGTCCCTCACGTTGACATTGATGGAGCATTGGCGAATGTAACCCTTCACAGCGTCTTGCGGATCGCAGGTGATGATGCCGGCTGCCTTCAGCATATATCCGATACCCATGTTACGATCCGCATCCTTGAGTTCGGCCTGATAGACCTCCTCGTCGACGTGAAGTTCCCGGCCCGCAAGCCTCGACAACGTCTTCAGGATACGTTCCGTCCTCTGCTCCACCGTAGCGTCAGGCGAGACGACTAGTGAGTGCGCCGTGATGGCTCCGGCGTTGATCATGGGGTTCATGGGCCGGTTGCTGCCGCGCTCGAGCGAGAGCCGATTGAAAGCGTCGCCGGACGGCTCCACGCCAATCTTTTCCAACACCTGCGGCAAGCCCGCATCCTCGATGGCCAGCGCATAGACAAAGGCTTTGGAAATGGACTGAATTGAGAACTCAACCCGGTCGTCCCCTGCCGAGTACAGGTTGCCGTCCACCATGGCCAGAGCCACCGCCATCTTGGACGTGTCCGCTTTCGCTAGCACATCGATGTAGCCTGCTGGCGCTCCGGACTCGTTGGGGCGGGCATTCTCGAGGACGCGGTTGAGATAGTCGGGGATCGGCGACCTCATTGCGTGGGTGTTTTGGGTAACAAAAACCGTGAAAACTCGGTAGGAAAAGTCCTCGAAAATTGCTAACAAGTGAGGGAATATATTTCGCAGCACTCGGTGCTGACGTAACGATATACCCGTAGTGCTTGATTTAGCATTCCTCGCTTTCGGTAGCTTAGTGGAAATTTGCGAGTCACGGTGACCTTGGCAAAAGGGCCGTTTAACTAGTGGAGAGTATTCTTCATCATCTGGACTAATGAACATATGACAACCTACGAAAAATGACCATTTCAAAAGAAAAACGTGATTAGATGAGTCTTCTGTCTTGTCAAGTGCAAGATAATCACGCCAATTTGAGCTTTCCCTTCATTAGCCGTCTGACAGGCGAAGCAGGAGGCCATCTGCTTATTATCTCGCCATCAGCAACTGAATTGCAAGTGTCACATGTCCCCATCCGGTGTGGTTTGTGCGAGGCGAGGAGACAAAACTCTCCACCTTTTAGGTAAAGAAATTCCATGTCAAGACCGAGCCGTCTTCGGATATCCGAAACTCCACCGAAATGGTCTTGCTGGGTCAACTCAAAGTCATGATTTCTTTGCAGAACTGATGACTTGGGAACAGGCGATTTATCACAACGAGAATCTTCAATCCGCAAGGAGCATGTCTTCAGAACGCCTTGGTATCGTTCCTGGGATCAAGCATTGTCCGTTTTGCAGAGCTTACATGAGCTTTTTAACAGCGAACGGCTCGCTAGAGAACGAATTGGTTATGGTAACAGAAAGTAGTAGAGAGAAACAACAAACTTAGAGACAGCCAGTTGATGGTTTAGATAAGTTCACACAATGTGGGGCGCAATAGATCAACACCTGGAGTCGTTAGCTAGTGAAGCACCTCATCCATGTCTAACTCCCTTTACCTGGCCAGAGCTGATGACTAAAGTGGCTGAAGCCGGCAAGATAAGATCCTTATTCAACCAACCACGGACAACTCGCAACTACCAACACACTCACCCCGCTCTCCTCCCCCTCCAGTCCCCAAGCTATCATCTGACGCATCCTATTCCCACACAGCAATTGAGCAGCACAAATGAATGCAGGGGGTGACTTCTTCCCGGTGCAACGAATCGCTCAGGCATGTCTTCAGTGTCGGTAAGTATGGAGAGGTCCCGTTGAAAGCTCGAAATCACGATGGCATACACTTTCATGATACATAGTCCGACTGACCTTGGTTAGACGCAAGAAATGTCGGTGCACCGGCGATCGACCTGTCTGTGGTCATTGTCGTCGGCTGGGACTAGGTTCGCCATAACCCATCATTAAGACAGCGGTACTCGTCCTACCATGTTAAGACATTACTCCGAATAGACTGCGTTTACGGTGAAGAGAACCCTCGGCAGCGTCCTTTGGACTCTGAGCCACACGTCGAGCCCGACGCATCTTCTCGGGAGGCCACCGTGAGTGGAAGATGATGTTCAGCTAAATCAAGCTTCTACCATCTGTCTATCTAACGAGGCTCTCAGACAACTGTGTTGAGGAGACTGTCGATGCTCGACAACAAGATGGACAATGTGACAGCACGACTAAGCACGTGAGCCACCACTCTGGCCTTTCGTGGCAGTGTAAGAAGCTCACATAGTCAACCTCACAGTATTGAGAACCGCCTGACGCAACTTCTCGACCTCCACCTTGCAGGCAGCGTACAAGCGTCCCATCCCAGAAACGGCACCGACGTGCCGAATCTCGCCTCCAGTCAAGGTCAAAACATGGTCGCGGAGCCGGAGGCACCTGTACAAGTGGATGCTGGCATGCCCGAAGACGTCGTCGCCGCAGCGGTGGATGCCTACTTTTTCTACTGCCACAACCAACCCTACTCCTTTTTCCATGAAGCGCACTTCCGCCGGCGCTTGTCAGAAAAGACCGTCCCTACACATCTGCTGCTGACTATAGTGGCCACAGCTGGCCGCTTCTGCTCACATCCCTACTTCACAGGACGCGTGCATGAAGCGTCCGTCGACTGTGCCAATCGGGCCTGGAAGCTGATCGTTTCGGATTGCTTCACCGAGGGCACTGGGACCGAGATATCCGCAGTACAGACGGTAGCTCTATTGGGTCTGTTTGATTTCACTGGTGAGTCGTGACTCTCATACTGGAGCTCATTATTTACCCTACCTGAAGCAAGAGAGCATGAGGCAAAATGCTGACGGCAAGAGCAGCTGGTAGGTCGCGCCACGGTTCGGCATGGGTCAAAGTAGGCATGTCTGTAAGAATGGCACAGGATTGTGGACTCATGTTGGAGAACGCAACTCATCTTCCATATGTGGAGCAGGAAGAACGCCGACGCGTCTTCTGGTCTGTCTATCTTCTGGACCGACTGGTATCCTGCGGACGCGGTCGTCCGCCGGCCATCGTCGATGCGTCCTGCCACCTTCAGTTGCCATGCGAAGAGGTGGTCTGGAAGAACGAGGTATGGAGCAAGACGCAATCTCTCGACGAGATGACAAACCGCGCCTTGACAGTCCCTCAGAGTCAAGGCTCCTTCGCTCATGTCATCGCCATGGCGCAGATCCTGGGACGGAGTGCGCAATACATGCTCCAAGAGTTCAATATTCGCAGTCCTCACCCTCCCTGGGATCGAAGCTCCGATTTCGCTGCTCTCGAGTCTGATCTCCTCCACTTTGAGGCATCTCTGAGGATCCAACAACCGTTGCAACAAGTTCTGGCTCCGTACATCACGACCGACGGAGTCGTGGATTACCACACCACGGGCCCGATTATCTTCTCTCGGGCATTCTACCACCTCTGCTACTGCCTGCTCAATCACCCTTTTCTGCTAAAGCGCAGGATTGATACGTGTCGCACGCTGGCCCCGACGAGTTTCCTGACACGATCATCTGACTTGGGTTGGTTGCATGCGCAGCATATGCTAGCACTCATACGAGACGCTCGAGAACTGGGGTGCTCCTTCCATTCCTCTTCTAGCGGGTACTGCGCGACTGTTGCCGGTTCTATCATCGCTTTGAGAACCGGTGATTCAGACTTGGCCGTGAGCCAGAGGGCTCAAGTTCTCCTTGAAGAGGCTTTATCATATCTCGATACTCTGGGTCGTCATTGGAATAATGTCTCCTCGATGGTACGTAACTCTCAACCACTGGCTCTGGCGTGCTTGAGTCCCTTCTTTCCCATTATGAAACGACCCAAAGCTCACAATGATTTAGGTGACAGTGCTTAGACGAATGGTTTATGATGGTTTTCTGGGCGGAAGTCTGTGCAGTAGTGAGCTCCAAAGGGCCAACATTACGCTGGCCGAAGAAGAGACCTTGTGGGCTGTCGTTGACTACAACACCATGTCGAGCACAGTGAGCGAGGAAGCTCTGAATAATAATCAAGACCTTAGTAGCATATGGCTCGACTCGTGGACGGACCTCTTTGGAGTGCCAGGCGATCAAGTAGCTCCGTTGACTCCGAATCCTTTGTAGAGCAGCACTGGCGGGAGCAGCGGCAGTTTCTTATACGTATTGAAGCAAAGTCTTCAATGTGGATGACTTGTCGCGAAATGGGCATCAAGAGGGAAAAGCGAGAAAGATTTCCTAATTAGGGTGAATGCGCAACACATACATCAGGCCCTTGGAATACTCTAAGTACGTTTTTAAGCAAGTTAGGATCTGAGTAGTTGCAATTGATTCAATTAATTGTTGTTGAGACATAGAAGTCTTTGTTCATGAAGGTGGGAAGTGTGTCCCGCTCACTGATGAACCACGTTAAGGGCTGTACTATTCACAACTCGACCTTCTTAGTGTCATGACCGACAAGCGCCTCGCCGAGTGCCTCATAGACAACACTGAAGTCGCGACTTCCCCATTCCTTCATTTCAGCAAGAGGTCGATAGACCTCCTCGACGCATTTTCCAAGAGGCAGTGGCGCGTTCACTTCAACAGCAGCCTTCACGGCCAAGGCCAGGTCCTTGTGCGCTAATCTGGTGACGAAACCTCCCGCGTATTGGCGATGGGCCGGAGGGCTTGTATCTCCTACCTTGACTTCGGGGACAGGGTGGTTAATCTGTGATTTTTGTGAGCTTATCACTGATAATCGCATGTCCCAACGTGAATCATTTCCCAAGAGACAATGACGGAGTGAACCAATCTTTCCACTGAAAACAACCGTTCAAACCTGACCCGGAAGAACATACCTCACTGGACCAACATCTCCCCGTTGAAGTGTTGATGATGTCTGCGAGCACTTGGGGATCAACACCCAGCCTCTTGCCCAGTAACATGGCCTCACTGAGTGGATTTGCGTCAGCTTCTGGGTTAAAACGGTGCTCGGTGATTCTGCATCGACTGCAGAAGTAATGAGTGTTACCTTAGACCCAGCATAGTGATCCCTAGCAAGAGGCTATAAACGGATGATTAGGACATTGTCAAAGGCTGAGTGGCACCGCGAGCTCCCTTACTTGTTGGATATCTTGGCTGCAAGACCAGCACCAAGGTCGCCGCAATATGTAACCTTTTTGGCCATAGGCTGGAGATAAGGAACTGCTCGTTCGAAAGATTTCCTATCGCCACCGACCATTATCGCTAGAGTACCATCCCTAGCACCGATTACTCCTACAAACATGGCAGTCAACATCATGTAGACTTTCAAGCTGGATCGAATATTTGAGGATGACAAACCTCCAGATACTGGAGCGTCCAATAGATCGGCGCCCGTCTCTCTTAACTTCAGAGCGACAGATCTACTCACGCTTTGCTCGATAGTGGACTGGTCAAGACACAAAGTCGAAGATCTTTGCTGCTCGTCCAACGTTTCCAAGGCGCGAATAACGCTGCGGTCACCGAGGTAGACGTCTTCTACGTGCCGACCTGTGGGCACCATTGTAATAATTGTCGACGCATTTTTTGCCACATCGTATGGGGCTATAGACAAGAGAAGTAACAAGTGAATTAGTGAGTTGAACATATCCTGCAGCAAATTTTACGTCGAGACTCACAAGAGCACCTGTGTAAAGACACAGCTGGGTTCTCTTTTTGATGCCTTCGAATGACGCCTTCTACAGCAGCATCGTTAACATCAAAAAGAGCGTACTTGGCACTGCTGCCCAATTTTGTTGTAGATCTGTTGACAAGGTTGTTGAACTAGATCAAAGTCCGTTCTGTTAAAAGAGGAGACCGACACACTCGCAGATTAATGCTTACCATGTGATTCCCCATAGCTCCCAAGCCGATGAATCCGATGGTGTTGGTTCTGTCAGCCGCGCTGCTCGCCATAGTGCGCGTGGAGCCTCTGATTCGCAATGAGCCCAACTGGCGATGGCGTCCAAGTTGATGTCTGAAGAGATGCTGGCGGAGGATAGGCCTCCAAGAGATCGTTGACGTCCGGATTAGCATGTCGAAGGTTGCGTGGTGACTTCGCGTGAGACCATGGCATATTCATGTTTCCATTGAGTGAAATCTTTTCTTTAAGAGTGAATCGGCCATTCCCGAAGTGATAACGTTGTATGCCTGCGGCGAACTGGGCCAAGACGGATCACGGTCGGCTTGATCGGACGGTTGGAGTGGATACGGTCCGGCATTTGGGGGTTCGGTCTACATTAGTGTGTGAGGGGTGGGAATAAAGGTGGACACGGTCCGGCATCCGGGCCTCTCGAACTACGTGGATTACTGGGGTTAAGACCCGTGACTGGGCAGATGCAAGCTTCTCTTTTGGGGAACAGTGATTCCATCTGGGTGCAGGAGACGTATCCCCGAGCAAGGAGCTGGTCCCTTAGATCTGATGTGGAAGCCCCATCTCTATTTTGTTCAACCTCAAGATAACTGGAGTGTCTGGTGACATGGACTCACCCTTTGCCTCTGGGTACACCTTCTTCTTGCCCAAGCCTATCAATGCCACAAAGCACAAAGCTTCAGGTTACACGCTCCCCGTGGGGACGGACCGGCCGGTTGTCTGGTGGCATCCGCACCGGAGTTTTTGGAATCGTATACCCATGCCCGCAGTTGAGATCCAAGTCATTGTAGCTTTTGGGACGTGGTGACCATGCAAGAGAACGTACGATCCTAACGCCCCTCTTAGCCGATTCCCTTTTCCCGGGCATCGCTTGGAGCCATTATGACCACTCTTGAAGATGATGAGCTACATTCCAAATTCAGACGCAATTTGGAGTAGACAATACCGAAGTAGAGAGAAGTCAAATTGATCCTGTTCACTCATAATAAGTCGTCTTGCCAGCCTCTGGCATCTTGGGCGACCAAGTGATACTGCGACAAGAGCAATTTTCAACCCAAGAATATATCCATCAGCATCAGTATACAGAAGCACTCATGACTGTTTGTACTTGATCCTTGTCCTAAAGCGATCGTAACTTACCTATAGCGAGAGCTGTCTAGGACTAAGTCCACCTATACACAGTTGGTTCACAGGTCACAACGCTCATAAACCCGACGAAGTTCTAACATTAAACTATTGAACGATCCTAGTATCAGGGCATCAAAGCCATGACAGCGATGGGCTATCATGGTGGCAGTTCGGCTCTGGTGCTGAAGCCCAATGCGGAGACTCTTCCGGAGTTGCTAGCTGAAGCACAGGTTTAAGCAGCTCGAAATCGCCCCATTCACCTTTCAGTTGAGTGAACCATGATGATGCCGGCCCGAAGTGCTCAGGAAACACATTGACCCATCCCTGGAGCGCCACATCCAGCAGCTCAAGGACGAACAGGTCCGGACCAGTCTTCCCCCATTGAAACCTGTCATTACACTGCTTCACAGCTTCGGGAGAGTACAGACCAACATCCGGCTGCAAGGGCAAAGCGGCGGCCGCCATGAGCGAAGCGAAGACGTGATAGGAGCCTCCCTGACGGGCACGGTCTCCAATGGCCATCATAGCCCCAACAGCCCCAATCAAACCGGTCAACATGTCAGGGACGGGGAGAGCCGGTAACACGCAAGTGCCGTCGGTGTAACCTAGACTTCTTCCTATGACATACGAACATCCAGATGCGGCGTCTGCCACCTGCTGCCAGCCTGGACGCTCGTGCATGGGGCCGTCTGGCCCGTAGCAATTTTCCTCGACGTAGACGATACCTTTGCCACGTTTTCCGGCCATCTCCAAGAGGTCGTGGAGGCCCATTCCTCTCCTGGCTAGAGACCCCGAGCGATATCCTTGGACGAAGATGTCGGCGTCCTGGATGAGACTAAGCAGGTGCTGGAGTTCGTCCTCTTTGTCAAAGTCAATGTCCAACGTGCGAACTCCAGCGTTGAGCGTGAGTTGCAATGACTGTAATCAACCGTTAGCTTTAATATGACGTTGCCACGAGATTGATAGCCACAGGAGCTTTTAGACATATGCAAGAAATTTGATCCCATGACAGGATTGGGCAGTGCTTACATTGAAGTCAGGCAGCCTGCTACAGTTGATTCGAATGACGTCGGCTCCCAATGCTGCCAAGGTGGTTCCAATCACTGGGCCTGCAATGATCCGCACGATTTCCACAACTTTGATTCCAGCCAAAGGTCGTCTGTCGGACCCGGAGGTCAAAGGGATCGGGGGAGTGGGGATGGCATGGGACTGCAGCTTGTAGTTCACCAAAGGGTGTTTGGAGAGATCTCTGCTCATCCGCGTCTGCCTCCATGATTCCGGAGTATAGCAGATGCTTCCACAGAGGCCACGCTCAATGTTGATGGATTCCAACTCGTGAGCGCCAAACTTCCGCACGTGATCGCCGATTAGTTTGTAGGCTTCGTCGAGCCCGTTGCAAGGGGTGTCTGGATCCAGACCAACGGCTCGCAGCACGGGGCCCGCATCGAGCGACCCATGGAGCTGGTACCAGAGTCCCTCCTCTTTGGTCGGGTAGTTGGCTGTTGCGCGGAGTCTCAAAGGCGTTGCAAACGTGCCCTTCTCCAGGTCCTTGGAGAAGATGTCTGCGAGCTCGCCCCGTTTAGCCAACTCTCGGACGGTTGACCCGTTGCGCCTGGCCATCCCGACGCATCCAAGCCAGAACGCGGCATGGTCTGTGTTGATACTAACATGGCGGATAGGACTGCCGCCATCTCGGAGGGCCAGGAGCTCGTTGGCAACCACCCCGCACATGGCGTGTAGTGCCGCAGCAATGACGGGAGACTTGAGGGGGCCGGGTGCGATGGTCTGAGGTGAGCCTTCGAAGGAAACAGATTTCCATAATGCTTCATCTTGTGTGAAGCCTGGGGTCACTGCCGCCAGTGATTCAAAAAGCCGGAGCGCATCCTCGGGGACGGCTGGGGCATCATGATCGATCCATGACCCAGGTCCATAGACGTCGGCGCCTGAGATGGTGCTTGCCATTGCGCTTGGAATGCCTGATATGCAGAAGGATGTAGTGAAGGCCAAGGTAGTGAAGAGACAAGTTACGGGCACAGTCGGCTATCGAATCGGGATGAAATTGCCCGTCTGTAAGATACGACAAGGCCATGCTCCAGGATTCTGGCCATTGTCATTGACGACTTAAATACCATGTAAGTAGACGAAATCGACAACTGCGGCCGATTGCCCCCATGCTCGGACCCGTGGTATCCCTAGTGGATACCCGGCCCCGGATGACGATGCACTTAAACATTTCAAGGATCGTCGCCGGTCCGCCCGGACCGTTGGGGGCCAAGATTCTAGAGCGGTCTCCGCATATGTATCCAGCCATTACTCTCACATGCTTATCAAAGGAGGCAAAGTTTAAGCCAAGTGGGTTGGATCTGGCGTCAATAACTACCTAGATAGGTATTTTTATCAAAGAGCGGGGTCTAAGAAGGCAAGGGGTCAATATCTGGAAAAGGTCTTCCTCGCCTTGCTACTTAGTACGTACGAGTCCTGTCATTTATGAAGCAAGGCTACACATCATCATACCCAGCAAGTTCCTCGGGCACGGTCAACACTCATCCTTGGAAGCTCTCCACTTTTGTACTCTCATTTACTTGCACTGCCGAAATGGAGAAGCCCTGCTGGTTCGTTTGACCCCTGCCCACGCTATTGACGTTGCACTCCGTTGTCGTCTCTTTTCTTCCATTTGAATGCATTTTTGATACGTAGACTGATTCAATGTCAATCAGCTCGCACAAGCCCGTCTTGATGGATCATGCGACGATCACCAGATTAGCCGAGAGCGCATTCCCCGAGCCCGTGTACGGCAATGTTACTTGGCAGACGCTGCTGTCAAGACCCGACACGTTAACTGACTCCATGTGTGCGGGGCTGGCGACCTGCCCGCCCGAGGGCTTTCTTGCTCTTCACCAACACACCCAGGCCGAGATCTATTACATCCTTTCCGGCACAGGAACCGTCGAGATCGATGGCAAGCGGCACGCGGTATCGGGCGGGAGCATCCTGTGGATACCCGGGGATGCCGTACACGGAGTCTTCTGCGGGCCCGGTGAGACCCTGCACTGGCTTTACGTATTTCCCGAAGCTCGTTTTGAGGACATCATCTATCGATTCCAAGAACCCAAAAGTAAATTGTAATGAAGATGTCGTGAGTTAGTTGGACGCATCTCTGGATGGTGTAGGGGTGCTCAGCACGGCGTACATGTTATCGAAATTTCAAACGAAATTATCAGTGCCATATACTGCTTATTCTGAAGCATGCGTGGGCTTTGTGCCTGTTTCTCTCTACTGATGACGATCAATGGTACATCATGTATCATCACAGGGTTTATATGCATTGGGGTTGTCTCAACAACTATTCACACCTGAAAACAGTCGGCATCGGGGTCTCTGTTAAAAAGCTGGGATTACACAGGTATTTTGGGCGTATACAAGCGTTCGGGTTATCGCGGGATAACAAGCTACGGCTGGTGGCTGAGATATCGGACCCAGCCACACGCCTCGTTCTCCCATGCAACTAGCCGTCCTAATCAGGTACTAAGTGCAACGTTCGGCAATTATTACATGTAGTCCAGGGGTTTTCTTCGACTGGAACGTAGCAGCATTCCCCCTTGAAACTTGACGTTTGCGGATTCCTATTGCTGCGCAGAAAACAACAAGCTTCAGCTACTCCAATCGTGATCTCGTCGATAACGCGAGACCTCAATATGTCGAAGAAACCTAGTATACTCATGCTCACTAATTCTGAGCATGGCCAAGCCAACATCTTTCTCGCCACCTGCCACGCGATACTGGAAATAAACGCGAATGTCGACATCCACCTCGCATCCTTCATATCGATCAAGTCTGCGGTGACGGCCACCTCCACCGCAGCCCTCGAGGCGAACCCGAACGCAACGCCGATCAAGTTCCATGAAATCAACGGGACGAGCCACTTTACAGCCCTTTTTGCACCCAGCCTAGGAGGGTCCCGTTTGCTATCCGTAGCTCCAACCTTCTGGAACATGCCCACCATCTTGAGAATCATTAGCCGCGCAGCCATGCCGTTCACGGGACCGCAGATGGTCGAAAACTACAACGAGATCCGACGCATCATCGCGGAGGTGCAGCCAGACTTGACGGTTGTGGACAACTTGTTCACGCCTGGTATGACAGCGGCACGTCAGATGGGAATCAAGTGGATGATCCTGTCACCCAATACCCTCAAGGATCTCGCGCTGCCCTTGCAACCCAGAGCAGCTTTCTTCTGGAAATATCCTTGGTACGTACTCCTCCCCACCTCGTGACTTGTGGTACTTTCTGAGATGTTTGGACAGCGTTGGAACCGCACTTTCATTCCCCATTCCATGGCACCTCATCCCCCTCAACGTGCTCTACGTTTTCATCCTCATCTTCTTTATGATATTCGACAATCATGCCCGCGCGGCCCGCAAGTATGTCACTGAGAAGACGGGAGCTCGCATTTTCGACCAGGCCGAGTTCTCCAGCCCACAGCCATACTTGACAATACTCATGGCGAGCCACCCCGAGTTCGATTTCCTCATGGATTACAAGCCTGAAAACATCATACCCTGCGGTCCGATCATGAGGCCGGTTTCTCCTGTTCGAAGCGTTGACTCCGAGCTTGAGAACTGGCTTGCGCGCGGCCCAACTGTTTTCGTTAACCTTGGGACTTTGTCGTGGACTACGGAGGATCAGGCCGTCGAGATGGCGAAAGCCATCCGTTCAGTTATGATAGAATGGCATGATCATGACAACCACCAAGATGGTAGGCTACAGGTTCTGTGGAAGCTCAAGCAGACACCAGACGGGCATACCGAGTACGAGGTGAGTGCCAAAGACTCTCGAATCGGGAGAATCTTGAGCAGTGAGTTCGACAATGATGTTGTGAGAGTGGTGAGTTGGGTGGTGCCAGAACCGTATGCTATCTTGCAGACCGGCAATGTTGTGTGCTCAGTCAACCACGGCGGAGCGAACTCATTTTGGGAGGCCGTATGGTAAGTGACCCCTCACGTTCAACTTAAGTTTCAAATAACGTGGATCTAATCATAATTATCGTTCGAATCCAGCGCCGGAGTTCCTCAGGTGGTTCTCCCTGTCTGGGCAGACACGTACGACTATGCTCAGCGAGCTGAGTACTTGGGCATCGGGAAATGGGGCAGCAAGACATCCGCCCCGAGATACGGGGCTCAAGAGCTGGGTTCGGCTTTGCATCAAGTGTTGATGGGGCCTTCTGCTAGCAGAATGCAGGTAAGAGCACGTCTGCTCGCGAAGCTGCGGGCGCAGAAAGGCGAAGGTCGCGACGTTGCAGCAAAGCATATTGTTGAATCCGTGGGTCGTTGAAAGTTTCATCACTTCAAAAATATCCGGTGATAAAATAAGTCAGACGTTAGGCGTCCCAACAGAAGTAGTTTCTTTCCATTTTGAACTACTCATGTTCTTCAAATATTTACTATGTGTCCCTCATCATGTTTCCCGTGATCGGTTTTCAGTACATCCTCTGTCCAGCTTTCACCTCACCAACCAGAAGTCCCTTCTCTGACATCTTGGCCACCAAGTCTACCAACATCTTGTCACACCCGGCAGCAGTCATGATTCCTACAGTCACGGGCAGCGTTTCATTACGTTGCGTTACCCTCGAATGATAACTTCGCTCACCAATAGGCACCGCGTAATCAGGAACGCCCGAAAGAACGCTCATGAAAGTCGCAGGATAGGTACCACCAAACACCGCGCTCGGCGGTTCGGGGTAAATGTCACGGTATTCCTCCAGACCCGCGCCCAGAGGGTACACCAGGATTGCTTCTTCGCAGGACGGGAGCACATGCTGGCGGAACCAGCTGCGGTACGTGCCCACGCGGGCAAGAGCGTCGTCGTACAGGTCCTGTGTGAGGGTTTCTCCCCGCTCGATGCGTGACGCGGGCACGGGGCCTATGTAAGGCGATCGACCGAACTTGGATTTGTAGGCGGCGTTGAAGGGGCGCCACCAGAGTCTCACTTGGTCGTAGTTTGTGATGTTCGAGTAAGCGGACTGGAGAAACGGCTGTATGCCTTCGGAGTGGTGGGTATGTGTCTTGAAGGAGCTGTTGGTGCTGACTTCGTCCAATGTGGCGTTGAGATACGTCGACAGCTTCGACAGAAAAGACTCGAACACAGGCATGGAAGTCGCGTTCTCCGTCGGCCAAAATTCCGTCGGCAGGATGATGCGGCGTGGGAAACGTGTGTACGGTTTGCTTGAGAGCCAGTGGGTATATGCCGTTTGCAAAAGCAGGGCGGAACGCGACAGCAGGCCCGGCACGTCGAAGATAGGTGACTGCGGCATGATTCCCGCCGTCGAGAGGCTTTCGTTTGTGACGCGCAGGCCGAAGAGGCCGTTTGCTTTTGATGGCAGTCTGATGGAGCCGCCTGTGTCACTGGCCGTTCCGAAGTCAAGCCAGTCGTACGAGGCGACACCGGCGCCGGTTCCACAGGAAGAGAAGGCGGGGCTCTGGTAGTTGTCGCCGCGGGGATTGAAAGGTGCGAGCTGATCGACGAAGTCGCTGACGCGAGGGTTAGTCCTGCAGATTCAGAGGTACATGGGTGTGCATTTTTCTCTTCCCAGTTATCGTTACTTACGCGGGGACTTCACCCAGAGCTACCTGAGTTGTCTTGACTTTTCCGACGACGACGGCGCCCAGGTCGATGAGCTTCTGCAGACTTGGTGCATTGTCGTTTGCGGGACTACTGAGCTGGCGGATGGCCCGCGAGCCGGCGACGGTTCGGATCCCCTTGAGGTCGTAATTATCCTTGACTACCAGGCGCTTCCCGGATAGGGGCTTCTCTTTGGAGGGGGGTGGGTAGTACAGTCTAGAAGGAACAGCGACGCTCAGTGCGCCATTGGCCTCGATATCGACTGCGCCGGTTAAGGGAACGTAAGAGCCGTTGTGTCCCTCGACTACGGGGGTCTCGAACGCGAAGTTGTAGTCCCAGTACAGGCGGTACACCTTTGTGATGTTGCCGGATGGGTGGAATAAGTAAGGACCAGACGGGAGAGATGTTACTTCTCCAGAGTGGTACAGGATGGTCGCTGCAATAGAATGAAGGTATTCCTCTACACTCTCCGCCAGCCGAGTGTAGTTGTTGATAACGATTGTAGAGAGGAAGGACGACGAATAGACGTCATCACGCTTTTCGAAATCTGCTATAGTCGCTTCAAGCTCATCAATATTGATAGAGGATGAGTTTGATGAGAAGGAGAGCAGTGTTCCTGGCGTCGGTTGCCGGATATTCTGTACTTTATTTGGCGATAAAGTTCCCCCGACTTGGTCCGGAGAGTAGTAAGAAATCCCATTGAGTTGAAAGACGACAGAAGCCTCCGCGCCGGTCAAAATTGCCAAATATGACAGGCACCGCAACAGTGTGAAGCGCATCTTGATATATATCATGACAACATGCATTGAACACTCGAGACTCGTGGGTATTTGCCTTGTTCTATATGCTCCTTACCTTTATATACCTAGCCTCTGGTTCAGCGTGAACGATACTATCTCGGCAGCCGACGGAAAACAGAGACCACATCCATGTAAGAGAAACAGCCCCACTTCCTATTAGTGAATTCAACATCAAATCTGCCGGTAATCAAGCAAAAACAGGGTTCGAGCAATTCTCATGACAAACGATATGCACGCCGAGACATGGAGATGCGGAGAGCTACCGCTGCGCACGCGGAGCTTGCCGGGTTTATACCATCCGAGGGCCTTTCGTTCGGAAAAGTTTCAGTGATATCCGTCAGTCAGTTGAGGGCAGGTTTTCATGTCCGATACTTGACTTCTCACGTAGTGTCGATGGCGGCTGTGACGCGATATTTCCGGCATTGTAATTTTTGCTGTGGCTTAACGCAACTCTAGATTATAGACAAATGTGATCCAGCTCCTCTTAGCTCTATAAATGCCCACAGACAAATGGAATGACACCCGCGAAAACAGTTCAGTGATAGTATGAGCCCGAATCAGTGCCACCTCAATCGCCCAAGCTGGATAGGACATCCTCACGCCAGTAATAGAAGCCCGAAAGTGCAGCTCCAGGTCCGAACAAAAGATTTCCAGCAACTGATACGAGGCCGGCTACCCCCGACTGCTTGTTGGTAAGGAAACCCCGTGCTCTCATATCCCAAGTCAAATACAACGACAAAGCAACCGATGCCAAGCCGTAGAGCGCGCTGCCGCCAGCGAACAGGCCAGCAGAACCGACATCGGAGGGCTTCTCAAAGGTGGTGTATACTGCGCTGGCGACGTGGGCAACGGCGCAAACACCAGCCGTAAAGGCGTATGTGAGCTTGAGAGGGGCCACGTCCGTCTTCCGGTACATGTCGGTGAACTCCTCCTTCTCCTCGTCCTTGACCTCTACGCCTGGCTTCGGTGGGTTGATCGCGGTCTTGGCGGCTTTGATGGCTGCAGGGAAGATCTTGAGAAGCACCGCAGACCACATGGGTGCTGTGTTGGCGGCGAAGTCAACGATTTGGCGAAGCTGTGGGTTGTGGATCGGCAGAGATGCCAGGATCATGGGGATACCGTAGCCTGTAACGATTGCTGGTAGAACGGACTTGGCGATGTTTGTCGGAACGTGGCGACCGGGGATGTTGTTCGATGCCAGAAGAAGAGTTGAGAGGCAGAACGAAGGCATCACGGCGTTGGGTCCGAGGAATGAGTATGCAGCGACGGCGAACGATGGCCTGTATTTCCAGTCAACAAGCTAATTCCTGGGGGTTCATCCAAATGGATGACTTACCATGTGGTGACGGCGAGATTATTGCCGATGCGATGACCTTCGATGAACCAGATCGCGAGAGTGGAGAACAAGTTGGCTCGAAGTCGAACAGTCTCAACAGTGTTCTCTACAACAGCCGCCGTCATGGATCCAGGAGCCTGTTCAAAACCTCCCAAGGTAGAAGGTCCACCCGGCAAAAGTGCTTGCATGGCTTTGAAAGATCCAACGATGTTCGAGAAGTTCTCCGGGTTCGACGTATGGTACAGCATCGCTCCCAATGACCCAACAGAAAATAACCATGGCACCCAGAAGCCCCAACTGCTCTTCACCGGTCTTGTCGGAAGTTCGTCATCGAAAGGCACAAGCCTAGACCTTTTAGGCAGCGGGAGTCTCTCGACGTGGTGGCTCGCCGTGGCAATGGGTGTAACTGTTCTGAGGAAGGCCTCTTCGCCGAGGATCGGCATGACCACGTTGAGCACCAGCTTGGAAAGGGGTGATCTCCCGGTCATGATCATCTGAAGGCCATGGGCTTGCTTCACCAAATCCTTGGCTCTCGCGTGGCGGTTCTCGTGAACTTGAGCTAAGGCATTGACGATTTCTGTTTCCGATGGCTTGTCCTTGCTCTTCTCGAGCATGTCGGCCAGGGCGTTTACAAGTAGAGCTGCTGCTTCGATGGCTCCGTTCCCTCCTTGACCCGAGATGGGATCGATCTGCTCCAGTCAGCTTGTCTCTGGGAATGATTGATATGCATCGGTACCTTGTGGCTTGCATCTCCGATGGTCACGATCCTCTTGTAATGCCATTTATCGAACACATATTCCTCGAGAGGAACAAGCGTGGACATGATCCGGTTCTTGTAAATATCCCCAAAGGTCAAGTTGTCAACAATCTTGTCGTCCAGGTGCTCTCTGGCCAGTTTCTCCAAGTCGTCCTTTGAGTACCTCGGGATATCCTTGCCGTACATCGTCTTGTCAACTCCTTTGAACAGGAACCAGAACGTTCTGTTGCCCGGGGCGTGGACGATGAGGTAGCTCCGTCCGGCGTGGTGCACCATTTGTTGGCCGTTGGGTGCTAGGTCTTTGGGGCGCTTGGAGATGCCGAAGATGCATTTCGTGTCAACTGGAACTCCTAGACAAACATTAGCAGCGGAAGAATGAGGTTTGAGCTTCGAGACATACTGGATTCCTCATCCGGAGGGAAGTATCCGGGGCTCTCTTCCTTGCCGATGCGCCACATCTCCTTCCTCACGGTGCTGTGTATGCCATCCGCCCCGACTATGATGTCCCCTTCGAAAAGAGAGCCATCCTCGGTGTGCACCTGGACACCATTCTTGGCAAGGCCGATCCGAGACACTCGCTTCTTCGTAAGGATTCTGTCCTTATGCTTCAGGTTGTCGTAGAGAACATGTAAAAGCATTTGCCTGTCCACGAAAATGGAAGGGTATCCGAGCCTACGATGTTCTTAGCACAGAAGACCATATGTCGCTACGTCCAGTGGGTGCAGGCGTACCTATGTTCCATGTGATGAATGGAAGCTGTAGAGTTCTCTGAGCGAACCCCGCCATCTGATCCTCGGATACTGGCTTTCAGGTAGTAGTCCCCGGCAATCTCGCGGATGGGCTCATAGCAGTTGATCTGGTCAAGGATTCGAAACCCGTTGGGCAACAACCCGATGCTTGCTCCGACTTGTGGTGCGATTTCGGGGTATGCTTCGAGGAGGACGTAGTCGATGTTCAGTCTCTCCAGCATATTTGCCAAAGACAGTCCCGAGACACTGCCTCCGGCGATGATGACTTTGAAGCCCATGTTGAGTTCGGGTGTAGCTGGAAATGAGAGGGAAAGGGTGTGCAGAAAGTCTATAACATCGGCGCAGGATGAGTGACGACCACACGCTTTTGAAGAGTTTCACTTCGTTCTTAGTCCCTCTGACAGGCTGCCAAGACAATTAGGGACCAGCGTTTGACAACGAAATCGGGTCCTCGATGACACCCGAACCGAACATCTGGTTCGGGGATAGAGATGAACAGCAGCGACATCCATCTCCGACATTCCACTGGAACCGTGTTCGTCGGACCCTTTCCATCTAAACCCGGTGACAGGGAATCAGCAGAGTGAGAATTTCCCAATCTGGAAATCGGTCCCCGAGGTAGCCCACTTAAAATCCCGAACTCAGGCTCCGGAACACGCCGTGTTGCTGCCGTTGAAGGTTGAATGGGAGCAGGTCTTAACGGTACTTGAGTGGCCGACCGCCGACTTGCTTACTGCCGAATTCCGAAGTTGACGTGAGAAAGTCTGCCTATTTTCGTCTGCACCTTTGACGCGTTCATCCCGTCATGTGGCCCTCTCCCCTGAGGAGTCGAGTAGGGGACAGTTACAGTTCGGCATGATTCAAGACCGATCGAGAAGCGTGTGTATGTTCATAATTGTCCGCAGCAGTGTGCGAAAGACCGCCCGCTTACTCATGCATCATTGTCGGGATGCGCCCAGAAGATCACGAAGACACACTTGACTTTCACGGTATTGCTTACGAATGAGTAAGACTTTGGGTCTGATTTTGACAGCGACGCGTAATTGATAACCTCACAACTCCGAATCGAGTCATCGGGGTTGTTTTCGCTTCCGAATGCTGTGAGCTTCGAAGATTCGACCATATGTAGCGAGCAAGGTGCTTCAAGTGGTGAGTGTCTCCGGAACTCGGCCCCACATTCCCAGATCTCGGTGAAACTCAGATGCCCGGGCTCACCTTGAGGTCACACCGAAAAACTCCGGCACGGAAGAACCTTCCCCCAGCTATCTCCCAAACCGCGGCCTCACTTTTTATCATCCACCTACTCCTCCACCCGCGCGATCGCGACAAGCTACCTAGCCGAACACCACCATCCGACCCCACGACAGCTCAAACCGCCGACCCTCCCCAGACCGCAACGATGACTTCCACAATCGGCATCCCCATCAAGCTCCTCAACGAGGCCCAGGTACTTCCAATCCCCCTTCCCCTCACATCCCAAGCTCCCCCAAAAAAGGCTAACAGGCGCGCGCGAACAGGGCCACATCGTCACCCTGGAAATCACCTCGGGCCAGACCTACCGCGGCAAGCTTCTCGAAGGTACTTACTTTGCTTCCTCTCCCCTCCCTCTCTTCTGTGTCTAATCGCTAACATCGCCCCAAACACAGCCGAGGACAACATGAACGTCCAGCTCAAGGACATCACCGTCACCGCCCGCGACGGCCGCGTCTCCCACCTCGACCAGGTCTACATCCGCGGCTCCCACGTCCGCTTCTTCATCGTCCCCGACATGCTCCGCAACGCCCCCATGTTCCGCTCCCGCAACGTCCGCGGCCGCGGCGTCGGCATGGCCAGAGGTCGTGCCACCGTCAGCAGGGCGCGCGCCAGCGGTCGCGGCGGCAGGTAAAGGGGGAGCGGCTTGGGATTTCTTTGCGACCGCGCACTTAACCCCCCGTTACGATTCGATCATTGACGAGACTACCGCGAATTCTGGTGGACCTGGCTTGGGAGACCGACCCGCGTTGGAGCTTGCGGCGGGAAAGAGCGTCATGGTTTTCGAAAAACAGCCAGCCTCCCAAATTACGACTCGGACCGGCAGGTGGACGGAGACGGAGGTGTGTATGGCGACCGAGAGAAGAAGAATTGGTGTTTTCTGATCGGGACTGGGGGCAGCAGCACGTACTGCTGCGCAACGACGAGTTCCAGGCGTTTACGGTTCTGAAATGGCAAAAAGATTTCATCTATGGGAAGGGGCTTTGCATGACGTCAGAAAGAAAGCGAGAGAGAGAGGCACGATACCAATTCAGCAAAATGGCCATGCCACCAGACAGTACCGGGCGGGATGTTTGATATTATTGAGAGTATAGGGTAGGCCTCGACTCGAAATGAGCCGTTCGCTCAGCTACAAAACCCGCTGACAAGAGGTTAGCTGCCATAAAAGTCAAATACGTCCAACTTTGCCGCTCAAACTCAATTTTCACAACATACGCAATAATGCGTTGAATTGCCAACTCTCGGCACCCCAGTCATCTCTTTTCCCTCAGCTTGTCAGGGCACGTATCTGATATCAAGTGTCTTTGTGTCGTGATGTCTACGGAGCCTCTTTTTTATACATTATACAGATGATGGTACAACGTGACCCGTGAAAGCCCTCCCTCCCTCGCCTACTCAAGCCGCCTCAGCGCATCTTCGGCCTTCTCCACGAGCTCCTTCGCCCTGCGCAGCTCCTCCACCCCCTCCACGGCCTCCTCCTCCCCGCCGCCGCCGCGCGCGTCCAACCTCTCCGCGACGCTCTGCTCGACGCCCCTGACCGCCTTCCGCCCTTCCTCGCGCACCTCGCCCTCCCAGAACGTCCGCGCCGTCTCCCACTTCTTCTGCAGGTTGCGCAGGCTCCAGACCACGCCGAGCGCCGCCACGGCGCCCGCCTCGTACACCGAGGACGCGTACTGCGAGACGTACAGCAGGCCCGCGAGCGCGCTCGTCAGGGCGGAGGTGCTGGAGGCCTGGAGCACGAGTTTCTGCGCCAGGGCTTGTAGTGCGGGGACCGTTTCTTCGTGGAGGTAGCGCCGGGTGAAGGAGATGTGCGTCGGCCACTTTGGCGGCTGGTTCGTGACCTTGGTGACCGTCTTCGTTTGTTGTGGTGTTGTGAGTAGCTCCGACGTCGGCTGGGCGTACCGCGGCGCCTCGACGGCCGGCACGACGCCGGACTCGGCGATGCGGCCTGCGAGGTAGACCAGCTCCCGCTCCGCTCCCGGGAGGAACCGCTGGCTCAGCATCTCGCTCGTGAGAACGCCCACGTCGTCCACGCGCCAGAAGAGCTTCCACCACCCCAGCTTGCGCCACCTCGTGCCCGCGAACGCGAGGTCGAGCTGCTGCTGGAGCTCCTCGTGCGCGAACTGCGACCACTCTGCCAGCCTCTCGTTCATGAGGGCCACTTTGGGCGAGGCGTCGGCGGCGGCGGCGGCGGGTAGACGCCTGGATAGCAGACGCGCCTCCTCAGCCTCGATTTCCGCGAGGGTGTTGCGCAGCAGCGAGGCGATGTGGATCCGGACGGCGGGCTTGGTGGCGATGGTGCTGGTCTGGCCCTCGGAGGAGCTCTGCACGCCCGTCTTGAGCCATTGGACGACGGCGGGGACGTTGCTCTTGTACCACGCGCGCTCGTACTCCATCGCGTTGCCGATGTTCTCGCGGATGCGCCCCAGGCCCTTGCTGCCGACGTCCACGTCGACCGGCTGGAACGTGAGCTGCTCGCCCTCCTCGACGGGGTACTTCGGCAGGTTGACCGCGGCCAGGACCGAGTCGCGGTAGTCCGTCAGAGGCAGCGCCGCAACCGCCGCGGCGCCCATGACACCCTCCGACACGACCAGCGCCTTGTGCACGGGCGTCGTGACGGGCGTGTATCGGCCCTCGGCGGACGGTATGTCGACGGTAGGCACCAGAACGGACTCCTCGAGATCACCCCGCCAAACCCCCGCCGCCTCCCCAGGCCCCGCGGCCGAGAACGGGTTCACCTCCATCAGCAACAACTCGACCCCGAGCCCGTTCAGCGCGGGCGAGGACACGTCCAGCTCGTGCAGCAGATTCGTCTTGGATATCGTCAGCGTCGTAGCGCCCTCCTCCCGGCCCCTCCCCCTCTCCTCCCCGACCCTGACGACGAGCGGCTGCTTCGTGTCGTGCGCGGCCAGCTCCCTCTCCCACTCCGCCTCGTCCCCCAGCGGATCCGCGAGCACGAGCCTGAGCAGCCCCCTCGCCGTCTTCCCCGGCTCCCCCGCGCCGTTCGCCAGCGCGAGGATCGCGACGCGCACGTTCTCGCGGCCGGGGTCCTGCCGCAGGCCCTGCAGCGCGAGTTGCAGCCGGGAGAGGTTGACGTGGTTGACGGCGTTCTTCTGCAGTTCCAGGAGGATGTCGATCAGCTCCGACCTCGGGTTCGCGCCCTCCGCCGCCGCTGGTGGTGGTGCCGAGGAGTGAATCGCGTGCGTGGAGGACTGGAAGTGTCGGCGCTGCTGCTTGACGGCGTCTCGTCTGGCGGTGCGTCGGGTCGTTCGCGAGGATCTCGGGGTGGTCGTCGTCGTGAGGGAGCAAAACAGGCACACGGCGCGGCCCGACGAAGGCCTGCTCAGGCCGTCGGCGATTGGCCTCAGTGGGAGTCGTGGCGGCATTTCGTGGGCGGCATCGGGGTGTTGCCCTTCGTGCCTGAGTTAGCTGTTATGAGCAGGATTAAAAAAAAAGTTGCGATGGAGGTCCGGTGCTAATTGCCGGGACAAACGGGTGAGGTCGGCCGTGGCAGGTGGACAGAGCTCCAACCCCAAAATGCGCATCATTGGGGGGCAAAACCTCGGCGATTTAGAGGTAGGTCCGGGTCCAGTGCGACGACCCCACCCCCGCCAACCTCCCAGCTGCCGACGCACCGACAATCGCTCCATGACAACTTACATTGAACAGCTTGTGTAAGTCGACCACGTCGCGGTAATCTTCAACAAAGCCACCACGAGAGACCGCTTCCCCATTCTCAACCTCTCTCCCACAACATCTTCATTTCTCACCCTCCTCACAATCTCTCCACCGCATCCCGAGACTGCCAAACACGATGGCCCAATCAACCGCCCACCGCCGCCTCCTCCAGGAATACCGCGCCCTGACCAACAACCCGCCCGAGGGCATCACCGCCGGCCCCGTCTCCGAGGACGACCTGCTGCAGTGGGAGGCCCTGATCCAGGGCCCCGAGGGCACCCCCTTCGAGGGCGGCGTCTTCCCCGCCGAGCTCAAGTTCCCCAAGGACTACCCCCTCGCCCCGCCCACCATGAAGTTCCTCGTCGACATGTGGCACCCCAACAGTACGTGATCCTTCACCCCTATTTCTCTCTTGTCTACATAAGAGCTCCTCGCCAAAGCCACTCAAGGGTAATGGCTAACACGGCGCTCGCCCGCCAGTCTACCCCAGCGGCCTCGTCTGCATCTCCATCCTCCACCCGCCCGGCGACGACCCGAACCACTACGAGCACGCCTCGGAGCGCTGGTCCCCCATCCAGTCCGTCGAGAAGATCCTCATCTCCGTCATGAGCATGCTCGCCGAGCCCAACGACGAGAGCCCCGCCAACGTCGAGGCCGCCAAGATGTGGCGCGAGCGCCGCGCCGACTACGAGCAGAAGGTCCGCGACGGCGTCAGGCGTTCGCTGGGTCTTTAAGGGCCGGCCGGTGCAAATCGAAACGGAGCTCACGGTTTCATTATGTGTATGTCTCCTCAGACGAGATTATGAGATAGAAGGGGGTCCCGCTGGCCATGTTGCTAAGGCTGGCGCGGTAATTCATCACGAGAAAGGATGGTGGATGTCTGATACGACGACGACTACTACTACTACTACTACTTGCATAGCATGGCGTTTGGGGAATCGAAATGTTCGCTTTGTTCAACTCTTCTATGAAAATGCTACACCACGGCAGAGAGACATCAAGCTCTCGTCCGCATGTTAAAATGTGACGCTATTGATACCACTTCACCATGCTCAGTTTTTACAACCCATTCTCCGACTTGAACTTATCCCAGCTCTCGTTCAACGTGGCAAAGACCGTCGCGGCTATGAGTCTCACCTCCGTGTTGGCGTCTTGAGGAAGCTATGCTCTGTCAGTACATTGTTCTTCAATCCGTCTCTAAGTCGGATTTTCTTTTCGCAGCGCAACATACCTTATCGGGGTGGCACTTGGCAATGGCCTTCATGTAGTTGATCTTGACCTTGTTCGCCATGACGAGCTCGTGCAGCCCGACCTTCTTCCACCCGCTGCCCTCCCAGAGGACCTGGTCCAGGCTGCCGATGAGGGCGCGCAGGTTATCCCTCTTGCCGTCCCTCCACGCCGCGATCCTGGCGTCGACCTTCTCCGAGAGCGCGAACTTCTCGTCGTCCTCGGCGGCCGCCGCGAGGTTCTGCTTGCGCAGGCGGTCGACGGCCTCAGAGCTTTTGGCGGGTGTCGTCGCCGCGGCGGGCCGAGGACGGGCGGGAGCCGCCGCCGCGGGTCTGGGCTTCGGTTTCGGCTTCGGCGCCAGCGCGGCCTGGCACCGCTGGCGGCCGGAGATGGCCGTGGTGCCCCCGACGCCGTTCTTGACGCAGGTCGACCACACGGCGTGGGCGTCGCCCCAGCGCTCCATCTGTTCGAGGGCCTCGGCCTTGCGGCTGAGGGCTTTGCCGTAGAGGTCGCGCATGTCGCGCTTCTCCTCGCCGCCGTTGTCGCCCACGACGGTCACCTGCTCGCCCTGGCCACCGGCGGGACCGATGATCTTGAGAGCGGCGTCGGCGTCCTCGACTGCCACCTTGGGCTCACCGGTCTTGAGGGCGGTCAGTGCGCGGTTTGTCAGAATGACGATCGCCAGGGGATGAGATGCGGGTACGGCGGCCAGAGACGACGAGTAGGAAGACTGCGCGGCGGCGTAGTCTCCGCGCTTGAAGTGTGCCGTTCCGTCTAGACGGTGCTTCGTGGACTGCTGTACCGCAGCGGGTGTGATTGGGGGGATGTGCCGCGCGGGGCGAGGTGCGGGCTTGGGTGATGCCGGACGTCGTGCGGGCTGAGAAGATTGGGACGGTTGCGCAGGTCGCTGTGGCAGCGACTGCGACGGGGCCGACTTGGGCGCCTGGGAGTTGAAGAGTAAATCAGGTTCCTCCTGCCTGGGAGGCGGTGTTTGCTCGGGCTGAGGCGTGGCCTTCTTCCTTCGGGCAGGGCTGACATATGACGCTGCACCGTCGTCTGCCATGGCCAGCTTGCTGGCGCGTGTTCTTGAATCCGGCACCGCGGGGCCGGCCTGCTGCTGCCACTTAGGAACAGGTGTACCACGTCCGCTCGAAGGCGCCGATGGCGCAGGAGAAAAGTCCCTTGGAGACGCAGTTCTGCGAGGAGCTTCCGGCCTCGGCGACTGCGACGACTGGCCAGTTCTCCTCGGTGGCCGGCCGCCAGACTCCAGCATCATGGCCTCGTCCGTGGCCTCGGTACGCCGCTTCTCCGGGGCCTGCGTGCGATCCTGCTGCGCGGACCGCATCCACTTGGGCTGGTTCGGGTCTCCCCCTTCCTGGTTGAAGTCTGCGACAGCCTGCTGCACCTGCTTCTTTCCAGTCTTCCATAGCGAGTTGGCCGTCTTGAACAGGCTGTTCCCCACGGCGGCGGCAGACTTTGAGAAGTCCGCTTCGCTGGCGGGCGACCTCGTATCAGCTCTCCGCTGGGCGTCGTGTCGTCCGTCGTCGCGTCCCCTTCTCGAGGCGGCGGCCGGATCCTTGCCTTGCGCCTTCGCCTTGGCTTGGCGATGCGCGTCGTCGAGAAGCCAGTTGGCGGCCGCCTGCACATTCAACCCCGCACCGCTCTCCGTCAGACCCCGCCGCGCGTTTTCGGGGGTGAATCCGTAGTCCACAAGCTGGGCGACAGCTCTGTCGAACTCGGCCATCTCGCCACGGGGAGCGGGCGGCTCATCGTCGGAACTCGATTCGGATTCCTCAATTGGCTTGCCAGGTTCCGGCTGCTTCTGCTTGGGTTCCGGAGGTGGCTGCTTGCGCCGGACCTCCTCCACCGGCCGTCCCAGGTCGCCGAGGAAGTCATCGTCGTCAATCGTCGGCTGGGGCGCGGGAGAAGCAGCCTTGGGTTTGAGCTGGTTCAGACCGAACGGGTCATCATCATCTCCGAAGCCACCGTTGTTGGCTGGAGGGGCGGGCTTATTCCACGCGCTCGGGTCGCTGAGGTTCAGTCCTGGGGTGTGCGCGGGGGAGGGGCTCTTTTGGGGCGGCGGCGGGTAGTGGCTGGCGTTGTCGACCTTGGTCTCGGCATTGAACGCGGCAAACAGGTCATCGTCATCGCTGGCCTTCTTGCCGGTCGACGAGCCGGGTGACAAGATGCCCGGCGACGTAGTCCGCGACACGTTGCCCGAGCCCAGGGTGTCCAGGAACCCTCCGCCGAATTGCGCCTGCGCCTGCTTCCTTCTCTCCTCCTCCTTCTTCCTCTTCTCGGCCTCGAGTCGCTGCTGTTGCTCGCGCAAGCTCAGGTTCGCCGTCGACTTCGGAGCACCGCCGGCCAGGTTCATCAAGTTGCTGAAGCTATCGGCGGGTGGCTTCGCAGCTGGGGGCTTCGCGGCGACGGCACCGGATCCCTGCGCCGACAGAGGCGTGTTGCGACCGGAGGGGAACGGAGATGGCGTCGAGGTCGTCTGTCGCGCGGGCATCGAGCCGAAGTAATTGGCGCCCGAGGGGTTCATCGGCGGTGGTTTGTTGGTGGCCGACTTGTTGGCCGACGACGACCAGTCCAGTCCCGAGAGATCATCCATCTTGACGTGCTGAACAGGGTCGAGGGGCAATCGTTCATGTCATCAACTTCGTGAGGTCGTGAGGGCGTCTAATGGGTTCAATGCATCGTTTTCGGATCGTTCTAGATTCCACTTGTCTTGGTCCTGGACCGGCCTGAATTGACTGATTGCGGTGTCGTGTGGCCCAGACGTCAGTACCTTAGGTGGCATGTGGCATCGTGGCTGAAGCTGGGAGCTGTGGCTCGTGTTTGTGCCTGACGGCAGCTGTGAGGCATCAATCTGGATGGCGTCGGCGTTACTGAAATCGGCGTTAACGAATCGCATGCGCACGGCCCAGCAGATTCAACGGCTGGCGCCGAAAGTAAAAAAGGGGTCACCAATTTCGGGCAAGTGGGATGATCGCTGCTGTCACATCTCGATTGCCAAATTGCTTCGCTCATCCCGATGAATTCTGGATATGGGTTTCGCGGGGACTCCCTTCGAGTCAGCGACATCACGAGCCCCGTCGCATGAAAGCATTATCCGCCCTCCGGACCCAAGCCACTCTGGACACGGCGCCGGGTCGTTTCTGTTTAGTGGTGTTTGGCTCCTAGTGAGGCTGAGTGAGGGACGCTCTGGAGATCACACAATGCACGTCTGGGCTGCGATGTCGTCTTGGCCCCGGGATCAGCCACCCAAAGTCAGGTACAACTCCTGAGACTGGCGGCGGTCGGAAGGGGTGAACATTCACCTCAATCACTTCGAAACCCCCGGCCTTCAGCCTGTATTCATTCGTACGGCGGTAAGACTTGCATCGCGGCACAGTCGGCCGAGAAGTCCCGCGAAATCTGGGTCTGCTAGCAGCGAGACCTCATCCTTGGGCCGAGTGCCCCTGATCACACGACCCACGAGGCCACCTCTTGCCATCAATTCACTCATATGCGCTAGGCTGACGAAGGCTGATAGGATGCGGTCTTCGAGATCAAGGTCTGCGAATGTCGCTGCTGGACGGATGTTGCTTGCCGGGTGGGAGCCAGGCGGCCGTCATCCAAATGACGCGGATCGGAGCGTCTGCTAATCAACGGGGTGTGAGGACGTGTTACGTGGTATGGCTTGACGAGCGACGTTGTACGCGGAATAAAGTCCGTTTCATCGTCAACGGCCAGCCAATATCGCAGCACATATTGTCCGTCCGTTGCTTGCTAGGAGGCAAGCTTAGTTGAGGAGGGACTTTTGCCCACCAGAGCCGTGCGGCATCCATGGTATGGTGACTGCCATGAACTGTTGTGCCAGCTTACGATGTCGACTTTGGGGTTGTAAGAGGCCGGCCATTGTTGGTGGTCAGGAATGTAAAGTACCATGCGCAGATGTTTTGGATGGCTTCAGGCATTCTTCTTGGCTTCCGTCTGATATGCCACCCAAACACTGTTTCGACGGTGAGGAAACAAGCACGGTAAGGTTAATAATTGAGTCTGGAAAGGCAAACGGTTCAAACGAAGGTGTTTGGCTGGCAGCGCAAACGGCGGGAATTCCTTGCAGAGCGCCTGCTGGTGGATGTGAAATGCATTGAGAACCATTCGGACGACAGGTCTTGGCCGGTGTGGTCGCTTTGGGAAGAGTTCGGATGATTGGCGCATTGCCTCTGTTAGCGATGGGCTGAAACTCGTTTCGAATCTTGGTGTCCGGGGTCTTCCCTGAGGAGGGCGATCAGGGGAAGGGCTGAGCCAGAGTGACAAGCTGAATGCTGAATCGCGGGACGCTGCTAAAATTGCTGTGTCCACGTCAGTCTGGATACCCAACAGAGACATCCCTGATATAGAAGATGACGATAGTCTTGAGCGCGACTCGCGGTTGATCAACGACGACGACGACATTGGTCGTGATGGAGCGTCGTGTCGGGGAGAACAATGGGAGTCGCACTTGTAAGACACTTTGTTCGTATAAAAGAACTCGTATCAGATCATCGACGATGGCGGGGTCGCTGGTATGGCGGCCTGGCGATCAGCCGAGACCGCCGACCGTTGAAATGTAAGGCGAAGAAGAAGGAAAGGCGGCGCCGGGAGTTGTCGAGAATGGAATGCCGGTGCGATCGTGGCACGGTTGGAATGTTTGCTTCTTGTCGTGCGATTCTGTCTGGACTCCCGGCCACTGAGGGGCGTGAAGCACGGTCTCACGAGCGTGCCAAGTGAAGGCGGTTGCCTCGAGTGAGATGACAGGAGAGGCGCACCCGGAAGACGCGAGGATGCTGTGCAAAGGAGGACATGCTGAGTTTTCATGATGCCACGCGATGGGATTCTTCGTTGTCGATGCTCGTAAAGATGGCCAGCAGCGCGCAGGTAGTGGACTGCTAAGCGCCTGTCGTGCGAGGGCCGGTTTTGGCTGCCGTGCCTCTGCATCTGCATGCTTTCTGCAGCCTCCAATGGCGGACGCAGGACGGCATGCGATTCTTCAGCTGTTGGCCCCTCGCGCCGTAAACGATCCAGAGAGCTGTTTCTCGAGATAGCGATGACGCTTGCCCCCTCGCCCCCTCGGTCACCTATGCCTGTGCCTGGTCGTTCCCTGACTGGTCGGAATATTCACGGGACATGTCTCTTGTACCTGGGCGTCGAGGCGTCACAGAGGATGATGTGTTATGCGGCCAGAAGCCCTGTGGAAGGGTGCTCGGGAGGACAACCGACTGACAAGGAGAAACATGGGCGGCGGCTTTCCCCTAGGGATTTGTTTCTGCCCGGCGCAATCTTGGGTTGATTGCATGCTGGAGCCAAGATGGAGGAGGATTCAGATGACCGCATCTCCATGGGGCCCAATAGCAATTGCCACGGCGTGGTCCGGCGTGGATTGATTCGCGATCCGTTTAAAAGAGGGCCAAGAGGGCCGTGATCCGGGGGTGGCTCAATGTCCGTGAGAGGTTGAGAGAGGAGGTGAGCAGCGAGGCAAATTATTATCCGTACGAAAGTTCTTGGAGATGGCACAAGGCAGAGCGAATCGCGGTTGGTGGTTGGTGGTGTGCCCCTGGCGCAAATGAAGTCACCGCTGTCTCTCGGAGCCGGCGCGTAAGCCAGCTCCAGGGCCCCAAGGCAGGGCAGGTGTGGTCGAGCTGTTGGTGCCGGAGCAGTTGCTGGAATTCGCAGATGCCTAACATTAGCGCAGATCCCAGCCGTCCCTTCGGCCCCACTTGGCTGTTCTGTCAGGTCGGGTGGTGACAGTTCATTGGCTCCGAACGTCAGGAGCAGGGCTATCCTTCATCAAATTGTCCAATCACAAAATTCGAGATCTCCCCTTTGCACCCCACTAAGGCCCGCATTGTCGAAAGGGGCACGCACCAAGGGGCCGTTGTCGGGTACGTGCCGCGGTACCTGCATCTCAGAAAGAGGGGGTAAGATTGAAACTGACCACTCAGCGTAGCTCATTTAGCCCCTCGATGTTCCCTCCTGCCCTTTTTTTTCGCGCTCTCTCCACCTCGACGTCGTGGTTCTTTCCCACACCGGAAAGAAGACTTCCCACAGTTCAGTGTTCCATTGGCCGCAGATCCTCGGAAGAAGAAAAGAAGGGGCACGTCGTGTTGGGGTCCTCTTCCTTCCTCTTGGCTTTCCTTTTTCGCCTTTTCCTCTCTCCATCTTGAGTGCCACACCTTCACAAAGTGCCATTTAGCTGGTGGATGCAGCTTGCGGTACCTGCATATCGCATGTGTCACTTTGAAGCCACTCGCGGCATTTGTTCCTGGCTTCTTTCCATTCACATCGCAGAGAGGCCATTTCATTCGTTTGCGCCGGTGCGCCGGTGCGCCAAACTACGGCTGCAACACAATTCCCCCAAACTCGCGCCAAACCGTTGGTGCTAGCTTCTTGGTGTGAGGTGGTGGCCAAACATGCTAAAATGATCTTCTTTGCTCTCCCGTAAGGCGGGCGAGGCAACATGAAGCAGTAGTTCGCAAAAAGCAAAAGCTGTGGCCAGCAAACGGCGCCGGCTACCCGACATATCGTACTGGACCGTCTCATCATTTCTTTGCAGCAGCTCATCGATTCTGATAGTCCCTCATCTCATCTCATCTGGCGCATCGTCATCACGCACCCGCCTCACCTCACATCTCATCTCATCTCGTCCATCTCATCTCGCATTGCCGGCCTGGCCTTACGGATACACCACAGCGCACAATCTGCCATGCCCGTACTACGCGTACGAACTGCGAATGCTCTCTGTGTCTCTCGGCCGGGCAGTTCCTTTTGCTTAATTTTTTGCCTCTCGCTTCGTCCCTCGCCTGACCTGGCGTCTTATCTCCTCCACATTTTAGTCGCCTCTCGTCGACGTCCGTGTGCGCCGTCGTCTGGCGTTTGGCGTTAGGCGTAGCAGGTGACATTCATCGCCCACAATCGAAAGGGGGGCCCAGCGGCAAGCCTCCGAGGGGACCAAGGGACTTGGGGACCTCATCAATGAGATGCCGTTGTGATGCGTGCTGAAGGTACATGCGGGCTCGTACCATGCCGGTCCCGGTGGCACAGCCAGCAGGATCCTGGTTCCGTCGCGCTGGCCCGGCCCCTTGAAGCAGTACCTTAATCTATTCCAACCCACATCGAGAGCGATCCCTCCCACACTGTTCGCCCGACCGCTGCCCTGGGGCATATCGCCGCAAGATGCCGCGGGCAGACAGCGCGGCGTGACGGCCCAGCGTAGCAGTCGCTGCAGGTCGGACACAGGTCGCTGTCACTGTCACCGAGAAAGACTCGACGCCAAGGTGATGTTCACTGATCAAACAGAGGCAAGAGAAGCAACGAGTTGGTGAGTTGGCCACCTCCAGAGATCGCCAGTGAACGGGTCAGCAGATGGTCGGGGAGGTTGATTAAATGACAGTCAGATCCATCCTGAATCCCAGATCCCCGTCGCAGGCGAAGAAAAGACGAGCATTGAGTGGGAGAGAGAGCGAAAATGCGCCATTTGTCTGCCATGATCCTGGGAGGAAGTCTGGGAATAGCCACGGAATCAGACAAACCAAACCAAACTGGTCAAACCGACCAACATTCATCGAATCGAAGCGAAGGCTCTCTCCCGCCTTCCTCCCGTCGCGCATTCCTTTCGGTGGCTAGTGTTGGGAATGGGGGTGAAAATGGGGATGGCAGATGGCTGACGATGCTATTGTGTGCCGTGTGTGGTTGTTGAAGGAAGGGTTTTTGGAGGGTGTGTAGATACGAATATTCATACCCCCTGACATGTCTTTTTTATTTTTTCTGCCCTTCCCCTTGGTGAGGAAATGGCCCCGGCACTCAAGGGGCGTGGGAAGGCGGCACCGCTGCACCGCTGCACCGCTGCACCGTCCTCACCTCCCCATAATGGATCCATCCGTACACCCCCGGCCCCCTCCTCTCCTCTCCTCACCTCATCCACGACTTGCTGATGGACGGATGGATGTGACCATGTGCCCTTGCCATCCATCGAACAGAATGCGAATTGCCCATATCCTCAAGCCATGTCTCTCCACCTTCTCTCCGAACGTCTGTTTCCTACCTAAGTCCTTCTCTCCCGGTCTTCTTCTTCTGCATCACCCTCATTCCTGTCCCTCATCCTCCCCTCCTTCCATCCCCCTCCTTCTTTTTCCGTCACCTTCACGGGGTCTCTGACTGTCACTCTCTCGCTCGCTCTCACTCACATACGCTCATTTTTTTTTTGATCTCGTGGCGGCCCTGCTCTTCCACCTTCGTCGCACACCATCAGCCATTCCTTTTTTCTCACCCTCCGAAAAAAAAATCCCCGACTCGCGGATCCCGTTCCTTCGCCTTGGCTTCCTCCTCGCAGGTTCCTGCACGTTCATTTCTCTTGGACCCCCGTTTATGTGTGTGTTGATCGCATTCGTTTCTTGACTCGACTTGGTATTTTGAAGGACAGCAGGCGCTGATCGACAAACTCAAAGACTGCCTCTGCGTGGTATTATCTCTTGGTTTTTTTTTCCAGCCTCCGGTTCTAGGACTATCGCCAGACCCTCGTCTTACACGACATCGACATCGTCAGATCGCAACGCCGTCGCATACAAAGCTCCCGACGTCAACTCCGCCACCGTTGCGTAAAGTCTACTCGTATCAGACGTAAAATCGTAGAAGAGGAGGATTCACCGAACCGAACTCGCAGCTCCGTAGCGTTTCCGACGACAACCCGTACCGTATCCAACCCCATCTCACTCCGCCTCACCGAAAAGCGACAGCTTCACCTCGCGCCGACCTGAACTTAGGAATCTGCCAGTGCTGGACATCGGACGCCGGAATCTCATTTTTGGGTTGTATTGCTGCAAGACGAAATCCAAAGGTCGCCATCTCCAGGTCCCAGTGAATCACGGCCTCTCATTGGACGATCTCGAGGTCACCCATCACGGCCCTCACCTCAACATCAACTGCGCCTTCCAATAATACTATTGAAAGGTTACCAGGACGTCAAACGCCAGGAAATATTTCCAGTTGCTAAAATCCTCTCAAAAGTCGGTTCTCTAGAAGATTCGACTCCGTATCAAAGGACAAACAGCGCTGCTTAGACCTGTTGTGGAAATTCCAAAAAGGGAAGGCTCGGTCAACGACATCGCTCCTGCCTCCTTCCATCATCAACCTCACCACCACCACCTCAACCACAAAAAAACCGCCTTTTTACCCCTCCCGCTAGCGCCCTCGCTTAAGGACCGTTTCTCTTGCCCTCACCACCTCACCACCTCGCGCCTGCCTGGTGACTGACAACAAACGTCCTCCGCCTACTCTACGTGCCTCGACTTCTCTCCCGCGTTCACCACCCAAAAATACAAAACACCACAACAAACCTGGCCGAAAGATCACCAAGTATCGTTTGCGCGCGCAAGTCAACCAAAGACTCCCCGAGAATCGTTCTCTCCTCTTCCAACTGGGCTTTGGAACCATCTTCTGCTCCCTCATTCAATATCCTCTCTATTGATTAGGGACTGTTTGGTTGCTCAGGTAGCGATTTGATTCGGGTCTTTCCAACCGGCAATTCTCTTGTCTCGTCGCCTACACTCCTTTCGGACCTCAACGACTCTCTCTTCTCTTCAAGTCGTATACCTTACTCTGATACCCATCTTTCGTATCATTTCTTACCGATCCCCTTTTCTCCCTACCCTGAATCTTCAACTCTTGTCCTCGACAAACAACCGCTTCTCACCTTCATCATGCGCGTCACGATGAAGACCCGCAACGTCTTCGTTGCCGCCGCTGGCTTCTTTGCCACCGCCGATGCCTTCTGGCGCATGGAGTGCCAGGGCCGAGTTGGTTTGGCCCGTGTTGACCCTCTCATGTCGCCTGGCGAGCCCGCTACTCACGTCCACGCCATCCACGGATCCAACGGTATGTTCTTGTTTCCCGACTTTCGAATGACACTGGGAGACTAACACCATCCCAGGAATCTCGCCCAGCGCCACCTTTAGTGACCTGGTCGCTGCTGACTGCACTTCGTGCCGTGTCAAGGAGGACAAGTCCGCCTACTGGACCCCTGCTCTCTACTTCCAGGACACCACCACTGGAGAGTTCGAGGTCGTCGAGCAGGTCGGAGGAATGCTTGCGTAAGTCATCTGTCCATCTCTCGTCCATGTCCCGTGCTGACTTGACAGGTACTACCTTCTTAATGGAAAGGATATCAAGGCATTCCCCCCTGGCTTCCGCATGGTTGCCGGCGACACGTTCCGCCGCAACTACACTGCCGGCGATGCCTCCAAGCCTGACCCCGAGAAGTCCGTCTGGTCTCTTCTCGGCCAGACCAAGCAGTCCGTCCTCGAGCAGCGCGCCGTCGGCTTCAACTGCCTGAACTACGCCCGCGCCCCTGAGGGTACCCTGTACCGTCACTACCTCCCTGACAAGTCGTACCTCGATGCCAACTGCGCCGATGGCGTTCGCTTCGAGATGATGTTCCCCTCTTGCTGGAACGGCAAGGACCTCGACTCGGACGACCACAAGTCTCACATGGCCTACCCTGACCTCGTCATCGACGGCACTTGCCCCGAGGGTTTCGAGACCTCCACTCCCAACCTCCTGTACGAGACCATCTGGAACACCGCCGCCTTCAAGCAGCGTACCGGCCGCTTCGTCATCGCCAACGGTGACACCCTCGGCTTCGGCTACCACGGCGACTTCATGTCCGGTTGGGATGAGGAGTTCCTCCAGAGTGCCGTCAACACCTGCACCAACCCCTCCGGCAAGATCGACGACTGCCCCCTCTTCACTCTCCAGAGCGAGTCCGATGTCAAGCAGTGCTCCATGAACGTGCCCACCATCCTCTCCAAGGAGAACGTCACCGGCCCCGACAACATCCTCCCCGGTAACGTCGCCATCACCTATGCTGACGGCTCCTCCGAGGGCGGCGACGTTTCTGCTTCTGCCAGCTCCACCATTGTCCTCCCTACCCTCACCATCCCCAGCCTGTCCTACAAGCCTGGCAAGACTGCCACTGGCAACCCTCTCCCTGGTGAGGTCTTCCACGAGAGCGGCAAGGCTGGCTACGGCACCACCTCGTCCGCCCCTGTCAGTGCCGAGGCTGCCTCTTCTCAGGCTCCCGAGGTCTCGACTCCCGAGCAGACTCCCACCCCGATCTTCGAGTCCATCACTGCGGCTCCCACTTCGGCTCCCGAGTTCGTGTCCACTCAGACCATCACGAACGGCCACACCGTGTCGATCATCTACTGGGAGGAGGAGATCGTCTACGTGACCGAGTACGAGGACATCACCTCGACTCTCACCGTCACTGCGTCTGCGACGCCCGCCGCCCTGCGCGCGCGTCACCTCCACCACCACCGTCGCCACCACATCTAAGTGGCCCCGCGTGTTTTCTCAATTTTCACGGAGTTGCTTCTCCATTTCGGACATGGCTTGCGAAAATTCGGATATGGGGGGTTGTCGTTTGTTCAGGACGAGCATCAGGATGCATGGTCCTTTTCTTTAGGAGTGGACGTTCCACAGAAATGATTTGGCTTCCCATTGGTTTTCCCCCATCTTGCTCATGGAGACCTTTTGCTGTTGTCTGGACATTCTGAGCAGACACAAGTTTTTTGAGGTAGTTAGCAAGGTACGGGGCATGGCCTGCGTCATGAGATATGGTGATCATTAGGCGGCAAATCATCAACTTCTTCTTGCATGTTTTGTTTTTTCGGTGGAACTCTGCGTGAGCTGATCGTAGTTGGGGTCGTCGTCGTCGTAGGGTTGTAGGGGCGGTCTTTGGTCTTACTTTTTTTTCGACTCGGTCCATGTCGTAGGCGTTTTATGTTTTGAGAGATACCTCTTGCTCAATGTCTGTTGAAGTTATACCCATCCTCAATCTCCGTCCTCCCTGATGTGCCCGTCGACCCCTTCAAAACATTCCGTACATGTAGTCTCAGGTGATCAATCTCGTGATCCGACGTCAAAATAGCCCCGGGTTCCCCGCACGTCGATTCCTCCGCTCCCGCCGTTCCGACAAGCGACGTCGTCAAGCCAAGCATTTCACACGTTCACCCCGCCGCCGCTCTTCCGCCAGGCGGCGATGTCCTCGATCTAGACCGCATCCGGATTCGCGCCCAACGGCCACGCAGTTTGACGTGCATAAGTCGCGTCTCTATGATCGAATCACACGGCGCCATTCCCGACGCCATGGGAAGCGAGCATGTCGGTTTTTCTCAACGTTCCCCGCTGTTCGTCGCCCGTTGGACCGGTGTCATAGGGAAGATGAAGGCGGAGTTGGAATAAGGTGAGGTGGTGAATGACATGCAGCACAGCTAGCGAGCTACCCCTCACGACTCCATCTTTCCACGGACGGCGATCCTCCGCGCGTTCGGGGTTGTGAGCTCATGGCGTCGCATTTCTCCTTGGGGACTGCGACGTTGGGCCTTTCCCGCCAACAATTGACGGTTATTCTGGTGTCCTTCTCCTCATCGGACGAACGTACCCCTCGCGTTCGAGGCCCCCTCATCAAAGATCTTTGAGCTTCTGGAATCCCCACCCCCGGTTGAGGAGGAACTGGTGTTCGTCCACTCCATCCTGGTCACCCACCGCAGACATGGCTCGACACATCTGCTTGGCCATCGCTTCGCTTTTGTTCATTGCGGGGATGGTGGTGGTGATGAGGGTAAGGGATTGGGAGGGGGATGGGTTTGGGGTATGTTGCATTTTCTTGTTTTCTTGGGTTTGATGCTACTGAGGGGGCTTGCTTGCATATCCGTGTGCTTCCCACGATGTTTATATCAACATCCATCCGCGCCCCCCATCCCACCGGCCGCCGCGCATCCCCAACCGGACCATCTCTATTAACCTCACGTCTCCTCAGACCCTCCTCACAATGCGCCCCCTCCACCTCCTCACCGCCCTCGCCGCCCCGGCCACCGTCTCGGCCCTGGTAAGCCCGGACGGGCGCACCGGACGTCTCCCGGCGCTCGGGTGGAGTTCGTGGAACGAGTTCGGGTGCGACATCAACGAGACCGTCTTCGTGGGCGTCGCGCAGCTCATGGTGGATCTGGGGCTCAAGGATCTCGGGTACGAGTACGTGAATATTGATGATTGCTGGAGCGACAAGGAGCTGAGAAGGGATAACGTGACGGGGGAGATCGTGGTGGATGAGAAGAAGTTCCCGCTCGGGATGAAGCATCTGGTGGATCGGGTGCATGGGATGGGGTTGAAGGTTGGAATTTATAGTGATGCGGGTGAGTAGTCCTCTTCTTCGTACTGGGTGATGGGTTGCGGATGGGTATGTGAGGCGTGTCGTGGGAATGATGAGTTGGTTAGTGTTTGGGGCTGTTACTGACGAGACTCCTTACAGGAACGTCCACGTGTGGTGGTTACGAGGGATCACTCGGCTATGAGGAAATCGACGCCGCGACGTTTGCGAAATGGGGTATCGACTGTACGTTCTTCCTCTCTCCGTTTCATTTCGGCTTCCCTTCAAAGCATCTCCCTACGTCAGCTCACTTCACACCTCTCCCTCTGCCCTCCCCCGCAAAGTCTCACCCTCAAACACACATCATCCCTCCTCACATCTTCATCCCTTGTGTTCTCCACTCTCTGACAGCTACCCAGACCTGAAATACGACAACTGCAACGTCCCCAAGGAATGGTTCGACGACTGGAAATACGTCCCGGAACTCTGGCTCGGCGGGCCCCCCAACGAGAACCAAGACAACGGCGACCCCGTCAACTCCAAGACCGGCAAGCCCGCGCCCGCCGGCTACGACTGGTCCGCCTCCGTCACGGCCGAGCGCTACCGCCGCATGCGCGACGCCCTCCTCCTCCAAAACCGCACCATCCAGTACTCCCTCTGCGCCTGGGGCCACGCCCACGTCGAGGCCTGGGGCGCCGAGACCGGCCACTCCTGGCGCATGTGGGGGGACATCTACCCGGAGTGGCTCGGCCAGCACCAGTGGTCCTGGGGCCTGATGCCGATTTTGAACCACGCGGCCTTCTGGTCCGCGCCGGCGGTGAACACCTTCTGGGGCCACGGCGACTGGGACATGCTGGAGGTGGGCAACGGGAACCTGACGCTCAGCGAGAGCCGGAGTCACTTTGCCTTCTGGGCGGCGCTCAAGTCGCCGCTGATCATCGGGACGAAGCTGGAGGGCATCGCGCCCGAGATCCTGGCGATCCTGACCAACGAGGAGTTGGTAAAATTCAACCAGGACCCGGAGCACGGGGCGGCCGCGCAGCCGTACAAGTGGGGCGTGAACCCGGACGGGGCGTGGAACCAGACGCACCCGGCCGAGTTCTGGGCCGGGGCGAGCGTGCGGGGGACGCACGTCTTCGTGCTGAACACGCTCGCTGGGACGGAGGAGAAGACGGTCGTCTTCGGGGAGGTGCCGGGGCTGGAGGCCGGGAAGAGGTACGTCGTGCACGACATGTGGACCGGGGAGGACTTGGGGGTGTTCGAGGACGAGGTCACGGTGGAGGTGGAGAGTCACGACACGGCGGCGCTGAGGATCAACGAGGTCAAGTGTGTTAAGAGGGCTGCTTAGTTGTGCGGGTGGAGGGTCTCACGTGGAGGGATTTCACGGTGTCTATCTTGGGTTGATGCAAGGGGGGCCATGTGATGATGCATGATAAAACATGAACAGAGGGAAAATCGACATCTTACCTGGCCCAATTCGAGAACCAAACAACAAGATAATAAATACTCGCCTCCCCAATCACAGCCATTGCACCAAAACGGGTTTGCTTGTTTACTTCGTGCGATATGCCAGCTCATCTCACACAAATGACATCCGCATGCCGCGCACGCACGAACCCCGTGAGGCTATTCCCAGCCGGGCCCGACGCCACCCAGCCCGGGCCGCGAATGTCATATTACATCACGTTCCCTACTTCCTCCGGCTGACTCCCCCAAGGAATGTTCTTGCGCTGGGGAAGGGGGGCAGCCTTTTCCTTTTTTTTCTCTCTCTTCTGTGTTGTGCTATCTGTCTGTCTGTCTGTCTGTCTGTCTGTCTCCCATCCCTCTATTGGAATGCATTCCCCGGGACGACGCACTGGATACGCATTCCACTGGGGGCGGGTTTCTGATTAGACCGAGACTGAGACCTACCCAAGAGAAGAAGCCAACCACAAACAAACCACGGCCGGAGCGTCATGTTGTGAGAGGACGGCGGTTGGGTGATTGATTGATTAGGTGTTTTGGAACATGAACATGTATTCCAGCCATCCTTTTTGTTTTCCGTGGGGGGCGAGACCTTTTTTTCCTTTTCGTCTTCTGTTTTTCTTGAGGTTTTGGGTCGGGAAGTTTTTGGATTCTTCGTTTCATTCTTGAGGCTTGTTTACTCAATTTGCCAATCTCAACTTGATGGCTTTCTCGCCCTGAGTATCTCTTTCTGTCTGTTCCTTTCCGATCTTGATAGGAATATCCAACGGTAGAGAGAGGCGTCTGTGTGAACAAAGTTCAAGAAAGAGTGACGGAGGAAACGAAACGACAAGAGCCTCCGCACCATGAGAATTCACCTCCACGGCATCACCATCGCCCTCGATCCTGCCTGCTCGACCCTCCCACGATCCCCTCGCCAAGAGGCGTAACAAAACCCCTCTCACACTCACCACCACGACGGCATACCCAACAATGTCGACCCTCCTACTCCCCCGCGAAGACCTGCCAGGCACAACGACCCCGAGCACGAGCGGAAGCGGCGGCATGACCCTCCCGCTCCTCCTCGCGATCGCAATAGGCGGCGGCGTCCTCCTCTTCATCTGCCTCGCCTTCCTCCTCATCGCCCTCGCGGGCCGGCGCCACCGCCGCGAACAAGCACGCCTGGCCGCCCAACAGTGCTCCCCACGCTCCGAGGAGGGCGGCGGGGGAGGATGTGGCTCGGAAAGCGGCGCCGGGGGGTACTCCCCGCGCACGCCGAGCCCGCGGCCCCGACGCCTGACCAAGGCGAGGCCCAGGACGTACATGGACGTGATCGAGACGCGGGAGAAGCAGCCGCACCGGTCGCTCGCGTCGATCATGGGGCTGCCGCGGAGTAAGACGTTTAACGTGTTTGGAAGGTCTGGTTGGGAGGTCGGCGGTGGGCAGCAGAGGGGCGGGTATTTGAGGAGGAATATGAGCTGGATCGACGAGGACGCGATTCACGGGCCGAGGGTGCTGAGGGATGAGAGGAGGTTGAGTATTCGGGATAGTTTCATCCTCAGGACGCCGACGTTGCCGGATTTCTCGGATTATAAGGTGGAGGAGGCGTTTGCTGATGGCGGCGGCAGTGGTGGTGGTGGTGGTAGGTTCGGGGGTGAGCAGCAGCAGCAGCAGTATATCCAGCAACCCCGGCCGGTGAGTCTACCGCCGTCACGTTCCGGTCTCCCCCCGCTCCCGAGAACGGCGTCGTATGAACTGGCGGAGAAGCTGGCCGCCGCGGCAAGGGGCGGCGTTCCCCCGCCTAGTCCGCAGGGTCCGAGGCCCGTTCCGATGCCGGTGCCGATGCAGAGGCTGCGGCACAAGACCACGGAGTCGGACCTCGCCGAGATCCTGAGGTCGACGGAGGAGAGGTTGCAGAACGGCACGCCGAGTAACAGTCGGCCGGCCACGCGGCAGAGGGCGAACTCTGCGTCTGCGGGGTCGAGTATGAGGACGCCGAGGGGGTCGCCAACGAAGTCTCATTCGCCCGTCAGAATCGGCTCTCCGGTAAAGATGGGCTCACCGACGAAGGGCGGGTCCCCGGTCAGACCGTCACGATCGCCGACGAGGTCTCAGTCACCTGTGAAGTACGGCTCGCCGGTGAAGAACGCGGTGATAACCCACGTCGGACAGGCGCTCGACCCCACCGCCCAGAACCGCACCCGCACGCCGAGCCCGTCCAAGAGGATGATCGTACCGGTCCTGGTGCAGACGCCTGTCCACCCCGGCCACCGCCGCAATACCTCGCAGTCCTCGGCGGTCTCGGACGCGGACAGCCTGTTCGGGGAGACGACGCCCGAGATCGAGCATGTGCTGCCGACGGGGCTGTCGAGTCCGAGTCGGCGGTCCGATAATGATTCCCCCGGAAACGGGGACAAGCCCGAGGAGAGATGCACGTCGATGAAATCCATCGGAAGCAACGCCTCCTCGTCGCTTTCGACTTTGTACAGCGTCAACGAGCCGGAAGACGACAGCAAGACCGGAGGAAAGGGAGGGGGCGGCATCGTTCGGGGACGAAAACCAAAGGGCCTCATCATCGACACGCAAATCTGCGATCCTTTCGTCACACCACCGGTCGTGCCGCCGAGGAGTCCCAAGCGCCAGGCGTCAAGCCTGCCTCCCCCGCTCCGCCGCATCTCGCCGCCGGAGGATACGCCCGTGATCGAGGCCCCCTTCCCCTCCAGATCCGCCAGCAACTCGCCCGTCCCGCGTCCGCTGGACGTTATCAAGCGGAGCAGCACGGCGGACCGGAGCCCGACGCGGCTGTCCATCATGACGCACACCCCCGACCTCGCCGCGACGCCGGAATCCATCCGCCCGAAAAGCGTGGCGTCGATGAAACCCGTCTTCCTCGTCTCCAGCACCAGCGTCGTCAGCATGAAAGCCAGCCCGGGGACGTCGCCCGAAGACAACAGCCACAACCGCCGCCGCCCCGAGATGCCGAACAACAGATCGACGTTCGGCCAGAAGCCCATCTTCCCGCCCCCGCTCAACCTCCAGCCCGGACATACCTCGCCGAACCGCGAGGCGATGGCGATGGGCAGCCCCGCGGGCGCCGTGTCGATCACGAGGGGCGGCAACATCTCCCCCGCGCTCCGCGCCGTTCGGAATCCCCGCGAGAGCTCGCCCTCCGGTTCGCCGCCGCGCAGACCCGCCCCGAACCCAGAACTCCTCGGCGAGCTGCGGCGCGGATCGCCGACTTTGGGACGGTATAAGCGCCGTGGGATGGCGAGCCCGATCCGCGAGCGTGCGATGTCGCGGCAGCCGGCGAATCCGAGGGACAACCGGGCCGACCGGATGGTCCCGGATACCGAGTGTCCGTCGATCGTGCTCAAGCCGACCGGCTCGCCGAGGCGGAACGACTCGTTCCGGCGGGACTTCGCGGTGATGGGGCTGCAGTCGACGGTGGCGCAGCTGCGGAGGATGAACAGCCAGATGAGCACGCTGAGCGGGGCGTCGTCCGTCTCGGACCCGGATAGTCCTACGCTGCCGAATATGCGAGGCGGCGGTTTCAGCCCGGACAGGAGTAACTCGCGAGTCAGCAAGATCGGGCGGCAGAACTACCTCTCGCTGGGAATGAGTCCGAAGGCGAAGAGGAACACCATCAAGGGCGCCAGGAACTCGATTGCTGTGATCAAGGGGCGGCCTGGGACGGCGGGTAGACTGGAAGGACTCAAGGCGGCGGTGGAGGAGAAGGAGAACGAGGAGGACACGGGAAGTCAGATGATCAGAGGGCCGAGGCCGCTGAATCCGACGCCGAGGAGTGCTGGGAGGGGAGGTCCGCGGGCGAGTACCGGGATGATGGAGAGTCCTACGCGGAGGACGAGTGATAAGTTTGAACTGGGAAAGATCGTTGACGGGGAGGAGAGAAAGATGGAGAAGGCCAGGCATCAGAGGGAGGCTCTTGGTAAGCTGGCTGGTCTGGAGACACACAAGGAGGTTTCGCCTAGGAAGGTGTCGGAAGGACTTGCGACGGGGACGAATAGGAATAGTTCGCCCCTGAGGATTTGAGAGCTATGGTAGTTTCCTTTGTCTTTTGGAATCATTCGTTGGGATTGCTGGGTTTACAACTTGGGGAAGCGTGTTATTGGGATCTATGGCGTCGATGTCATTATACCTAGTTCGACATTAGCAGAGCACAGATATCACAGTCCCTAAATTTGAAGTCAAATCGAAATCGTCAAATCATCCACACGGGAGTTTTTCAAACGCGAAAGACGGTTTCCTACCTCGCTTGACTCACTTAATCCATCCCAACTGTGGTATCATGTCGTGCCTCATCAGCCCCCTCCTTCAACTTCTTTACTGCTCATCCACGCGCGGGCGCTTGTTCTCCGGGTCATCGTGCCCGTTTACCTCCGCACCATTGACCTCCTCGTGGCCGCGAACCCTACCCGCGCCCTCTCCAAGCTCACCACCCTCCTCGCCATCCTGTCCGCCGATCCAGTTTCCGTCCGCGTCGAAGTGCAAGTGCACATTCTCCGCCGTGATCCACCCGCCGCTACCGGGGAAAGCAGGCGGCAGACCGCCGTCGGCGGCGCCGTGCAGCACGCCAGAGTATCCTTCGACTGGCTCGTGGTCGTTCTCGAAGATGATGCGCCCGCAGTCGTCGTCCTCCTCGTCCTCGTCGACGGGGTCCGGGTGCAGATCCGAGCACGCCGAGATGGCGTCGTAGAACTTCTGCACGTCGGCCTGCGCGCCGTCCGTCACCGCGGGGACGATGGTGAGGTCGATGGTGTTGTAGTCGTCGTCGCCGTCGCCGCCGTCGGCGAGCTGCAGCTGCATCCAGATGGCTTGGAGGGGCGTCGTCTCGGAAATGGAGCCGACTTGCTTGACTGCGTGGATCGAGATGGAGGGGTACGGGATCGCGACGCCTGCGACGGCGGCGGCGGAAAAGATGGTGAAGTTCCTGCGCAACAGTCAGCCTCAGCCATTGGACGACAGTCGTCAGATAGAAACGTACTCCGAGTTCACAAAGACGGAGACCTGTTGCTCGGCGAGCTCCTCGTTGGAGTCTCTCAGCGTGGCACCCTCAGGCGCGGTCGCAGTCGTCGAGATATCGGCAGGGAAAACAGCCAAGCTACCCTTCTGCGACGCAGGAATCCATGCTTTTGCACCGTCGAGCTGGTAGTGCAGCACGGGCTTTCCTCCAAAAAACGTCTCGGGAGTCTGAGCCTGATGCTCTTCGATCGGAGTGTAGTCCGCCACAGCGGGTGGAGAGCGGATTGTCGTCGGCAACATGTTGATGATGTTTAAGAGATCCTTGAACGGACTCTGCTTTGGCGCTGCTGTGAGACCCTTCATGGTGGGGGGAAAGCTTCCTTCCTCCAGCTCTTATCGCTATCGCCACGTGATGAACCAAGATGATGTAATCGGGAGAAGATGGAGGAAAGAGGGAAGGCGGTGAAGAAAAGAGGTACGTACTCAGATCCCGCTCGGAGGGGTCTGAGCTCTCCACACCGACCGCCCCACCGCCCGTCGTAATCACCCACCTGTGACCTTGAGGTTGAGGTAATCACGTATGCAGTACCCTGCTCATTCCGTCGCGGGGACGACAAGCAACCGCATCCGCAACTTGCAACCACCCACGGACTTCTCGACGAGTCTCAGGCAGTCGACCGCTGCAAGCAGACCCCATGCGCCTCTACCTGAGCTGATCCGTCTGCCAACGGAAATCACACTCCCATTCGATCCTCACTGACTGCTCTGCCTCAAGGCCAGCTCGCCCATCATGTACAGCAATCGTAAGCCAACCCATCCATCCGTCCATAAACCTCAACCTCCGAGTTTAACATACTTCTCACAGGCTCCCACCCGCTCCTCGAGCAGGTCCCCCTCACAGTCTCCCCCTTCATCAACCTCCCGACAGCAACGACCCTCTCCTACAACTACAAGGCGATGCCCTCGGCCCTCCCGCCCTCCGCGACCGGCGTCCCCGCGGCCGTGACCGACGACGGCAGCGGCGCCGGCGGACCCCCGCCCGAGAAGCCCAAATACGTCGTCTCGCAGTCCGGCCACGCCGCGCACCCGGACGACATCATCGCCTCGTGCCGCGCGCTGCAGGCCCATATCACCAAGATGCAGGAGGACGCCGAGCGCGACCTGCGCGAGCTCGAGGACCGCATCCAGGCGAGGGAGCTCGCCGAGAAGAGGAGGGTCGCGCCGGGGTGGTTGGATAGCGATGCGCGGATCCTGCAGCCGGAAAGGCCCGGCGGCGAGGAGCAGGACGCGCAGACCATGGCGGCGGAGCAGGCTGGGGCCAGCGAGATGCCGGCTAATGACCAGGGCGCGGAGCTCGATCGGGTGTTTGGCGGGTTGAGCATGAAGTAAGGGAAGTTCTGAGAGCGAAATCTTTTGCCGCGTTGCAGGTGTGGTTACTTCTTCTTGGTCTGGCGTTACGGGATTTGGGCAGCCTCGATCTCGATTCGGGCTCTCGGCGGACTCTTGATATCATTTTACGTTTGTCTAGACGCACTAGCCTGGTCATGGGATATTTACTTCGCACATGCGCGGGAATCTCGAATGAACTTTTCATCAATGACACAGTCCAGTTACCGTCTCCTTTTACATTCGCGCGCATCCCGATAAAAATGGAGGCGATTCGAGAAATCGCGAGTAATCTACATCTTTTCTATGTCTTCTTCACGCCCAACGCCCAACACAGGTTTTCTCTCACCCTCAAACCCAACAAGGCTAAGCCAGCCTTCGCAGAGTGACTGGATGATGGCTTTTGAAGTTCTCAAGGATGCCCAGGAGCTCTGATAGCCGACGACACATAAAGACCTGACCCCAACCGCCCGAGCCAACAGACCATGTGCACCTTTACAGCCCTCGTTCTGTCCGAAAACGTGGCAGGCAACAGGCTTGCAGTCACTTCACAGCCTTAAGCCGTTGTGTCTGATGCTGTTAGACAACGGCGCAGGCCGTCGGCTGTATTCAGTCGTGGTTGCTTCTCCAAACCTGAAGCCTTCATGGAGACCCCGCAACAAACAACATCTTGTGATTTCTCATCCCGATCACGAGTAACGATAAAAGGTTCGGTTCAGCGGATGACACTATTGGCTGAGTTGTCAGAGGTCGGCATATATTCGTGGAGAACGAAGGAAATTTCTGGGCTTTCTGGCTTTGATATCTGAGATAGTATACCATCATTCCCCAGGTAGACTATACTGCGTTGAATAAGAGGATATGCTCAGAATTCCAAAGGTCATAATGAAAATTCGCATTATGAACATAGCGGAGGAGTATTTTCTATAACAAACCAGACTCAGCGTCATCTCCATGGTTGTGATCGATGCGTTGTCACTCAAGGTGAAAATATGACAGCCAGCATTCTTCAAAGGTGTCAACCAATGGCCGTCCCCAACACGAGTAAACCATCTGCACAACTGGCTTGACACAGCCCTACTGATTGATAGCACGACCCAGAATCTACTCTGTTGTCATCAACTCGTCAGCAATCCTGAGAACTCGTGTTCATCGTTGTCGAACGAAGACGCAGCTCCATACTCTCCAAGTCCGCCTCTTTCTCCGCCCCAGAAGCACGCACAAACACCCCATCGCGAACCATGAACCGGGGCTTGTCGGTTCGACGTCGGGATTTGATCACGGCCACAATCTCATCCCATAACTTCCGGCTGGCGGCTTTAAAACTCCCGATCTGTCCAGCAGATCCGAATGGAGGCTGAGTCCCGTCGATGAGATGTTCGACCGCCTCATCAGTCGCCAACGTGCTTCGCCGTAGTATCTGGGAGATCTCGGGGCTCTCTGACAGCTGAGCGATGGTGTGCCAGGCGTTCTCCGGGAGGCTGTTGTGCGTGGAGCGGAAGCGCCGGCCGACGACGCCGAAAGTTGCGACAAATACACCGAGGACTCCCACCACCGACCAATACCCCCTACCACGCACCGGCACCGGAGCCGCCTCCAAAAACGTAACGCTCGCAGTTCCAACTGGGGAAAACGCTTCCATCAAAGTATAGTACCCCTCGCGCGCCCTGGCGAAACGCACAGCCTGCAGCGCCTTGGCTGGCGAGCCCGGGGATATCATGGCTTGGGTGAACAAAGTCGTGTAGAATATGTCTACACCCATGTCGCTCGAATCTGCTGCCCTGCAAAACAAGCAGAAGGCTATATCTCGACCGGGCAAGTTTTCTATCATGTGGAAGAGTCCCGTAGCCTCGTTCATGATTCCGACTCCGGCCGCGGAGGGTTGAGTGATCTCTGGGCTGAGAGACATCACTTGGCGCTCTTTCAGCGAGATGGGAAGCGGCATAACGCCGAGTTGCGCATGAACAAAGCTCATGTCATACGACTGGTCTTCTCTCTCCCACCAAGTCGACGGCTCTAAGTTCGTGGTTAAGCTTTCAGCGGATATGTTGTAGTATACACTTTCATTGCCGTATGAAGACCTGCGCTATCGTTAGAATCGTATGGGGTTTGTTTACTTCGACTCACAGCAAGGGTGTGAAGCATGCCGTCATTTGGAAAAGCATCTCCCAGAGTTTTGTGCCGTCGTCCGCAGCCAGGCCACGAAATGTTATGTTGGCCCAGTGGTCAGAGGTTGTAGTAGTAAGATTAAGAGTTTCGGTCTCTCCGTAAAAGCTGCCGTCTGTCATATTAGGGCTATGAGGATCCCTCCAGGAGTTCGCGCCATCCCAAAGAAGCCGCATTGGAGACCAGACACTATGGCCTTCAACAAATGATGAGTGGTGGAAAGTATTGCCTAGCTGCGTATAGCGACAAATGGCCCAGATCTTGTCGTTCGACTCGACTTCCATGGAGGAAATAAGGCCGCACTCGAAAGGGACAAATGATGAGGGAGCGTTGCCTATGCCAGCCTTTTCCAGTATGTCTCTGTCAAATGATATATTGCCGTGTATGCCGCGTGCCAATACCGCGCCCAAGTGTCTTCAAATCGGTCGCCGCTTTTACAGGGCGAGCCTAGCCTCATGCTACAGTGAGCGGGGTGAGCAGGGTGGGCAGGGTAAGCCAGGCATCTTTGCAGAAAACTGGGTTATGGAACAGGGCCACTGTTATCGACATTTACATGACTGCGACAAGCGCGAGTGAAAAGAAGTGAATTACGCACCGTGATGCACTAGCGAATAAGAACGGAAATGTAGAGGCATGCGTCCTGGCCAATAACGTTCTAGGCGCCACAGTCGTCGTCGTACGACGCTGACACTGCCTTCAAGGCGCAGGGCCTAAGTGACAGCCCACACGCGGGTGCCAGGATGACGCCTGGCACACCACAGACCGATCCCAGGAATCAGTGGACATAAACTGCACACCCGGAAACCGGTCCTAGGAGGATTGTGGTGCATGCCCTGCCTACCATCCTAGGATTGGTGGCAACGCCTGGTCATCAGTCCTGGGAATCAGTCCCCGGGACTTAGCGAAGAAACCCAAAGCCAAATCCTGGGATTTAGTGGTCATCTGTAAACAGGCCCCAGGATTCTAGTGTGTGTCCTGCATACTGTCCTAGGATCAATGAATGCCTCTACATACACATCCTGGGATTAGTGTTCGCCTACAGTTGGATGCATTCCCTTGCTACCAGATATCCAGCATTCGGCTTCATTACATGCAACCAGGTGCCGGTAGGGTACGCCCGTACTATTCACCTCGCTGCGCGCGTGGTTACAGGTAGAAGTCTGCGCAGGATGGTGGTGGGCTGACTTGAAGTTGAACCATTTCGAGGGTTGCCATCACCCAGTGGATCCTAAAGTACCAAGTGTAGTGCCACGCGTGACAACTACCCTGCAGACCATTTGTCAGCAGGGGCTGCTACATATTATCACAAAATAATACAAAACGACCTATAAACGACCTACAAAACGCAAGTCTTCAGTCGTCACCTTTCAGATACCCATACCATAGGCAATCACAACGGTTGTGGGGATGTTCCCATCTCATAAGGTAGGCAGTGTAGTTGTCGAAGGTACATGCCGATTCGCTGAGGCACGTGCTGATTTTCCAGTACGTAGCAGTGCTGGAACTCTGTTCAAGGTACCTTCTAACTCCACCTTCCACCTCCACCTTACACTTTGCATCCTCCACCTCAACTTCTCAACAACACCACCAAAACATCTAAATTCTTTTCTTTCCCACAACAACCACAACAACGACCACGAAAAAAAACAACAACCCCCAAATCAGGCACATTCGCCTCACCAAGCCTCTGACCTTCTTTTTTCCCTCTTTTTCTCTACCTCCTGCCAGTCCTAGCCTCAATTGCATTGCACAATGGCCACCATGCAATTCTTCACAGGCGCGCCCGGTTTTGTGGATGGTAAGAAGAAGGAAATCAACAAAGCAGACAGAGAGATCACAGAAATGGTCCGTGAAAGCGCCCACCAAACTGCGAAATCACTGTTGTCGTCTCCTGCGCGCTCACAGTTGCAGTCACAGTCGCCGTTGTCTCCTTCCAAACATGACCAGACCAAGTCCATTGGCGAAACCCCTCGGCTTGATACCCCCGAGAACCTCCAAGCCGACCTCGAATATCTCTATCTCCTGCAGACCTCTGCTCCTTCCTCGTCTTTACCGCCTTCTGCCTCCTTTCACCTCGCCCCCGATGCCCTCGGTCGCCTCGAACTACTCCTCGCCCATATCCGCGTCGCCCGCTTCTCCTACGACTTTGTCACCCAGTCCGCCCATATCATGATGGTCGAGACCACCATACACAGCCAGTGTAACCGTGCTATTGGAATCCTCCTCGAGAGCGCTATTGAGAAGCTCGCTGACGCCGTCACTGCTGCTGCTGCCGCTGCTCCTGCTACCGCATACGGGCCTCAATTGGGCCACGACAACGACGCCGGCACCGAGAACCAGAACGAGCAGAACGAGCAGAACGAGCAGAACGAGCAGAACGAGCAGAACGAGCAGAACGAGCAGAACGAGCAGAACGAATCCCTTCATATCCTCTCCAGACGTCTTCGACAAGTCTGGAGCGACAATGCCGTCAGAATCGTCGTTCCCAACAAGCTCAGGAAGGATCCCGACAACCAGTTCATCGATAATGAGGCCGCCTCCCCTATTCCTCCTTTCGTTGTCGAAATCTCCTACAGCCAGTCGCTCAAGGACGCCATGAAAAAGGCCGAGCTGTACGTGGAGCACACCAACGCCCACGTCCGGACGGTCCTTATCCTCGACATCCAATACCCCAACATCTCGTCCATCCGTGTCCACCTGTTTGCAACGGAAATGACAGCCGCCGGCCGACCGGTTCTGCACGAGGTCCAGAGCCTCACGCTGTTCGATTTTGCTGATGCCACCGCCGCCGCCGAGCACGATCACGATGCCGCTTCCCCAAACCCTGGCCCTCTCCGCCTGTTTGCCTCCGACTTTCTCTCCGTCGATGCTCACGTGCCAGCCCGGCTGAAGCGCCCCATTCCGTTTGAGGGCCATGGAGACGAGTACGTCATGTCTCTGCACTGGCTCTGTCCCTATGTGTTTCATCCTGCAGGCTTTGCTAACTGAATTCACCCAGAATTGTGCAGGTTGAGATCCCTTTTGAGAGTCTGCGCGACACTTGCCTCAGGGCCCGAGAACTACATTTAAAGAAGCAAGAGAAAGCCCGGAACTTCTGGTAGCTATGTGACAGCTCACCCTCCCCTACATGCCATACCGAGAGAAGCAATTGCAATTGGCATCAAGATGGCTAGGATACACGGGAGATGAGGAATTTCGGCTTGGATTGCAAATGCAATGAACATGATTTGGCGTTTGGCATGGTTATGGTCGTTTTTGCTTTATAATACCCCAGTGGAATTTCAGGATCTTGTTGGAATAGAGGAAATTTCCTCGTCTTTTTCTGGTTTATCTGCTTCCGTCTCCCGCCTCGTGAGATTCGTAAAGAAGGGCCATATTCGAGGTCTCATAATGAAAGGTCGAGAGTCCATTTGGCAGCGACGGAAACCACCGTCGCGGTTCTCACACAGACGGGGGAAAGGGGTTTCACAGCATAGTGGTATGTGTCAGGAGGGTCATCGGAATCAGCTCCGTGAGCACCGCCGCATCGTCGCCAAGGGAGGGGTCCATGCTGTCCTAGGAATCTCACAACGACGGACACAGGCTTTCTTGGTCACCTACGGGGAAGGGACGCAAGGAAGCTCAAGGTGACCTATTTCGTTGCGATGTCTCCTCGGTTCCGAAGCTCTCGCGCCAGGGCCCCGCTCACTATCGGCTACCGTACGTTACCTTCCACGCGTTCCTCGTCTGATGCTTCATCGAAGTAAGCGGCGGTGACTCCGATGGGTGAGTTCCTGATACTTTTGCGGGCAGCTGATGAGCTGATCAACTACTTTGCACTTCGCTGTCAAGACGACAACTGCAGTCACCTATGCTTACAATTTCCCTGCAGCTCAAAATGCCCTCAGGTAAGCCTCGCTTCCGACGCTGGCAAGCATTTGAAGAAATCACACCCCATCGCCCGGCCAATTCGCTCCTCCGGACACCCGAGAACCCCGGAGACTACCGACGCGTCCCTCAATACCTCTGATACCGTTGACCTTTTCAAACTCTGCGTGAGAGCCTAGATGGGCTGCCAACTTGGAAATGAAATGGGTACGGCTGAGAGATCTGGTCGCCGGTTTGAAAGATGGATACTGGCCCGGGTCGAGTAGACAGCATCACGATAGAAGGACGAAATCATACTGGAGAAGCGGCGGCGGTAACGGCAGCGTCAGCGTCGCCTCCCCGTCCCAGAGGGTACCATCCCGGCCGAGCGCACCGGCCGTGTAGGAGCACGGCTTCACATGTCTCTCCGTTTCCCGTCTACCTCTACTAGGTTCGCCCGCCCGCGCGCTGCTCTCCCACCGCCACCGCCACCGCATAGCTTTCTCCCTCACTCCCAAGTCTCGATGCATCGAAAGCTTCATTCCTCACTCAACGTAGGCCCATTCCTCCTTGGCTTAACGTTATGACATGCTATTCTTTTGTTTCGTTGCGCTTCTGGCGTTTCTGACGAGGTGATCTCTATAGTATTGCGCATCTCGGTGGTCGCCGCCCTCCGAATGAGTTCCCTGTCCATCATCAATGTAGTCGCTCAGCGATCGGCCTCTCGCCCCGGGGGGGGGGTGGGGGGGGGGGGGGGGGGGGGGGGGTCGGTGTGGGGGTGGGGTGGGGGCGCGCGGGCTTTGATTGCGAGGTGGAGGAGGAGAGCGCCTATTCCGACGAGGGTCGTGATGAGGCTGATGATCTTTTTCGTGCTGTTAGTAATGATACTTGATGTGTATGTTTGAAACTTA